AGGTTAGTTTTTCAATTAATCAAGTGTTACTCCAATATTTGTCCTAAAAGGAAACGGCTTTTTATAAAAAACTCTCTTAAACCTTGAAAAATTGAAGTCTGGGTAAACCATAATATTAGATGTATCTAAATTTTAAATAATATTCTTTTACTGCAAAGGGGTGTTAAAAAAAGGATATCTTGTATTTTTAACCTAAATTTCTTTAAATCTATAATCTGAACAATACTTGTTTTTGATATCCCATAGACGAATAGACTCATCTCTACTACCAGAAGCTAATGTATTTCCATCAGGAGAGAAACAGACTGACATAACTAAATTACTATGACAATCTAATTTGGCTTTTTATTATTCTGTTTTGACATCCCATAGACGGATAGAGTTATCATTACTACCAGAAGCTAATGTATTTCCATCAGGTGAGAAACAGACTGACATAATTGCATCAGTATGGCCATCCAATTTGGCATTTTAATATTTTGTTTTAACATCCCATAGACGGATAGACAAATCACTGCTACCAGAGGCTAATGTGTTTCCATCAGGGGAGAAACAGAGTGATCTAACTGTATCCATATGACCATCTAATTAGGCCTTTTATTATCCTGTTTTGACATCCCAAAGACGGATCGACTAATCACCACCACCAGAAGCTAATGTATTTCCATCAGGAGAGAAACAGACTAATAAAACTGAATTACAATCACAATGACCTTCTAATTTATTCAATATAAGAATTTTAATATTCAAACTTCACAGTTGTTAGATCAGCATTATTAAATTAACTCTACTTAAATCTCAAATGCTTTGGAAATTTTTGGAGCTTAGTCAAGATTCTAAGAAGAAGAAGAAAATAGAGAAATAAAAAATATAGATCTTGAGAAGATTATTTGTTTCACGATTTATCCAATTTTTGTAAACTTGTGCAAATGATTTTTATAAGATTAGCCTGAATTAACCTATACAATTGATATTACGCACCTCCTTAAAAAAAATAGACTTCTCAATACCTCAAAAGTAAATCCTATTTGCCTAAAAGGGAAAAGATGCTATGTATTTCACCTTTTCAAAGCAAATCAAAATTACTTTAACTTGTTTAGTAGTTTCATTGAACTCTGAAATGTTATCTTTATTTTCTCAACTTTATCTTATCAGTTTTCTTAATAATTACAAATAAAGATTTGAAAAATAATGAGATGATTATTCCTAAATAGAATCAACTAATGAATGTGAATCAGATACTCAATAATTGCATATTTATTATTAAGAGATTTTTTAATTTATTACAATTTAAAAATAATTCCAATTTGACATGCACCCCCAGAAAAAATCAGAATTTCATTACATTTCTCATCTTGTAAAGAAAATTAAATTCGATCTCAAAATAATTGTATTATTTATATAAATATAAAAACGGTAATAATGAAGAGAATTTTATTAACAGTTCTAATTACTTTGTCATTAGGATTACCTGTTTAACCAAAATTAGAGGAGTAGAAAGTAGATGAATTAAAAAATGGAAAACTGTCTAAATTTGTGTTAACATTGGCTTAATTATCAAATATGCTAGAAAGACCTTTAGGTAATAAATCAATTAATTTTTTAGTTGATTTAGATTTTGCTGTTTAAGATTTGAGTGAGGATTTGAGAGAAATGTAAGAGGAAGTATCCTAAGACTTTTTTTAAAGATCATCATAACATAAAAAAATAATTGATGATTTAGAGGTTTTGCTGGGAAATGCTTAAATAGAGATTAGTAACAGCATTAACCTTGTGGAAAATGTACTTAAAAACTAACTTGTATCTATATCTATTATTATACATGAAATAGGTCTAATTGAATAACAAGCAATCATCCTTACAAGACTTTGTGAGTTAAAATAGAGTGGCCATTCAAAGGGAAGATTTGATGCATTAAACTAACAGCAAATAATATGAGGAAAAGAGTACGTGAAGTCTCAGTATTTTTTAGTTACTGATCATTAGACAGCATTGAAGATTTTAGACAAAGCATTGGACATTGTATAAAAGTTCATTTCAGGAGAATTGGATATTAATTAAAGAGTATTTTATTGTTGAATTTACTTAGGACCCAGCTCAAAGAGATGTTTAAGAACTTTCAGGATGCTTGAATAAGAGATATGGAAATTACCCTTTGGTAACTGCTTTAATAGAGAGTGTTCCAACTTTTGAGAATCTGAAACAACTCAAGAAGATAAGACAGAAGCTTGTAAAAGTGAAATAGGCAGTCTAAGATCAATATAATGAAGACTTATTTCATGATAAAACTCAAACATCCTTGTATGAAAAAAGAAAGACTTAATTAGAAAAAGAACACTCAATTTTCTAATAATAAATTGCAGACAACATATTCTCTATAAATACAATTTAATGTAATTTGATTAGTTAGTTATTAATTAGAAAAGATAAAAGTGGAAGAAGACTTTTAAGATATGAGAAGGGACGATGTCAAAAGGTATGCTTAACAAAGATAAGATGAGAACGAAGCTTTTGCCTATGAGATTGCAATATTTTAGGATTTAAAAAATATGTATTTAACTGAATAATAGCTTGGTGAATAAGCAATAAAGTAATCTTATTTAATAATTATTAGCTTCATTAATACAAAATAGTTTTCTGATTTAATTAGAAGTAATTTGGACATAGCACTTAGAAATAAATGATGAAGTCATTCAATAATTATATATTAATCATTTTCTTCAAAATAATTTAATAATATTTCTGGATTATGCTGTATGATTAAAGAATAAGGATGATATGAATCTGAAGGTTTTGTACTTCCTAAATGTTTCCAGGAGATCAGAAATTTAGCCTCATTTAAGGAGTGCCCAGTGTGTGATATGATTTTTTCAGGTTAATTCTTTCCAAATTAACCTCCTTTTTTTAGATCCTATTAGGAGCATTTTGAAGTTCTTAATTGTAGGGATTTTTTCTTTTGAGCAGCTAAGCTATAAACTTATTCACTTTTTATTTCTTCTTTTTTTAAATATCCACCCCCTCTTTTTGTTTACTTTGCCTGCGGATAGTTCTTTTAAATATTGTGAGATGATTCTAAAATCGTTGGAAATTATTTTTCACATTTTATCATTCTTTCCTCAATCATTTTTAAATTCAATAATGAATTATATATTGGTATAAACAAAATTTATGAAGAATATATAAATGCATATAAATTATAATTTAAAATTTCATATAGTTGTAGGTTAATATAATAGTAATATCATTAATATTTAATTATCATTTAATTATAATATGGCAGAAAGAATTGTATTTAATAATTAGGCTGCTCAACATATCCAAGCATATATTGATTATTGCAATGTAGTCGGTGATAATGGAGGACCATTACTAAGTGAGAAAGAGTATGAAGCCTTAAAAAAGAAATAATAAGAAGTTTATTAATTAAAATAATTAGAATATCAAAAATCGTGTCTATGCGACTTGGAAAAACAGCAAAGGAATGGAGTGCAAATAAATTGGTCCAGCTAGTATGTGTTTTTGTGGTCATAGATTTAAAGAACATGAATACATGATGCCAAAAAATAAAAAAGTACAGTTCTATTAATTATATAAGGTTGTTTGTAAAAATAAGTAATGCAGTTGCCCTTAGTTTAATTACATTCCCATTTTCGGATCCTAAGATCTAAAATGCGTTTGCCATCATTCTTATACAGAGCATGATCCAATCACAAAAAAGTGTACTAAAGGATAATGTGGATGCAATAATCGTTTTTAAAGTAGTTGGCTATGCACTTGTGGTTAAAAATATAACGACCATGTGACAGTAATTGAAACAAGAGATGAGAGACTTGCTTAAGGAAAACCTGTTGATGATATAAGACCTGATGGTTCAGCAATACCTTATATGCCTGGTGGAGTTGCTAGTTTTTAAGCATTGGTTGATGGAGCAGATGGTTATTAAGCATACATTGACGAATTAGGAGGATAAAAACTGGCTCTTGGATATCAATAACAAAAGGCCATTGAGAATGATCCTAAGAAACAAAAACTATAAACTTTAAATAAAAAGTTTGCTAATTAATAATAGTAATAGCAATAATAAATGGATCAATTAGACTAATTTGTAAATGAAAACAGCGGAAATTAAGCAATTTAAAAAGATAGTTTATTGCATTTATTCAACACTCCACATATATATGGGAGGGCTCAGATTGGATATAAAAAATATTGATGATTAGATATTTTATATCTGTAGTAAAGAAAATCAGAATAGATGTAAATTAATTACATAATCATATCAAAATTTTCATTCATCTTGATCATATTTGTTCTTATTTACAAAACTTTTACTTCTCTTGTGTATTCTATCTGCAATTTTAGTTTTTTGTGAATCAAGATCATTTTAAATAATCTAGTTAAAATAGATTTATTACTTAATTTATTTTAGTTGTTTCCATCTTTAGATTATCAATCATCTACTTTACTTCAGTATTTTAGATAGGTATTATGGCTTTATGCAATGAAATTTCTTTTTCTGGTTTTTCTTGGGGAGCTTCAAATGAAGTTACATCTTCATAATGCTAAATCTAATCAAAGTTAGTATGAATCTTGAAATCAATTTTTTTTGTTTACTCTTTTTCTGGTTGCTCATCTATTTTTTTTCTTGGAGATATGATAATTGGATGACTCATTAACCAATTTAACTTACTTTTGAAATACTCACTCTTTTAGTCTTTCTGAGATTCATAATACTCAACTCCTTTCTGATTGTTTCATATGATTATTGATACCATATACAATTGGATGAGATTATTCAATGCCATACTATCTTAATATTTACTCATCATTAATGTTATATCATTCTTCAATATCTATTCAGCAAAATCTTTTGGCAATTCACCTAAATTGTGAATACTTGTTACTCCTATTTTTTTGGCCTTATCCTAATTTGCCTATGAATGACATAAAACAATTATAATTATTAATAAGTTATGAAATAAACAACATTTTTAATGAAAAATAGCGCTCAAGGTATCTTCTTGTTTCTATTAGTCGGAGTAGATGCTTATTTACTAGATTAAGACAAGGATGGCAAGTTTTCAGGAATACGAATTTATCTTGTTGAATTATACAATCTGGCCATTTCGCTAACTTCGGATCCTTCTGTTTAAATAGGCTAATCCTCATACTAATCTTAAAACTATTTTCTGTGTGAATTTTGAATTGCAATTCTATGTAAATCAATGTGTTTCTTTGATTCTGTTTTCTATAATTATGTTGTTGGAATATCTTATGATTAAAGTTAATAAATTACCAGATATGTCTCTTGAGCCCAATCTATTCAGTTTAGAACTATATTAACTAAATTTTGATGCTCCAACTACAGAAGGAGCTTTCATTTCTATTTTGGCAAATGAATTATTAGACACACATGAAATGGATTCAATTGAATTCAAATTTCCTGTAAATACTGGCTATCTCTATTCCAAATTCAAATCAATTGACCCCATTTTCATATTATTTTTGTATTACTAATTATAGTCATTTAAATTATTTTAAAATTTCTCCTATTTTACTTAATGCTCTTTAGCTAATTCCTTAAAATATGGATGTCTTAAGCACTAACTTAATGATTGTAATTCGTACCTCACTTGAACTCAATCTATCTTATGATTTCTTTAACAACATGGATCGTATCAAATCCTGCATTTATATCGGAGCAGACTTAAATAAGGAATCATCAAAATCAATTATGCAATCCTTATTGGCTTTCAAAATAGCCTTTTAATCCTTACCTGTAAATGGTTAACCTCCAGTCTAAAATTATAATTTAGAAAATTACTTACAATTAATAGATACAAAATTATTCCAGCACTAAAAACATCACATTTTTCATCATAAAATTATTGGCCATCAGTGTATTCTAAAATTTCTGGAGCAACGAATCCAGGAGTGCCACATCTTTTAAATAAAATATTTTCATCCTGTAATTAAGCTGCCAATCCAAAATCAGCTAAGATAATTTCATGATTGTTTTCATAAGATTTAAGTAAAAGATTTTCAGGTTTAAGATCTCTGTGAGCAATATTGAACTGATGAATATGATTTAATGCTGATAATAAGTTATATGCCAACCTTTATAATGTTTCCGCAGGTAAAAATCCTAAAGAATTTTAATATCCTAATACCTGTTTCTCTTACTCTTTAAAGAAGCTCTCCTCCTGCCACAATATCAACAACAAAATAAACAGAATTAGCTGTTTCATGTACTTCATGTAATTTGATAATATTTGGGTGGCTTAATTTCCTCATCACTTTCATTTCATTCAAAAGGCTTTCAATTCCTTTATGTTATTGTTGCATAAAAGATTTGCTAAATGCTTTAATAGCATATTATGTATTGTTGTCTTTTCTGGTGGCGAGATATACCTTTGCAAAACTTCCCTTTCCAATCAATTTAGAAACCATGTAAGCATCATGGAAATTCTCAAGCAGACAAGTTTTTCTGAGATGGATTCTCCATTAATCATAAAGAGACCTATCAGATAAAAAAATCTCCAAAGTTTTAGTTTAGTATTGCAATCTGAATCCATATAGTTGTTCATCAGAATTCAATTAAACGAAATGATCAGCGCCTGGTTCAATATAAGTCAAATGAGTAGTGAGGAGGGGTGCACATTATAATTTGTCCATAGTTACTTTATAAATATATTCCAATCCAAGTACTATGAAGATGGGTTTGACACTAACTTTGCCTGCTGTCAAAAATTCTTATTCAACTAAAAATGCTTGAGACTTGATATATAATGATATGGGTTTACATCCAAAACAGATTTATCACATGTTTACCAAAATTTATTCCTGGTATTTCCAAAATCAAAGATAGAAATTACTTTTTATTCAGTCATTAATCTATACTACTGACACAAAAATAATAATTTAATAAATAAGTTTTAATTCTCAACACCTTTTAACCATTTTACTTATACCAAAATTTATTTCTTCTTCAATCTTGAACTAGAAATCATCTTCCTCAGCTTAAGAATTTCGCAGTTATTCAAATAGCGTACTTGTTTATAATTCATTCCTATATAAATTCTAAGATTACTCATTGATTACTTACATGATAGAGCGAACAAATCATTGTGCTCAATTAGATTGGATTCATAACAGATTTTAGAGCATCCCAAATTTAGTCAAGTTTAGAGGCTTGATCCTAGATAGATTTGATTTCATTTTTAATGTTATTTAGAGAACTAAATAATAAATAAAAAAAAAACTTTGAAATATTTTATTTAAACTATTGCACTTTATTTTGAAACTTCTTCAGTTTAGTGAGATTCTCAAATTTTACATTGGTATTTTCAAAATTACCCTTCATCCATTCAGTGTAATCTCTTAAACATTAACAAATTTTATACTAGTCAGAGTTGGCAAACATGTCTTTTGAATGTGAACATGCATATAGCAAATACTTAACCTACATTGGCAATAGGATCTCAGCAATGCTATCAAAGTAAACTCTAGCTGTGTCATTTCTTTCCTTCGAATTTGATTAAATTCTATATCTTAATGCATCCATGATGATACCGATTTCGTCATCGCTAACTTTTTTTATTATACATAATTCCAATTTTTCAAACATTTGTTATTGTTACTCTAAGAATGTTTAAAACTTTTGTAGAGACTAAGATACCTTACTTTCTATGTTTTCTTATTTACTATCTCCATGGAATGGGCTTAATTCTTGCATATATCCTTCAGTTTTTCATTTTCTTCTTAAAGTTCAGAAACCTATTTTTCAAGCAATTATTGATATATTTTCTTTCTTTCTCTCGAATTCTTGGCTGATTCTCTGTTCTTTGCCAGTTTGGCTTGAGTAGGGTCAGTAATCTCGTTTGATGTTTCATTTTGTAAATTCTACGATCTCTTTCTCTCTAATTTTTATTAACTTTTTTATGATCTAGGTGTTATAGATGGTGACACTGAATTGTTGTTTGAAGTTCTTTTTTCTAATAACGATTCTATCTTTTCTCTGTAAATGCTTTTGCCTTAATTTTGAGGAATCTGCAATTTTACTTCAGGTTTAAATATGCTGTTGATTTACTCAGCTGATTCTACTTATAAATTTGTAAAGCCAACCTAATCGATATTCTTAATCTCCTGAATATTGTGATCGGCTATTTCTTTCTGATTGTATTGATTATTTCTATCTTGATTAATTTGATGACTCTTCTTAAATCAACTGATTATCTGCATCCTCAATTTTCATTTCATAAAATTGATCTAGACTATTTTTCATATCTTAATCCATAGCATGATATTACAAATAATTATTCTAGAAACTCCCACCTTATTATTGATCGCCATAACCCAACAAATTTTTACCAAAACTCAATCTAAAATAGAGATATTATTTTTAACTATTGTTCCTAACAAGATCCAACTTAGAAATCTGCCGTACCTGCTGTACCCACAAAATTATAAAATTATCCACTTTATCTTGAATTAAAGCTATCTGCCATTAGAATTTTTCTTATAAATGTTAAATCTAAATAATTATATACTCCACATAAATATAAAATGCACAATATTTCTCATTTTTATCAAAATTCTCATGTTTCTTGTGATTTAAACTTTTCTTATGCATGGAATGAATGGCCAATATATTTAATACATAGAAAATACATTTTTATCTTATGTAAATTTAGGATAGTTGGACATAAATATTTTCAAATTTTTTATATATCATCGTTTTTATATCATTCATTAGCAATCTTAAATTAACTTGAATTCTTCACAGTAGTCAAAACTACAAACTCTTTTGGATTGAATTTCTAATGATGAGATCTACATTGACTTGCAGACCTAGTTTTTATGAAATCAGACATCTGTTTAAATATTTTATTCATTTTCTTCTAATCTGAATCTGACATAATCTCTATATGACTCTCAATAAACTATAAATATAGTCTGTGCTCTTTATTAGTCCAATGGCCTTATTCAGTTAAAATTATATGCATACCTTTTTTAAAGAATTTGCTTTTATTGAATTTTTTCTTTTTCCTTTTGTTCAAAATAGTTATGGGCATTTTAGAAATAATGGATTAATTATGATCTAGACTAGTTGGTGCTTCAATTGGTTCAATTTAAAAAGATCTCTAAAATGTTTCTGGGAACTTTGCCTATATATCATTCATTTTGATTATGTTTTGTTAGCTGTGAATTTCAGGCTACTAAAAGTGGCAGTTTATTCTTGGAAACTAAGACAAATAGTTGGTTGAGAAGTTTCCATATTGAAAATAAGGATAAAACCATGGAAATTAATATAAAGGTTGACAAAAGTTGAAAGAACCTAGAGATGTGTGATATTTTCGTACTTTATAAGTCTTAAGGAATATAAGCAAAAGGAAACATTTTGAAGATATCAAGTTGTAAATAAAAAATAATTATTGTCTTTAAGGAATCATCATCAAGTTTAATTCATGATCTACATAATATTAATTATAAATAGTGTAAAGGTCAATATTTCAAAGTATTCATTTTTTATAAAAATAATAAAATACATATATCTACCTGCTTCAATATTGTAAATTTCTTTTGAGATTTGTCACATATTGCTATTGATGGATGAAATTAATAAGTTAAAATTTTGTTATCGATTTTTAATTATATGTAATATGAATTTTTGGAATTGGTATTTCAAAACAAAACAAAAAAGTAATTAATTATGATAAGATATAGGAATTGATTACTAGTTTTTTTTTAAATTGCATTTTATTATTGATTTTCATTATTTTTTTTTTATTTCATCTATTAGTTGATTTAATTCCTTAATCCTATTTATAGATTTATGAATAGCCTTCAAGTCATCAGCCAATCGAGTTATTGTATGTTGAGCCATATCAAAATTCATTTCAGCTTATTTTCTCAATTATGGAGATTTTTCATTTATTTTGCTCACTTCTAATTATGCATGTTATAGAGTCTAAATTCTAAATTTTTCAATAATGATTTACATCGAAGTTTAATTGGCAAAGGTTTCTTTGAGATCTTCATCTTTAAAGAATGCAATTGTTTGCATAATAATTAATATTATTGTAATATTTTTTAATTGTTGTCTGCATTGTATTAAATCCAGTTGTTTTATAAAATTGAGATTTATTTTATTTAAATCAAATCAAGCTTGAAAAATAAATGGAGATGCCATTAAAAAGTTTCGTAGAGCAAGATACAGATATTGCTTAAATGAATACTGAGTTAGAAATAAAGCAAATGCTAAAAAATCTCAAGCTTGAAATTAAGCCATAAGATGGAATAACAAGAAAATCAATTAAGAAAGTGAAATTGTGTTTAGGCGCGAACTAAATAATATAGAGAAGAAGAGCACTTCATTATTGAGTGTAAAAATAATGATTTGATTGTTTTAAACACATTCTTATCCTATTAAATTATTAGATCACTTATAGCAGTTGTTTCTAATTATTTTTTTAGTTCTTTTCTCTTCATTAATTTGATTTTTAGAAAGTAATTTTTTAAACAGTCTGAAATTCTGAAGAAGAATAGAAAGATTGAATGTAATGTGTTTAACAAATGTATATGACTTAAATTAGATATATATAATCTGTAAAGTTAAATAGATTTAGAAATGCCATTAGAATGAAAATTAATGTTATGTACATAAATGATTTCATTTATTAATGTAATTAAATTTATTTAATTAATAAGTATTGATATTAATTGATCTGTTTGACAGTTATTTAAAGAGATATTTATTATAATATTAGATCATTCACAATAAATTGGTTGAAATGGAGCTACTTTTTCAACTAAAATGTATAAAAATAAACTTAAGTAAAAATATTTATTATATTAATAAATACTAATTATATAATCATTCTACATCACAATTCAATGATTCTTCCTTTTTGCTATTTTTATCATCTATTATAGAAAATATAATTTACTTATCTAGGTTGTTCAAATTAAGCTCTAGTTACTGATAACATCTATTATAGTTTTTGCGAAGTGAAGAAATGCAGACCTTATTTAAATTATGTAATTATATTAGGATGATGTGCTTTTAATTAATAAATGGCTTATTTGAATGTTTCAAATTCATCAACACTTACGTATCCACTCTTAAATTTAGTGATTTATTCATCAAGAGTTCTCTTCTCTTCTGTAAAATTTTCATAACAATGATCATCTTCTGAACCTGATGAACAACCATCAAATTTTTCAAATTTTTCTTCTTTTTGCTATTCCAATTAATATGATAACATTGATACAATATTACAACCAGTAGTCAATAAGATTTCAGGATTTTGGAGTATAGTATTAGAATAATAGATGATAAATAACTTAGCATCATAACCAGCAGAGTAATTCATTTCATATAATTCTTATTGAATACCTTAAATTTAGTTGTTACCAATTATCTTTTCACAAAGTGACTTAATTGTCAATAATGCACTCAAGAATATACATTTAATTCTAGAAATTAGTAATTCATCAGTGTTAGATTATTTGATAATTTTATAGGAATGATCAAATATTTGTCTGAGAATGTTTTCGTTAAGATCATTTCTAAGGCATTAAATTCCTAATTATATCAACAATGCACCTTCACATTTATCTAATGTAGAATTCAAATCAGAAACAATATTTGATAAGGCCAAATGGAAATACTAAATATAATTATATGATTATACAATCGATTAGGTGGTTTCATTGATAAAATATTCTCTACCATAATACATGTAATTATTTAAAAGTTCAAATAAAGATTAAAATGAATAATTTTAAGATTATAGGATTCTTTCGAATTTTGGCAATAATGATATTTAATCCATAGTCACTCTTTTTAATTTCTGTATTATTAATGATACGAATAGAATCATTTTTTCTATATATTAGACAGATTCTTCTTCTTTAACTTGTTTGTATAGTAAAACTATTTGATTTTCAACACATAATAAATAGTCAAAATGATGGTATTGATTTACTATTTAATGAAGAATATTCCATGATAATTCAATAAATATTTCTCTATTTATTTGATTTTTATATATATTTGTTTATTCTTAATGTATTCTCTAAGCAAGATTTTATGTTATAAGTTAAATTGTATTTTATTAAAATTGATATATAGAGACCCACTCTTCAATCATTTGTAAGATTCTAATATCACAAGTACTAGATATTTAAGATGAGAATTTTTATATAATTTCATCAAAAAGTTTATGTTTCTCTATAAATCCTGGTAATTCATCTAAAGATATAATTATATTGATTGTATTTATTTATTAGTAAATTAATGCCATTTTATTAAACTGTTCAAGTTTGACTATATTCTCAAGAAACTATTTATAAAATAGCTAGCTAATTGTGGATTTTAAAATTGAATAGCTCTCACCAATTAATTTAGTGTAAAGTATTTAAATTAACTCATCTTAACATTAGAGAACTACTTGGTAACTGTTTTATATGATAATTGCCAAATATTCCTGTATATCATATCTGGTATTTATATTAGGTTAAATAATGATTAGAATAATAAGAGATATTTGTAATCGTTATTTACTATCATAATTATAAAATATTGAGCTTAAGTATTATAAAAAGTTACTTATTTTATAATAATTTAATATGATTGAATTCTTGTTCTGTTATGATGAATAATTGATTTGATAGTATTTCATTGATTGAATATTTAAATAAAACAATAGCACTTGAAGATAAAAATGAATAAGCTCCATCTATGTGTGTAATCAAGGCTCTAATCAAATCTAAGGTTTGATTATGAAGTGATTAAAGTTTATTTTAATTATCAAAACTAAGTTCTTATTAAATAAAATCAAAGGGTTCATTTTATAATAGTGATAACTATTTAGATGAATACACTAAATAAGAATACAAATGAGTAACAATCAATTATTAATAATAGTTTTAGTAAATATTGTAGAATTCTATTTGATTTATTGTTGCAGATAGAATATCTAAAATAGTTATTGTTACTTCTTCTGAAATGGTTATTTATAAGGATTGTATTAAAAAAAGAATTAATTGATTTAATTATTAATAGATTGGAAATATTTGTAATTGTTATTTATTTCTACTCGATAGCATTCTAAGTATGATATGTTTATAACATTTCAGAGTTAATATTTTTACATTCTAAATTGTTGAATTGCTTTAACATTAAATGAAATGATTCTAAGATTAAAATGAAAAGATATTAATAAATAATTAACTTAATTCTTAGTTTTGAAGTATAAAATTTTGGAAGAACAAATACTTTTATTAATCGTATCTAAAAAAACGAAAAAGCATTCCTTCAAAGCATTCCAAAAAGTTAAAGTAAATTAGATAATCATTTTCTAAATTCAATGATTGAATCATGATTTTGCTTACTTTTTCAATATAGTCAATATACCAAGAGTATTTATTTTGATCTACTGAATCAGCATATATAATTGTATCTGTTAATAATCTGAAAATTTAGATTGATAATACAATTGACCTTTGATCCTTCAGATATAAAAACATGCATTCTTGGAAATGATGACTATATTCTAATTATAATAATCGAATATACATGTATCCTCTTCAAATATAATTGTAATTGCTGACTTTATTAGATACTTACAATTATAAGGAACATTCAGATTTGTGAATATTTCGAATAAGGTTTGTTTGTAAAGTTAAGTAATTATTTCTATATATATTTGACAGATGATTACATTAATTCTATTTCATTAGTTTAATTGTAGCATTCAAAACTGTTGCAATTTATAGGGAATCTATATTTATATGAAATCTCATTACTTTAATCTTGTACTATAATTAACAATCCTAATTATTGAAAATATTGAGGATTAGTAATTAAATGTTATATCAATTATTATTCTGCTTATTATCTATGAGGGGAACAAGAAAAGGATGTCAGAAGTAATTATTAAACTTCATTCATTAATTATATTAATTTTTTACATAAAAAATATAGATAATTTCAATATTATTCTTTTTATTTTATGATTACATATCTTTATACTCTACTAGATGAATGTCAACATATGTGCTACTAAAAATAAATGTTATATCAAATAATTTATAATTTTATTATTTATTGCCTTTCTTTTTAGTTAATTCAAATATCTTTTCTTGATTTTAAGCATTAATAGCCTTCCAATCATTCATGATTTTATTTACAAACTCCCTAATTTATAATTATTAAGTAGTGTAAATCATTTAAAGTTAATTTTCTGTTTTTATAATAAATTTATAATCAATTTGGAATATAAGATAGTTCTATCATGAATCTCCTCATGATATTAGATATTTTCTGTTGGCTGTTGGTTTATCTACTATTTTTGAAAATTTAAAAAATACTAATTACACATTAGTTTTTCATGTAATAATACTAATTCTATACACAAACTTATTTTATTATTACATATTATAATTGGAAATATATGCATTTTCAAATGCAGATAGTGTACATATTGAATTAAAATAATTTAAGCTTGAAGATCCATTTAAATAATAGTATTAAAAATAATATTAAACTTCAATCACATTAATATTTAATTGTTTGCATTAAAATAATTGTCAATATATTTAATATAAAAAATACACGTCAGATTTAAATCATCTACGTACGAATATTACAACAATATTGTGCCTTTGTATACCTGAGATATTGTATTTAAAAAATCCATATATAATAAATAATGAACTCAAGAAGCACACATCTTACAGAATATGCAATCAAAGAAATCATCTCCGAGAAATTCGCTTCATGGAAATCAGTCAGTCCTTCAAATATCAGCATCACTAGATTGACAGGCTTAACAAATATTACCTACAAAGCCTAAGCTATGATTGACACTACACCTTAAACAATTTTGTTCAGAGAGTAATGAGTTTTATCATTTAAAATTAGATTTGGGAATGCTGAAGGATTTGTGGATTCATAATAAGAGAGAATCATCTTTAAAACTATATCTGATATGGACCTCGGACCTTAAGAGTTGGAATGTGGTAACAGTTGGAGAATGGAAGAATTTGTAAAAGATGGAGTACATCCTAACAACTAAAAGATGGCTGAAGCTAATTTTTAATTTAAGTCAATGGGAGTGTTATAGAAATTCCATTAGATGGAGATCCCTATACCTAATAATGGGTCATCTTCTATTATAAATAAGACACTTTCAGGAGAAATGAAAGCAAATGTTATTAAGAAGATTGAGAAACGAGAATTATATACAGATGTAGAACTTAAATAGTTGGAATGTATGGAAAACTTCATAAATAATGAAGAAGAATTCAATTATTTAAATAAAATGACTAGAAAGGAGAATAATGAAGAGGTATTGTTATTAACAATAATTTTTAGTTAAAATTCTGCCATAATGATTTGAATTAATTAAACATTTTTAATACATCTAATAAAGACAAAGAAATCATATTCATTGATTATGAATATTGTTCATACAATTATCCATCTTATGATATTGCTAATTTTCTTAATGAATCTGCAATTAATTACTAATATGAAGAAGCACCTTACTACATTCTTGTGGATGACAATTTTAATACTGCTCCAATTTAAGCACATTTCCTTGCACTTAGTTATATACTCAATAAGGAGTGTACCTAAATAGAAATAGAATAAATCTAAAAGTTGATCAATGAAAAAACTAATAAAAATAAAGATGAATTAAAGACTTTCATTGAATTAGTTAAATAAATTCTTGAATAAAGATTAAGTGAATAAGAAATTGTTGAATTATTCCATGCAATTTCTTATCTAAAAAGAAGAATTAGAAGATAATAAATATTATCCAATTTGAATTGGATATGGTGGAGTATTCTTTTAGCTCATGAAAAGAATTCTCTCAATTTTGAATATATAGATTATGGTTTTTTGAGATTCAAAATGCTTGAAAAACTTTTAGAATTAGAAAAAGCAAGAAAAAATACTTAATGATTTCACTATTGTAAATATTTGTTTTATAGAGTCTTAATTATAAATTTTATTTAATCTCATTATTTATGTAATCAATAGAGAAGGAAGAAGTAAAATTATAAATTTCTAAATGAGATTCCATACTTCAAATTTTGTTAGAAATTAGGTGGTGTGAAAATGAAAGACATCTACATTTCACCCACCAAGGCAGCAACATTTCTACATTTAATAAACAATGTAATTTTCTTATTTAATAATTATAGAAATGCCCAAAATAAACAGCTCTTCAATTTGCTTAAAGAAGAATTTGTAAATGGGATACTACAATTAAAATGGATGGACCAAGTACATGTCGTATTTTGAAACCTAAAGATAATAAAGATGTAATATATATATCATAATTATTTTAGAAAAGAATAAATGGATGGTAAAATATTGGTATGGAGATGTATTATGATAATAAGGCAACAATTGCGGACAAAAATTAATTAGAATTAGATTTTGATAATGATGCAATTTAAAAATAAATTGAAAAGAATGAAATGAAACTGAAAAATGATTTTAAAAACAAAATTGTTCATTTATAATAGTTCTACAGAGATCTTAATTAGAAATACAGTTTTAATTCAAATGATCCTGATTTTAAAAATAAAATTAAGAAGGCTAAATATGATTTACTTAATAGCAGGAATTTACCTATCAAATATTTCAAATCCAAAGGAATGAAATACATTGAAATATATGATGAATTAAATAAAAGAATAACAAATGATACAAAAGATGGCTTATTAAAACGTTTGCGAGTTTTCAATTAATTAAGAACTGATTAATATAGAGTCAAAGAGAAATCTATGGGAGATCTCTATAGATAAAAGAATGAAAATTATAGTCCAACTCACAAAGAACTTCAACATGATGTTAAAATTTATGATAATATGGAAGAATAGAGTGAATAAATGTTGAAGATTATTGATTAAAGCAATGAGTTTTCAATGAAACTTAGATAAAATGAATAGAAAGTTGGTGTGTCTTAAAAGGCTATAGTATTTGCTGAAGATTTTAATAGAACAAAATATATATTCAATTTGACAAAATAGAATTAGACTCAAAAAATGTTTGAAATACCTGAAATGCCATAATTGGTAATACCTCAAAGTAGTTCATCAATAAGATTGAAAAAGAATTTATCTTCTCCTGTAAGTATTGATGAACAATTTGATAGTTGTCTCAATCAATATGCACATGAAGTATTAGAATATTAATAGGAAATACAAGATAAAGAGATTTCAACAGATAATATCGAAAAACTATTATAAGAAAAAGAAAGTCTAAGATGTAATTAGATGAGAAAAGTATCTAAAACATATCATACTCCATAACCAAGTGTTCGTTTAGATTCTAGTAAATATATGAGAAATTAACAATTATCCTCTAGAGACAGGGAATCTACTAAAGCTGGAAACTCTTTTCATTTAAAATCAAGAACCTATGCTGTAAGTCCATTTTGTAAATGATGATTTTATTTTGATTATTTCTATATATCTACTAAAAAGTGATACAAATTATTTTAATGATTATTTAGCAATATCTACTTTTGCTTATTAGTACGAATGAAATAATATAATGTAATAAAGGGCTCGCTCACTAATTGCTAGACAATATTACAAAAATAAATACGGTCCATAATTGATTGAGGATGACAATGTATTAGATGTTCAAATAGGAGATGATAATACGTATATTGCAATTTCATCATATCATTTAGATTACAAGCTAGACAAGGTTTAGTAATCACTATTAACTCAGATGATGAAGGACCTAAATAGAAACCTTCATTGCCCAACTTTTCAGAGACAGTTGTCAAAAAATAAGAATGTGCATTGTAAAAATTTGAAGACAGAAACAGTACATCACAATTATAACTCACTTTGCAATAGCAATTATAAACACAAACTGATGTTTACAAATAGCAATAACATTAAGTTACTAATACTCTTGATAGTATGTCACAATTACAAAAGTCACTTTCATAAATTAAAATCTAATAACCTTAGCCACCTTAGAATGTTAACAATCAATAATAATAAAATTAATAATTGAAATAACAATAGATTAGATAACCTATTACTAAAGGAATTGGAGATTAAAATCAAAAAAATAATGAGAAACCAAAGTAAAGAGTCATCTCTATTCCTGATAATATTTAAACAAAAATGAATATAGAATCTGATGAAGAAGAGGTGCAAATGAATAAAATGCCCAGAAAATAAGTGAGACCTAATGAAGATGAAACTTTACCCTAAATTCATTTCAAAAAAAAACCAGATGTTTTTTCATAATTAAAATAGAAGGTATATATTATATTTATTAATCGATAGATCACACAACCATTAAATGAGAATACAGCTTTACAAATCTAATATAAATACAAATAAAGAGATGAGTATTCTCCAGATGTGGAACCAACTTAAAATGTTGCACCTGTGTCTTATTAGGATTTTATTGCCATGAAGAATAGAGAGATTAATGCTGCTAAATAAAGAAAATAAGATGAAGAATATAGAAAGTAATTGTTACAATAAAAGAAATAAGAAAAAGTAGCTCCTGAAAAAATAAGAGAAGGGGAGACTCTTCAATAATATTAATAGAGAATGATAGAATATTTACATAAATAGAATAAATACAAGAATAAGAAGAAGTACAAGAGAGGAACTGATTTGGATAATAAGAAAACAGCTGAAGAAAAATAAAAGATCAGCGAATTAATGAAAATGATTGATCCAAATTTCTAATAAGAAGATATTGAAGATAAACCAATCAAACCAGATCTATTAAATTATGATGTCTTACTTAAAAATGGTTTAGTCTTGAAATAAGCATTTGTTAAACCACCAGAACCTGATATCAATCCTATGTTAAATGTTTATAAAAGAGGTAGATATGCAACAGAATTCATTTTCAGTGGTGGTATTGATTTGGATGATGGACCTTATGGGTAATAATCTAGAAAGAAACCTAAGAAATTACCATTCCCTAAACATAGATTAAGTTTATCTCCTTGGGAATACTATGGTGTAGGACCTGAAGAATATTTTGCAACCAGAAATCCTAATTTTGAATTCAAATAGAAATATGTTCCTGTTAAGGATTATTATAATGAAATGCCAAGACCTAAATAAAATCCTAAATATTTTAGTTATGATGTAGATTAATTATTGGCTAAACGATATTAAACCATTCATGAAGAATATCAATACTAAACTTCATTTATTGGTTATAAATAAAGACATTGGACACCTGCATCTCATTTGAAGGCTGTTTGTCCTAGTTTAGTATTAGAATATGAGAAATATGAAAGAGATAGATTATTTTGTTATATTGTTTGTGCAAAGGTATCTAAATATTAACTAATTGAAACAGTTGGTATTTTAACTTCGAAATATACTAAAAATAAAATAGAAAATTTAGTTATGACATATTGGAAGGGAGATTCCAAAGGAGAAAAAAAAACTATTTCAAATTTAGAGAAATAAATTCCTTAAGAGTAAATGAAATAAACTGATGAGATGGAATTATTTAGAGATGATGAGGAAGAAGAGAATGAAAAGAAAAAAAAAATAAGTAAAGAACAAAGACATTTAGAAGATGAATGGGATCCTAATAAAGATGAAGCTACAGAAAGAGGAAAAAGGAATAAATTGAGAAAAGAAAAGTTTTAAAGAATAGCAGAAGAATTAAAATTAAAATAATAAATTTAACCAGAAAAAATTAAAAAGAAATCAAAAAAAGATATTGAAGGAGATATTATGGAAGTAGAAAATTAAACAAAAGATGAAAATTAACCATCTTAATCTAAGAAGGAATAAAAAAAATAAAAGAGAAGTAAAAAAAAGAAATAAGAATAATCTAAATAAGTAGTAGAATAGGAAGCAAATCAATTTGAATAATAATTTTAATAAGAATAATAAAATAATAATGAAGTATAATCTAAATAAGAAAGTGAGGAATAAGTATTTTATGACAATGAAGATCTAGTTTTCAAAGCCAAAATGATTGAATTCAATTAAAAGAGATTCAATTTCACAGGCACTGATGTTGATCTATAAGAAAGCATGAAATTAGTTTTTCCAAACAATCAACAATAAAAATTGGATTCCGAAAGATATAAATAATTTATGCAGAAATGAATTTATATAATTATCAAATTCAATTTAAAATCAAATATGAATCAATTTTCTTGTTCTATCTATTGGTTATAATGTTAATTTAGTCCAAACATCACTTTGATCTGCATTTTCGTCTATCAAATTTAATAACTCTTCCCTTTTTAATAATTTACTCTTAAATTATATTTCCAATCATATACATCTAAATTAACTATGCAATGCCACATCAACTTAGCATACTTATTTCTCATTAATGGATCAGCTTCCCTTCCTAAACTTTCAATTTTTATTGTAATTTTCTTAGCTTCTTCCTCTTCCATTCCTAACAATTAAACTAATTCTAACATATTAAGGCAAACTTTTCTTCTTAATGCTTAATCTGGAATTTCATTTTTCTTTTACAATTTTTTTTAAACTACAATATCTTACTTAATTATTTTAGTTTATTCAATATTATTCTTTTTCTCTTCTATTTTTGACTCCTCATTTGTTATTTAATCTTTCTTTTATTAATTAGATGTATTATTATTATTATTATTATTACTATTTTAAACAGTAATATTTTCAAGAATTTAAACATTACCATTATTACTTTGAATTTTTTATTCAGTTTTCTCTTTCTTTTTTAACCTTTTTGTTTATTAAAGATTCTCAATAGCATGTTTTTAAGATGCAGTTTGTGACACTTATGATATCTTCTTTTCATTTATCTTATCTTAATTCATTATTGTTGTAAATACTTAACCTAGATCATAGATAAATTTTTTTTATACCTCTATTACCATTAAAACATACTTCAGATAAATTCTAAATAATGTTAGCAGCATTGAAGAATTAATTCAATAATGAGTTTTTTAATTTGCTAATTAACTCATGTAATCTGGTTATTTATTAATGAATATCTCTTTAAAAAAAGTGATCTGGATTTTATTCACTTTAATGTTTCAATATTAAATAGACGGCATTTAGAATGGATCCCTTTCTTTCAGATAAGACTTCTGTGATAGTACTATTTTGAGCCACCTAAGCTTCTATAGTATCAAGGATTGGTGTCAATTTCTATTTAATTTAATCATAATTCAATTAGGCAGCTATCAATAATAACAATAAATCTTAAAATTCTCTGTCTAGATATTGTTTCTTCTGTTACATCTAAGGAGTTTCCTATTATGGAGATTTTTATATATTCTTATTAATAAATTTTGAATACATCTTTATTTGGAGTTTCAGGCTTTTTCAATTATTTTCGCAGATTTCGTTTACTTATGATACTTTTCTTTTTATCTTCTTATTCACTATCACTATGCTTTTTTTTTTGTTTTTCTAATTATTAAAAAGGCGGTACTTTAGAGTTTTTATGCATTTTGAATTGCTTCTTTCAATTTTTTATTCTTCTTGACTTTATCATTGAATTCTTCGAATTTCTCTTGAAAATCAAAAAGATTATCACTCATCAATATGGAGCTATATATATTGTGAATGTACCCTTACTGTGAATCATCACCAATGAAATTAATAGCATACTAATTTCCATCGAATACTTGTGTAATCTTAATAAGATATATAAATAAAATACAATTCCTGGCCACCAGGGATCTAAATAAATTAATTAAAATATTTACGTCCTTTTGTTCTAGCCCAGACTATTTGTTTCTTCTTGAGACTTGACTTCATATTATTTATAAAATATAAATTTATATATATTTATTGCTTTTATCAATCAATGCAATAATCCATGTCTCAATTCCTTTTAATTCATCCTAAACTACATACTTCCAACATTTAAATTAATTTTACAAGGTCCATTGACACTAATTGCAGGATATAACTCTTAATGCTCTCCCATACTCAAAACCAACGCTTTCCTCTTTTCCTCAATCTCTTTATTCCTATTATTCAAGTCTATAAAAATATTTATTTTAAATATTCACCAATATCAATTTCACTCTCTCCTTCTTCCTTCTTTTTCTCCTTTTCTAAGTCTTCTTGGTTCTTTCCTTCACTTAGAGGTGGAGGATTCAAGAACCTCCCATTGTAACTCAACCATACTCTTCCATCCTTCTATCTTATACCAATTCCAACTGTCTCCCCATAAACTGCTTAAAACTTATGATCTTGATGTAAAGCATTCCTCCAATAAACTTAACCAGTTTTTGAATGGAATCCTACGCTTGTCTAGGATCGTCCTAGAGACAACTCCTTTTGAAATTCCTTAGATGAACAAAATCCGATTGTAATGTCACATTGTTTTGGATTGTCTTCTATCTCAATTTCAAAGTACGATGTGGCATCTTTTGCAACTGGTTTCTCTCCTCGCATCGTGAATATGTCACCAGGCTTACACAAGAACTTCAACTCGATGTACTACCCGTAATAATCTGAAGTTCGCAGCTTCTTAAATACTTTCTTTTTGCTGTTACTTCACTAGAGTATTGGGTTCATCCTTATTCTCATATAATTTCCAAAATCTGAATTTATTTCTTTAAACAAATCCAATTTCCTCTCTTGGAATTCCAATTTCAGGCCTTTGTGAATATTCCTAATACACTCTGTATTATCTATATTTTAAATAACCATAAACTAAGCCAATTATCCCTACCAAACTACCAACTATAATTCCTGTTATCAATAACCAATGAGATTCTGATGGTTTAGAATTTTCAGTCTATAAGTGTGTTATGTGATTTAAAAACTTATTTTACATGAATAATATAAAGTTTTGTAATTATTAATAATTAAACGATAATTTATTGATCCTAACCACCATTTAATTAGTCTGATTATCTGACAATCTCACTAAAAGAATAAGCAATTAATCAAAAAACCAAACTTCAAATGAAAAAATTGAAGTTGAGATAATTTTCAGTAAATAAATAAAATTATCACCTCTTCATATATCTAAAGGAATACACTTCTATGAGCATTCAAAATACTCTCTTTTATTAGTGTTTAAACAAATTTCTGAAAAATATAATGTTTCCCATTAAAATGTGAATTAGGAGTTATATCACTCAATTTTGAATATATGATGGTATTAAATATATGATATTCGAAAATGTAAATAATTTGGAATTAATAAAATAGCAATTTTATTAAGGAAAGAAAGTTATTTTTTGTGGTAACAAAGTGACCATTATAAAATATTAAATCCAGTTTAATTTATGACTAATAAAATATCATGATTCTTAATTATTAATAAACAAATAAATAATTAATATAAAGACATCCATATTATGCAATTCAAATAAGAATCTTTTGATAGTGAATTAACTGAGTATCTCCAAATTGAGCAGGACTTTGAAATTAAATCCTTGTTTAAACAACTCAAATTATAAAATTAATAGTTGTCTGATAGAAAGTCTAAAAAAATCAAGAAATTGAAACTAAACATTCAGACCAATTCAATTATACAAAGAAGAAATCTAAACGTTAACTAAATTTGATATTTTTGTATATATAACTTCTCTATCATACTATATAAGTTATATCAGTATAATTTATTTCTCTACTCATATTTTATAGTTTTACTTAAATTCATCCACATTCTCATTAAAATACTATAATAATACTTATATCACTAATAAGGTATACAATATTAAGTATTAGACTCAATTAAAATAAGTTAACCATATAATGTGTTTCATTTTATATATAAATAAATATTTTAAGTATATTAATATAAGATGCTCCCCCCTTGATTATTATTCTTTAATTATTGTTACATTTCAATAATTGTACATTTTAATATAACTACAGTTTTTTTTAGGATTATTTTAAATAATTCGCAATCCAAGGAATATAAAATATATTAATTTGAATAGTTTTGAATATATAAAGTATTCCTTATAGGTTTTTCTGTTTTATTCTTATTTTAATATATATATTGATAGATTTAATTATAAATGTAATAGAGGAAGATATGGCCTTCTAAATCTTCTGTTAATAAATAATATAGAATCTTAAAGGCTCTTTCAATTTTTAAGCAATAACAAAATTTCAACAATAACAAACTAACCTAGTTATTATGTGTTATTTTAAATTATTTATTACTTACTTTAATTCATAGAGTTATTTAAGTTAATTTAAATTAGGAATCTATATTAATAGACTTAAATTTGTATGATGTTTTCATATTGATATATTTTTAGTAAGTGTAAAAGGTGTTATTATTATTATTTATAAATCAATAAATTTTTAATTAACAGTTTTCAAGTTGGTTTCTAGAATTATGAAATAAGAAGAGGACAAAGATTTTGATACTTTAGCAAGCATTTGGATGCATATGAAATAAGTAAGAAATATTGAGATAATAGTAAATTAATAGTGGAAATTAGAAGGCTGATGGAGATAATAATAAATTACTTAATAGTTAACAAGCATTTTAATAAGTGAAATATAATCCAAAAAATATTTCAATTTAAATTCATAAGTAATAAGAAGAATTGTTTTAAAAAAATACAAAATTAATTGATGCATAATAAAAGATAAATGAACTTGAGGAGATTAATCATAAACAGCATAAAGATATTGAAACCTTGAAACAAGAGAAAGAATTGATATTATAGAAATTTGAGATGATAGAAGAAGTTATTGATAGTTTGTAGATGGATAAATCTAGTAATAGATTGATAAGACTTGAAAATGATTAATTAAAATAAGACATTACTAGATTGTTAGGATTATTGAAATAAACAAAAGAATTTAATGATATATAAATAGAAAACAATTAACATTACATTTAAGCTGAATTTTAATAGCAGAAATCTAAAATACTAGAAAATGGAAATAAGAAGGTTGAAGTTCAAATCAAAGAAGAGATGTAAATGAATATATCTATTTAAGATTTTGGATACCCTAAAAAGTAATAGACATAATCAATAATATTGATATGAATTACTCATAAAAAAATGAATTATTGATAAGTCTTAATTCTACATTTTATGAACATTATGCTGCAAAAATAAACAAATATAAATAGTTGACTGAGAATGAAATAAACAATTTGAAAAGATAATTAAATTCAAGAATACCTTATGAAGGAATTATGACATAAAAGAAAACTGAGAGAAATCTAAAAGTTTAATTTTCTGATCAAAAATCAGAATCTAAAAAATCTAAAGATACAATCAATAGAAATCTATTTTCAAAAGTAGATGAGTAATTGAAAGTTAAATAAGTTATTGATAAATCTTAAATCTTTATGGAAGGAGCAACTTGGATAAGTAATATATAGAATATTATATCATAGTTGAAAAGATTAATAATGAAATAATATCATATGAGATGGGTGTTTAAGCTCTAAATTAAGAATTGAGTTTAAAGATTGATACTCTTATTGATTAAGAAGATTTAGCTTACAAAGCAATTATTAATAAAGTGAATATCTCTCTTTAATATTATTAGATATTTAAATGGATAACAGATGCTTCTGAAGAATAGATATACTCTTTAAAAGAAAAATTAAATTGTATAATGGAATCCACTTAGAGCAGAGCAACCACAAGAAGAACATTTTAAATGACAGAAAATGGTTTAAATTGATTTATTGTTCATTATTTACTTTATGTTAAACAATTATAAAATTATTAAAAATTGAGGAATACTCATTTATTATTTATATTGTCCCTTAGAAACAATAATTCTTATAACATAGAGAAATAAAAAGGTATAGGTGTTCCGAATAAGCTTGCTGTAGGAGTAATAAAATTTGATGAAAAGAAATCTGGAAAGGCTAGTTTAGCAGCTCCTATTTAATGCTATTTGTTAGAATCAAAATTAAATATACTTATAAAAGATCTCCTGATACATTATTAACAGCTTTACTTAGATTTGATAGAATTAATGATGAAAAAGCTTTTGAATATTCAATAGTTGATGTAGTAACCTATTTAATATAAATAATTTATTACATTAATAAATCTAGTCATGCTATTAATTAAATGACCCATCAATTTTTTGGATGCTTCCATTTATTATTTAAGTATTGTTTATTACTTTTATAATTTGATTAATTCTTATCTCATATCAATTATTTCATCTCTAATATTTAAATTGTTTTCTTATTTTTATATCAAAGATTATTTCTTCAATTCTCGTTTATCTTAATTAATAATTTTGTGAATGAATTTGACAGAGTCTTTTTATTTTTCCTTAATTTAAAAGCCATATTTATTTAATTGTCTTAAGAAACTTGTGTATTTATTGTGTTTAAAATACTGAGGTAACAAATTAGTTTTAAATGATTATACACTGGAAATAAAAAAGCCTTAGTCAGACCATTAAACAATATCCTAGTTTGTATTCTACAATTATAAATATTGGATTTACATCCAAAATTTCATATAAAACTTAAAGGAATTTGGATTCCCTTTAATTCTTGTCTTTTGTATCAATTAACATTTATAAGAAATGAGAAAAATTAAAATTTATGTTATAGATAATTTGTTTTTTATCTAATTTTATATATACATTTCACTAAAGAAGTAAGTTTGTGAATTCCTTCATCTAGCCAAAGAATTAATAAAAAGGCAATGGAGTTCCTAAGTTACTCATCATAGGAGTTTGTAATTTTGTTTCTAGGAGTTCAGGAAACCCTTAAACTATTGAATTAAGTTAGAACTTATGTTAATATTATAATTAATTACCTAAAAAAGATCTCCACCAATATTTCCCCATATTCTCTTATGATTTGTGTACATAAGATTTCCAAAAATGTTTGCAAACCCAACGGTATGCAATGTCATCTAAATAATATTATAACAATACCATATTCAATCTAGCATAATGGGATTGCAATTTCATCATGATTTTAATAGATAATTAAAACTATTTATTTAAGATCTTTTATCCTTCTTTGAGATTGTCTAATTATACTTTTAAACCTTTTAATTCTTTTTGGTAATCTAATTTTGATTAAGCCTTTTTGTAAGTTAGAATTCTTTTTGTTTCCCTTTAATTCTCTCTAATAGTAGGATGAGTAAAATAAGCTTTTTAATTTTCTTTAGATTTTATTTTGAATCCATATTTATTGAGTTATCTCATGAAACTTTAGTAATTATTATGTTTAAAATTAGAAGGTAGCAATTATGTTTTAAATTCATCTACATTCCAAATTACGAACCCATGTTCATACCATCTTATGATTTAATCATTTTTAGGATTCTATTTAATATTTGTATATATAAATACATCAAGAATTTCATATAAATGTTTCAAAAATTTTTATCTCTACTTTTCTCCATTATTCTCAAATTCTTCTTAAAGTTCTTTCATGAATACTTAAATTATATTTAAGAATATTTTGATTTTTATATTACTATTGAATAGATAAAATAAATATATAAATATAATCAATCATATTTATAGATCAAGAAATTATTAGAATAATTCTGAGTATTTTATTGATTTCATATGTAAATCATAAATGATTTAACTTATGATTGTTTATTTGTAATTAATATCTTACAAATTCTCCATTAATTAATTTTAACAAGATTTCAAAATCATTAATTGAGATAGAATAGAAGTATTTGTATCCATTTCTAATTCAATCTTTTTTTTCCTCTTTATTTTATCTATTTTTCTATAATCACTTGTCCAATTTTCATTATAAAATTCTGTAGTATTAGATGAAATTCTGATATTCTTAAATCCATAATTATTCATTTACCTTTAAATATATAAATTTTAGATATACTTTTAGAAACTTGAATAATTAGGTTACTTAAAGTATTATGGTAATACTATTTCCTTGAATAATTTGGTTTGATGTATAATTAATTTACTTCCTTTTTCATTCCAACTAATTATATGACTATTAACTTAATCCTATAATTATTGAATAATATTACATTAAGCATAGATTTCAACTTTACCAAAAAGTTAGGCAATTTTGTATCACACATCTTGTATTTGATAATGAATATTTGATAGTCTAATAAAATTGAATTTATCAAACTGCATTTTATATTGAACATTCTATGATTTATATTATTTTTTGTAAATTCTATAATATTTAATTAATTATTACTATTTTCTAACATATTCATACTAAAATCATTTCAATCTATTTTTATATATCACTTTTTGTCCATTTTTAACCTTGTCTAAGAAATATTTCAAAAATATGAAATCTAAAACTTATTCCCAAATGATGTAAAATATAAAATTAATTCACATTTTACATATTCTAATATAATACACAAAGCTTGCAATAATTTTCAATAATAATTATTATAATAAATAAATCACCACTTAAACAACTAAATAAGTATCAATTTAAATCTATTTAGTTATTTTTTGAATTGAATAACAAATACAAGATAAATACTATGCAATTTTTAAGAAATAGATGAAAAATAAAATGAAAAATACACAAAAATAAAATTTGATTTGAAAATTGTCCCAGATTATTCTAAAACGATATAAAATGCATAGTATTATTTAATAACCAATTGATTTAAGTATTAATTGAATGCTGATTTACTTTATCCATTATTATAAAATATAATATGGACAATTTAGATAATTAGATAAAATGATGAAAAACTGATAATACTTTTTTGTGGTTATTTTCTTGTAAATTAAGTTGAAATTAATGAAATAAGATTAGAAATATTAATAAGGTATATTTGTTACAATAATACAAATAATCCAGTCATTAAAACTTTGGGAAAATAATCAATACAAAGTTACTCTTTCATATATCTCTTTATATCTCAAATGTAATAAGGATTTAGATGGAATATTATATAAGAGTCCATTTATTATTTCAAATGAAAAAGAAAGAAATTTAATCATTAAGAAAGGTACTATTATCAGTAAGTATATCAAATTTGAAAATTAATACCTTCAAAAATAGGTTTTAATCTTTTAATATTAGTTTTAATTCAAAAAGTCCTTATAAAGTTTAAAAACATAATTTTATATAGTCACATTCATTAATTATATTATGAGTAATTAATTACTAAATTATATAATTAATATAAATTGAAATTTTATTCAGACCATAATCTTGTTTTTACCATTAAATTGAGTAAATAAACGGGATCAATTTGTGTTAATCAGTAATATTTAGAAAATCAATTATCATTAATTATAGTAAATGATTTCATATTTTCAATCTTCTCTATATTATAACTTATTAATAAAATAATATGAATACACAATACTAAAGATTTTTCACTCAAAAGCATGCGTTCGATTTTGATGAATTTGTTTACAAGAGTACAAGAAATCAGTAAATTCTGGTTTTTATGTTAATGACTATCTTTGCCTTAGTCAGAATTGTATCAACATTATTAACAGGGAAGGATTTTTATCTTCTTCATGGAGGTGGGTTTTTAATCTATACAATTATACTGTTAGTGATTTCTTATAAAGGAAAACTATGGATTAAGAAATATGGAAATCTATTAACGTGTTGTGTTCTAAGTTTGATATAAATTTAGACATATTTAATAAACAGCATAGAAGAACTTGAGTAAAATTCATAATTAATTATGATCTTTTTAATGATTATATATAGTATATTGAATATGAAAGGAGCTTGTTTTTAGATTATCATATTCATTGGATTTAGAATTTGGATTCAAACGTCATAAAATAGCAATTTCAGCATAATGAAACTAATATTTTAATTGCTAGAAGGAATAACAATAGGAGTATACGTTTATTTTCAACAGCAAGGACATAATATTAGATTTTCTTAAGAATGTTTTCAAAAATAACTATGTAATAAAATATATAAATTAGTTCGGTTTTTGCCTGATTTGATATAAAATTAATTTCTTATGTTTAACTTAGATTAGCAAAGTTAAAGCTTTCATTTAAGATTTTAAAGCTAGATTACTACTATCAAATGGGATGATTCTAATGCACCAACATCTAATCTAAGATCTTTTCTAAGGAATACTTATTATGAAGATCAATCCTTAGAATAATATATATTATCAAGAAACAATATATTCGATAATAATTAGAATCATTATTATTCTTAAAACTTAATTGTTCAAAATTTAGAGAATAATAAATCTCCACTCAATTTAAATTATGTTGAATGTTATCTTGGTGAAAAATATTATTTAATTACTTTTAATGAGAATAAATATGATTATTTAGAAAGTATTAATAATTCATTAATTGCTTGCATTAATAGAAATTAATAACTTACTATTAGTTTCTTAAAAAAATAATTAAACTAAATTTGTACAATAATGACATCAAAAATGTAAATTTAATTATTAGCTAAATTAAAGATTCATTGTATGTATTTTTTAGGATAATTTTTATAAATTAATAGTTTTTCAACAATAGATCATAAAATAAAAGATATTAATCTCACAAAACTATTATAGTTAATGGTAAATCTATATTGCAATGCTTATTAACCTATTTTAATAGAATTATAATCAGATGAATATTGTGATTTTTATATTTAGAGTAATGAAGAATTAATTTAAACATTCTTTCAAATATTATGTTAATTATTGATTCGATTAAAAGCAAATGAATTAAGAAATTAGATAATTTTTGGATAAGATTAAAAAAACACAAAATTATTTTATGTTATTGTAAGAACTGAATGTTATGAAGAATATAAAAGATAACTTGAAAATAATCCTTTCTTTTAAAAAATACAGAGAAGATTGTGTCCAAATCTCGCAATTCTCACATTAAATTAATGTAAATTAATATTTTTTTATTCTATAATAGCTGTGAAATTTTATCTCTATAAAAATTACTAACCTTTAGAAGAGATTAGAGAGTTAGAAGATGAAATTATTTGATTTCTTTATTATCAGTGATATTATCGAAATTATTTTATGTAAAAAACAACTATGTTGATATTTATATTTTTTATTTTCAATGTGGTTCTTATAGTTATTTCAATATTAAATTTATCAAAATACCATGACAAAAAAGTACACTTTACAATTTTCACATCCTACAATTGAATAAGTATATTAAAAAGATAGAATAATGAAATATTTGTGGATGAAGAAAATACTTGCAATTTTGATTTTTTTACTTTCAACAATAGAACTAATTTGTTCTTTTTTTTATGAGAAAAATGAAATCATATATTGGGAAATTAGTTTTACAATCTACAGCATATTTTTAGTTATTATATCTCTTAAGGGATCTCCAGAATTAGTTAAAACTATCTTTCAATTCACAAATATAATATTATGTATTCTTTAGATTAGATCAAATTATTATTAAAGTCCTTAATCTAGTATATATTTGAATGGATAAAATATCATGATTTTTAATATGATAATATTTTATTTTTCAAGTATATAAGAAGCACCTATTTAGTTGATATTCTTTCTAATTACAAGATGTTTGATTACTGGATTAGTAAATGATGATATATTTATGGGATAAGATTTGATAACAATAATAATAACAAGTCTTGGTATACTTATATTTATTTATCAAAATGATTAAATTCAAAGAGGACATTTCTTATTGGAATTCTCTGATAAACAATGGGGTATCAATATTAATTAATAATAGAATAAACATTACCAATAATCATTTAAAGTCCTTTCGTTATGTTTACTTTTGATGAAGAAAGATTAAATTTTAATTTAAAAATTAATAATGATATGAGTGAGATTTGTTGGGATAATGAGAAAACACCTTCTGAAAATTTAAGATTTTTTTTGAGAACATTTAAAATGGGCAATGATAATTTGGAATAATATTTAGTTACAAGAAGTAGAACTGGTAGTGATTATAAAAAGATACATTAATTTCAATTAAGATTATAAAGAAATGTATCAATATATGGAACTAAAAAATATATAATTAGATTTTCTGATTTCTATTTGAGAGAACATGTATTCTTGATTGTATTTGATTAACATGAAGAAAAGCTAAGAGTATTAGATAAAGTTAAAACAGCATTAATTTAAGGTATAAAATAACATTAATTTAAGGTATAAATTAACATTAAAATTTGACAATCAATTTCTTATAAAAATAAATACAATTACTCTAAACTCTTATGATATCAAATAATTCTATGAGTATTATTTATAAAATGAAAATACATTGTATGTATTTCATAGGAAAATATAAATAATGCAATAGTTTTTAAGAAATTGAATAAAAAATAATATAAATTAATATTACTGATATGATTAAAGGATTAATACATTTATATTGTATGGCATATCAAACAATCCAAATTGAATTTTCTAGTAGTACTTTTGAAGATATATATGTCTTTAGTAATGAATAAATATTGAACATTTTTTTAGTAATTATATTTTAAACACTTATTCGATTATGTTAAAATGGAAAAACAGTATTTGTTCATATTAGTGAAATCAATAAATAATCAGATTTAGAGTTAATAAAGATTAGTATTTTGTTTAGTTAATCAGAAGAACTTAAACAAAAATTACTCTATAATTAATTATTTTATAAAATATAAGTAAGACTTAGTCCAAAGGTAGATATTCTATCTTATGATAATAGTAATTAAAATATTATATTAAATAGCATGTCAATTTGAAATTTATAAGGATTTAAATTAATTGAATGCAATTAGAATGTTAGAAGAAGAAATATTATGAAAATCATGTTAATTAATTAGGATTTCAATATTTACTCAATATATATATATAAACAAATATAAATATATTTACAAATCATTTCATTTTATTGAAAAACAAAACCTTATCACATCTAGTAATAGATCTTCTACTACAGACAATCTTTCTTTAACTAACAACTATTATTTAATCTTCATCTTAATATTATCTATAAGAATTTAATTTACTAACACTTGATGATCTACCATTTCGAAAAGGTAATTTAAATAATTTAGGCTATTCTTTAAACCAAGAGTGATTCTAAATATCAAAGATATTTAATCTCTCTTTTGGATGATTAACAAATATCTAACTTAAAAGATTTTTTAATTCAATAGAGACATTTTTCTTTGGGATACCATAATTACATTATATGATATTTCTATACGTTTCAGAAGGATTAGATCCATCAAAAGGTAGTCTTCCAAAAACCAATCCATAAATAATGCATCCAACTGCCCATACATCTTAGGATGGTTAAATGCATTTGTATTATTAAGAGGACAATACTTCTGGAGCAAGATAAGATAAGGTACCTACTACACTATCAGTTAATATTTATTGTCCAGCATAACTAGAAACTCCAAAATCAATTATTTTTATCTAATTTTTAATTAAAAAAACTACTTCTTTAGAATTTGGAGCAGTTAACATTATATTTTCTAATTTTAAATCACAATGAACAATATTATTTTCATGACAATAAGCAATTGCATCTACTATTTATTTTGAATATGATTTTGCATCTCCTTCACTTAATTTGGCTATAATAATATATAAAAAATAAGTATATACAATTAGCTTAATTTAAGAGTGATCCACCATTTAAGTATTCCATAACCATTATTATTTCTCTTTAATTTTATGTAACATAACTTTAATGCAATTTGACAATGTTTTTATGATCTAATACATTTAAAATTTATTATTCTTAGGAAATTCCTTTTGTTTCTTAACCTTACCATGTTTTCAAAGTAATTACTTTCAAAGCAACTAATTCTTTTGTATTTTTATGCTTTCCAAGTAGTACAATTCCTTAACCACCCTCTCCAATCTTTTTAATGATATCATATTATTATTAGATAATATTTGGTTTAATATCTTCATTACTTAATTCTGCATATAGTGTTGTACCTCTTTTTATGTTAATCAAATCTCCTTCTTCAACTTCTGTTCCATCTGGTTTAAAGAGTCTTAAGGATTTCAAATTTCTTCTCCAACCAATTTTAATTAATTTCATTATATCTGAAAATTTAGTGTTTTGGTTTAGTAATAAACATAATGGATGGTAATTCAAAGTAATTAATGTACAGTATCGTACTTATTTTGACATAGTAAATTTAGGGATGCTCATCTATTTAATTATTATAATCAAAATTCAATATTCTGCATTTTATTTGAATTGTTAATATGGAATTGAAATTAATCTTTCAGTTACATCAACAAATCAAAAAGTCTTTATAATGTAGTTTTCTTTGATTTTGAGGAAATTTCTTAAGAAATCCAAGACATATATTATGTTTAGTATTAGATTTTCTAAAATTAATATTGATATTCAATATGATAATATGTAATAATATTAAAAATTATAATTGTAATATTATATATTATAAAATCATATGAAAATTCTAAATTTCTGAAAAATTTATAATTATAATCAATTTTATTCTTGAAATTTATTTAAGTATTTTAATTAGGATACATCCTTATACAACTAAATATTGATTCCATTATCATTAATTCTAATTTAAGAATCAGGTGAATGTAATTTTAGATATAATTTTATAACCATATTCTTGTTTAAATTTTCCAATAGAATATAAGAATTTAAACAAATAATTTGAATAAATATAATTTCTGATTTGGAATGTAAAATTAATCTAATGTGAGATCTTTAATCAGTTGTTTTTCTTAAAGTAATCTATAATAATTAAATAATGAAATCTTAAGGCATATCTTTGTAATGAATTACATCAAACTTATTATCAGTACAATCAAATTAAAGCTTAATATCAGAATATGCTTTTTAAAACAATGATATTATAGATATAAATATTTACTTATAATCAATAGAAACAGTTTCAAAATATGTATTGGCTTATGAAAATGAATTTGATATCTTATATTTTCCTTGGAAATATAAATGATGTAATTTTAATTAATATAGTAATTAAACTCTAGATATTTCATTCTATAAACTCAGATTAATTAATGTTGCTTATTTCTTTAAAAAGTTTTATACTATTTATTGATGTTAATCAATCAAATTAATTAATTTATCTTTTGTAGATTATAAATATTATGTTCTTTACTTAGATTATTCTAAGACAATCAAAAAATTATCATCTATATTATATAATTCTGCAAGTAGTATATTAGTTTCTTCAAAATCAATAGAATCATATTAACTAGGTTTTAATGTAAATTAATTTAGATCAAAAAATTTAGATTTTTTATCTATTCGGTCCAGTACGAATTATTCAATTGTTACACCAGATATATGTTGTAATCTAAAAAACTATCTAAAATTATCCTCTTAAGAGAATTCTAAAGTGCAATATGGAAATCTATCTATTTTATTTGAGTTCTTGTATTTAAAACACATTCTATTATGATCAAATGAAAATAATACAAATGGGTCGCTTATTACTGAAGGTAATAATTAATCTATAAGATATTAAAATATATAATATACGCCAATCATTTCCTTGATTATTATTTAAAAATAATAGTCTTCTTTCTTTTTCTATACTAAATAGTATAGAAATAAAACAAATTGGACATAAAATAGATAATACAATTGAACACATATCAGTTTTACCATCTAAGAATCCTGCTATTATTAATTTGATTATAGTTTAAATAAAAATGTTGATTGCAGCTAATTTATAATCAATAATTAGAAGTATTGTTGTATGTGCAATAGCTAAATTAGTACCAAGAATAAATTGATTACTGTTTTATTAATCATGAACTTAGTGTAAAATAAGCAAATAGTTAATAAAGACCATACAAAATATGGTACCAGATTAACAGAATTTTAAAATTAAAATAGACATCAGTAATATAATGGATAATATTGTTGATGTGATTAATATACCAGCAACATTCTCTTGATTAGCAAAACTTATTAATCTTATTAGGGCTATTATAAAAGACAAGAAGGCTATTTTCTTAAAGTTATCATAACAATATTGCTCCTTTTCTTTCTGATACAGAATTTCTAATTGTTTCTATTGAAAAGTTTGTGAAAATTTATTCATTGTTTTATTAATTACATAAATATATATTTTATACTAAAATCTCTTAGTGTCTAATATTATTAGATAACATAATCTTATTATTTGATCATTTAATGATGATTCATATATTATATTATAATTTGATTAATCATTAAAGTTAATATTTTATAGTATTCCATTAATTTATATTGATATATTTTTCATAATTATATTGAGTAAGAAAACAAGGTTAAGAAATTTACATATATTTTATATTAATGGAATGTTATTTAATTAAGGTAAAGATAAAACAGCAATATAAATTATAAATAATTAAATTGGAAATAAATAAAATTAATTATATTTATATTAAAATAAATTACATAATATCCAAATGTCTAGAGTTAAACAATCTTTATGTAATTTATTGATTATTATATAATAGATGCCTAACCATCACCAAGTACAGGTAGAATTTAAAAGATTTCAGAGAAATTATCAACCATTTAGATTGGAGTTGAGAATGAAAGATTTTAGAAATTAGAATAAGCAGAATAACGTATTTAATAAGCAGAGGATGCATTTAATGAATTTTAAGAATAAATCTTTACAAGATTGAATGGATTAAGAGATTAAGTAAATAATCTATATAATTGATTTACAGTTAGGCAAATTATAAAAACAAGTGGAGGATGACAGATAGGCAAAAGAATAAGCTATTGAAGCTAAGAATAGAGATGTTTAAGCTTTGACTAAGAAGTTTGAAAATGCAATAGAGAATGAATAATAAACAAAGAAGGAAGGAGAAGCTAAGATTCTTAGATTGACAGAAGATAAATCAGCATTACTTAGAACTGAAGTTTAGAAGGAAACTGCTTAAAGAATAGATGCTATAGAAGGAATTCATTAAGGATTACAAAACGATTTACCAAAGATACAAGAGGCTATTAGAGAAGAAGCTAATGAAAGAGATGAATCTGATTAAAATGTAATAAAATTAAATATATATTAGGTAATGAAATCGATTACAGATGAATTGGTAAAATTGAGTAATTTAATTAATGTAGAAAAAAGAAATAGAGATGAAAGTGAATAATCAATATTTGAAATGCTTAAAGATATTGTTAATAGAGTAAAAGTAGAATTGGATTAAGAGAAAAGAACTAGAGAATAATCAGAAGAACATTTACTTAGTTTATTGGAAGATACCTGTAATAAATTAAGTATTGCAGCAAATTTATGAAGAATTTATATTCATATATATATACATTCATATTTCATATCAATTTATATATATATATATATAAATGGTTTTAATCCACTATAAGAAAACAGAGTTGAATCAATTCTTATATGAATGTAATGCTAATACTCCTACTGATTAAGTCATAAAAGACCTTGTATAAAGTAATAAAATATGAATATCATATTAGTAAATAACATGAGGATTATTCTAGATCGTTTAGCATGTGCAATGGAAGATTTGGCTACTCATGGTAATATATATATATTAAGATTATATAATAGGACCTTTAAAACCTGAAGATACAAGAGGACTATCTGAATAATCATTAATTGATGCAGCTATTGAAACTATGGCACCTGAAAAAAAACCATGGGCAGTTACTCCTCAATAATTATTACCTGGTTAACGATTGAATCCAGATAAAACATCATATCGTACAGGAGTAATTTAAACAGAGGAATTGTCAAAGATGGTTATTGAGAATTGTACAAAAGTCAAATAAGCAATTTCAAAAAATCTAGTTGAATAAAAATAATGTCTTACTACAAAGATTGTTTAAGAATAATTAGATTTATTAAGAGGTTGTATGATGATTTGTTATCCTGGATATCATGGATTACCACCTTGGGAACCAGCTAGAGAAATCTTAGAAGGTTAATATGATACTCAAGCTACATTTACAGAATAATATGATTTCTTAGATGAGAAAAATACATCTTTATGGTGGGCTGGAAAAGAATTATTAAGAGGCAAATTATTGTCTGATTTTATTGGAAAGAATGATAAGACTAAAATTGTAATTATACTTAAATACATTTTATATTTTAGATTGTAAGATTATAAAAGACTGGGGCTGGGGCTCCTGTTAGAGAACCTGCTGTAGATGCTGAAACATAAAAGAAAATGATGGCATTTTATTATAAAAAATAATAAGAATAAAAAGTATTTTTTCATTTTAATAAGTTTTTAGGAATTAGAAGCTGATAATGAGGATGTCTATTTAAATTCTTAATGGGCTAATCCTAAATAATTGAAATAATAACTTATGGGTGCTAGTGATTAAATATCATGGAAACCCAAGTGATTTAATATTGTGTAATAAGAATTTAATAAATAATTAAATTTTGTAAATGAAACGCAAGTCTTTATTATTAGAAGCTGATATTATTCAATAAATTAAAAGTGCATTTAATCTCAATTAAGTTGAAATCAATGAACTTATGACTTAAGCAAAACGCTATGATCCTAAAGGTACTGGATATGTAAGCAAAACAGAAGTTGATGATATTATGAGAGGCATTTTAACATATTTTATCATTTAGATCTTAAATTACTTAATAATGAAAAACTTATTGCTAAATTTAAGGAAGAACTTAAACAATAAGATGCTAAAATGTTAGATTTAAAATAAATATGTGATATTTATTGTAAACTAAAAAACTACTAATAATAATTGAATGATGAAGAAACAATTACATAAGAATATAGTATTGTTTTGTAAATTATATCATTTTAGTTGATGCATTTGTAGCCTTAGGAGGTAATCCTGATAGAACAGGTGTTGTTTAAAAATAAATGATTTTTGATATTGTTTAAAGTGAATTTGAACTTAAAATTGATTTGGATTCATTTCTTGGTGATTTTCAAGGTAATTAATTGGAATTTGAAGATTTTTGTTAATTATTTGAGAATGCTGGTGAAGATGCTAAATCTTTCATTACTGTATAATTTTATTAAAAATTTAGAGCTTTTCATAAGCAAAAAGAAATAATAACAATGATTTTACAGTAAGATTTAAAGACTTTGAAAAATGGGAAAAGACTGCTATGTGATTCTTTAAGACTTATTTAAAATATTATTTTTAATGATTAGTGTGTTTAATAAGATTAAGTTAATCATTCTAGAATTTTTAACTAAACACAATATTCTTTTGAAACAAACAGATTCTATTGTTCTAGATAATTAGATTTCCAATTTGAGAAATTCAGAATGCCATTTTATGACTCCAAAAAAGTAAAATATCAATTAATAATTTACTTCAATTTCTATTTCCAAAAGTGAATATGTGTCAAGTTAATAAATGTATTCAAAAATAGAATAAAGTTCTTAATTAGATGTAAATTACACTAACAATATAATTAATATGACAAGTAGTGAATTAAGAATTTAGTTTGGTGCAGCTGTGCAATACATTATAAATTAAAAATCCTAATCTAATTAGTTGAATTTTGTCAATATTCATCCAATCATCTATTAAATTGTCAATAATTTCTTTTCAAAATGATTTGTATATATGTATATAAATATATTGATTTTAATATTGCTATTATTTAAATAATTTAAGATGAAAACAATAAATAATAAAGACTCAAATATACTCAATCCTTAATATTATGAGTGGCTGCAAGAATATATTGATACAGACATAATTGAAATAACAGTATTAACCAAAATACATAGTTTAAATGATAAAGCCTCTTTTGATTGCATAGTCTATATCAGCAATATTATTAATTATGAAAGTGAGTTTAAAATTGTATATTTTGAACATTTTAAACAGCCTGTAATTATTATTATTTATAAATCAGACTATATCAAAAAGTTTTTAGAATTGCTTTAATAAAACTACCTCATAAGATAATTAATTAATAATAAATCCTAGACTATTTATTCATGATTGGTTATATCAAGCAGAAGCAAATCCCTTTTTAATTAAATTTTAGATCAATCAAAATTTAAATAATTAAATTCCTACTAAACTAGGTTAGGCTGATGAAATTGCTAATTTTATTAAATCCAAAATATCACAACAAAATTTAGAGTCTCTTTATGATGAAACAATTAAATTCATTAATTAATGCATTATATGATCATTCAATGATCTATATCAAATTGTTTATTCTAATTCTATATTAGTAATAAAATATTCTATTATATATTTTTATGAAGAATTTATGTGTGAATAGGATACTAAAATATTAACAGTTGATTAATCTTCGAATGATTATAGATATTTTTTTATCTTTTATTTAAAAAACATTAACTTATGAAGAAGTTTTTTTTCAAATTATTAGAATTTTCAATAGAATTACAAAATTATTTATTTTTCTCTCTTAGACACCTATTTTTCTTCCTAAATATTATAAAAAAAGTATATATTTTTTATCTTAAATCATGATTTTAATAATCTTCAAGATCAGGAATTCATCAATAAGGAAATCCATCTATTTTTCACATTTGAATTTACTTATCATCATTTTTATTAAAATTTCTAAAGCAAAATTCTTTCTCCTTTATTAATCATAAATTTAGCATTTCTAATATTCTCCACAGTTATTCTAATATTATCCACATGTATTTATACTTCTCAAATTTATTTTACAATTAAATTACAAAAATAAAGTAATAATAATATATTTTTAAAGATAATTGAGAATAAGAAATTTCTAACACACAGAAGAATATCAAATAAGTTTAAACTAAATAGAGATTATTTAATTACAAATGAATTGAGAAGATAAAACTTAAAAAAATTATTTATGATTATCAGAGTCAAAGTAGTTATATAAATTAAAATTAAATAGTTGTAATATGGAAGAAATAATTCAAAATAATTAAGAGAACTAGTTTTAACAAAATAAAAAATTGTTAATTTTAATATAAAATATAGGAGAATTTTTATAAATATTCATGATTGAATTTAGTAATTTGAAATTTAGACATTAATGTATGAAAGAATAAGTTTAAATGAAACAACTTTTGAAATATACAAGTATTAAATAATAACTAACAATGATACGAAAGAAGTTCATTTTTAAGCATTTAACTATTTGATAGATAAATCAAAATAAATATATGTTTTTAATTACTTAAATTTAATATATAATATATCTATATTATTATTATATAAAATATTGAAATATCTTTTGAAGATAATGTAAAACTTTTTATTGAATAGGTATTCATTTTAGAATTTATAGATATTTGAAAATGAGTAATATAGGTTGGTGTTGTTGATCTATTTAATGATTTTAAAATAATTAATATAAATAATTTTAAATGAATTTGTAATAATGGGCAAGTGGATTTTAATGTATGTTAGGACATTAATAAAATGAGTATATGCTCTGTATATCACCTTAATGTCCTTAGGTTCGCAAATTGATATGTAGAGATTATTGCATTCCTTATTACCATAAAAATCATAAAGTGATGGAATTGTCTTAAATTGAAGATTTCTTAAATTAGTTTTTAAATATGAAATAACCTCATTTACATGAATCAATAATTGAGACTTTGGAGGAGATAGAAATTTTGAGATCTGAGTTGAATCGTATTATAGATAGTACAATAGATAAAATTAAACGACACTTTGGGAGGTTTTCTTATTAAGCATAAAAATATGCATAGGAATTTTAATTTGTTTAATAACCTGAGAGAATTGAGTAGTTATCAAAATAAATAATAGAGATAGCTACTTTGAAATAAGATTAATTAAAGATTAAAATAGTGAAACCTTTGTAGTCATTGAACATAGGTAATTTATTAAAGGAGTGTATATAAAAGTTGACTAGTTTTGTAATCGGAAACAGTGATGTAAATTCTGTAAAACCTGAGAATTTAGTGGGAGCCTTTATGAATCATATCCGTACAATATAAAGTGATGGGGAAGTGTGGTGTTTGTAACCAATAAAAGGGGGTGATCTTATCAGTGGAGGAGATGATAATAAGATAATAATATGGAATATGAATTCTTTAGAAAAGTTATGGGTTTCTAAAAAACATAGAGCAATAATAACATCATTGGCGATCACTTCTGATTCTAAAGTGTTGGTAATGGGTAGTTCAGAGGGATATATAAAATTTTTAGATATGGAGACAAAGAAATTTATAAAGAAACTTAAAGGACATAATGACCATGTGAGTTCATTGCACTTTAATAATTAGAATAATTGTTTATTATCTTCAGGTTGGGATGCAAATCTAATAATGTGGAATATTGATTAGAAAGATATAGTAATGAAATTATTTAAGAAGGAACATGAGGCTAAGATTTATTGTGTATAATATAGTTATGACAATTAAATAATAGCATCATGTTCCTTAGATAAGACTATTCGATTATGGGATATTCATGGATTAGCATAGATTGGATAACCATTATTGGGTCATTCTGAAAAAGTAGATTGGATTTAATTTACTCCATAATATTTAATATCATGTAGTTAAACAGAGAAAAATATAATTGTTTGGGATTACATGCATAGATAATAAATTTGGAATTTTATTCCAGGGAATGATCCACATAGATTTGCAATTTCTCCAGATGGCAAATTACTTGCTTGTATTAGAAAGGAAATTCGAGTATTTGAGATATCAACTAGATAGTAAATTGGAGATTCCATTCCTGGTCATTAATATTTTGCTATGAGTTTCAATTATTCCCTTGATGGAAGATTTCTCGTTTCTGGTTGTTAAGATAAAACTATTAGAATTTATGGAATTCCTAAATGATTATATTATGAATTAAAATAAATTTTAATCTGATTGTGGAGGCACTAAAACTAAATAACCTGAAGAAGATAACTTTTTACTCGTTATGAATTAAGTTTTAGATAGACATAAGTAGATTGTTGCAAAGAATAATGAAAGTTAACTACTTTAAAATGCTCTAAAAGCTTTATAATAAGAATTAAATGAAGCAGAGTTTAAGAATCCTGGATCTGCTAAATAAATACTAGAATCCATTTTCAATAATTGATTATAAGTTTATGAAATAATCAAATTCATGAATCTATAAAACAATAATCATTCTTTTTTGTAATTCAAACCATAGAATTCTTAATCAAATTTTTACAAAGCCTAAGTATTTGTTGTACCTTATGGCTCACCTTCCTCAATTTCTTAAATAAAATAATTTGAAATTACTTTCATCTAAAATTTGGGGATTAAAATTTGATAAATCAGTGGCAGATTATAAGTCTGGAATTATTGGTGCTTAAATCTACATAATAAAATATATATATTACTTCTTTTGCAATCAATCTCTAAAAATCCATACGTTTGAACCAGGGATGCTTTTTAATCTCTTCAGCATCTCCTTTATTTCCCAAACGTTCATTAGGTTTCTTTTTAAGTAAACTTGAAAGTAGATTCTTACATTCTGGAGTAATATGAAGAGTTGATGGAAATTTCAAATCAGATTCAACAATATTTCTAAACATCTAATTTCTATTTTCTGAAAAGAAAGGAGTTTTACCACATAACATTTCATAACTTAAATATATATTATAATAACTTACATTAATATACCCAAACACCACCAGTCAGCTGTAAAAGCATGTCCTTATTAAGTAATTACTTCAGGTGCCAAATATTCAGGTGTACCTACAATTGATTATGTAACTTATCCTTTTGATAAGAATTTAGCTAATCCATAATCTGTCAATGCAACATATCCTTTTTCATCCATCAAAATATTCTCTGGTTTCAAATCTCTATAAATAATGCCCTATTTATGCAAATATTCCAAAGCCAATAGAACTTAAGATGAATAGAATAAAGCAAATTCTTCATTAAATTTATTTATCTTCTATAAATGAGTATATAATTCACCGCCTCTAACATATAATTGATAATTTACATCATAAATTTCATCACAAAATATACACATTCTTAAGTAATAAAGGCATATTCTAATGATACTAAAAATGGATGTTATGTCTATTCTAATATCTTTCTTTCAGTTTTCAAATATTCTATATGATCTCTAGAAATAATATCTTCTTTTCTTAAACTCTTAATTGCAAAAATCTCTTTTGTATCCTTCTTCTCACATAACATCACTTTACCAAATGCCCCTCTACCCAACATTTTAATTAATGTAAAATCTTCAATACTAATCTCAGGAGAATTTGATTTCTGATATAATGTTTAAACATTTCCCCTTGATGCTTGCATTGCCATTTTCACCTCATCAACTGTCATTTCATTTCCTTACTTAGGCAATTACCTTCTAATATTCTTTTTAATATCATAATTAGTTGTTGTATATTAACTTAGATTCATTTCTTCAATAAAGAAACATTTAATTTTCTTTAAATTATGTTTTACATAAACTTCACAAAGTGTTTAGATTATTAATGCCAATCTTAAATTATATTGGTCTATATTTACTAATCATCTACTTAATATCGTTAATCATATTCGGTTGGAATATGAAGTATAAACTCTTTTACTATTTTTGAAATGGTTATTCCAATTATTGCTGATAATGCTATTTTTCTCTTTATCCTTGATCTAATTTAGGTTATGCAAATTCTTACTTCTACACCAAATTCTAAAAGAAGTTCTTTACAGCACTTCCTTCAGCTGGAGATATGTTATATATGTTCTTATTTGTTATTGCCTATAAACAATATCAATCATTATCATTACTATCACTCTTGGCAACTTTTTATTTTGTCCTGTGAACTTTATCACTTTCATTGTCAACACTATCGTTTCCCCTCCTTCTAGCTACTCTCTCAACTTCTTGTCATTCATTACCTATTCATAATCCATTTTTTTAATAAATTATTTAATAAGATAGACACGCATCCAAAAAAAAGAGCCGATTGGGGGAATTGAACCCCCGACCCTTTGCTTACGAGGCAAATGCTCTAACCACTGAGCTAAATCGGCATCATTAAATACTACATTTATTTATTATATAAATCACAATTCATCATGCATCTTCTTTACATATTAAATAAACTTATGTTCAAATTGCATTGCTGCATAATCCAATTAAGTCTCACTGATTGGCTTATAAGTATCTATTTCATTCTCTAAAAGATCTATAAATCTCTCTTATTCTCCCTCGTAATCTGCTTAAACAAAAGCTATTTTTAATGTAGTCCCTAATAAATCATCTACATACTATCTTACCCTTCTTCACTTCAGGTTTTACAGTAAATACTACACTCTTATATTAATCTTCATTTATTATCACTTAAGGAACAAAATTCTAAAGACTCAATCCAACAGCATTTCCATTCATACAAAATTACAAAAAGAAATCTGTTTCTGGAAATAACTCCTTCAAATCTATTAAATCATAAATCAATATTACTTTTAGCCTTAGATCTCTCATGATAAATCACAAATTGATTATATTTCTCTGAATAACATAATACTCCATCAAATTCTTTATAATATCCATCTAATACTGTAGCTACTTGAACTTTCACTTTCTGTAATCCTTTCTCCTTTTAATCACAATAACCAAAAACGAATAATGTTAACAACACTATTAAACTCATTTTTATTAATCAAAATTTTTACATTATTTTTATTCTTAAATATTTATATCTCTACACGTAAGTATGTTTCAATTATTAATTTTATTTCAATTTTATTATCATTTTCTCTATAAAACCACTTTAAGATCAATTATTCTATTTTTATATAGGTATCAATTCAAAATTAGTTTTAGTTAATATCAAAAAATAATAGTCTAAATATTATTACATAAGATATAAATTTTAATTCATTTATCCAATTTTTTTTATAAATGGTAATGTTAATTAATTATTTAAGCATTATTTTCAATCCTTTAACTAATAAAATTTTTATTACATAGAATAATTTCAATTTTATTATTTTAAAAAACTTCCTTAACTGGAACCTAAAAATTTAATTCAAATACAGCAAAAAAAGAAATATTTTAAATAATTCAATTAAATGAAGAAATATGAATAGGAATTAAACTGTTTACATGATTAATTTCTATCATAGAAATATCAATTGCTAATAATAAGTCCTAAAATTTGCTTGCTTAGACTGGCAACTAATATAATGTTTTATCCATAATTTTTTTAAGATTGATAGTTTGTTTCGGTATTTGAATCTCTCAATTTCAATGTGTAATTATTCATTTAAGATTTGAAATATCGCAAAAATATTAAATTAATTCCAAAAATAAATAATTTTTAGGTAATCCAAATTACTTTTCAAATATTTATCCAAAAATAGTAATTTTCCATTATTCATGGTATCATTCTCTCCAGCATAATAAATTAGTTGTTAAGTATTAAACTACAATCAAGTGCAAATCCATATTTAATTGAAATTAACAATAATTTGCTTTATTTTTAGATATTTTACTTAAATTTCGAATGACAATCATAGAATATGATTTTACGCAAAACCAAAAAAGGCTTTCATTTCTTGACTTTATTTGACTCTTATGATATTTTCAGGAGTGAATATGACTAATATAATTGGTCAAACCTAAAACTTGAATTTGGCTTTCACCCTTTACAAATGGAATTTTGATATTATATTAACTAAAAGCCTACCAGTTTATTTATACTTATATCATATTAATAAGGATCTTGTTCTATTGATATACAATCAGGATGAATTTTACTTTAAATTATATATGCTATCAAAATTTCTGATTAAAGTGAGTAATGATCAAAAAGGATACTTTTTATATTGTAACATTTAATAAATTATTTATTCTTGCAATAATACTATATTTAAGATTATGTTATTAATTAATTATAATATTCATGAATAAATACACATTAATTTTTAGGGATGGAAATACTGAAAAAAAATATTAAAATTAGAAAAAATATGGACTAAATATAATAATTGGAGGAATGGTTATTAGTTTTATCTTAAGGACCATTATGAAAGTAATAAATTTTGACTGGGTGAATACAGGAATAAATTTTGGAGTTGTGGCTATACTAATTTTTTTGAGAAGCTATTCAAAATATTACCTATTAAAACGACTAAGCCTAATAATTGCAAATTGTGGATTATCAATTTTTACATTTATTTATGAAGAACCTAGTAATAATATGTATTCTCACTTAAGAGGTGCAAATAGTGCTTTAACTTCATTAATAATTGTATTGTCTGGTGATTTTCCAGAAAGTGTAGTTTAAATTATATTTATATAAGTAACAAAAGGAATATATACAATTTTAAAAAGCTCTTAAAATGAATATGAAGTATTAGCAGGTAATGTATTAATAATGATAATATTAATATATTATTTATATTTTCATCATAAAGCAATAAGATCATAATATTTATTAACTTTAGTAGAATAAAAATGGGAAAATGTATTAGAAAGTATTATAGAAAATCAATCCTATTTTATTATTAATTTTATTTAAGATACTTATTAATTTAAAATATAATCTTAACATAATTGTGAATAATATTTTTATGATAAAGATTATAAATCATTTTTAAGACAATCTTAAATTGAAAAATCTAATTTAGAACATTATTTCTTTTAATAAATACAACTTCATTTAAATAATCATAACCCTATTAATTCATCAATTATATTTGTTAAAAATTCTCTCTCTTTATTCAAACTTAAATATTCTATTTATTTTACTACTTAACCCACTATTTTAATTATATTTGAAACGGTTTAATAATCAAAAAANATATATATGCTATCAAAATTTCTGATTAAAGTGAGTAATGATCAAAAAGGATACTTTTTATATTGTAACATTTAATAAATTATTTATTCTTGCAATAATACTATATTTAAGATTATGTTATTAATTAATTATAATATTCATGAATAAATACACATTAATTTTTAGGGATGGAAATACTGAAAAAAAATATTAAAATTAGAAAAAATATGGACTAAATATAATAATTGGAGGAATGGTTATTAGTTTTATCTTAAGGACCATTATGAAAGTAATAAATTTTGACTGGGTGAATACAGGAATAAATTTTGGAGTTGTGGCTATACTAATTTTTTTGAGAAGCTATTCAAAATATTACCTATTAAAACGACTAAGCCTAATAATTGCAAATTGTGGATTATCAATTTTTACATTTATTTATGAAGAACCTAGTAATAATATGTATTCTCACTTAAGAGGTGCAAATAGTGCTTTAACTTCATTAATAATTGTATTGTCTGGTGATTTTCCAGAAAGTGTAGTTTAAATTATATTTATATAAGTAACAAAAGGAATATATACAATTTTAAAAAGCTCTTAAAATGAATATGAAGTATTAGCAGGTAATGTATTAATAATGATAATATTAATATATTATTTATATTTTCATCATAAAGCAATAAGATCATAATATTTATTAACTTTAGTAGAATAAAAATGGGAAAATGTATTAGAAAGTATTATAGAAAATCAATCCTATTTTATTATTAATTTTATTTAAGATACTTATTAATTTAAAATATAATCTTAACATAATTGTGAATAATATTTTTATGATAAAGATTATAAATCATTTTTAAGACAATCTTAAATTGAAAAATCTAATTTAGAACATTATTTCTTTTAATAAATACAACTTCATTTAAATAATCATAACCCTATTAATTCATCAATTATATTTGTTAAAAATTCTCTCTCTTTATTCAAACTTAAATATTCTATTTATTTTACTACTTAACCCACTATTTTAATTATATTTGAAACGGTTTAATAATCAAAAAATAGAAATATTCATTTACTTTATAATAAAATTATATTGTATTCAAGGATTTTATAAAGAGTTATCAATAACAATACTATAAATGCTAATAAACTCACTAAGTTTTCAAATTTTTTAAGGTTAGAATCTGTATTGTATAAATTAGAAAAAAGAAAATATTCAATACATTAGATAAATTTAAAGCGATTTCTTGAAAGATTCGGATTAAACTAAGATTCTAACTTTGATATTTTTTGTAGAGAGATTTAGTTATAAACAATACCTTGTATATTATGTGCTCTAATTTTGATTATAAAATATTACTCAAAATCTGCTCCTAAAATGGCTAATTTAAGCAAGGGTATCTCATATCGCTATTATGAGGAATCAACATCCACTATCAAATTAATTCTGCGTGGGAACTTTTAAACTAATAAAATTTGTTAGTTGATCTAGGAGTATAATGTTTAGTTTTTGGCTATAATTAATCAGTTCCAAATGTAAAATAATCAAAGCATAATAATTACTTTGAATAAGGAAGCCTTTATTCCATTTCGGCTAACAAGAACTGAAGAATGACCCATTTATTTAATAATAAGTAAATTTATCTTTTACCTTATTTCTAAATATTAAGTATATTATATATTTTAATTTATAATCAAATTGATTTTTCAAGAGTTGTTTAATATTTTTCTTTACCAGTAAATGGTATGAATGGATTTGTTTCAAAATAAAGATCAATGCCTAGCATAACCTAAAATATTTACTGTTATTTGTTATTTTTGTTAACATGACAAATCTATTTAAATGTTCTTTATGAAAAGTAAAAAATGAAAGAATAACTTTACCATTAAAATTACCATCAAAATGTAATTGGATTTTCTCTTCTTCTTATGGAAAAGTATATGTCAATTTGATTAGAGAAGTATTGGTATTCGAAAATATCTTAAACAAAATTAAGCTTATAATGTCTTTGTTAGCTTTCATAATAATTGACGACTTTAAGTTAATCATGATGATTATGTTAGGAAAATATTTTACCTGTTCTTAAATTATATTCCATAGGTTTATTTCTTAAACTTATTATTCCCAACTACTTTGTAAGCTCTAATAAATTTCTATCAAACGAATTTTTTTCTTAAAATTAATAAAAGATGGTTTAGTTTTATATTTTTTATTAAAACAACTTAATAATCTTCCTAAATATTAAAATAGGACTTTATTATTTATATTCCCTTAAACATTTTATATCTACAATTTAGGTTTATGAAAAATGATTAAAATAGTTGGTTTATTTCCAAAAAAAATTGAAAATTCTAATTTTACTAATTCTCGTTGTTTCTTGACAAATATTTCTTTTTTAAAAATATCAATTCTTGTTGTTTAATATCGTTTCATCTAATAATACAAATAATCATTTAAGGATTTTCTATTATATTAAGCTTCCCTAAAGAAATTTAAAATCTCTTCTTTATTTTTTAGGCATCTTTGAAAATTTTTTGCCATAACATACTCAAATTAAAAGGAATTTTCATTGAAATTTAATAAGATGTAAGTTTGCTTATCAATTAATTACCTTAATATCCTCTCCCATTATCCATCTTTTTATATGAGCATAAATTAGGCTCTCATTGCTTCATTGTATTTATAATGAAAAAATAAATAAAATATAGAAACTAGTATCAGGCTTGAAATTGGATATAAGCTAAGTGTTTTTGATTATTACAAAACGAAAAATATTCTTATGGCTGTAATTGATATCACTTAGAGTAATGCTTCTGGAAACTCACTACCCATTGTTATTAAAAAGTTAGATCCCATCTAGTTAACTCCTTTTAAATATGAAATAGCAACATCAGTTTCTTCATCATATAAATAAAAAAAAATGGTCAACATGTGATTTGCAATTACTGAAAGGATTCTCAAACTTAAATTGTGTCTTCTTAAAAAAATCTCTACTAAAATAAAGAATATAAGCATTGATAGATTTGGATAAAATTTATTTGGATCGCTATTTAATAAATAGGTAAGGCTTCTGAAAAAGAAAGTGACTATATAACCTTTCGATAGTAAATTAAAATGCATAATCCTAATTTGCTAAAGAGACTAAGCCTAATAACGAGCTTCAATTCTTTTATCTAAGAAAAACAAAGTAAATTTATTCATTTTAAAATAATAATGGAATTTTTCAACATCTAAAAAATGGATACAATTAAACAATCATCCCAGCATCAATTATAAAATATATAAAATTAAACAATGTCTTTAAATATATAATAGAAATGAGATTTAATTACTTTGATCTTAAATATGTTTAAATAAAGTAATCAAAAAAAATTGTTAGTAAATAATAATAATAATAATTTGCTAAAATAACATCTAAAAAGGATTTTAAGATAAAGGCGATAAAGATTAAAATGGATTTTATGTATTTCTATGTGGATTTATAACAAAGAAATTTAATATTTTAACTTTTGATAAATTAATTTCATTAATAGAAACGTTGCTATAATGAATTACCAAATCAAATTTTACTAGATAGAAATTTACAATTTCAAAAAATAAAACTCCTTTTTAATAAGGATTAGAATATATTGAATAATATTATAAGTTAATTATATAAAGATATGAAAATAATGAATGAATTAATTTTAATTTCAAATAATAAATACATCGGATCTTTCATTTATACTAGTTTTCTACTTTATTAATAATATAATACTTTTAATTTTTATTTGAACTTTAAGGTTGATTTAGCATCTAAACATTACTTTGATTCATTATTTGTTCTATTAATAAGATCATGATCTTATTCTTTACTATTAGGACTTATCATTCTTTAACTTCTTGTTCTATTAAGAAGATGTTTTTCTTAAATAATAGTCTTTAGTTCTCTTTAAGCAACTTGTTTTTCTTTTTCTGCTAATTATCTAAACCTAACATCCCAATCTCTATATGATCTATCAAGTGTTAAATTAATATCAGAACTAGATTAATCTGTACCAAAATATTCTTCTTCATCAATTCTTTAACTCTCGAATCTTGAAGTTTAAATAGCATCTTCTTGAGATTTTTAGAGTGTGAAATTGAATTATTCATCAAAATTGCTTATGGCATTATATTTTGAGAGAGGTAAATCTCTAACAAAAGTAGAATCAAAAGAAAAGAGTTATGGGTTTTATTTATTTTTAGCTTTGGGTGAGTCTTACTTATGTTCTATTTGATTGTATACAAATTATTATAGTAATGCAAAATCTAATTCAATGTTATTTTATTAAAGTAATTTTGAAGTAGTAGAATGACTAGCTGACATTGATCTTTTTTTAATAGTGTCAGTTTAAAAGTATAGTTCATGATTATGTTTTGAAGGCATTTCTTATTTTAATTTTTTTGGAGTTAAGGGTTCTAATTGTCCATTCAATTGCTTTTCAGAGGCTGTTAAGATATCATAAAGATCGTTAAATTGCTATGTAACCAAAAAATCAAAGAAGGACATATTTGGATTCTATGCTGCTAGATCAAATAATTCAATTTTAAATTCTTTGATGGCTTTGATAATTTCAATAATTATATTTTATTACTAGGGAGGATTTGAATCTATTTGAGGGTCAATATTCTGACCTTAAAGGGCTTGGATAATAAATTAAAAAGTAAAGGTATAAAGTTGTTACCTAAAATTGTTATCAGATTTTCTATTTTTTTGTATAAATATAAATGTACATCTAAATTTGTAAAAATGTCGATACACTTTTAGCTAATTCTTCAATAAGATGAGTGATGAGACCTAAATCACCACTTTTAACTGAGGAAAGTAGACTGCATTCACTAAAACTCAATTTCATTTAAATTTAAATTATGAAATAATAAAAGGGTCTGTTAATGGAAGACAGATTGTAATGAAGTATTTTTTGTATATGAATTTGTGATATAATTCTAGTTAATTAATATTAAAATCTGTTAAAATTATAGTTGTTAATAATGAAATCAGATTCTTTGGCAGTAAGTGTATTTGTTTTTGATTAGGAAGAATTACTAAATCAAGAACCCAATAGGTCGTGGAGCAGGTAGTTTTGTATGTAAAATTGTCAACCGTTTAAGTAAAGTAGAGATGGCTGCCAAGATCATACAGAAAACATTATAGAATTCATAAAAAATATAAAATGAAGTTGATATTCATTTAGAATTGCATCATAAGAATATAGTGCATCTAATAGACATATTCGAAGATGAGGATAACAGTTATTTGATTATGGAATTATGTGATTCAGATATCTATTAGTTAATAAAAAAGGAACTATTCACTGAATAATAAATACGTTATTATGGAAAATAATTGGCAGAAGGCTTATAATATTTACATTCTCATAATATAATTCATAGAGATATCAAATTAGGTAACTTATTAATCTAGAATGATATACTAAAAATAGCTGATTTTGGATTGGCTGTAAAATTAAATAATGATGAAGAAGAGAGAAACACTTTATGTGGAACTCCTAATTATATAAGTCCTGAAATCTTAAATCAATAACCTTATGGTAAGAAAGTAGATTTATGGAGTATGGGATGTTGTTTATATTCTATGGCTATAGGTCATGGACCCTTTGAAGAAAAAAATGCTCCTTTGGGTGAAGTTTTGAGAAGAGTCAAAATTGGCGATTTTTATTTACCCAACAATTTCAGTGAGGTTTTTAAAGATCTGATCATTAATTTATTAAATTTAGATGCTGATTAAAGATATTCTATTGAAAAGATCATAAAACATCCTTTTTTTATTGAAACCATTCCTCCAAAAATTTAGAGTAGGAATCAATCAAGTTCATAAATTAAATAACTTCTTGATCTAAGTCCTTTTGTAAAACATTAACATAAATCTACTTGTTCTATGATTGGTTTGGAAAAATAATAAATAGTAGCATCTTTCTTATAGAAATAATAACAATTAGGTGGTAAGAAGTTATTATTTGGTCAAACTACAAATTGTAAAGGTGGGTTAAAATAAAATTATCATCTGGAGAATGTTCCTAGATTTTTCTTACCTTAGGAATCTCATTCTAATAATACAAGTTGTAATCATTACAATAAAGAAAATATAGATAAAGAAAATTACAATAAGGAAAACATTAGGGATAATAGTGTTAAACTAATTAAACATAATTCTTCAATCATTAATGTTTATAATGAATCTCCTATAAAATTAGGGGATTTAAAATCATGTAAATTATAAACAAAGAATGGATTATTATAAATACATGAAGATGGCAGATTTTAAATGGATGTATATAATAAAGATTTAAATTTTATAATATAAACTAATGGATAAGAAGTAATACTTATATTAATTTTTTAGGTTTTAGTTTAAAAAAAAGGATAAAAACCAAAATTATATCGATTAAACGAACTACCATAAAAACTGTAGAAGTTTTATACTTATTCTAAACAAGTTTGCAATGCAATAAGGGAAAGAAATTAAAAACATAAAATTAATAATGAACATGGAAATTTTGCTTTAAAACATACTAAATTAGGAGAATGTTATGAAGGATACATAGCATAGTCAAAAATTAAAGTATTTTTTTATTAATATTATAATTAGATTCAACACATATTGAATTCAGATACAATAAAATTGTAATTATAAAATGGATCTTTCAAATCTATCAACATTAATGAATTTCAAGAGTTATCTACTTAAGCTAAAATGGATCCAAGTGAAGTTTATTCAATTAAAATAGCTCTTAAGTATTTACCTCAATGTTAATAATGATTTATTAGTTAGTATTATTTATCTTTTTTTCACTAACCATAAGTAATTTTAATATTCTCTTTATTATTCTTTAAATTTTATCATCTTTACTCATATCTCGCTTATTTTAAAAAACCTTCAAAAATTAGAAGATAGAATTCCTCTACTCTCTTTAATTAATTCACATCAAAATATACTTTAAAGAAAGCTTCTTATTATCTATTTATCTTAATTCTTTATATTTCATAATAATTTTCATTTTCACCTTGTAATTTAATTATTTATGAATTATTTCTCCTGAAGTTAAATTCACATTTACTTTTTCATTTTTCTAGTTTTTAATCTTACAATATGTATATCATCATAAATCAATCTGTTAAATTCAATATTATTCTTCTCTTCTTTTATTTTTTAAAAACTATATTATTTAAAAATTTCTGATTCTGTGTAATTTATACCAGGAGGCATTGGAAGTCCACACTTATTTATAAGTATAACATGTTGCTAATCTAATTTATGCTTTGTTTACTATAATTAGACATAAAATTTTGGATTCTTAATCTCTTTGAGCTAAATTGGAATTAGTTTATTATCATCAGTTTCAGATTGCTGATCTACTTTGACAACCCTATCATCATTTAAGTTTTTTGTCTATGATATTTGTTTAGATGATCAAGAATGACTAATATCATTTAAAGTTTCTTTGGTTCTAGAAGAATATTAGAGTTATAGTCAGAATCATAATTGACTAACTTTTAAATCATAACAATTATTCAACTATGTATTCAACTAACATACGAGCATTCGATAGTAATGTAGTACGCGAGGTTATTTGTGTAATTAGATCATCTTTCTCAGCATTTAGAATATTGCTCACTTTCTTCTATTACTCGCACAATGTTTCTAATTATTCTTACGGAACACTTAAATGTTTATAATTTCTAATAGTAAAATAGTTATACTATCCTAATAATTCCCATCTAAAACGCAAATGCTTATAATATCGATTCTTCACCATAGCCAAAGTTTTCCCTGGAAAATGTCTATGGATCTTTTAGAATTTAGGACCATTATTCAATACTAACTATAGAATCAACCGATCTTCCTCCTCAGTGAATCTTTGTCCTGATTTCTTACTATTTGATCCATCCATTCCTCTTCTCTTTTTTCTATGATAATCATATTCATTTTTCTTCTTTTATTTTTTAGATATTCCAAGTTTATTAGGTTAATCATTCTAAGATGATCTTTCTTCATTGCACTCCATACACTTCTAAATTCACTATTTTTAATAATTATTAATTAATATTTGATACACACAAAATGTCATTAAATTAAATCATATTTGTACAATATGATATGAATTCTACAAATTTTTTAATGATTATCTCATAATATTGTGATTTATATATTATTTACTATTTATATTCATTTAATCTAATCATATATTTTTTGTATCATTAGTTATTCATTATCAAAGTGTATAAAATATTAATTAATTAGATTAAAATTAATTAAAATACCTTTAAATCTAATTCCATTTTTAATTGTAAATTTTTATTCTTGAGTTATAATTTTCTTTGTTATTATTGATTTATTTAAAATAATGTTGTTTATAATTAACAATGAAATATAATATTCATAAATTATAATTACTTAATGGTTATTATGAGATTGATTAATAAATATCAAAAAAGTATGGAAGGATTTATTATTATTTAGAATAATTATCTGTTTGATGATTGTATTAATAACCAACATGAATATAGTATAATATATTTATAATTTGAATATTAATTTAGAAGTTTATTAAATCTTGAAGAATTTGTATAAGAAGATAGTAGATAATATATAATAAGCTAAAGAAATCCATTTCATATATAATGTTGTATCAAAAATAGGATGATTACTAATTTATAAATTAATAGTTCATAAATTTAGTTACATTCAGTGATACTGATCAAATATAATAGATATATTTATTAAATTCATAAAAATATTATAAGAATTTTAAAGATATAATTTTATTGATTGTTGAAATCAAAAAAATGTATTAGATTAAAATAAAAATAGAATAATTAAAATATCAAATAAAAGTTTTTTAAAAACATCCGAAATCATCTATATAAATAATTAATCTACTAATATTTATAAAAATGATTCTATTTGAATATATTACTTAATGATTAGAAATATTATTTCTCTCTTTATTTTCGCATAATTATAAATGACAAGATAGCTAAAATAATATAAAATTTAATCGGAAAACTTGGAATAATAGAATAACTTGAAATATATTTTCATAAACAAGTAATTTCATGAAGGATTATTATCAATATAATTTATTCTCAGCCTTTTTGCCTTTCTTTCTATTCATTCATAAAACTTTCAGCCTACACTTATTTTTAAATAAAATTTCATCAAATTATGTTTTTTCCTCTACATATTAAGAATATTTATAACTTAAAGCTGTTAAATATCATATAAATAACTAGAAAATATTAATTGATAATTAAAAATACACAAAATTAATTTATTCTCTTCTTATTATAGATATATATTACACTTTTAAGTAAATAACAATCAATGTTTATTCAATTATTATACAAATTTCTAAATCTTATTGTTAAGATAATTATATTATATTGTTATAATGAATAAATTAAAAAATAATGTGATTAGAAGTATTCCAAATCTAAATCAAGAAATGAAAGTAGATCATAGTAAAATATTGAGTGCAATCAAACCTAATCAAATCTAGGAAGCAAAAACTGTAAAATATATAGAATTGGAATTGAAAAAGAAAATTAATTAATCAATACGAGAAAATATTACAAGTGTAAGTTCGGAGAGATAATAACCAAAAAAAATATAAAAAATAGATGGAAAAGTGGCAAACATTGTTGAATTGATTAAAAAAGATTTACTTCCAATGTTAAATATTCAAAATAATAGAATTGAGAAATTAGAAAGAAGAATTAAATTAAAGAATGATTCAGAAGATGATTGTAATATATTTTAGTTTTCTATGATTTCTGATAAAAAATCAAATTCTATTGTAGAAAATGAAATATAGAATTTATCCGTTAGTGTTGATGAAATAAATAAAAATTTATCTCGTCTGGATAATTTTGTTAAATATCAATTCATAAAACGTAAATGTTAACCTTCAGAAGTATAAGATAACAAAGATAAAATTGTTATTTCATAAATATAAGACAAACTTAAAACAGAATTTATTTAATAATAAATTGAAACTTAACAAACAACTCAATAAATATAATAATATATCACAGTATAATTATAAGAAATAAAACATTGGATAAATAAATCATTAATTGAATAATAAAAGGAAATTGAAGTTAAATTAAATCTTATGGAAACTCAACTTTATCAATTTCTATATCAACCAATTGAAGCTTTAAGACAAATCTAAACAAATTTAAATGATTTTTAGATGAAAATTAAATAAATGGAATCAATTTTTAATACATAAGGTAATATTAAATCATGTAAAAATGATCATATTAAAGAGACAGATAAAAATAATTATGATAAATCATAACTTAAGGATTCTTAATAGAATTTTTTTGAAGAGGATCTTGATACACTTTAAAGTAAATACTGTAAAGAATGTCACACATTGATTTAGTTCAATGATATCAGATAGATAAAAATTTCACAATAAATTATTGATTAAATTTTCAAAGAATAAATTAAAAATTTGATAAATTTAAAGATTGACATAAGACAATGTTTGAAATGCTAATTTTATTATATTAATGAATAATTTTGTGAAACACAGTAAAGTATTTTTGTTTAATGTACTTGATTTTGAATAGATATATTGAATCAATTAATAAGCAATTTATATTATTTATATTAACTCACTCTAAATAGAATGGGTTGTTATGCTTAAAAATAAATCAAGATGTTACAATCAAACATATCTACTAAGCCTATAGAATATTTTGAAGATAATACATTTTTCTCTATATGTCATCTATGCTAAGGAAAATTAGAACAAGAATAAGTTTATCTTGAGATTTGTAAACATCATTATCATTCTAAATGCATGATAGAACTTATTGAGTAGCAAATAGAAATTAATAAATCTAATATAATAAAATGTAAATGTGGAACAAAAACATCAACTAATTAAATTCGAAAATCAACTTTACCAAATAAGCTTATCCTATTGAATTAAATATTTAGGAAATAACTAGAAATTTTATTCAAACAATTAAGAAAACAACCAGACTTTCAATAAATACAAAATTAATTTCAAATATCTGAGCAACATCCTGATTATTATTTCTTCCCAAATTAAAATTAACTAGAATATGAAGAAACTCCTTATTGATAATCTTATTTGTTAATTTAAACAAGTTTATATTTATATTATTACTATTCTGATCTTTCTTATTCAAAGTTAATTGATTAAATAATAAATAATTATATATTTTAATTACTAATCTAAAAAATAATAATATATTTGAAGGTAATAATAAAAAATACAAATATTCAAAAATGAATAAAAGATATAAATGCTATTTTAACATATTTTAATATGATTGATGAACAATGACTTTAATTTTTACCTAACAAATTTGATTAAATCTAAATGGATGAGTTTAATCTACTTATATTTTTCTATTTTGATTGTTAAGAAAATTATGATTAAAGGTATCTAATTAGAAATCCTTAAATTATAATTTAATTAATTATATTTTATAATATGGGAAATCAGAAAAAATTCCTACAAAAACTTTTTCATATTCTTTAAGTATTTACTATTATTATTTTAGTCAAAATAACATGAAGATTGTATCTAATGGAGCCAAGACGGGAATTCTCTTTTGATTATTTCAGCTGAATTATTTGAGGTAATGGTTATGCCCTCTTATTTCAATTCAACTAAAATTTCAACTTTTTATAGGTAATTGAGTCAATATGGATTTAAAGTGAAATAAAATGAGAATAGATAAAAATAATTTTATCATTCTAATTTTTAATAAGGAAATATGTAATACTATAACATCTATATTTATAGTGAAAAATTATTAAATATAGAAAAGAGAAAAAAATTACAGAGGCATTTAGATTACAGTAATAGTTTAAATGAAGAGAATAAAAAATTAAATAATGAGTTAAAACTCCTATAAAAACAGTAATTAGTAATTTAAGCTTAACTGAATATCCATACAAAGATATATTTACAGATTTGTAAATAGATTACAACTATATCTAATGTAAATATTTAATAAGTATATTTTAGTATTTTTTTAAATGCAATAAGGATTCTTAAGAATGCACTATTTTTTTTGAGGCAATTATATCAGTATTTAAAGGATTCAACCCTGAAATTGCTTCAAATATTTTTGAAGATCTTAAAAACATAGGAGGGCCATTAAGTCCTTAGTTATCGCCTCTTCTTTTTCCTTACCTAAAATTTGTTTGAATTATTTAAAATTTTTTTCATTTTTAAATTATCATATATTTCAAAATTTATCAAAATTTTATTATATTATTGTATAAAATGGAGCAGTATTTTACAACTAATTATCTAGCTTTATGAAACTATTATATTAACGTTGCCCATGTGGCGCAATTGGTAGCGCGACAGCCTTCTAAGCTGTAGGCTGCAGGTTCAATCCCTGCCATGGGTGATTCTTTTTTTTTTTTAAATATAAGAAATTTAATATTTATATTTAATTAAGCTAATTGATTAGTGTATATTTTTAATTTGCTTTGAATTAGTTCTAAATGATAAAATTTGAGTATATTTATAATTTCTAGTATGAGATCAATTAATTGAGTTCTTCTTTATTCTTTCAATTATTTTTAAATGTAGATCTTGTAAGCTTAATTTATGATTTTCTAAGAATTTATAATGATTTTAACAAAATAGATATCATTTGAGTCTGTTTAAAATAATAGATTTCATATCATAATTATTTATAGAGGATTTATTTGTATCATCAATAATCTAAGAATCAGATTTTAATAGAAAGTTTATTCTAATTGATTTTAGATTATTAAATTTAATAATTTATCACAGATTCTTTTGACAGGTAATTATTCATTATACTCTCTTATCTCTTTGATTAACTAATTAATTAATCAGATATTTATCTTATAATTTGATTAATAACTTTAAGTTCCATTTTTAATAACTTATTGATGTCTAAATCTAAGTTTATCAAATCTTAAATTAATTTAAGTAATTTAAATTATTTCTTTAATTAAGATATTTGTTGATAAAACTTAAACAATTAAATTAAAATTAATTAAGGATTGCAAAAATACAATATTTTTTTTAATGTCAATAATTATCTAAATAAATTAAAATCATGTTTTTATAAAATCAAAACTAATAGGTACAAACACTGCAAATTTTTAGATTTTCATTATTTTCATCATTATAATTTTTGAATTTTATTGTATTGTTATACTTTTAATAAGGAGCCTATTTTAAGATTAATTTAAATGGTTAAATTTTCAGTTTTTCAAATGAAGGTGAGAGTAAATGTTTCATACATCTAATTCCATCTATTAATCTTTTGAAATACATCTTTTAAATTATCTAATATCCTCTATTTATTTATTTAGATTCTTTTTATTTGATATATTTAAATAGTTTTAAACCTTAAAATGCAAGAGTTATCAATTTCTTTTTTTATTATCTATATCTTTTTTATCTATTTTATTCTAATACTCTTTTCATAGCATAAAATAAGCTTGATAAATAGACAACCTATGGGTAATCTAAAAATCTAGTATTTTCTTATTCTACATTATTAATTCTACCAAAATACCTTTTCATTCTTTTTTGAAATATCTTTTTTAATGTTGATGCTAAAGACTATGCTTTTTTTTATCTTAATATTTCTAATTTAACATCAGAATAACTTTTAGTAACTGTTTTTTCTTCGTCTATATGTATAACCTATTCTTCTCTGGGAGATATTTCAATTTTTGATGGTTTTAAAAGTAATTTTTCAGGAGCTGGTTCTTCAGAAGATATTTTTTATTTCCTTCTTAGAGTTCGTACACTTTAAGGAATACTTTGAATATGAGTTTATTTTAGATATGCAACTTGGGATACTGAATTTTTAAGTTCATTTAATTTTAAGGTGGCAATTTATAGGATTGATTATATGTATTCTTGGCGGAAAGGAAAGACTGGAAAGTATTAGAAGAACAACTCTTTTTCATAATTAGGGATTGTTCTTTATTTTCTGTATGTGTTTGAGATGACTTCTTAACATTTGATTTTATCTTTTAGAAATGTTGGTACTGTCTAAGGTATTTTTTAAGGTTGTTCTTGAGGAATGAGATCATCATCTTTAGGGTATAAATCAGAAGAGATATGCAATTGGGGTTTCTGAATTTTGAGGAATACATTATAATAATTGGTTTTATCTCCATCATTTAATAGGATTAAGTAATCAATGAATGCAGCATAATGATTTGAAGATTGTAATTTAATGACATCTTGAAATGTTTCATAATGTATTTTCTTTATTTCTTTGGTTTATGCTTAATCAAGTTCTTAATGATATTCTATTGATTGAAGTAATTTGGACAAATATGACAGAGTGAATTAATTGAGGAATGTTAACATTGTATCAATGAATTACCAATCTATTTATAATAAGAGATCATTAGAAACAATTTTTAATTGTGATTTTTAATCAATCTCTTTAGTTGCATTTCTTAAAGATAATACTTTTTATATGTTTAATATTTGAATGTTAAGTTAATAGATCCATGGAATAAGCCATCTTGAAACTATTTCAGCTTGAATTCTTTGAGATTTAACTATTCTCATATCAACTGTCATTCCATCTAATCTCTTAAGTTTTGGAAATAGATTATAACACACATCATGAGAATCATAAACAGTTAATGGATTAGTATGTATTGATAAGTATTAGAGATTCTTATTCACTTTTTTAAGTTCATTAATATCAACAATTTGATTATTTGATAGAGATAAACTTTTTAACTATTTGAATTATTCAATGCCATCCAAATTAGATATATTATTATGACTTATATGTAGATGCTATAAATTTAGAAAAGGTGAGTTTGGAATTAATTTACCAATTCTGATGATTTATTTTGAAGAAAGATTTAAGCTTTTATTGAACTAATTTGGTAGCAGTTAACATAATTCCATAATAATAATTAATTATAATTTTATTAAATAATTTAATCGATATTTATTATAAATTATACATCAAAAATTGTTTATTAAAGATGATTAAATAGTCAATGAATTTTTCATTAAAAAAAAGAAGAACTTAATCATCGGAACCTGTATTTAATGAGGATGTGTTTGGAGAATTAAAAAATGAAAAGGATTTTGATATGAGATTACAATAATTAAATGAGATTTAACAAATACATTAGATGACTTAAAGTTCTGGAATATCCATATCATCAGCTAGAAGCAAATCTGGTAAACATTAGATGGTGGAGAGTTATGCTTATTTAATTTAAGAGATGGTTCATAATAAAGAATTACAATAATTCTGTCATTAATTTGGATTTTCAATATAGGAATTGGAATAATATAATTCAATTGAAGAGAGATAGAATTTTGTAATAAGAGCTATGTGTAAACATATAAAAGAATAGATGCAGAGTATAATTATAATTAAATAGGTTTTATGACTAAGGTTGAATTAAGAATTCATTAATATAGAGTAGATGAATGGAATGAATTACAAAAGATGAATAAATAGAACATTAATATATTTGAATGGTTGAATGTGAAATCTAAATATCAACATTTAAGAAAGAAATTACAATATGCTTTAATTGATAGTATAACTGCTACTTAAGTGAAATAATAATAGGAGAAAAGAAATAGAACATATAGTTAATCTAATGTATCATAGATCAGTAGGGTTAGTACTTCATGTGCTACAACAAGTAGAAGAAGATAATCATCTATTTAAGAATAAATAACTGTGAATCCTAAAATTTAATTGGTGACTGAATAAAAGGATTTTAAGGCATAATGGAATGAAGATTTAGAGAAATAATATAGATTGAAAGGTAAATCTCATAAGGTTTTGGGATTATATCCAGTTATTTAGAAGGCTATTTTAGATAATGTTGGATAGAGTGTTTGGAATCAATAAAGAGATAGATTATTAACAAAATATACTGAAGGTGGATGTTTAACAGAAGAGGAAGTAAAATTTATAGCTACAACATCCTAATTATTGAATAGTTGTTCAGATAAAGAATTTCTATAGAAGACCATTACACATTTAGATAAAAATATAATAGATGAAATTGAATTTAATATAGCTGAATGTATATTGACAACTTATACAAATATATCCAATAATGTTAAATCTATTAGATAGGTTTGGCTTAAGAAAATGGGTGCTACTATTGAATAATAAGTTAAGGATACTCATTATAGTGTTTTGAGAAAGATGTAATTACAAAAGAGTTAAAAAGAACTTGAAAAAGTTAAAGTGAAAATGGTAACTGTATTTAAAGATTTGTAAAGAAAGCATTTATTAAAATTATAAAAAGAATTAGATAAAGATCATTATATTTAATAATAAAAGGGTGTGAATAAAATTATTTTGAAATTCAAAGATAAATTAATGAGAAGAGTAAAAAAATATAGAAATGAAAAGAATAATGGGATAGCAAATGATTTTATTACTAGAAATATACCAAAGTAAGGATCTCTATTATTTAAAATTAATAAAGAAATGAAATCTACTGAATTTGTTTAACGTTTATTTCATCCACCATCAAAATTAATTGTTAAGAATCCTGGATCTTAAACTGATAGAGCTATTAAAGAGGAATAAAAATATAAAGTTAGATCCTCCAGTACTAAAAAATAATCTGATTATAAGAGATATCTAAGTGGAGGTCCATAAACAGAGAGATAATTTGTTTCAAAAGTTTTAGCTGATTAAAATTAATAAAAAATTAGTGGACATAAGAATCCTCATGAATGGATTACAAGTGAAATAGAAGTAACTGCAATAAATAAAATTAAAGCAGCAATTAGAGCTTATCTTTAAAGAAAGAAGTATTAAAAATAAAAATAATTAAAATAAGAGTAAGAAGAATTAAAAAAGAATTTATTAGCATCTTTGTTTAAAAAGAATCCAGAAAAAATAAAAAAAATAGAATCAGAAGTGACCAAAGTTATTAAAAGTTTAGATAAATAAAAGAGTTAATCAACTATTTATTCTTCAAAATAACGAATTTAATCTGATATGAAAATGAAAACTAGAAAATTATTTTAGGCTGCTAAAAAAAGATGTCTAAATATTGCTATTCAATCAGGATTTATGTATACAGCTGAAGATACAAATTAGAAAGATGAATATGGTAGAACTCCTCTTTCTTATGCTGCTGAAAATGGAGATGAAACTATATGCAATTATTTATTAAAAATTGGAGCCAATATTAATATTCCAAATTTTGATGGTATGACACCTATGCATTTTGTTTTTAAGAGTAATTCAGTATCTTTGATTATGAGATTTATACATTTGGGTGGTAATTTAAATAAATTAAATAATGATGGATTAACTCCAGTTGCTTTTTGTAATCAAGAGACTTTAAAGAAATTAAATTTTAATCAAATGATCTCTTCTTCTCTTAAATAAGGATCATTTGATAATCATTCAATTTTGAATAAGAAATATCCTTAACATTCTGACATAATAGAAGCATTAGAATTTTCAGGTAATTTCAGTAAATTATAATGAAAATTAAATTTATAATATACTTATAAAATTATTATTATTAAGAATCAAATTTTTTTAAAAGGTACACAAGTATTAAAATTGATTTTTAAATCATTTGATAATGGAGTTGACAATATTGTCTATTCAATTTAGGTTATAAAGATATTCTTGGTATATTTGCAAATAAATAGAAAGTAATTTATGGTTGGAGGTAATTGAATACAAATTGTATCTGTTTCTTTATATATAGATATAAATATTGGTATAGATTTGTTTTCAATATGACGTTTTTTCTTTTTCTCTTAATATTCATATATTTAGGTAAGAATCTAATAAACTTAAATCAAATATATTCGAATTAAGTTTATATAACCTTTGAATACAATGTTTTCATCACCTTTTACAAAGAAATCAAATTATTTTTATTTCTGATATATAGCATTTAATTTTTTAATTAATTTATAAAGTTATATTTCCTGAATAGTAAAATCATTAATTAAAAGTAGAGACATCATACCCCAATTAAAAAATACTTATTAAGATTTACATGATGATTATTTTATATAAAAGTTCATAGTCTTTTTGATAGACATCATTAGACTAAGATCTGAATGTTATGAAAGTGAATTATCTAATATAATAATTTTATTTGTATAATCAACACCAATATTTATGATTCGAATTTTAAATTTTTATTTTCCATTGTGTATTTTAATTGTTCCTGCTATAAGTTATTATAGTTATTATCCTAATTCTTTATCATCACATTTATATAATCTAAGAAAATTTCTTACATTACATCCCTAACATATTTGATCACAATAAGAAGGGAACTATTCAATTTCATTCCAACTAAGCACATTAAATTACAATAAGTTCTTATTGTAAGTAACTTAGAAATATGGTTTTTTAATTATCTCCGGTAATTGCTGATCCCATATATTTTCACATATATTTTACAAAAATTCTTTTCGGGAATGCGAATCACAAATGTAAATAACTATAGAAATTATTATTGCTGCTCCTACATTCATCAATATATCTTATGGATCAACACTCTTTGTTTAATAGATTGTGATTGATGATTTTATTATTGTATGACATATTACTTAAACAACGCTATCTAGAAAATCTGAAACAAAGTAAGCACATGTTTAGAATTATGTAAAATTACTTCCATAATTATAATACATTTGAGCTTTTGTGGTTTCAGTAAAATTCATTTATAGTAAAGCTGTTGAAATATTAGCCACCATTAGAGTATATCTAATATTTAAAGGCCATTTAATACTAATAGGAACTAGTATACTGATGAGACCAACTAAAATATAATTAATATATTGAGTGAATGGCTTGAATTCAACAATATCAAGAATCACTTTAGAAATATTAAGAATCAAACCCAAAGCCATAAAGAGATAAAATACTCTCTTTCTTATTTTTTGAATTTTTTCTTCTTGGTACTGAAGTTCAAGTTCTGGATTGTTAAATTTCAGTGTAAAATTATTCATTATTTAATAATAATCATTGCCTCTAATTTTCTATAATCTCCCAAATACTGAAAACATTAGATTAAGTCATACTTTATATTCAAATATTCTAATATAAATAATCTTTAAACAATTACTTAATTTATATCTTAATTTCTTTAGATTCTAGATTTTTTGAGAAGTTTAAGTATTAAAATATATTAAATTTTGTTATTTCACCAATAATTAAAAAATATGTTTCAATTCAAAATCATACTATTAAAGACTTACAATTATTTAGAATATACTTATCAATTAATATTTATTATAAATAATTATATTTCATTTATATACTTATATTTATTAATATTAATAATAATGATCTATATGTATTATAAAAGAAAGACATTCAACCTATTATTTATATATTTTAATTATTGCATAATTATCATCATTAATCTTGATTGTTCTTCATAAAAAATTCATTGATAAAGAATTATAAGTGTTATTTTTCCATTTAATTATGAATCCTTTATTCTCTTTTTAAGCTATAGATACTCCAAATCTTGTTTCCCAATTTAAATTCTTTTCATTTTATAACAACATATTTTTGCCTCTATTTTCAAGAAAATAACCAGATAATTTAGGATTTATGCTAGTATATACTACAAAATTGCCATTTTAATTGATTTGAAAATTAAATGTTCCAATAGTAATCATAGATTCTACACATTTCTAAGCCATACTTTCAAGTGTCTTAATTGCATCAGATTCAAGGTTTTAAAACATTGTATTAGTTTATTATTAATTGTGCAGACTTGGGAATCCTATAATTGGATTTTTATTGGAAGGTGGACTAAATATAGTACTTTAATTATTTGTCTATGATATAATTTGATTTTTATCAGGTGGAACTAATATTTTACATTAATTTGGTTAAGTTAGATTTGGATTTTTATCAGAAGGAATTTAAAAAGGGGGAATTAGAGGATTTATCTATTATTATACACCTTATGAATTTTTATTTAAAGTTGAATTTTATGACAATGGTATATTGATTTAACCTTAGGGAATAAAACCAGATTGTCCTATATTACCTTAAAATATCTATTGAGATTGTAGTGTATGATTCAAATTTTAAGTTTTGTTTGGTATTTATATAATTGGCTAAGGTTAATTGATTTAAATTGTATTTTGTTATTAGTTAGGTTATATAAAAAATGGTTTTTATTAAAAGATTGGTGGCACTGATGTATTATTTTAAAATTATTAGAAATTTTAAATTCCTTAGATTTGATTATTCTATTAAAATATAAATTTAGGTCCCTAAGATTAAGAATTCATTTAAGGGATTTAATTGAATTAGCCAAAATCTACTTATGGTTCTTGATCATTAGTTGTAAAGTGTATAGTTAATTGTGGAGCTTTGTTATTTTGTTCAATAAGTTTATACATCTACATTTCTATTAAAGTTGCCAGGATTTTAGTTTGTCCATGATTTGTTACTTTGATATATTTTGGCATTTATTGTATTATATTCTTGCTTATAGCGTCATCCAATACCTAGAAATTTCATTTGTATTACTTCTTCAAATGTAAAATCTGATCTTAATTAAACTCCTTATTCTAAATCTATTCCATCTTATCTAAACCAACATATTACATCACCATATTATGAAATCGATTCTGATTAATTTTCTAACACCTTTACATAAATAACTTAGTTAATTCTAGCCTCTTAGAGGCTTTAATCAGAATTAATTTCATAATTACATTATTCGTCATAATAAAGTTTGACATTTTCTTTTAAAAGCTTTTAAGTGCATTTCTCAACCAAGTCTCTAATGTAATGGAAATTGATTTCAATATCAAACTATTGTATCTATTCAGGAGGTAATGTTTGCACTCTTATCATATTTAATAGAATTTGATTAATAGAAATGATAAATTTATTATCTATTAGAATTCTTCTAAATATTTTAATTATTAACATACATTATATTAGAAGATGATTTATCAATCTATAATTGAATTTATTAGTAATTTTTATACAATATATATTATTAACTCTTCAAAATAAATTGGATTATTATTATGACAATATAATAATATATTGAATTTCTATTATTATAAACTTATATGTTATGAATAAATAAGTGTTGATCAAGTTATAAAATTAAATTTGAAATCTAAAGCATTTTTATATAGTATTTATTATATTTAAAAATATAATCTAAATTTTTGATTCATATATTCAAAAAGCAACAATAAAAAATTATTATATATATACTTAAGTAATTTTAGAATAATAGCAATTCTATTGATTAGTAAGTTGCAAGTATATGATACTATTTATATGTAATAATAAATTAATGAATTTCATTACACTGAGATTTAAAGATTAAATTCTTGAAAAATAATATTAGGAACTCAAAACAAAAACTATTAGAAAACCAATCTATTTTGGAATCTATTCATTTTGCTTTTGTTTGAATGCTTTTAAAATTTTGAAGGATTTAATCTTGTAAGAAGAATGGCAATAACTTTATATAAATTATATATTTTTAGCATTCATGGTGCTCTCCATAATATTGATAGTCTAAAATTAGAATTTCGTGAAACAAGCTATAGTAATATCAAATCTAGTATCTGGACTACTTCAAATGAATTTTAATGAATAATAGACAACAAAATAAGAATATTACTCTTTCGGAAGTAGTTTCGCTTAACTACAAGCAGCATCTTATTTCGTTTCAGATTTTTTAGATGGAATAATATAAGTTGGTGGACATTTGATAATGAAAATCTTGATTACATCGTTTTCAACTCATAAAATTGAAGCTCTTTGTACTAGCTTTGCTATTACTGGATCTGTATTTATTCTAGTTACAATTTATATTTGTGATTGTAGTTCTAGAAAATAATTCTTATCTACAGTATGTGAAAATATATGGGATTAACAATTACCACACCTCATAAAAAAACCATTTATAAAACTAAGCTTCTAAGATACAATGATTAATATTTTATAAAGTCATCTCATTAAGCTATTTCCCAGTTCAATTAATGAAAAATGTGATGGATGTAATGGGAGACAATTTTTAAGAGAATGTTAGATTGATAAGGTTTCATTGTCAGATTGCATTTTAAAATAAAGTGATATTTTAAATAAAACAATCAAAGCAAATTATAAATGTCATAGATTTGATCTTAGAGTATGTAGATATGGAGTAGAGAATATGAATTTACTTGTAATTCTAGAGAAAATTATAACGACTACTCAAACTAAGAAATTTCCACCCTAAGTTAGAGAAGATATAAGTAGATAAATGCGTATAAATAATCAAGAGTATATACGTTTCTATAATTGGGGATTACTTTCTCTTATTCTTCTCAATAATCACGAAATTAAAGAAATTAAATTATTCCAAATGATTAAAAGACTCAACAAATATTATCATAATTATTTGTTACCAATTTAACTCTTTACAAAATCAAAAGAACTTCATTTTAATACATATGCCAATTTATTGAGGATATATCTTATTCAAATATACCACATATTAATTGAGCTCTATTCAAAATCATATAGAACAAGAATTTAAGTTAAAGAATATGATGATTACATAGAATTGCATATTTTGATAAATTCAAGTATGTTTCATACACTTTATCAAAATAATATTTTTATTTAAAATATAGAGAGATTTATCTTATATGAACCTATTTCTAAGGATTTAAGAATACATCTAAGTAAGCAGTTATCTTTTAAATGATTTATATTGATTTGTTTAATGAATTTTATTGAAATAAAAACAACATTAAATTATTTAATAATTTTATTTATAAAATATAATTAACTTAAGTGATATATAATCATATTTATGTATTAAATGGAAATGGAGTAGGAGAATATTAAATTTCATTTATTGGAGTTTTTGGATCAATCCTTTTTAATAAGAATCTAATTATTAAAACTAATAATTCTGGTTGAAATCCATCAATTAAATTAACAAAATTCTCTATCTTCTTTTCATTTAGAATAGTATGATGAATTCTTTCATTATTTAATAACTAACAATAAACATCTATCTTTTACATTAGTTAATTTAATCATTTTATTTACAATAGCTTTTTAAATAGTTTAATGAATCTCAAATTATTTCATTATTTTTTTCTAAAATAGTATCATCTAATTAAGTTACTATTTTAAATCTTGATTTTCCTTTATTATTTAATCCACATTATAGATTTCTCCATATTTTTCATCTGTTGAAGACTTACCCTTTTATATTTTAGATAGATTTTATCTAAAGAAAATAAATATTTTTTTGTATACTATTATCCTTTAACAAAATATTTGTGATGAAATTCTTTTTAAAAGTTGGAATTTCTTTTTATTTTAAAACCATATAACCTTAATTATCTATAAAATGATTATATATTTGAAGTTTTAAAATATTATTTCATAACAATATCTTAAAATTTTTAGTTATCTGAAATGTAAAACATTTTACAACAATCAGTCCAATTAATAATAGGAATGAAATCTTCACACTATCTTTAAATAATATTAAGTTACTTCCAAAATGTTATAGAGATCCAATATAAATTTTGATGTTTTCTACATTTATTTTATAATTTATGATATTTTATAATAATATTAATATTATTGATATCAATTTTTTTAGTTGACATTCAAATTCGGCTTCTAAAGATTCTAAAATATTTATTACTATCCTTTTTCCTGCTACACCTATAGAATTTTAGTTTTTTCATACTATTTTTCTCAAAATATTATTAAATTAATACCAAATGGTCGTGCAATTTAATTAAGATTCTTAATTCCATTAATGATTTCCCATCTTTAAGAGTTTAGTGTTGTATAAAATTTAAAATTCAAAATTTGAGGATTTGCTGATCTAATGAGTTAGAGTAATTACATTAATTCTATCCATGTTATTCTACTAGAAGGATTATGGACTATCATTGAATTTAATATAAATGCTATTAATGGAGGTAATTTGTAGTTTTCTTATGATAGTTAGTTAAAATTAAAACCTTAATTTAATAAATCCTCAAATAGAACTTATTAGTATCCTGGTTTATAATTTAATAAATTATGGAAATATTCCAATTAATTTTTGTACCTTATTGTATAATTAATTCCCATCTATGCAATACAAATTCCAAACTAGATAAGTGATTCTTTTACATACTTGATACATATCATCTTATGCTTCATTAGCATCAACAGATGGAACTTAAAAATTTAGATTAGTTACACTCTTATCTTTATCAATCATTTCGAAACCATAATCAGCTAAATAATATACCACTTTTCCTTTTTATATTTGAGAAACTAGAATATTTTGAGATTTAAATCTTCCATATTTAATTCCTAATTCTATTAACATTAAATAGGCACTTGTAACTTAGTTTAATAAAAGTAAATATTCATATATTTCGAAATCATAATTCCTCTATTGTGAAAATGTTTTTAGATTGTAATCATATTTTTTCATCAAAATTGTAGCATAACCATTAACTTCTTAGTAATCTAAAATTTTCACACAATTTTAATGATTAATATTTTTCAGGTTCTCAAAATTAAATGCAAACCTAAGTTTTTCCTTTCTAGTTAACAATTATTTAGGAACTTAAGGGTTTTTTAATATTACTTTGACTACTTTATCTTAGTTTAAGCCTTTTGTTTATTCATTCAAAACCTTATAAGTACCACCAAGTTGACCTCTTCCTATTTAGGACTTATTATCTAATTAAATATTAAGTATTTGATTCATTTCTAAGAGTATTTATAGAACTCAAAGAAATTTTATGTACTTTATTAATTTATAAATTATTTAAATATTTTTGTATTACTTTCAATTAATATGAAATTTAAATGTATTCATTCTTATCTTATATATAATTACAATCTATAGATAATAGATTACAATACTTTTTCTTAAATAGAGAATAGTATAATAACAAAGAAACTAGAGAAATTGAATTATAAATAATTATAATATATATAATAAATGACAAGAATAGAATATAATACCTCACCTAAATGGTGGTGTTATGCAAAATTATATATGTTTATCATGTAATGTACTTAAATTATAAATCTCATTTCTTAGCTGGAGCTTTCTTTTAGGCTTATGGTTTATCAGCGGCAGCAGCAGCAGCGGCAGCTTTTTAAGCAGCAACAACTTGAGCATTTACAGTGTAGATGTATTATTTAGAATTTTAATCTCCAGCTGGTACCAACAAACCTGATTTTGCGAAATGTCTAATGCATCTTCTTGCCAATGAACTATAATAAGGGATAAGACAGCAATAAATACCCATTTACTTTGAATTTATCTGATACTGTTGAGACTGTGATCAATGCACCCATTTTTGGTAATTAGGTCTCAATTTATTTGTAGGCTGTATTATCTAAATACACGGCATTGTTTAATTTATCCTTTGCTCTTCCTTTAGTCCATTTCTAAGCAAGTAATCATGGAACAATTTTACCTTCTTTGTTTATTTACTTCTTTAAGAAGCAGCTTTAGCAATCTAATCCTTGGTTTTCTTTTAACCTTATGTTGGTTGTTTGCCCTAAACAATAATAAATGATGTATTACCATGATTTTAAATCTTTAATAAAATTTTTTGAAAAAAATTTAATATAAATTAATGTAAAGCTTAATTATGTTCTTAAAGATAAAATGAAACAGCAAATCTCATTTTCAGAATAATAAATTGTGATTTTTTTGTATCATAAATAGAATATTTATATTGATATAATTGAAGAGTATGATATCAAATGAGTGTTATATAATTGATTGCATATAGAATTATTAAATGATAATCTAGATATTCGTTAGTAAAAATGATATTTAATATTAATTATATAAAATATTAAAGTGAGTAAGATATAAAAATTAATTATCATAATTTATAAAATCAAATGGACTAATCAATATGACAATTGTGTAGAAGTTTAATATTATATTAAATTATTTTTTGTTTCATATACAAATTTAAGATAACAAATATTACTTTTAGTTTTGTAATTTATATATATATATATGTATAATTTATCTCATCTTATTATATTCTTTTTATAATAATGAACGATAACTTTATAGATGAAGAAAATGAAGGCAATATTTAGGATGACAGAAAAAAACATTACAACTAATTATTAAGTACATGTTAGAAAGTTTCAATTGGATGTTTGTCTATAAGTGGATTGGCTATCTTTATTTTATCATTTTTTATTCCGTCCATTGTTGAAAATGTGATTAATGGTAAAGTACCAGATTAAGTGATTCTGACAGAGTCAAATAGTGGATTATGGGCAAAGCTACCAGGTGATTCTTAAGTTGATTTAATGAGAGTATTAACAGTCTATGAACCAACAAATTTACTTGACGTCATTTTTCGTGGGTAAAAACCTTAATTTATAGAACATGAAAAAGTTTACTCACTAATTCAAGTGCAAGAATTTACTAATAGGACATATTCAGAAGATGGTAAGGAAGTAACTTGTAATAGATATGTAACGTTTTAAGAAAAAAATGCAGAAGAAGGTACAAAAGAATACTAAGTATTAAATCCAGGATTATTTGGAAGTTGGTATTTAGGTACTCATTTACCATAACCAAAATTAACTTGGATGACTATAGGATAAGTTATGTATAATCTGTAGGAATAATTAGTGTTAAATATTTATTATTAAGGGTTTCATTATCAATTTGTAAAAGATGAAGCATCATGTCATGCATTATTGAAAATGATAACTGATGAATAAAAAAGAAAGGATATGTTTTATGATAATTTCATGGGATTAGGTAATCCTGACACTATGGAAAATTGGGTTCGTTTAGGTTTGGAAGGACATGACTTTGGACCTGCAGGTTAATTACTAAAGGATTACTTCGATCTAAATTAAGAACTTGTAAATGATATTCGTAAAGCAATAAGTTAACAAATTAAAGCCATTAATGTATCTGCAATGGCTAATAGTTATAAATGTAATCCATATGGATAAGAACCAGATTAAAAGAAATATAAATATGATTGCACTGGTAAATATTTTACTGCTTTATAATGGTAATCAAGTGGAATATCAGCTAATCCTCCTCCAGGTTTAGGAATATTACCTACAGATTCTGTCAACTTTACAAATAATACATTACATGATTATATAGAAATTGCATACTATTATAAAGGAGGAGAATTTGACACAGATTATGGAGAAATTACATTTGATTTAGATTGGGCATATTAATTCTTAAATAGAAATTATGATTATCCTAATGGTGATTATCTTAAAGATCAAAATATCTTATAACATAAAGGAAATGTTGAATTTATTTATGAAATAGGTGCTAAATTTGATAAAAGTAAAAATTTAGAAGACTTAAAACCAATACAAGAAAGATTTTAAATGAAATCATTAGAATAGGCACATGTAGTATATAGATGGGTATAATAAATGGGTGTCAATTTTTCTTATAGAAGAAATTTAGGTGGTAAACTTGAACATGGTGGTATTGGTATGTTTGCTAGTGAATCAATATATTATCACTTTAGGAATGTTAGTGAATATTTATTACCTTATTTAATAAGTTCAGAAATGATATATAAATAGAAATGGAAAGATTGTAAAACTATGTTCAAATAAAGTATTGGAAATATAGATGAAAAATAGGCTGAATCAATTTGTAAAAGTATGGGATATTAATTAAATATTAATCATTTCATGACTATATAATAATTATGTATATTTGGAGTTTATGGATCTTAATTGTAAGAATTTGGAAAGAATCATTCATTAAGTTAAAATTAAATTTTTGAGATTTGTTCAGATAAAGGTTCTACTGATCAATCATTTTAAGATGTTATTCAAATTGTACATACAGAATTGAAGGAAAAATACAAATGTTAATTTACTCATTGTTCTAAATAAGAATTAGCAATCAAATAATTTGCTAGATGTGAAATTACATTAAATCCACCTCCATCTTTAATTAAATAAAAGAGTATTCATTATTGGAACAAAAAGTAATTCCCTCGTCCTTTTGAATATGGCTATTTTATAACAGAATTCAAAGATATATTTACTAAAGAACCACCATAAATGACAGATTTTTAAGCTAAAAAATTATTACATTTTAAAGGTATATTCAATCCTTTAGCTGTCACTTCAGCATTTATTTATGAAAAAAATCATCCAGAATTTTATTTGAAATTTATAGATATCTATTAAGTAAGAGAATATGAACATTTAACATAATATTTACGTTTTGCTGCTATTCAAGGAGTAATGGGTGGAATGTCAACTACTAAAACTCCTAAAGAATTATTTTTTGGTTATTCTGAATCTTTAGGAGAGGAATTAAAAAATAGTGATCCAGCTGGAAATGGTGATCCAGCTACAAATTCATGGGTTATGATGGGAGATCCAAATATGACAATAGCAGACAGTTATAATTATCCATAAGTATTATACACAGGCAAAGATAATTTAACAATGACAAGATATATAAAGTCTATGAATAAATATGATTATGCAATTGTAATAATATTTAATAATAAATATAGTACAATTATTCATATTTTGATGGGAATAAGACAGTTACTAAATGGGATAATCCATGGAATGAAAAAGAATATATTACTTCATCAACTGATGGTATTACTTTTAAACCGTATTTAAAATAAGAAGATGTAATTAGACTCTATGTTCCTTAGATATATCGAGTGTGTAATAATAAATTATAATGATATATTATAGTGGAAATGAAGTCTATTTCTGATGGTCCAAAAATATATGGGTTAGATACTATTCATTTTGAATTAGATTTGGATAATCTCAATATTAATCAAAAATATAATAATTAATGGAATGGAACAATTAATATGGAAAAACCATTCAATGCTCCAGCTGTTGTATCATTGCCTCATTTCTATAAAAGTAATAGTAATCTTTCAGATCTCATAACAATTAAAAATAAGGATGGACATGTGATAAATGCTTCTGATTATGATAAGATTTATGCCAATATTGAAAAATACTCTGGTGCTCCATTACAAGCAGTCATATAATTGATGATTTCAATGAAAATTCAAAAAGATGAATTGTTTATAAATGTTAAAGAAGACATGGTGTTACCTTTAATCACACTATATAATTCAGGCAATTTCACTGAAAAAGGTGTTAAAGCAAATTTTGGAGAACTAAAAACTGGACTTTCTACAATTAATTGGGGATGGTATTTAATAATGAGTGTTGGAATAATTATGATTTTGGGTGCAATTCTTATTGTAGTGATAGCCAAATATAAAAAATAGAAAGTAGATTCAGTCTATAGTGAACAATGAAATATTTAATAAATTTGAAAATATTTATTAGTAAATTTAATATAATTATAAAATAAAGGAACTCAATATAAGTAATGATCATATAAGAATAAGATAATATATTATGTTATTCTTATATGATCATTACTTATAAATGTAAATAATAGAATTAATACATATAATTCTTAAATGAAGCACAAAAATATTGATAATAAATAAATTTTATCATCTTTGTCTAGTATATTTGAATACTTAATATTATGTTAGTGTTTATAATTTAGCTTATGATAATGTTTTTCTTTTATTAGTAGGACTTCTTGACAAATTTGAATATTTTTCAAATATCTACTCTCTACTAGGTAAAAAAGGACTCTTTAAAACAATTTTATCTGATTGACTTTGTGAATGAGATTCAGAATGTTGATGATAATTTGATTTTCTTTTAATCAATTATTTATCAAAAAAACTATTTTAAATTTCTTTACTTGGTGTGATTTATGTCTTAATCTTTCCATGTGACAATTCAGAACGATGAGTTAATTCTTTCCATTCTAAATTTCTTAATTGATTTACTGATTCTTATTCTTTAATTGAAGGATTTATGGTTTACAATAATTCCTACAATTATATTTATGGATTAATTTAATATGATGGTTATGATAATCTAGTAGTCTATTCTTTTGTTTAAGGATTATAAAAGAAATTATCTAAAATATCATCTTCATGATCTGTTTCACTTTTGTAACTAATATTATCTGTATTCTATTATTAAATAGATTACAAAGCCTTGATTATAAATGATGCTAATTCTTAATAATTCACTTAATTTTAACTGATGAATATTTTGACATATTTCTAATACTTTGAACTAATATCATGAATTTCTAAATTCCTTTTTCTTTGTGGTAATCCACAATTAAATTTGATTGAACTAACAACATGAGGTTTTTCATGCATTCTCAACTCACTTCCAATAAATAGCATAATTACATTGCAATTTATACATTCTCTATTCCCAATAAACTTTTAATCTCTGGACACAGATTTGGATTGGTAAATTAATAATTAGAACTTAAATCTTTTCCACTCAAATTACATCTAGAATTACCTAAGACTACACCATCTGGATTAAGCATTGGTACAACAATTACATTTAATTATGTTTACTTTAATTATTTTATTAATTCTTCTGCTAAATATGATGTATTTGCATCTATTGGTCTAATACGAGCAACTATTAAAATTAATGGTCCATTTTATTTATGAACCCAATAATATATTGGATATTATAACTTAGACAATCCTAATTGTCCATATTGACTATTTTCTGTTAATTAATGAAATGAATATGGTTTCTAAAAACTAATGATATAACTTTCATAAGAAGACTTTATTTCAAAAGAACATTATGCAAAATAACTATCTTTACGTTTGATATTTGTCAATGAATAATGAGAAGGTACAAAGAATTCATGATTATCAGAAAGTCTCTATACATGTACATCTCTATTCTTCTCTAATGCTCTTAAATTTATTATATTGACTTTTATGCATAATTCTTTAAATGCATAAATCTTTAATCCCAAAGAAAACCATTTACAAAATCCATGAGAATTTGTATCTGATTTTAATACTATCTTAACAGTGTCATGTTTACAATAATAGATTTCTTATACGTTACATCCTTCAAAACCTCCAAATATTTCATAATCTCTAGGATGATTTGCATCATATCTATATTTTAGATTTTTAAGACTTTCTTATAATTCTGATACATTTTTTATAGGTATATAGTTTTATTTACAAATGCTTTCTTTCACATCTATATTAAAATCTTCATAATATATGATATTTGATGAATTATTGACTGATTATGTTCCTTACAATTAATCACTATTTACAATACTAGTTCTATAACTAATATTTCCTTTAGATGATTTAAAATGTTGTTAAGGATTACTTGTAAATGTTCTTTTTGTTAGTCTCCCTTAAATCATGGTTTATTGTTCTTCTCCTAATTTCATCCAAATAAATTTTGGTTTTGGATCATCTGGTAATCCAAATAAAATTGGAAGAGGTTTTGGAATTCGATTATAAAACATTAAGAAAATAAAATTACTTATTCTAACAATTATTGATATCTATATTATAATTATACAACATACAAAAACTAATTTTATTTCTTTATCCATCAAACTATACATATTTTATTTCTCTATTTTAAAAGGTTGATTCATTTTTCCTTTATATATTAACAACTATTAGTTTTAAACAATATTCATAAATGATTTAACTTAACAATAAGCAATGCAAATAAGTATGACCATTTATTAAATAGAAATTTGTTAACAATCAAAATATCTAATAATCACAATCTTTTAAAGTATTCTCTTATGTAATATTCATATAATAAATACACATAAATCTATATGTATTATGAAAATATTTCAAATATAATGATATTAGACTTAAAATAATATACAAGAGAATGAGATTAAAAAAGGTCATCAAAAAAATAACTCATTTGAAATCAAATCCTATTTGAAAATATTCAATACATCTACTTATGATTATGTAAAGAATATTATAGAATTACATCAATTCAAAAAAAAGTTATAAAGGAAGAGTACTTTATAAAGTAATATTCAATTTTATGTTTAGGAAATGGAAATAAATAATTTATATTAAAACAAAATGAGAAAGCAAATAGTTAATATTATAGTGAAATATTAAAAGAATGCATTTCAATTAATTATTTTCAGTTTTATTTATGTACAAAATAACGTTTTCTTGGTTTTTTAAATTTCTTTGTTTTACATATAAATAAAAGAAACTTCTCATACAGTCTATTGAAAAAGATTTAGGGAACACCAATTCAAATGTTTTAAATAATTTATAGAAATATTATTAATTTATGGGAGTGTGTTAAACAAAAAAGTAAAACTCAAAATTAGAATCATCAAGCAGAGTTAATACAGAAAGTAAAACAAAAATGGACATGTCAGGTAATCAAGAAAATGAATTTAAAAAATCTCTATTTCATCATTAAGAGAAGCGACTCAATACCGAGACTATTTGTTCACCTAATATAGACTGTCCAATTCCAGCAACTTAAAGAGCTCATGCTTATACTATGCCTAAAATATTGAATGTTGCTTAAGGTCTTAGTCCACTATTAGAATTGATAAGTGCTTCTAAAAAGTATACCCTTATTGGATAACATAAATCAAATTATGTATAAATAAATCTTATATATTAAGCTACTTTAAATTTTACAAAACAACAAAACTGGAATGCTTGTTTAAATGGAAAATATTCCAAAAAATACAGATGGCAATGAAAAATATATTAATTGGCTTTAAAAGATATCAATAGTATTTAATAAATATATCATTAGGATCATCCAAATATATTAAGAATTATAGAGATCTACCAAGATAAAACTAATTATTAAGTTATTTCTGAATACTTTAATGGTGCAAGTCTTTCAGATTTAATAATTGGAGAAACAAAAGTCTCAAAACCATAGGTAGCTTAAATCTACGAATAAATAATGTCTGCTATTTCATATCTTCATCAAAAAAATATTGTACATGGCAATTTAACTCTTAAATCATTTGAATATGTGTATTAAAATGATAGAATTGTTGTTAAATTAACTAATTTAAGATCAATCTATTATAAGGATTTAACAAATTTTGAAGTTATTAAATTATTACCTCCAGAATGTCTTTATCATTAAAATGTATTTACTAAAGAAAGAGATATATGGACAGTAGGTTTGATTGGATTGATATTGAGAAAAGGTAAATTACCTTATGAATTACCATAAAATGTCTCATAATAAATTTTGATATAAATTATCAAAGATCATAAATTTAATTTCTAACATAAAAAGGATTAAAAATTTAAACATTTTCTAGAGACAGTATTATCAAAAATTCCTTAATAAAGACTTGATTTTGAAACTTTACTTAAACATGAATTCATAAAATTTTATTCAAATAAAAAAAATAATACATAAGAATTATTACTTAATAATTTTTTAACAAATAAACCATGTTGTCTAATCTAATAATTAATATTAGGTTATTTTGGATAAGAATTTAATTTAGAAGAGTATATTGCAGCTTAAAAGCTATTTTTAGAAGCTAATCTCAATAATGATGGTTTTGTAAGTAAAGAAGAATTAATTAAACTATTTTAAAATTATAAATTTAATAAAGAGAATACTATTAAAATAATAGATGATATATTCTCATAATTAGAAATAAGTGATGGAAAAGGAATGGATTAAAATTAATTCATTTCTTTAACTTTGTCTAGGTCAATATTATTGACTTAAGAAAACATTGAAACATGCTTTGCTATATTTTCATTCAATAAATAAGAAATAATATTAAAAGGATTGAAAAGACATTTGCAATGTGAAACTGTTGATATTAAATCAGAATTTGCATCTATCACTGATGATCTAAACACAGTAATAATTATATATATTTCTTAGCTCAATCAATAATAATTTGAATCCTTAATGAAATTACTGCTTTGATTTTGATATTATAATATATTTTTATTCATTTAGTAACATATTTTCAATATTCTTTTCTAGTAGAACTAACTAAACAAGTTTTAATCAAGTTTCTTATTTATTTCTAATTGATATCTAATTCTTAGAATTTGTTATTTAAAAGTTATTATTGAAAGTAATCTAGGAAATTAATTTAATCTTTTTCATCTTTTTGAGGATATTTAATTTAATCAAATCTTTCATAAATACTATTTGATTTTTTTTTCACTGTAGAAAAGTTAATTACAAATTATTCTATACACTAACAAAATAAAAAGATATCTTTGGATATAAAACAACCAGGTTTCTTAAAAATTCCAGCATAATTATTAGAAATTTTAAACTTTAAAAATCTTTAAGTAATAGATTAAGAAGAAAAATGTTTAGTTATCTAAAAAATCTTAGCAATTTATTATAATGGTTTAAGCATTTTCCCTAAGAAAAGAGAAGATATTAATGAGATTACTATTGCTATCACTATTAAAAATACTAATCCTTTTATTAACCCTTCTTATATTTAAATAATCATCTACTTTTAGTGTTCTTAGAGATACTATTAATATTCATATTTAGTTTAATATCTAATTATTAATATTATATTTACAGAATAATTTTTAAATTATACTATTCTAAAGTAGTATGTAACATATAATAATCCTTTTTGTCTATTTTATTTTATCTGCAAGTAAATCCAATATCAACATGTTCACAATTACTCAAATTTTTTTAGGTTATTGCTTACCAATCTTCAAGATTAAAACCAGTTTTTGTTTCATTGTAAAAATAGTCTGTTCCCAATTCAAATCCAGAATTATTAAATAAACTACTTATTAATAACATTCCATCATTTGTAGTTAATATTAGGTTAGTTTTATTTGAATTTTTGTAAATAGTATCTTTTAAAATTTTTGATTAAATATGAACTCTCAAAGTTCCCATCATGTTTTTTTAGAAATTGATTAATGGTAAAGCAATAGAGAATCTAAAGTCATTATAAGGGATGGCTATTAAATATGCTCATTTCATACTTAGATAATGACCAGTTAATCGAACAGAGTATTATTAAAAGTTGCTTTAATTATATGCTATTTCAGCTTCTATGAACCAAGGTCTTGTTTTTGGATCATATAATTTATAGTCTCTGAAATCTAAACATGGATAATTAAAAAGGTTTTATTCTTATGATTCTTCAAAAAAACCCATATACTATTGAACCCCAAATATATGAGTAGGCAATGCTGTTTGAAATTACATCAAATTCTTAAGCATATTCTTTGGATCATTTTGGTTTGAATCGATAGATGATTTATTAAGATAACAAATGCAAGGTTTATCAATCTAAATGGTTTGTATAATATACCTCAATTAATGGTTAATTGTAGCAATTTTCATTATCTTCCTATGAATTCACTTTTAAGTTATTTAAACGCTGCTAAAAATTATAAAGTCGATGCAAAGATATTAATGGCTAAGATACTTCAAAATATAAGTAATTAATACCAGAGTGAATATATGTAACCCAGAATATTTCTAGGGTTTGTTTAGCTATATCTTACTATCTTTTTGAATATAGATCGAATATAATTTCTGATGATTCCTAGAGTATTTAGGATATCTATTTAGTTATTAAGCTTAACAAGAGTATTATGCTAGTTAAAATAATAAGCATAGAACAAGAAATGTAAATATATAAAATTGTTCTTGCCCTTAAATTAGAAAAGCATTTTATGATTGGAGATCTTAGAATAAATTACTTAAAATTTTCTTAATTTCTATTCTTTATTTTCCTTTTGACTATTCCAAACATAATTTTAATTAATTTTATAGTCTATTTTAAATAACTAGTCATTTTTAATTCAAAATACATAAATATTTCACCCTTTTTAGAAGTTAATTTCATTGTCAAGATGAGGATCATAAGTAAAATCATTAATAGGTTGACAATTAAGTGGACTATTTTGATGTCTATCCTCATTTTTAATTGGACTTAAAGATTATTCTTATTCTAATTTATTTTTTTAAGCTACAGTTTCAAGAGGAGATAATAATTAACATTAAGAGAGAGCCATAAAATCTATATTCTAAAAAAAATTGTGACGTTTGAGATCATCAAAGGACTTGGCTCCTAATCTCTCTTTAGGATTAAATCTCAAAAGATTAGATATTAAGTTTCGAGCATTACTTGAAATCTTAGGAGAATAAATAGGTTTATTTTACATAATGAGCTTTATAATAAGATACATATATTTACATTTTGTATTGTGCAAACATTACGATCTTCACATGTAAATGGTGCTTATCCTGTAAGCATTTCATAAATAAGAATTCCTAAAGTCCAAAAATCAACTTCATAAGAATGGCCAGATCTAGCAATAATTTCAGGAGCCAAATATTCAGGAGTTCCTGCAATCTGTTATTTATATAATTAAATACAGTATATGTGTGTTCATTTTTGATATATGTGGCTAATCCAAAATCTGTAAGCTTAATATGTCCAGTTTCTGTAAGTAAAATATTTTCTGGTTTTAAATCTCTATATATAATTTTTAGTTCTAAATGTAAATATTCTAAAGCCAATATAATCTCAGCAATAAGAAATTTCACTATTTTTTCTGGTAATGCACCATTCTTTTTTAAAACTCTATGTAAATCACCTCCTGATACATAACTATTTTATAATTAAATGTAATTTACTCCATAACAAAGTAACATCTTGAGGATGTTTAAAAGGCATATCTTAATTTAACAATAAATGGGCATTTACTACTTTTTAATACAAATCTTTCTAAAAAATTCACTGTTTCTAAATTATGTTCTGATAAAGTTTATTTTTTTAATTCTTTCATTGCATATATTTATCCATTATCTTTTTTCATTATCTTATAGACTGAACCAAATGCTCCCTTTATCTATTAATAATTTATACTTTCCCAATTAATCCCAAATTTATAAAATCATCTCGATTTACTTTTCTTCTTTTAGGTGATGCACTTTAAATAGTGGGAGATTCATCAAATACAGGACCAACTTCAAATTTATCTAATGAACTAATTCGTGTTGGTGAACTATCTGTTTCACACATATTCCCCATTATATTAATTATAATTTTGATGTATTTTATAATAAATTCAAGTATATAAATTTTATAATAATAAATCATTCATTAGATAACAATTTGTAACTCTAATTCAAGTTATGTAATTTATTTATTAATGAATCCATTTTATAATTATTTTCTTTCATTCTCTCTGATGATAACTTACTCTCTTACTTTTTTATTGTATTAAATGAAGTTTGATTTAAATCTCTCTAAAATAGACCACTCTATTATTCACTAGTCTAATTACGATATTTTTGCATAATATCTTTCATCTATCGAATTTAACTATCCTCCTATTCACTAAGATTACTAAAATCCATTTCCTTAGTTTATGTATTATTAGTTCTTGGTAGAAAAGAGGACTCCTGAGACCGAAAACTTTTATCACAAATTTATTATTCTATAATACTATTATGTAAAGTGACTTCTCCTAATTCTCTAACTTTCTCTGAAAATTCTTTCAATTACAATTTTACTTGTTTACTATCCTATAAATTCCATTTATTATCTAAACAAACTATTAATTTATTTAATAATTGAAGTTAATTATTCATTTGATCATACATCTTTTTGAGTTCTTTACTATTCATTTATATAGATCCACTCAAATTACTTTTACTTGATTTCTTAGAATTAAAACAAGAAGTTTTTTCTAAATTATGAAATATATCTTTCATAACTTCTCTATCATTATTTGTCAATTTATCATCCTCAACTTTCATTATCGCTTTTGAAGTAGTCTTAAATAATTTTTATTAATCTAAGATAATATTACAATATTAATACAATTATTAAGATTACTTAATATCTAGTTTACATGATCTCCACGAAAGCTAATATTATTGCTTTATGGATATATCACATAAGATTAACATTATTAAGGTTGACTATTTATAATATATTATGGCTATTAAACTAAAGTACTTACTGGTACTGAGAAACTTTAATTACTTAAATATTAGTTAGTTTATTATTGTCTAATTGGAGGACATGAAATTGCTTGTTGAGTTTATAGTCTATGTTAAAATAGAGGTTGTTATTATTATGCTTTTTATTGGTTTGTATTAAATTCATCTAATTTATTGGGGGATTTGGACATTCTAGATACTCTAAATTGTTGAGTTTTATAGGAATAATATTATGATTCAGATTTATATGGTTATGTAGAATTGTCATCAAAAATTGGCTTCCTGCAGATTGGTGCAGAATTATCTTTTATATCAATCATATTAATACCTCTTTATTGTTTGAATGGATTGATTTGTTCTAATCTATTCCTTATTCCATTGGCTTCACAACATCCCATTATCGTTAATTTAATAATAAAACACAATTATTAATCAAATTATTTAGTAAAATTGATAGGAAATTAAATGATTTCATTTTAATCTCTTTCTCCTCACACTTCTTTCAATCTATTGATTCTCCATGAAATTAAGAATATTAATAATGTATTTTTAATTAAAAAAACATTATTAATTGCAAAAAAATATAAAATCCAATAAAAATTGCTAATGTAAAGACGTAAAGATTAATTTTATTGAACCATATATAAAATTTCAAAAATAGAAATTAATGATTAGATAAACTAGCTATTAGATTAGTTTGATAGACAATGGTGTAGGTTTTATTTGGTTGTAAATGAAAATGAGAACATAATCATCTTAAGTAAATTTATCTTTATTTTTGAAATCTTGATTAATTATTTAGACCTAATGAATAACAATTTTCATAAAGCTCTGATATATCAATTAAATAAAATAAGGAAATAAGAAAGAGTTCTTTCATACACAATTGATTGAAGAAATTAAATTAAAATATCTATTTTTATTAAAATTTACACTTAATAATTACTAATAATTATTAAATATAAATTAACCATGTATTTTTTATCCTATCTTTAGATATACTTATTGAATGCAGGTAAACTTCTAAGCATCAAAATTTTATTAAAGTAAATTTATTGTTGAAATAAGAAGTTTCAAATGGATATATAATTATATTAATTAAGTTCTGTTTAATTTAAAAAAGTTTGATATTTTACTTATTACCTTGAGTATTATTAGTAAGGCCTTAAATTATATTCGGTTTTATCAAGTTTTACATATTAAATCATAATGTGATATTTATACTTAAATCAAATATAATTATAAAATGGGGGCTTGTTAAATGAAATCAAAATAAAAAACAAACGAAGACTAACCTTAATCTTCCACAACTAGAAAAAGTGATTAAGTATTTACTTTAAACAATCCTTCTTTGATCATATAAACAGCAACTCCAAATTTAGAGAATATCAATGAACCTTATGAAGAAACCAAAAAACAATTAAGAAAAATAAAAGAAAATTAATGTTCCTATATACGATATTATACAAGAATCCCATAAGGAAACTAGAAATGTAAGTTATATAAATTATATAATTTAGTACTTAATCATTAGTAGTTGGTTTAACATAATTTAACAGGAAAAATCCGAATTGTTGAGGTTTATGAAAGAAATTCAATTAATGAGTAATTTTTAACAGAACTTGAATCATTAGTATTGATTTATTCATATGTAGGATCACCCTAAAATTATAACAGTACATGAAGTATTTATTACTGAAGAGTCCTTTTAGTTAGTTCTAGATTATTGTAGTGGAGGACAACTTTCTGACTATTTTTCAGATAAGTCAATTGTGCCATTTTCAGAGTCTGATATTGCTTCTATAATATATTAATGTGCTGAAGTTCTTCAATATTTATAAAATATTGGAAGAACCCATGGTCATCTTACTCTTAATTGCTTTTCAAGAGTAGACACTTCAAATGATATCTAAATTAAATTCACAGACATTAGAGGACTTTATATTAAACATCAAATCAATAATATCAATATATATACTCTTGCTCCAGAGATTTGTAATTCAACTAATGAATATCCTTCATCGGTGGATGTATGGAGTTTAGGAATTTTAGCTTATTAAATGATTTGTGGATATCCACCATTTGGAGGAAGTACAATTCAATCTGTTAAGTAATAAATTAAAAAAATGGCTGCTTAATATAATAATTTCTAATTCGATAGAGTATCAAAGTCATGTGTATAATTGATTAAGAAGATACTGGTTCCATTTAAATCAAGAATTTCATTGTCAACATTAATGAATGATTAATGGTTTAAATTAAGAAGCATATAAAATGACTCAAATATTATTAAGAAATTACAATAAAATAAAGTCAAAATTTCACCTCTTCAGCAATTATTCTTAACATTTATGATTAAAAATTTTTGTTCTGCTGATCAATAATAACTTCATGCTGAATTTTTATTATTAGATGAAAATCAAGACGGATAGTTATCTAAATAAGAACTCCTTAAAGTTTATTCTAATAGATTTGATACAAATTCTGAAGCTATACTTTTTATAGATAATATATTTAAAATTGCAGATATAGATAAGAGTGGAACTATTGATTTTGGAGAATTCATTGTAGCTATTACTGATAAATCTGGTCTACTTACAGAAGATAATCTCAAAATGGCTTTTAAATCTTTAGCTGCTAGTAATGGAAAACTAACAAGATAAGCTTTAAGATACCATTTTAATTTAACTTTACAAAAAATTGATAAATTATTCGCAGATCATAATTTAGATGTCAATGTAATAATTTATTTTAATTATAGAATGTGGGATATTCTGAATTTGAAAAATTGATGAAGCAGATGTTATGATATTTACTAATCTATTACATCTCAAAAATTTTGTTATTTGAATTTATGAATTATATATTTCAATTCATTTAAGTTCTCTTTGAGTTTGTTCAAAATTTTAACTTTATTCTAGAAATTATTTTTTTTTAACTCCTAGATTACCATATTATCTAAAATTATTCATCTTTTTCGTTCCTTTAATCTTAATAAGAGTATTTTTAAATTATTTTTATTTTTATAAATTCTTTATCTTTTAATTGTTAATGAATGGGTGTTTAAAAGACACTATTTTTACTATTAAAAGTCACCGATTATTTACATGAATAACTATGATTTTGTCTTTAACTTAGATACAAAAGCAGGCGAGTTTGGTCACATTCTTGGTCCAGCGTTAGAAATTGATTAATGGTAGAATATATATAGATATGGTGAGTTACAGCTCAAGAAGTTTAATACAAAAAAGGTATAAGTTTAAGGCTTGCAAAAGTATTTTCTGTCTTCAAAATTGGAAGAGATATTAACTAGGGGATTCGAAAGAATTCAAATGATTAATAAAATATTTTTAACCATGATATTATAAGAAGAAATAAGAATGAAATATAAACAGCTACTTTATTATCAGAAAATATATTGATCGAGATTATGGAACGAAATAAAATTTCTATTAGTTTAATAATTTTCTGATGATAGTCCTATTTAGTTTTCTATAAGAATTCCAAAAAGAAATTATTTTAGATATTTATGATTAACACCAAGAATATTAAGCTTGGTTATAATTATCATATTGATGCTCTTAACATGAAACTAATATATTCCTGTATAAAAAAGTAAAAAGAAGAATAAGTGTTTTTATAAATCAATACATCCTTGTTAGGTAAGAATATATGTGAAATTCTATATATTTTTATTCAATTAAAAACAGTACTTTTTATTCTTTTATTAAAATATGCAACATTCCTATAATTTTTAAAAGTAGAGGGAAGGATAATAATGTTCTTAAGAATAGAATTTATATAGATATCAAAGAGTATATAAAGATTTTTAAATAGATTTTTTTAATTATTATATATAAATTAAGATAACTAAATTTAAGTTATAAATAATAAATCATTTATTAATTAATTTTGATATTACTAATAAAAGCATTTAAAGATTCTACTTAAGAGTTTCTAAACCTAATAATAGTGAATTAGAAATATTTTTTGAATTAAAAAAATAAGTAAATAAAAACTCATCATTAGAAGTAGATTTATATCTTTTAAAGAAAAATAGAATAAATTAAATACTAAACAATAAATGAGTTAATTATCAATAAGAGATTATTTATAATTCAGACAGAAAATTTTGTTTTAAATAGAGATAAAACATGTAAAATATACATTTTTTTTTTCATACATAATATAATAAGCAAAATGGTTAAAATTATCTTTTGCATATTGACTAAAATTCAATTTAAAAATAAATAAATGAATGATAAAATATATTTATTATTAGTTATATATATAGATCATTTTTTAAAATAAAAAAAATCTACTGGCAATCCAGCTTTTGTAGTTTTGGGGATTGAAGTTTATTTTGTCCTTTTATCTGATAGTTTAATTTTAAGTTCTCTTGTAGAGAGCATAAGCAAATCAAGTATTTTTTCTTAAACATCTGTTTTGAGTTTGGGATTCTTTCTTTGATTTTCATTTCCAATATCTAATTTGAGATTCGTGATTTCATCAACTGGTTTATTTTATGGATAGATTTAGTTGCAAATAGATTTTATCTATTCTTTAGATTGAATTTATTTTGAAATTATTATAGGAGTTTTATAACATATGATTCTATCACTACAAAGTTAAGTATCAGGTTCAGTCTTAATAATAGTTTTATCTTTATTAACGGTGTGGTAGTCAGTAATTTATTATTATTTGTGTGATTGATATGAATTAGAATTTAGTTATTACTTTATCAAATAACCATTCATACGTTTTGATTGTTTAGATAGTTATCTGATAGTTGGATTTATTGTTTATGAGGTTTATTCATCATCTTAAGATTTTTGTCTTCGAGAAGAATGCAATTTGGTTGATGAAATGTTTTTCTAACTTTTGAATTAGTGTTACTTAATTAGGTAGTCTTTATTGTTATGAAGTGATTGATTGACATGTTTTTTGGATTTAAGTAATTTCAATCTGATAATCATATTAATTTATACTAATCAGCAATATTCTCAGGATTTCTGTTTAAACATGCTTATTATTAAATATGGTAACTAGTTTGATATGAAGGTACATAATATGCATTATTCATGATATTAGAAAATATTAAAAAAATTAATCAATGTAAAATTGAATTAGGTAAAAGAGCAATAAAACAATCTATTGGAATTTTGGTTCATCCATTTTTAGAACCTATTAATTTATTTGATAGTCTTATCTTAATTTTAGAATTACATACTTTATTACTAATACCAATTTTCTCTTTAAAAATTGTAAGAGTTATATTGATATAAATATTCTCTTTTGTCTCTTAAAGTTGCCTATTTAATTTTGGTATATAAATACATATGCTAAATACAGATCCCATAGCTGAAAAAGAGAATGAAATGGCTAAGAGTTATTTGAATTTTTCTTCCTGCTCTATGATTATTTAAAGAGGTATCTACTTTTTTGGTTAAATTGTTATGATTAATAGAATAGAATAGAATGGTAGAAGGAAAAATAAAATAAGATTATAAAATGAGAATTCTAATTGTGTAATTTTTTAACTTGATAAAGTTAATTTTAAAATTATCAATTCATATCAGAAAAAACTTATAAATAAGTTAAATTTATTAATATTTATATGATTTAATTCTAATCAGAATATCCAATATGCCCATATATAAAATGAATACAATAAATAAATTAGAAAGTAAATTTTATATTTAAATCCATATTAATTAAGTTTATTCTTTTATCATCTAATTTTAAAATTTGCTCTATCTAGTTTAATAATTTTATAACTACACATTATTGGTTGAAAACAAATTCAGAATATAATGTATTATAATCTAAATAAAAAGTGACCATAACATTCCTATCTAAATTATTTTCAAACTAAGATTAAATAAATTTTATAACTCTTTCAATATTAATTCTTTAATTTTTATTATTATTTTTTATATATTGAATATTATTCCATAACAACTAAAAAATTTAGTAATCTTAACTTTGAAGATCTGCTTAAAAAATTTATAATAATATCATTTTTGATTACATAAAATTAGAGTCTAGAATAAATAATAAATTCTAGATCTAAATGAGAATTTACAATAAAGATATTAATATATAAATTAATATATATATATCTTCTTATTATTATTATTATTATTATTATTATTATTATTATTATTATTATTATTATTATTATTATTATTTTTTTTATTTTATTTAATTTAATATTTTTATTAAATAAAACGTTTTAATTATCCATTCATATAAAAATACATTAGAAAATGTCCATTATTTTATATACTATATATAAAAACATTCAAAATCATTTATCTTACTCATAGAGCATCAAACATTAATTCCTAAAATTATTTAAAATTAATCTATAAATATGTTTACAAAATTACTTGATTGTTTTCATATACGGAAAATTACTATTTTAATTGCTATTTTTTATTGTGATACAATTAACACATCTTTGCAAGGGAAATATGACCTTCTACATCTGATAATATGCGAAATGCCTCTTTTAGATTATCGATAGTTATCAAAATATTTCGATCTATAACTCCTATTAAAAATTCCTAAAAATCAATTTCACCATTTCTATTAATATCTACTCCTTTAAAAACAGAATCTACATGTTCTTTAACCTCTTAAAGATTAGAACAATGTTTTAAGTAGGCTTAAGTCAATTCTTATCTATTTATTTTACCATCATGATTAATATCAAACTAACCAAAGATTTAATACAAAGATTATTCTTAATCAGATTAAAAAGTAGTTATCATAAATTATAAGAAACAACATTATAAAAATGAAAGAGGATGATTCTGATCAAGTTATTTAACAATTTGATCTTATTCAACCTAAGATTTTTCAATATTATGCTTCACCCATTAATCATTTAAAGCCAAATTGAGTTTGATTCTCTTTTTTGGATCAAATCTCAATAATTTTTTAATGAAATCTACACTAGTTCTAGGTATAGATTCTGTATCAAATTCATCAAATGTTTAATATTTTTAAATAGATTAAAGTAGTTCATCTTTATTCGATCCTTTAAATGGAAATTGGCCAGATAGCATTCTGTATAGCATAATACCAATACTCCATATATCTCTTTCTTGAGTATATATATCTGGTTACATAATGGCTTCTGGAGCTAAATACATTAAATTATCTTTTGCTGAAATCATTTTTTTTACATAAATTGGTTTATAATCCACTAATTTAATGTAATTTGAATTAGATTAATTATACTTTTGAAAAGATGTTAATGATAATCCATTATGATTCAGTTCTAATTTATGAATATACGAAATTATTTCAATAATTTATTTCAATATTAGTGCTGCCTATTACTATGTATAAACTGTATTAGAGAGATATTATTGTAAAGAACCTCCATTACAAAAATCATGAATAATTTAATAATTGGAAGCATCTTGAAAGATTTCATCTAATTTAATTAAATTAGGATGGTTCTAATAATTAGTGATTGATAATATTTACTAATTAAGTTTTGAATATAGATTCTACAAGTTAATCACCTTCTAAGGTTTTTTGAATGAATTCAGCTACTCTAATCTTACCGCTAAGATTGTGTTGTACGAGTGCTAATTATTCCTTTAATTTAATTTGACATTTAGATTGTTCTTTGTTCAAAACTGAATAGTATTTAGAGAAATGAGCATTCTTTATAGAAATCCAAGTTTTGAGAGTACCACGTTGACCAGAGTTTTCAATTATCTAATCTGCCCAGACCATTCGTTTAACAGGTTTAGTAGATGGACTTGGAGCCATTTTACCTTTTAGATTTTGTTTGGATGTTTGTGCACCTAACTTATTAATTGGTATGTTGGTTTCAGATTTTTAATTTCTTTAGGCATCTGAGGTAGGATCAAGTTAAGGAGATTATTGAGGTAGGATCTCATGCTGTTCTTTTAGTTCTTGCTTATTTTGACTTTTCGCTGAACATATTCCCATTATTTTTAATTTATTTACTTTGAGATTATTTGTATTAAGATAAATATTGGTACATATAATAGCAAATTTTTATATAAAATAAAGTGATAATTTATTAAATGAATATTGAAGAATTAAAGGAGTCTATATAGAGATTAACATAATCTTAGGAGTAAGTTTAAATGGATTATTAAAGTTGTCAGAATGATCTAGAGATAATATGGTAATAGATCTAACATTAAGTGGGTTTGGATTTGATATATCAAAGTGGAAAGGCAGTGATTGAGTTAAGATAGTATGCAATGGGTTGGAAGGTAAGTTTTACTGTGATTGAGGATAGTAAGCAAATAAGATCTTGTCGTATATAGTAAAGGTGTGTTTAAATAATAAGGAACAATTGAAGGCATGGGAAACGATGAGGATTGTGATGGATCCAGATAAGCAAATATATAAATGTTATGAATTGCATTAGATTGATGTAAATTAGGTATTATTAATAAAATGATAAGATAGTTTTCACATCATGATTTTACATAATATGAGTTTTGTGCAGAATTATAAGAAGGTTAATAAGTAGATGCATTGTATGATGATGAAAAAGGAAATGTAATTGGTTGGTGTAGAGCAACAATTGAGAAGTTAAATGAGAAATTTGTTTGGGTAAAATGGCATGAGAATGATGATAAGAGAAAGATTGTCAGATATTCAATGGATTTGGCACCATTCAAAAAAAAAGTTAATGATGAAGAATGGTAATGGAGACATTCTTTATAGCCTGGAGATCTAATTGATTGTTTTGATAATAGACAATGGCAGAATGCAACTATTATTGCAGCATTAAAAGATGAAGAAGTCGAATATATTGTTGGTTTTAGGGTTTATGATGAAAAAGGCAATCTATATGATTCTATGGGAAAGAGATACTTTGGTTGGAATTCTTAATATGATGAAAGAATAAGAGCAGTAAGTCCTAGAATATAGAAAAGAAATACATTTTCTAAAGGTCAATATCCTAATCCTTATAGTTAAGAAGATATAATTCATGATTGCAATGATTTCTTATATCCTGACAATAATTATGCTATACCAAGATTCTCTACTAAGTAAACTCGTCGTTCAATCATTCTTATTTAGATGATCAATGATTTTGGATCTTAAGGCTTATTTTAATATATTTTAGAATAAATTTAAGGTAAATGTACTATTGAATTTTTACATATTTATATGTAAATTCTAAATAACATTCATGAAATGTTACACAAATAATTTATTATTAATTATGTACCTGCTTTATAAATTGCTGTTTAAAATAATATTTTATAATCTACAGATAATAATTTACGTAATTTCTCTGCATAGAAAATTACTGATATTTTATAGTCATTAACCAATTTATTGAAAAGAGTATATCCTATATAAAAAAGATCAGAAATTATAGATAGATTTGATTTAGATATTGCATTTAAATGTTTTACTAGTGATTTTTTGGAAAGAAAAATATAAGGATTGAAAGCAATTTAAGAATTGATAAAACGAACTAAAGATTTATATAATTAATATGGAATGTAAGAATACTAAAAATAAGCAGCTATATAAAAGATATTAGAATGGTTGAATGAAAAGAAGATATTTGAAACATTATATGTTGGTTCAGGTAATTCTCATTTAGTTTAAAGAAGTGGAGAATTCTTTAAATTTCTTATTGAAGAAAAAATGATTGGAATACCTAATCTAAAAGAAATTTGGAATAGTTTAGATAAAGCTGAATATGAAAATAAATTAGCTATTTACAAATTATTAAAGGATGTTTCAAATTCTTTAGAGAAAGAATAATTGGAGTTCTTAACTGAAGAAATTTGTAAAAGAGATCCAAAAGAAGTGAGCAAGGATGAATTAGATTTATTATTAGATATTGTAAAATCAAATCATAAGTATAAAGAGGATTATATTATAAAATGTTGTAATTACTATTGGAATGTTTTAAAGAATGGATAATTAAATTAAACTTTATTTGAATTATATATGACATAATATATAGAATAAGTAACATCATTTGAAATGAGACCACATAAGGGAATATAAATAAAGATGATAGGAGAAAGTATAGTAAAATAACAATCAGCAAGTATTGGATTGAAAGTTTTAATTAAATTGATAGAAAAATTGGACATTTCACCTGCAGCATGGGAATAATATACTCGTAATGTTGCTCTAACAGATTTATAATCTTAATATGAAATTATTGAACAAATTTTTATATAAATTAAAGAAATTAAAAAACTACATAGTAATTTTGAAGAAATTAGAATTAGAATGTAATTTATATAAATGTTTTATTAAAACATTAACACTTATGAATATCGTTTAACATTTAATGTTATATCTACTTTATGGGAATTGTTGGTTTGTTAATCTGAATGTTAATAAGAGAAAGATCTAGTTTTTAAATGGTTTAGCACATTATCTAATTAAGATGGATAGTCATAATTAACATCAATGGTAGAAATCTCAGAACTTAAGACTTTTTTTATTGAGAAAATGACAAATGATTTGGCACATTTGACTGAGGAAGGATTTAATTGTATTAAGACTGTATTATCTACAATTAATAAATTTGAAAGTTTTGGTTTAGATGTTATATGGTAAATAATATTAGAAGGAGAAAATGAAAAAGTCTCATAAATGGCTATTGAATATTTCCATTAATTTGAAACAACTGTTGAGAAATTATTTAATAAATTATAAGAAAATAGAAAATACAATTAAAAATTACTCAGATGCTTATTAGTATTAGAAGATTTTATAGATTATAGTGAAGTAAATGGAGTTGGTAATTTAAAGAGTTTGAATGCTCTCTCTTAAGGAGAAGAATTATCAATCTAAATTTAATATGAAAATAGTTAGTAAAGAAGATTTACAATAAAAATAAATGATAATTAAACTATTGTGGAATTAAGATTAGCAATTAGTAAGATAATTAAATTATAATGGGATGCTATAGGTTTAACTAGTCTTAAAGGAGAAATAAAGTTTACAGAAAATGGAAAGATGATAAAGGATCTAAGATTAAAGAAAGATGAAATAATTATGGTTTTTAAAAAGTAAGTTAAGGATGCTCCAGAAGTGTAATTATTAGATGGAGATAATTTATCAGAATAAGTAAAAGTAGTATTTGCAGAAATCTTTAGTGAATATTCAACTGATGGCAAAATGACAAAAGAGGATTGTACTAGATTTGTTACTGGATGTACTGGTAATCCATGTAGTATTGAAGATGCTAATATTTAAAGAACTTTTGAACAATATGATAGAGATAAAGATTAAATCTTAACTTTATAGGATTTCTATGACTTTTATACTGATTCAATAAGAACTAAAAAATCAACTGTTTGGTTGAATTTACAAACATTACATTATAGAAATGATTTAGTAAGAGGAGATAGAGTGCCATTACCAGAAATTAATGCTTAATAATTACCTAGAGGATAGATTGTTTAAAATTAAGAATATTTAGATTTGTTATTTGATTTACTCTTAAATTCTAGCAATGAAGTATAAGAGAAAACTTGGTATTTATTAAGAAGATTACCTCCCTCTCCTTAATTAATCAAGTAGATGTTAACTTTTGAAAATATCAAATAACCTACAGATTGGGATTAAATATTAGTTAGTAGTCATTATAGATTGTTATATAGTTTGTATATTATTGAATTTCTTATGAATTAATAAGATTCAAATCATTTATAGGCTCTAATAGATGATTAAGATATTTTAAAATTGAAAGATAAATGGATGAGCAAATTTTTATAATTAGGTGGATTTGATAGATTATTATAGTTTTTTAAAGAATATTAAGGTAAGAGTGTTAATACTTTATCATAAATTGAAAAAGAGATATTATCATTTTTATTAAACACATTTTAAAACTATGTAATAGCTGCTTGTGCTGCTTACATTCCTAATTTATATAAGGCATCAAGAGGAATATAAATAATTAAACCTTTAGATTAAGTATTATTAGATATAAGACAATCAGAAGAATTTTAATTGTTGGTTTAGAAATTAAAGGAAAGTAGATTAGGTGATGATATTATAGAAAAAATAGAAAATTTCATATCTGTTTTAATCAATCTTATATAAGAATTATTAAAATGTAATGAATTGGAATAAGAAGATAGATAAATCATAGAACATAGTATAATAATTATAATAGTAATCTTATTGCATAATCAGGAATTATTAGCAAGAAGCATAGAAAATATTGAATTTATCAATATATTTTTGAGTGGTATATTTACTGGAACATCAGATACATTAAGAAATCTATTTAGTAGAGCAATTCTAGTACTTTGTCATGAAAGTTAAAAGAAAAACAATTAACCAACTAGAATTATGTTATAATAATTGATAATAATGTAAAATTCTTAGGGTAATTCAGCATAATATTATGAATTATTGAGTTAATTAATAGATAGTGCATTTGAATCTGAAGAATCTTAATAATTTATAGATTATGAACAATTAAGTTAATAAATGTTGTAAAATTTAATGAATTACAAAAGTTAAGAAAATAGATCCAAAAATACTCCAACAGATAAAATATTAGTTGGTTTATTGAATCTATTGACTAAATTATATAGATTTATTAAAAAACCAATTGTTGATAAATTATTTAATGATTGTTTATTTAGTATGTAAGAAGATATAGAAATAAAATGTAAATCTGTAGAAAGTAGATAAGCAGCATTTAAATTATTATATAATTTAGGATAATAATAGAATATTGATACTATTGTAACAAACCTATAATTATTAAGTTAAAAAATACCAATAATTAATAGATGGAATTATATCCCTTCTAGTGATATGAGAAGTAATCTTGGATATTGTGGTATTAAAAATCTAAGATGTATTTGTTATATGAATGCTATGTTATAATAATTTTATATGATAAAACCATTTAGATATGGTATTTTATAAGCTAATGATAATAAAGATGTTGATTTGTAACTTAGTAAAACCGGATTTACTTATGATGATAATGTATTACATTAATTATAATAAATGTTCAGTTATTTAGAATTATCAGATCGTGTAGATTATAATCCTTAAGAATTTTGTGCAGCATTTAAAGATTATGCTGGTGAACCAGTGAATATCTTTATATAATAAGATGCATAAGAATTCTTAAATATGATATTTGATAAATTGGAAAATATGTTAAAGGAAACAGTCTATAAAAATATTATGGATGGAGTATTTGGTGGTAAAACATGTACATAGATTTAATGTTAAAAATGCAAAGCTACAAAAAGTAAAGATGAAATATTCTACAATTTATCTTTGCCAATAAAGAATTTAAAGACTTTATAAGAATGTTTTGATAAATTTGTTTAAGGAGAGATTATATCTGATTTCAAATGTGAAAGTTGTAATTAGAAAGTTGATGTTAATAAATGTTAATTATTGGCTTAATTACCAAATATATTAATATTACATCTCTAAAGAATTGTATTTAATTTAGATACTTTTATGAATGAAAAAATTAATACAAGATTAGAATTCCCAATTAATTTAGATTTACAATAATATACAATTAATAAAGATTTATGTACATAATATAAATTGGTTGGTGTAGTTGTTCATGTTGGTACTGCTGATGTAGGACATTATTTCAGTTATATAGATATTAAAAATTAAGATTAATGGTTAGAATTTAATGATCATAAAATAAAGGAATTTAAATTGAAACAAATGGAACATGAATGTTATGGAGGATCAAGTAATTTTGATTATAATGATAATGATGTATGGGGAACAGGATTTAGAGAGAATTCTCAAAGTGCTTATATGCTTATATATGAAAAGGTTTAAAAAGATCAAATATCTTTAGTATTCAATAATGAATAAGAACTATAAGATCATATAGATTAATTTGAGAATTACACAATTGATCCAAATATAAAAAATGGTTTATTAGTTGATTATAATTCATTAAAACCTTATATTCCAAATTAATATAAAAAGAAGGTTAATAGTGATAATTAGCAATTTCTATTAGAACGTAATTTATTCAATTAAGATTTCTTAAAATTCATTTTAGATGTTAGTGAATTTGTAAATGAAAATAATTCATTTAAGATGATTGATGTATTAATAAAATTTAATTACGATCTATTATCAAAAGCATATGAAAATTCATTAATGGATTAATTTAATGCCAAAATTATATTATTAATTTAATAATATCCAAATATTAATTATCTTGATTTGATTTATTTTGGAAAATTAAATAAAGTAGTTGATTTATTATTAGTATGTCCTGAAATTAGAACACGTAAACACATTAGCAAATTATTATCAACTTTATTTAATTAAGCAATATAGATTGAAGGATAAATAACAGAGAAATTAAATGAAGGATTGGATCAATTATTTTTAATGATTCAAGATTAAGTGCCTAAGAATTGGACTAGATATGAATCTTATTTTGAATTTTGGTTAGATTTTCTATAATAGGAAGGCAAAAATTAATATGAATATTTAATGAAAAAAAATATGGTTTTATATATGATAGATTTTATACTAGATAAAAGTAGTCCATTATAATTATATGAAAAAAAAGTATAAATGGGAAATGCTTATGTATCTATGAATATTTAAATATAACTTTAAATATTATCTTCTTTATTGAAATAAAATCAATAATTAAATTTAAATGAGAAAAAATTATTATTTTTACCTAAATTTTATGATAAAATATTGAAAACTAAAGTAGATGATATTTTACCTATTATATTAAAATTATCTTATAAGAATAAATATTTCTCAGAGATTATTTCAGGATGTATTATGCGTGGAATGTCAAATGGAGATGTTGATGAATTCAAAAACTATTTATAAGTAGCTAAATCCTTTTTATTAATTGAAGACAATCTATAAATTGAAAGATTAGAATGGTTGATTGGTATTCCATCATCAAAACAAAAGGAAACAACTAAGATTTATGATAATTAATTTTCTGATATACCTTCATTTGGTTTATATGGTCTATAAAGTTTAGAAGAAGATTATTGGACATTTGCCAGTCCATTAGGATGGTCTAATTGTTTATTCGATTATTTCTGTTCTCATAGAATGAGTAAAAATCATGATATACAATGTTTATTAATTCTTAAATGTTGTCTCTAAATAAGTTTAGAAAATCAAACTTGTTTTAATTATATTTCTAATCTTCCATGTGTAAATTATTAATATGTAATTAATTTAATTTATATTTAGAAATATAATGAAGAAATCTTTAAGTCCTTTTTAGAAACATTTATTTTAGATACTAAAAGATTCTATTCTTAACATACTCGTAAATAGGAATCTGAAGAAACTAAAATATTATTAGAAGAATATTAAAAAAGATTAGAATAAATTCATGACCCTACTAAACCTTAATATGATTATATTATAGGAAAATCTGTTGAAGTCACTAAAACAACTAAACTTTTATATCTACTCAATCCTTCCACTAAAGAAGAATTGACAGTAGATGAAACATCTCAAAATTTTAATTAAATTAAATCATAAATAGATGATGGAACACTTCATAAAATTATCACTCTAGAAGTAAATAATCATATTATCATAGGAAAAAGTTTACACTACATATGTTTGTGATAATCTACCTACTGGATTAACTAATGAAGCATTACCTTAATAATATGTAAAAGGAACATAAATACATCATTTTTCTGTTGATCCAAATTCTGAAACAGCCAATTTCATCCAATCTAAGGCATGGAATGTAGAAAATGATGATAAGGCAATTGTATCTAATTCAAGATTAGCTATGACTGTTAAATAAATCCAATTATAGAATAATACAAATAGAAATCTACATGTTATACTTGAAATCAAAGGACCATAAAACTCATGTCATTACATTCCCACTTCTAAAATTTAATCTTTGATGAATCCAAAAATTATTACAACTATGTTTACAATTATTAAATAGAAAAGCCAAGATGAGTTTCCTAAATTAGAATTGAATTTGTAATACAAAAAACAAGAACCTAGATCAGAATCTTATCTATATTTATCAAATTCAAATGAAATGAACTTGGAGTTATAATGATAAATTGAAGTATATATCTAAAATTATTATAAATATATTTCCTTTTTTATATTATATAAGTTATAATTTATATATTTCTTTAATTGAAATAATAAAAATATATATCATTATATTATATATACTTATTAGATAATAAATAAAATATTTATAATTTATAAATAAAATGAAGAAGATTTTATGAGTGTAAGTAATGTTATTATATAATATTTCAATTGGCAACTTGTTAACAATATTTCATTTTTGGTTTCCCATAAAAAAAATGATGATTTTCAGTTCCAACACTCTCATTAATAGAATTAATGCTAAACCTGTCTCTATGAGGAGATATCATAGAATAATTAATTTAATTGATTTTGTACTCATCATTTATCAGTGAATCTGTCAATGCTCCTTTACTGATTTCATTAAGATGAGAAGAGTCTAACATAGGATTATGCAACTATTTTTATTCTATTGCTTCAAAATCAACAAAATTATATTCTTGTTTTTTCTTAATTGTTGATTTATGTTTAAATGGAGCCATTTGAATACAATCATTCTTTTATGAATCAGGCATAAATAATATTAAGCCTTCAGAATGATTATTACTGTTTTAATCTAAAAACTTTAATTTTTTATTAGCTTTATGTGATTCAATATATTTAGAAACCTAAATTTAGTATGTTTCAACATCTTCACTATTTAATGATATTTAATGTTATGATTCCATTATTTTTTTATCCTTTTCAATATCATCATTTATTTCACTTTAAGAACTATTTTCAATTAATTCTTTAGGATAATTTGAATTATCACGAGACATTATAGCTTCTTAAATTCTACCAATAGTCTTTAATGAGTAGGCTTTAAAAGTTCTAAAGATCATTAATAGAAATAGATATTCCTATAAAATATTGAAATTACCTTTAAGATGCATCATTTCATATATTGGATATCTTCTATCCAAAATATCCTATAATAATTATAATAATAAATTACAAGTCTTTTGAAATGTAATCTGAAACGTGTATCTTTATCAATTTATTTTATTACTTTAATGCCTTCAGAGTGACCAGTTCTAAAGATCTAATCTCTATAAGCATATCGTATAGTCTCATAAAGAACTTCTTAAAAATGAATATAACCATTTTAATCTGCTTTTATTTTAAAATTAGAAGCACTTTTGGCAGCATCCCAAATGTTATCATCTTGTGCTGAACCTAAAGGAGGTCCTAATTCTAATAAAAAATGAGCCAAATGTTTAGAATGCATTTATGCTCCTTTAGTTTCAGTTGAATACTTACACCAAGTTGTTCTAAAGGGATCTATATTCTCTATATAAGTTTATAAGACACTATTCTAAGAATTAAAGAATTCTAAAATTTAAATATTATTTTACTTTCAAATTAATCTACTAATGCTGTTATAAAAAGATTGAATGCAACAAAATTAGATATCAGTACAAATGTATAAAAGAATATATTTGCATATATCCATTTAACACCACATTAATTAGATGTTTCAGTTGTACAATATTAATTGCGTTCTGAAACATCTATCATAATTCTAATCCAATTATTTTTAGTGCAAATTTTAAATAAGATCAATAATGCTTTACCAATATTTGTGAAGTTCATGTAATCTGTTACATATATACCTTTTTCTATCATACCAAAATATTCACATCCAATCAATCCATAAAATAAAAGAATTGAAAAGAAGAAGCATAAAATTTATAATAGAAATGAAGCTGAAAAATTCAAAATTCTTAATAATCTAGTTAATCCTTTGAATTATTGAATGATTAAAAGAGTTCGTAAATTTCTACATGCAAATGCTAATCTAAGAATCAAAAAGTATTGATTATCAATTGTGGATTTAAAGTAGTACTAACTCCAATTAATTGTAAGGTATAAAATAAAATCTATTAAAGCAATTAAACTCAAAATAAATTCAATTTCTCTCCAAATATATCCCCAATATCTTCTAATACCAAATGCCAGTATTTTTAAACATGTATCCAGAATTAGAAAACAACTAAGAGTATGGTATATATATTCTAAAGTTTGTAACAAGTCTAACGAAGCTTCATCGTAAAAGAAAGTTAAAATTCCTATAAATAAATACAATCTCTTAAATACCAGTATTGATAAATATTGTCAATAAAATCATTCTCTCATATAGAATTTATTTTATTATATTTGAAGCTAATCTTCTAATAAATGATTTTGGAGGATCTGAATAATTTGGAACTTCCTTCTAAATTATCTTTGTAATATTAGCAAATAATTATTGATCATTTGTTAAGATTTATTTTTATAATTATGTCTTATAAGTTTAAAAATTAATAAATAAAATTCCTGCAAAAAATCCAAGAAAGAAGAGTACTCCAACTAAAATAAATAACATAAAATAAATTAAGGTTACCCATCTATTACCATAAAGAATAGGACCTTAATCTTCTGCTCTTGAATTCAAACAAATTTGCATTATATAAACCCAATCATCACAAGCTGTCATTCTATATAATGCTAACATAGCATTTCCCATATTATCAAAATTATACAAATTATTTATCCATTCTTAACCTTATTCTATACATTCTTACTTATTAATTCCAAAATTCAAAGGATATTCACAATAACTCATTTTATCTTTATAAAGCATTACACCAAATATTGCAAATATAAGCCATACCATTATTTAAACAAATAAAATATTCATCAAATCAACAATTGATTTTGATATTGCACTGTTAACATATTTGAGTTATTCAAATAGATAAAGAAAACGAAATGGTCTTGTATATTTTAAAACCTTTAAATATTGAAATGCATCATATTTAACAACAAAGTTTGAAATATAGCATAATTGATAAACAAAATCAATTAATCTCCAAAATTCACTAGTAAAACTTCCTTTATCTTTCATAAATCCAAATGAGATTATTTTTAATGTAGAATCAATTAATAATAAAATATTTGTAGCTAATTCAACATAATTTGAGATTTAAACAACTAAATTTTTCTGAATTTTATTTTCATAATCAAAATAAGTATATACACACATATTCATAAGTACAATAAAAAATGTAACTTAGATTAAATTAATGTACAATTAATAATTGATACAACGATAACATAACTTTCTAAAATAGTTTGATTAACTAAAAATGTATAAAGAATTTTCACTCTCATTATTAGTATAAAATTGAAATTTAGCAAATAGTTATTCTAATAATAATTTAATTCTTGAAGCCAAATCAAAAAAATTATTATTTTTTATTGTTTATTTTTCTATATCTTAAATAATATTTCCATTTGAATTCATTTCACTATTTTCATGATGTGAAGTAAGTACTTTATTACTATTTAATGTTACTTCATTTATATTATCATTACCTTCTAAGAATGAGAATTATAAATCAGCTACATTCTCCCCAGAATCATTCTCATCTTCATTTTCATAAGAAGAAAATGAATCTAAAATTATAGCCAATATAAATCCAATAGTCATTAGATTTAACACATACACAGAAATAACACTAAAGAACATTGTGCCAATCTTACTACTATATTGTGAACCCAACATTACCATACCAAACCAATCTTCATTTGCAGCTCTTACAAAAACTGTTAAAAATGCAGCTGCTAGATCATCAAATGATTATTGTAACCCAAAGTCTGTTTCTATAGGAAATTTACCTTTGTATAAATTCATTCCAATAAAAGCAAAACAAAAAATCAATGTTATCATCAACAATATTAAATTGAGAAATGAAGGAAGAGATTTTTTTGTAATATTTGCTATTTTCAAGGCAAAATTATTATATTTGATTATTCTATAGATCAAAAGAGCTTAACTAGAATTCAATAGATCAAGATAAATGTTTCCATTTCCAGAATTTTAATACACATATAATGATTAAATAATGGAGCAAGTTAAAATAAAAGTATCAATAAAATTGTTGGCCCTTGAGCAAAATCTATTTATGCCTTAAAATACAAGTTTTAAAAATAATTCACCAAGAAGAATAAAGACAAAACAATCATTAAGTTGTCCTATAATATTTTAATCTACATAACCTATCATACTTAGTAAAATAATATTGATTAGTACTATTAAATCAAAAAATATATGAGCAGATCTATTTCTTAATAATATATTTAAATTTTTGGATAACAAATTCCAAACACATTATAGATTTGGTCTTTTCCATTAATAAATATCAATATTATTTAATTAATGAAATATTTTTATTGTTTATGAAATCTTCTATTTTGATTGCAATACACAATTTCCTGACCAATTATTTTTATAAACAACTCCTTATTTACATTCATCTAATCTGTATTTTACATATAGTTCTTCAAAATTCTAAATAACTTCCTAATTTTCAGGTATTTATCTATTGATCATCTATTGAATAAATTCAGAATCAAAGGTTTTGTCAACTTATGCTATTGTTCTATTATTCATTTAATTATTTGGGATAATATTGATAACTTCTTAATTATTGATATTATTTTCAATTATTAATGCTTTTTCACTTGTCTTATTTTTTTCTATATTTAATAATTATTTCTATTTGGATTTCTATTTAATTGGAAATTGACTTTTTAAATGATTAGAAGAATATTTATTTTTTAAATCTAATTTTATAAAAGAATAATCTGATTTTTTTATTCTATAACAATGATTTAAGATAGATTTTCTAATGAATTCAAATTCTCTTTCTCTTTTCTTTTATAATTACTCATTTTTTATTTAAAAACTAAAAATATCAGATTCTGAAGTGCTATTATATTAAAAATATTTATTAATAACAATTCTCCAAGAATATAATGGTACTTATTTAAAAGTTTAAATGTAAAACAATTTTAAATATTCTTTATCAAATGCATCATTTTAATAAAGTTTTTACATGAATTGTTCTTTATTTTATTCAAATAATAAAAGCTTTTCTAATTTAAAACTATCTATTAAATTTTCAAGTTTACTAATATTTGATTTAATACCTCTTTTCCTATTTTTGATTTCTTCTTATTCTTTTGTTTATCTTGCAGATAAATATTTATGTTTGTAATTTATAATTTTTTAATTATTATTATTTTATAGAATTGTTTTAGCATATGTTGTTTAATCATCTACATCATGAGGTTTCTTTCTTACCCAATCCTTCTTTGAATTTGTCTTCCAATCAAAATCAATTGAATAATTTTTAATAATTCTAAGATTCAAGATAATTTCAGCATTTGCATATAATTTTTATATGTCTTCATGTTAATATTTCAATAATGTTTAAGAATAATAAATTTTAAGAACAGCAATAATCAAATTGGCACCAAAAATAGCAATAATAAAAATAAGAAAAATAAAGTAAATAATAGCAAAATCATGAAAAGTGAGCATTGCTAAATAAATAGGTTCTGTCCATTCATTAAATATCATCAATCTTACAACTTCTATATAAGAATAAAAGATGTCATCAAAATTAGTAGGAACGTTAGGATTAGTTATCGATTTGAAGCATATCATAGATTAATCTTCACATTAGAGATTATATCCACATAAGATGTTAGTTTAAATACCAGATTCAGCATAATAACATTTATGTAGAAATAATCCTTAAAATAAATGCATTCCAAATAAAGCAAAGAAGTAGGAAAATATAATTACAATGATAAGAGCTTCAAGTAAAAATCTTAAGGAATGTTTTAAAGCAAGTAACATGATTTATAATCTTTTACTGAATACACTAATAACTGATAAAATTTTAAGTAATCTTGCAGTTGAAAAATCAATGATCATCAAAGTTGGATAGTAATAATGAAAAGAAAAGAGAATGAGTATTATTATATCAAATACATTTTATAAATCCCAAAAGAAATCTATTACACCTTAGCCAATTAATTTGAGAATGTTTTCTACAATAAAGAAGAATAAAATAACTAAATAATGTATTGAAATTACTTTATTTTTATTATCGAAGGTTCATTTGAACTTCAGTAGATAAATTGTCACTTTAACTTTCAATGAATACCATGATATTAAATATAATTGAAATTAATACCATTATAGTAAAAATACGATGATTAATTATTTTGTTGGCAATATTTGTAATTATTCTAATAATGAAAACAATAGTTTTTCTTAAGTATACTAATGGATAATTATCCCAATAAAATTAATAATCTTTAATAATCCATTAGTAATCTTCCTTACTTTACCAAATAAGAGGATAAGGATCATATATTGGATCTCTTTTATATTTTCTTTCATATTTTATTATTTAATGATCTTATTATGAAGTAGGATCTCTAATAGTTTAGGTAAATTATTATTCTAAATATTCTTCTTCACTATCTTCATCAGCTTCAATTTCAGATGATTATTCAGATTAAGCAATAAAATTAGAATCATCATTACTTAATTCTAATTTAAAATTATCCATAAGAATTTTCATTCTATCACTCATAAGTCCATGATTCTAAGTTTTAGTAAATACATTATCTAATATTGATGTCATATTAATATTAGAAGGATTGTTTTAAATACTTTAAGGTTCATGTCCTCTATTACCAAAGAAAATCGATTCATTTTAAGCAACAGAATAGACACTCATTTGATCTCCATCCATTCCTTTTAATTAATTATCCTCTTTATAATATTGATTAAATAATTGCACGAATGTTTTTCTGACCTTTTATTTAATCTTATTTCTTCCATTTGGTACAATTTCTGCACATTATTTTTCAAGTTCTTCAATTATTTATTTATATTAGTTTTATTCTTATTCAGGTATTCCTGCTTAATCTAATATTTTTACTAAGCTTTTTAATTCTTATGTATCAGAATTAACATTCTTAGATGTAGATATTGATCTTTCTCTGTTAAATTTAGTTGAATAATTTAATTTACTCTAAAAACTGCTTTTTTTGGAATACTAAGACAATTATTTGATGCTTTTCATACTTTTAATTGTCTATTTCATTTGACTATTCTAACTACTCTTTAGAAATGAGGTTGCTTTTTATTTGCTAAATATTACAGGTCAATACCTGATTGATGATAATTGTTAATGCAATGTTTTATGTATAAATTCCATCTGTTCATCTATCACTTTATCATAGTTTGTTATTGAAACTGCTCCTTTCTATTAAACTTAAGTTATTTTTGATGTTCCAGCTGAGGAAGAATTACTATCTGAAGACTCTGATAAGAATAAGTCTTAATATTCTTAAAATAAGTTATTTTATCTATTCTTTTAACTTGAAAGGGTTGCTTTTCTTTATTAACTATGACTTTCGATAGACAATTTTGATCTTTAATTTCTTACAATTTAAGATTGTGATCCTATTTTAGAAGATTGTCTCTTTTGAATCCTACGACTAAATAATTCAGGTGTATGAGGGATATTCTTATTATGGATAATTAATTAGTCATCCATAATCGAAGTCCTTCGATCTTATTGAATAATATTTGGAAACATTTATAAAATATATTTCAAATTACATATCAATTAATCACATCACCTTCTAATTTAAATACTAATTTAAAATTTCCTACTTTGAACCTTAACCGATGATTTTCCCCTAATTCATTATCATAACTTGATCAAACATATCTAGCAATTCTAATTTATGGGTTATTGCAATAACAGTTTTATCCTATAAATAAATAGATCATTATACTTTCATAAATAAATCAAGAGTTAAATTAATTAATTAACAATATTGATTATCTAGGTTTCCTGTGCACTCATCTAAAATTACAATCTTTCTCTTTTACAGTAATATTCGGCATAAAACTAATAATTATTTTTCTCCTAAAGAAAGATTAGAACCATGAGGTTCTACTTGATATTACAACTTTTCCAATAATTTCACTTAAGATAATCCATACTTAGAGAGGATTCTAATTATTTCTATAGGATTATAAGCATTATTTGGATCAATATTTTATTAGATTGTACCTTCAAAAACAAATGGATCTTAAGACACAACTGAAAATAGAGATCTAATTCTATTTATGCTTGTATGTCTATTGTCTTATCCAAGTACTTTTAATGTTCCTGAATATGGTTCAACCAATCTTGTGATACAATGCATAAGACTAGTTTTTCCAGCTCCAGTTCTCCCAAGTATAGCTATCTGAAAAATAGAAATATAGAAATTTACTTTTTATCTTTATTTTAGTTTAAATGAGATATCTGTTAATACAGTGGCATTTTTGTATTATAAAGTAACATTATTTAATTCTAAAACATTTTACTCTTGTAATTCTTAAACACTCTCAACTGAATTAATAGTCATCATTTCAATTTGACTTATGCTATCATGATCACTAAAATGAATATCATTATTTCTTCTATCCATTGGATTCTCAAAATCACTATATTATTAAGTAGATAAATCTTCTTTTGGAATATTGTTAATTAATGATAAACATCTTTCAAAATAAACATTATTAGAATAAAATGATTAAAATGATAGAATAAAACTAGTAAATTTTTCACCAAGACTTACAGCCAAATACATTGAGATAGTTGCAGATTCTTTATTATTAATTTTGTAAATGTACTAATTAATAAATTTAAAATTTATACATTAACCATCAAAACGCATACATACATTAATAACATCAAAAAACAAGTGATTTAAATAAACCAAGCAGATAAAGCAGCTGAACAAATTGAATTTCTTGTATAGACATTAAATTATTAATAAAAGCAAGATACTTAATTTTATGTTTATTTGCAATGTCTATTAAACAAAATACCTTAATGAGTTTATGTTAATATATTCAACAATGGAGATTTAGACATTGCTTATAATCTGGATATTTCTAAATTAATTCTGATATATTTCAACATATATTATGTTTACAATAACAAATAGCAAATCAAAATTGGATAAGATAAAGCACTTGATAAAAATAAACATCCTAATATTGATGCCATAAAACTGAAGATACTATCAAATAAAGAAGATATTAAAGAAGGAGTATTCATATCTAATAATAATTAAATAACATTATACCAAATTGGAAAATATCATTTGTTAATCTATTTTTTATTATGCTACCTAAAGTAACATTATAAAATTCAGCTACTGATGCTTTTAATAGATTATTTATAATGTTATTATGAAGTAGCATAGAAGCTGTCACTCCCTTTGAAGTTAAAAAGATACCACTAAATAATGTAAATAAAGCCATTAAAATATGAGACAATGGATAAACAAATAAAAACTATTAAACTGCATCTGCTTTTTAATCTTCATTTGACTAATCTGAATTGGAAATTTCAGTGATGGATTTTAATTGCAATTAATAAAATGTTGAACAACACATTCCTAATATACAGAAAATCATTATTAAAACTAATGTCTAATATCTTCCAAATAATTAATATAGATATTTGAATATCTCCATTTGTAAACTTCCTATAGATCTATCTTCATTCTCCATTACAATTATTTATTATTTATCAATAAGATTATACAATTATTTATTAGATTATTACATATTTGTAGATTACTAAATTGATTAATCTTCTATTAAATCAAGAGAATCTAAATCATTTGATTAAGAATTCCCTTTAAATTAATCTAAACTACCATTATAGGTGATAGATCCATCCTCAAGATATATAATTCTGTCACATTTTTTTATCTAATTTACATCATTACATGTAATAATTATTGTTTTCTTATCTTTTTAACTAATTTCGTACAATTCATCCATTAATTTATTAGCAGTTTTATGATCTAAAGATTCAAAAGGACAATCAAGTAAATAAATATCACTATGTCTATAAAGAGTTCTAGCTAAATGAACCCTCTTTCTTTATCCTCCACTTAATGATTGACCATCTTCTCCAACCTCACTATTATGTCCACATTCCATTCTTTGTATATCCTCTAATAATTAGGTTGTTTTTATAATTTGAAGATATCGATCTAATTCCATAACTGATTCATCAATAATATTTTATTTGATAGTTCCTTAAATCAAAAAAGGTTCTTATGATGCTACTGAAACACTTCCATCTAAATAAACAAATGAATTTTCAATAGTTCTTTCTAATTCTCCCAATAAACAATATAATAAAGAACTTTTCCCTGATCCATTTTTTCCATTAATTACTATAAATTCCCCTTTTGGTATTTAAAGATTGATATTTTTTAATTAAAATTAATTTTTAGAATTTCTCCATCTAAAATTGCCTTCTCTAACTAATATTTAGTATGGTTAAGCCGGTAATATTTATTAATCCACATCTTTAGATTAAATGAAATCCATATATCTCTTAATTGATGTTTTTGCCATTAATAACTGCCCTAAATTATATGGTATAAAATTGACAGATTAAATTAATTAAGCATAATTTTAAGTAACCATTAAAACAGATTTTAAATTAAAGATATCAAATATCTTCATTGTGAAATACATAACTCCAACTGGAACAATAGAAAACAAAGCTTTAACATAAAATGATAATTTCTATTAAATGGCAATATTAGACATTTCTATATTTCTTTTGTCTCTAATCTTTAATAACTTAAAATAATACTCGATTAAAAAAGAATTTATAATAACAATTCTACTTTATTGTCAATATTCCTTTCAATAATTCATCCATATTTGATACACGATTATCTCTTGATGTCATTATCTTTTTTTATAACCTAAAATTTAAATGTATATTAACTTTGAATAAATGCTTCCATAAATTAATGAAATCCCAACTTAGATTAACATACCAATTAAACCAAATGAAGCTGCTACACCTACTGTTTCAAAATATATGTAGATTGCTCCACATATTTAAAATGGTGTTAAAAATAAAGATACTCCACAATCAAACAAAATTGTTATTTGTGGAATATCGATTTAAAACAAATTTATTATTTCTGCTTAAGAAGGCAATGGCAAACATGCACTAAACAATTTATGATACAAAATAGAAGACAAAGCTGCTTATACTTCAATCTATACTTATTTCTATAAATTATAAATAATATATTATATACTTAATAAAAGCTTAATATAGAAATCTAACTATAAATTGCCATTATCCATCCTGTAAATAGTGATGTTGTTTTTAAAAATTGCCATATATCCAATCCAGATGAATCAAATAATTCAACTATACTATTTATCAAAAAAGGATTTAACAACAAAATTCCCATAAGTCCAATTTTTAGTAAAATTATGCAAATCCATTTTGTAGGATAACTTTTTAATAATGAATAAATTAAGCTTTCCTTATTTAATTGAAATTTTAGTGTTTAATATTCAATACTCTCTTATGGATTAATATTGAAAACGTCTTTCTATTCCAGATTTCTTTGATGAATTTATACAAATTGATTTAACCAAGTAAATAAATATGTTGTAATTCCTTTTTTAGAAGTGTAACATTCTAATAATTCTGATTATTAATTTTCAAAGTTCTAATATTCTAACATATAAATATATATTAATATTAATATAAAATTATGAGCGAAAGTGAGAGTGAAAAATAAGATGGTTAAAAAGATTTTTACAAAGAAGCTGTGAAATTATATTATTATAATTGTATCTTGTACAATCATGTAAGGAATATAATAAATGGAGTTGGAAAAAGTTATGACAGAGAGAAATGATCTAAAAACTAAAGTCCTTAAATATGAATTACTAGGAGGAGAATTAGCTTAATTGGATGATGAAGAAATTATGAATTAATTGGAAGATAGAAAAAAGAAGAGTAGAAGGAGTGCAGCAGATATTGATCGACAATTTTTTTGTACCTTTAATAATTGCAAAAAAGCCTATGGCACCGAAGCCTCACTTATATAACATTAAAGATTAAAACACGGCCAAAATAGTGGCATGGATGCATATTTTAGAATTTGATATAATTATTAGACAATTAACATAATTAATTAATTAACTGTTAGTTATGAGCAATTTGTTTTCAAGAAGTAAAACAATTATCTACATATAGAGCATTCTGATAACAGTATTCTTAAAGGAAGAACATAAACTATTGCTTCATAAAAATGTCCTTTTAGTACAAAAGAAAATAATATTAAATTTAAATACCCAGAAGTTTTTCATAAATAAGAACCAAAACCCTTTAAAGTATAAATCAGTCATACTGATATGAGATCTCCAAGTGCATAATCTACTTCCTCTCCAATTAACAGTATATCATTTAATTGATATTAGAAAGTATACTTATGACACATCGTTCTTAATCAATGTTTTAAGATGTTTAATATATTGATTTCATAATAACAAATAAAGAAGTCAATCAATTTTTGAAAAGGCACTTTCTTCATGAACATATGCATACTAATACTTCTGCAAATAGGAGTACTACAAAATTGATTTGTGATTCTTGGGAAAAAGTGCCAGTTTCTTATTTCATCAAAGCACTTTTTAATGAGTATCCAGAAATCATATAAGATCATAAATTAAATGATAAATTGACTATTTAATTGAAATCTCTTATTAAAGACTTAGTTTCAGAAGATGGATAAATGCTTTCCTTAAATAAATTATAAATGCATACTCGACATTTAGGTTTATTGAGTCTCCTCTTAACTGCTCTAAGGGATATTTAAGAACCACCTTCTAACTAAGAAAATCAAGATATATAAACAAACTAATAATTACAATTCTCACAATAACAATAAGTCTAAGAAAAATTATCCAAATATATTTATGAATTCTCAAATAATTTAGAAAAGAGATTAATTGAAATTTTTGATTAGAAATTAACTATTATATAAAATAAATAAATAGAATTAGAAAAACTAGTTGAAAACCTAAGATAAAGATATATAGACCACAAATTTAAGTAAGAATCCTAACATAAATTATTAATTAATAATCTCACATAATAATTAGAAAAAAAAGACTAAATAATTGCTGAACTTTAATAAAAATTACAAATCAAACCATTATTACATACATCAAATATAGAAAATATGTAAAATCTCAAATGTGTAAATCCTAAATTTAATTCCTCTAAATTACATAATTCATCTAATGACTAAAGTATATAGAAGTTTATGACAACCCTTTGTAATATTTGGGATATGGCTTGTATTAATGAGGATTATAGATTTGCTTAGATCTTAACAGCATAGGATTACAATCAAATGCCTTTTCAACATTTTTAATTGATCCCAATTATTAAGTCTATCCCAAAATTCGATGATTTTATCCTTAAAACTTTGAATTCTATTCATATTATCACAAACTTTGTATAAAATTGTATGAATAGCGATAACAATATGATTCTTGATATATTCTAAGAAATTTATATTTTAATTCAAAACGCAAAAGTGAATGATTAAAACTAATACTTATTTAATTTAATTCAATTATTTTTAAAATTAACTACTTGTATTTTACATATTAAAGCTACATTCAATGCCAATAACCTTAAAGATTGGTTAACTATTAAAAAGTCAGTTAATGAGCAACAACAATAATTTATTCATAGATTAATTACATAAATAATTCAAATACATAAATTTACATTAAACCAAAATATTCCTATTTAATTATCATCTCGATAACAATAGAATGAAGATAAATACCAAGAACACACTTTTATTAAAATTATTGAAGACAAATCAATTAGCAATTAATTTTGCAATCATATAAAATCTATTTATAATAAATAATAAAATTCAAAATTATCCATATTATTAAGAATACTCTAATGTTTTTACTTAAATGAGATTGACGAATTGATTGATTTAATGCAGTCTGTATAAGGTGAAACTGAAATTGATATCTTTTTATCGAAATGGATTTTGGATTCAAATTGCATAAGTTTAATATTGTTTCCAAACATTTTCAATCAAAAATACACTTTAAAAGCAGTTACAATTTTACTATAATTTAAGTGTCCTTAATAATTTTAAATAAACTATACCAAATAGGTTTGTGATGATAAACATATTGAATTATTAATTGATATATTGATGAGAATGCATCAAACATAAAATTAAGAACTAATATTTAAAATATGGGAACTTTTTAGAGCTATTTCTAAAAGTACTAATTTAAAGGTTTGTAAAGATAAATTAGAGAAAGTGATCAAATTATATTCTGGTTGTCATCATGCTACACTATAAAATAATATTCAATAGGTTAACAAAAATTTAGCCATTCAAATCTGATTTTTAAATGCTTATTTTTATCAAAATTAATTAAATAATCAATTAGCATCCCGATTTAAATTTAAGTATAGAAGTTGAATTATAAATTAATTTGTCAAATTTTGAGTCTCTTTAGACTTTAGGAAGATTCATAAAATGGAAAAATACTTTATGTAATTTTTATGAATTCATTATTTATATTTTAATTAATTTTCTTTTTAAGTAATTATGGACTTTGTAAATGAAAAGTATGCTGTAATTCCAAAATCTTTGAAGGTAAAATTAATTCTGTAAGAGAGAGTGATGAAGAAATTCAAAAAAATATGGCACCAGAAAGTAATTCATTTGTCGAAAGGGCTAAATATTTGTTGATAAATGGATAAAGTTTTTAAAAAACGTTTGTGGCAAAGAATATTCGAGAATCTTTATCTGATCCTAAAGGTGCATTATAATTATTAGAAATAATTGCAAATCAATTACATTCATTGCATGATGAATCCTTAATAAAAGAATACATTAAAGCAGTGAGTGAAATATTCAATAAAATCTAAGTATGAGAATTATCATTTCTAGATTCCTAATTAAATAAAATAGTCTTATAGTGACATATGTTTCAATATTTTTACAAAACAATATCAATAATATGAAATAATAAATTCTTGTGCAGAGATATTAAAATATTTAGATGACCTTGATATTTATAAAGAAGGATTGTATCTTGAGACTGATAATCAAATGTATCAAATATTAAAGATAATTGAAATATATTATCATAAATTTACACCTGAATTAAAAAAATAAGCTCATCTTCAAATTAAATCAAGCATGAAGCATAAAGATGAACGAGTTCGTAAGATTATTTCAGAAATATTACTCAATAATCAATAATTATTAAAATCTATATTACATGAATTCGATTGGATTGATAAATTTACGACATTAATATACGATTAATCAAAAGATGTTAGAATGAGTTCAGCCAAATTTTTCTTAGCTACTTATGAACTAAATGAAGATATTCATAAATCCAGATTGCAGCTTCTTTTAGAGAATATCATTAAATAATTAGATTCTTCATAATTTGAGTTCTGCCAATCAATTGCATAATATGTATTATTATCAATTATCATTTTTTAGAGCTTAAATTAGGATAACTTATAGTCTCTTTATATTGAAAAAATAAATGAAATCATAAATAACAATAATGATAATTAATTTAGATTTTTAGAATCATTACATAACTATTATTCATTAATAAAATAATTTAATGAGAAACACTCTATTTCCATAGATGATATGTTATTAAATTCTATATAAATTCTCTCAGAAGAGATGCGAAATTATGATATATTAAAGTGTTTGTCAAATTTATATTCTAATTTATCTTAGGATATGTAATTTAAAGTAATTTAAAAATTATTTATTAATTTTGAATTAAATTAGCTAATATTTATTCCTTATTTATCTGAAATTATAGAAAAAACAACATTAATTAATAAGAATAAAATTTGGCTTTAGTAACTTTAAACAATATATGAAATGTTCAAAAGAAATGTATTTCAATATGAAACAAAAGGATTGTGGAATGAAATATCAAATATGATTGATATAATGATAATAATATCCAGAATTTTATTTTTACAGAAGGATTTTCTATAATAATGTTTAAAAATGAGTCATATGGGTTCAAACTTTATAAGAGATAAAATAATGAATATATTAATAGAAAAAATAATTGAATTAGATTCTCTTGAAAGTAGAGATTCAATAATCCAAAATTATTTAGCATTTATTAATCATTCGAATTATTAATTAAGATAATTATCAATAGAATTTATTATGAGACTATGTTAATAAAGATCAAGAAAGTTCTTTATATCGAATAATCTGATTAATGTTTTATAATTGTAATATGATGCTGTGTCGTTAGTTAGAGCAAAACTCCCAAAATTACTTTTTTAAATCAAGTTATTATTTTGGAATGATGAGAAGGAAATTCTTAGTAGAATTGCTTAAATCTTCTAAAATCTGATGAACGATAAGAAATTATCAATTCAATAAGTACATGCTTATATAATAAGATTTCCAAAGAATTCTGGGTCGAATTATCAAATATTTAGTTTTTGAATGCATAAAAAACAATTGAACAAAATTAAGTTATGGATGAAAGGGAGCAATAAGAATATGCAAATTTGAAAGTATAAAGATATAATATTAGGTAATTAAATAGCAATTATTACTTAATCCTAAAAATATAAAGAATGATGTTAGCAAATCCAGAAATCAAACTCCCACAACTAGATTGCCGCCATTAAATAAAAGATAGAATAATTTCTTATAAATTCCAAAAGGCACTTAACCTAGAAAAACATCTGCTCAAAGAGCTATTTTATCAAAGTCTCCACAACCCTTTAAATGATTTATTATATAATTTAAAATGTTCACATTTCGAACAATTTATAAATTTGCAAGCTAAACAGTTGATACAGAGGCACTATTAAAGAAACTATAGACAAAGTCTTTAATCACCTTAACAAGAGACAATTATTAATTGAATATGGGTTTATTGATCTAAAGAGATATAATATTTCTTCATTATACAGATGAGGAAATGAAACTCAGAAAATTCAGATACTAATTAGGTAAGATTTAAGGCATAAATTGTTAATAGAAAAAAGAAATAATTATATTGCAAAATTGCCAAAGGAATTGCATGAATATACTCATTTTACTGGAGATTAAAATGTTTTTGGAGACGATACTCCAACTCATGTAAGATTGGTTGGGGATGTCCGTACAGTATTTTTGGAAAATAGTAAATTCTTTAAGCATTGTGGTATATAGACAATTTAATTCTTAGATCCAAATGAAAAGAATAATAAGTTGATTTAATACAATTCTTTACATACTGTTTACTTAATGGTAAAATAAAATGGAATCTGGGGATTCCCAAATATTAATATTGAAGATAAAGAAACTTTCTAAGAAACACAAACAAAATTATTCGAAAAAATGACATAAAATACTTGGCAAGTATAATTACTTTATCATTTAGGTATATTTTTTCAATAGGGATCCAAGATTGGTAACTATTGATCCTAATTCTGATGAAAATTCAAAAATCAAAGGAATTAAAACAATCTATTTTTAGGCAAAGCATTAATAAGGAAAAGTTTAGATTTTTGGTTATGATGATTGGGCTTGGGTTTCCAGGTTAGAAATGAATAAATACCTAACTGAAAAAGCATATAACCAAGTTATCCATGCTTTAGATTTGTGAGTTATTTTTAAAGTATATTTAAGAAAATTTTATATTTTCTATTTTGTTAATAAAGTAATTCACAAACAATATTAATCAAATTTTAAACTTAGGTTTCAAAGACTTTTTTTTTGGAAATATTTCTCTATTCTCCTTATCACAACTAGGTTCTTGTAGAGAATAGCTAATATTTCTTAATGGTTATTTTGTAATCAACTCAATTGAATAATTATGTCTTTTTTGTAAAGGAGTGTTTGATAAAAAGTCTTCATTTATATTATTTGAGATTTATTTAAGTTTACTTTTCAAATCCTAATTAGTAGAACTTAATTTCTGGATTGTAATTTAATGCTCTTAATGAACCAATTTTAAAGCTTAAATTTCTTAACCATAACCATCCAAATTTTTTGCTAAAAACCTTTCAAATTAAAACAATTGTTTATTAATGTTGTTGATCATTTAATTATGATCTATTTTCAAATTTATTTCTCTAATTACCCAAGCACATAACTGTTTATACTCTATTAATACACTTTCTAAGATATTGTTGCTTGTATATGATTTTTTCGATAAGCAATTTTATTAAGATCCCCCACTAAAATGAAGTTAAATCTAATTACTTAAAAGGCACTCTTAATGGAGTTATTGATTATTCTGATTTACAGGAGGCTCTATAATTATGAGAAATGTTTGAAATTGTACTCATTATTGTCTTCATATTATTCGTTAAAAAAATTATCAAATTTATATATAATAATAAAATAATTATTATCATGATCTTACATTATTTCTTATTTTCACATTTATTTCATCCTTGCTATAAATTTGAATTTTTATTACTTTATTCAATCCAAGTAATTAATAAAGAAAAAATGAACCATAGTTTAGGAAGAATGAAACAATAATAAATTTTTTAGGTAAAAATTTGAAGCATGATATTTTGATTTAGAATTTAATCATTAAAACACAATAATTTATTTTAAATTGGAATTTGAGAAAATGTTTAATTGTTTCTTTTTTTTAGGTAAAAAAAGTATATTTTTTATAATGGTACAATAATTGATTTTTGTTCATAATATTAATGATTTATTAAATAGATGATAAACCTTATTTTTAATTTACATAAATAAAGATATAAAGAAAATAACTATACAATCAATGGTAATAAATTTAATTTCAGAGATTATTTTATGTCGTTCTTTAAGGACCATATTTTTGAAATACTAAAAAATATTAAAAAATTATAAATTCTTGTCATGTTATGTTATTAATTCAAACTCAGTTCAAGAATTTGAAATTTATAATTCCTATATTTGTTTCCATGATTGAACTATTAGATTNTTTAAACTTAGGTTTCAAAGACTTTTTTTTTGGAAATATTTCTCTATTCTCCTTATCACAACTAGGTTCTTGTAGAGAATAGCTAATATTTCTTAATGGTTATTTTGTAATCAACTCAATTGAATAATTATGTCTTTTTTGTAAAGGAGTGTTTGATAAAAAGTCTTCATTTATATTATTTGAGATTTATTTAAGTTTACTTTTCAAATCCTAATTAGTAGAACTTAATTTCTGGATTGTAATTTAATGCTCTTAATGAACCAATTTTAAAGCTTAAATTTCTTAACCATAACCATCCAAATTTTTTGCTAAAAACCTTTCAAATTAAAACAATTGTTTATTAATGTTGTTGATCATTTAATTATGATCTATTTTCAAATTTATTTCTCTAATTACCCAAGCACATAACTGTTTATACTCTATTAATACACTTTCTAAGATATTGTTGCTTGTATATGATTTTTTCGATAAGCAATTTTATTAAGATCCCCCACTAAAATGAAGTTAAATCTAATTACTTAAAAGGCACTCTTAATGGAGTTATTGATTATTCTGATTTACAGGAGGCTCTATAATTATGAGAAATGTTTGAAATTGTACTCATTATTGTCTTCATATTATTCGTTAAAAAAATTATCAAATTTATATATAATAATAAAATAATTATTATCATGATCTTACATTATTTCTTATTTTCACATTTATTTCATCCTTGCTATAAATTTGAATTTTTATTACTTTATTCAATCCAAGTAATTAATAAAGAAAAAATGAACCATAGTTTAGGAAGAATGAAACAATAATAAATTTTTTAGGTAAAAATTTGAAGCATGATATTTTGATTTAGAATTTAATCATTAAAACACAATAATTTATTTTAAATTGGAATTTGAGAAAATGTTTAATTGTTTCTTTTTTTTAGGTAAAAAAAGTATATTTTTTATAATGGTACAATAATTGATTTTTGTTCATAATATTAATGATTTATTAAATAGATGATAAACCTTATTTTTAATTTACATAAATAAAGATATAAAGAAAATAACTATACAATCAATGGTAATAAATTTAATTTCAGAGATTATTTTATGTCGTTCTTTAAGGACCATATTTTTGAAATACTAAAAAATATTAAAAAATTATAAATTCTTGTCATGTTATGTTATTAATTCAAACTCAGTTCAAGAATTTGAAATTTATAATTCCTATATTTGTTTCCATGATTGAACTATTAGATTATAAAATGGCTTAACCTTATATTTGATTAAAATCATTATTCAAATATAGTTCAATTACAAGTTCATTTTAATAATTAGTGGAGTTTTTTAAAACAATTTAAGGATCACTTCTCATCTTATAATATTCTACAAGATATTCATCATATCTTTCATCATAATCGATATTTATATATAATTATGGCTAAATTTATTAAAATTATGTACATAAGTTGATCCAGTGTCTCTATTGAATATCATAAAAAATTATTCAGGGGTTATTCTATTATAATTTTTTGAAATCGAATGTGTAAATGGTACAAATTTCACAGATGATGGCCTACCACTTGAAAGCTAATATATTCCTATCACTATTTTTTTTCCATCAGTGTAAGGGATTGCCACATTACCATCTATATAAGCAAGTTTATTAATCGCAGGCCAATCTCCATAAGGAGTTAAGACATATAAAAGAGACACACTTGATTTTTTGATAGGAAGTCCAAATGTTGGTTTTGAGGCATCTAAATCAAAAGCAAAAACATATTGAGCTTAATTATTAGTGCTAATTAGTACATTAAGTTATAAAATATTTCCATTTAATTAAGATGAAATTACCTTCACCTAATAAAATTTAGTGTCTTAATTGATAAAGAATTAATCATCAGAGAAATTAATAAGTTTAAATAATTCATAGGTAGTTTTAAATAATAATCCTTAATCATTATATGCAAAATGAGAGAAATAGATACCATTATTGATATCTGTAAATAGGATGGTTGCAAATAAATTGCTATTTATTGAATATTTAATAACATCAAAATCACCAATTAATAATTAATTAGATCCAACATAATAGTTATTAATAATATATTTATGAGAAATAGTGAATATGGTTCCATAATCATCTAATGAGGCTACAACTATAAAATTATTTAAATTTAATATGATGATATTTTTTTAATCAGGCATCTTGGTTTTAGTAATCATTTGTAAGCCTTTCAATATTTCGANCCTTATTTTTAATTTACATAAATAAAGATATAAAGAAAATAACTATACAATCAATGGTAATAAATTTAATTTCAGAGATTATTTTATGTCGTTCTTTAAGGACCATATTTTTGAAATACTAAAAAATATTAAAAAATTATAAATTCTTGTCATGTTATGTTATTAATTCAAACTCAGTTCAAGAATTTGAAATTTATAATTCCTATATTTGTTTCCATGATTGAACTATTAGATTATAAAATGGCTTAACCTTATATTTGATTAAAATCATTATTCAAATATAGTTCAATTACAAGTTCATTTTAATAATTAGTGGAGTTTTTTAAAACAATTTAAGGATCACTTCTCATCTTATAATATTCTACAAGATATTCATCATATCTTTCATCATAATCGATATTTATATATAATTATGGCTAAATTTATTAAAATTATGTACATAAGTTGATCCAGTGTCTCTATTGAATATCATAAAAAATTATTCAGGGGTTATTCTATTATAATTTTTTGAAATCGAATGTGTAAATGGTACAAATTTCACAGATGATGGCCTACCACTTGAAAGCTAATATATTCCTATCACTATTTTTTTTCCATCAGTGTAAGGGATTGCCACATTACCATCTATATAAGCAAGTTTATTAATCGCAGGCCAATCTCCATAAGGAGTTAAGACATATAAAAGAGACACACTTGATTTTTTGATAGGAAGTCCAAATGTTGGTTTTGAGGCATCTAAATCAAAAGCAAAAACATATTGAGCTTAATTATTAGTGCTAATTAGTACATTAAGTTATAAAATATTTCCATTTAATTAAGATGAAATTACCTTCACCTAATAAAATTTAGTGTCTTAATTGATAAAGAATTAATCATCAGAGAAATTAATAAGTTTAAATAATTCATAGGTAGTTTTAAATAATAATCCTTAATCATTATATGCAAAATGAGAGAAATAGATACCATTATTGATATCTGTAAATAGGATGGTTGCAAATAAATTGCTATTTATTGAATATTTAATAACATCAAAATCACCAATTAATAATTAATTAGATCCAACATAATAGTTATTAATAATATATTTATGAGAAATAGTGAATATGGTTCCATAATCATCTAATGAGGCTACAACTATAAAATTATTTAAATTTAATATGATGATATTTTTTTAATCAGGCATCTTGGTTTTAGTAATCATTTGTAAGCCTTTCAATATTTCGATACCTTGTCTGAATTGAGAGCAAGCATCTTAATACTAGCATTTATGAATAAATAAACCTGCCTCATTTTTTGTATTTTAAAAAGCTGACAAGATAAAAGTATAATCTGCTGATATTGAAATCTAATGGCAGCTTTCGGTTTTCAAGTTTATCAATATTTTTAACTTTAATAGACCTGTTATATCTTCAAAAATCAAAGAATTTTTTGTTAAATAAACTTATCCAGCCAATCCAAAAGATGCACCATCCAAAATTTGACCATAAAAATTACCATCTCTAACTTTATAAATATTTGGTAATATAGACAAAGAGTCGAAGCATTATGAACATTTTATATTAAAACTTGTAACTTAACCCTAATACCAATCAGTTCCCATGCTTATAAATTAATATCCAGATTATTTTACAAATGGAAATACTTTTTTTTTGCTATCAAATAAAGATTATTAAATAAATAACTGAATTTACGTATTGAGTAGAGTAACTAAGGATTATTAAGTTATTGGCCTAACTCCTTAGAAACCAGAGATTTATACTGCAATAATTTAATTATTTACATATTCAATATAATCTGGATTAGGAGTAACGTAAAGTTAAGATTTTGATAAGATACTTATAATTTAATGGTGAGTGTTGTTATTGTAATACAAAAACATTTGGTCTCCACCATCAACTGCCATATTAAATTTTAATCCATCTTTTACTAATCCTTCTGTATCTAATACTTTGTATAAAGAAATGTGAGATAAGACATTAGGCTAATAAACTAATATAACTGTTTATAACCCATCACTTGCTCTTACATAAAACCATCCTGTCTAAAAGGAATAATCTACAGTTAAAGGTTTTTACAGTTTATAATTGAATAATGGAATGTCTTTTAATTTATATATATTTTAAAGATGTTAGTATTGATATTCTTCGATATGATCTTCACCTTTCAAAGTTTGTAATACAAAAAAGCTATTAATTCCAATAGCTACTTCTACATCTGATCCATCTAAAATTGGAATCACTTTATGTATTACAAAGGAGGGAGATTAAATTTTTGAAAACATTCCAATCAATAAAGAAGTTTATGTTTATATAAATGCCAAAATATTACTTTTATTTCCAAAAACCTTAATTGGAGTAAATATTCCATGCATATCAAATTTCTGTATATCATTCTAATTAATTTCATATAATAACCTAAATGGAGAATATAATTAATATATTGAAACTCTCTTGATTCCAGATTAGACTATATAAATACTATCAAAGATTATTGCTACTGATGAGATTTAATTTTCAAAATATTTATCATCAAATTCTATTATATAAATATTTCTCATTTATCCGTCTCTCAATGAATATATATTGATAGAAAATTTTGAGTTTTGATGAATAATTACTAATTAAGAATAAATAGTGAACCAAGAAAAGAAACCCAAATGTTAATCAATGATAGATGGAAATGCAAAAGTGTTATAATTTAAACATTCTGCAATTTCAAAATTTTGATATTGATGTTAACAGCTATATATATAGACAATTCTTGATTGAACTTATAACAACAAATAAAATTCTGCTGGATTTTCATTAACCAAAATATCTGAGTAAATAATATCTTTTGGACCTGGCATATGAATATTTGTTATTTATAGTTTTATCACCTATTTAATTTTGTAAGATATCTTGCTTTTTAATTAATCTTCTATTAAATCTATGGATGAATACTATAAATTAGGCCCAGATGCAATTTATTTTAAAATTATTGGATTAGATGGAATTATTATGATTGGATTAAATGGATTATTGTTAAATGAAAGAATTTAAGTATCATTCTTTTTGAGAACAAGTAAATTAAGTGTAACTGAACAACGTTTTGAGGGATCGTCTATTATTTCAGCTGAAAGTGTTACAAATTTATTAATAGAACTAGCCTTATCTGGTCTATTCAATCTCAATAAACCATTATTAAGGAAATATCTCTTTGCAGTTTAAGAATTAATACCAATAACATCTTCGTAATTTGGATTTGTTATAATGATACTAGCATCTTCGACTTAGGTAAAGATTTTCTTTCCATTCTCTATATTAAATATATGTATCGTATTTCTTATCTTAAGAATAATATATTGTTAACTCAATTTGATTTAAAATGCATTATACCAATCTATTTTAGGTATAAGTAATTAAAACGATTACAATCCATTCTCCAACAACACAAGTGTATTTTAATAAACAAAGACTACTTTTTTAGTCAAAGTTCCATCCTTATTAAATGAATTATGAATATCAAAGCCAAAACAAAGGCTTTTATATGAAATGTTTATAAAATCTTCCAAATTCCATTCTAGAAATTTTTACTTAAAAGATACTACATAAAAACCATTATATGCATCTAAAATATTAACTCTACCATTTGCTTCAATTTTAAAGTCTACTAATGAAAATTCTAACTTACCCTCATCAATTCCTAATAATTTTGCTAAGACTGCATTTGTTAAAATTGCAACAGGAGTGTTCTTCAAAAGTGTAAATTTACTTGTAAATTAAAATACTTCAATTTTGCTATTTTTCTCTAAAATAAATTGTTAAAGAGCCTTTTTAGTTGCCCAAGCAGGTTCACTTCTAAATACTAAATTTTAATCATCCTTATTATAAAATGTATAATTATGGAATGATATTATTCTATATTATGTATCATTGTAATCTTAGGTATTTTCAATTAATTCAATTCCAAAATATTATTCATCATCTATATCTACAATAAAGAATCCATTTATATTATTTTAAGGATTATCTGAATCAAACAAACTGCAATCAATAACAACTTTAGTTTCTGTAATAAAATCCAAATCATAACATGCAAAATCATTTGTAAAATCTCTTAGTTTAATAGATTCATTAAAATTAGGGACTTTAACTTGATTTAAAATACCACTAAAAAAATATATATTTATATTACTCTTTGGAAAATAAAACTTGAAAACATGTTTAGTTAAGCCCTAATGCTGCAAAAACATTAGTCCATGCTCCATTATCTATTTATAATAAAGGTTTTAAAGACACTATTTTCAAATCTATAATAATAAAAAAGTATGATACCTAAAGCATTTGTTGTCTAACCAAGTTAATGTAAAGGACTTAAAACTTCAAAGAAATTGCTTTCTTGTTTAACGTTAAACTTTATATTTTCTCCTGTAAAAAAGAAAGCATTCATGTCCCATTCTAAAGTCTCATTTTCTGTTGCAAATATATCGTATTATTATAGATTTGAAACTATCATTTATAAAAACTTTATACCACATGATGAAGCAAAAGTGTATAAAATCAAACAAAATAAAGTCAAATCAATTTTCATAAAAAATTTTAATCAAAATATCTTCCTAATAGAGTAGTTTAAAATTAATTCCCAATTTAATATTTATGTAAATTCTAAAATCCTATTTAATAACTAATGAATTTAATTTTTTCTATATTCAAAGCAATCTGGTGATACAACTTATTTCATCAAGAAATATTAATAATTAGTGGTTGAAGTAAATAAATATGATATCAACTTGGTCAATTTAGTTTATAAAAATATTCAATGACATTGTTAATTAGTGTAAAATAGCTGTGGAGATGAGTGTATTACAAAAATAATAGAAAAAAAATATATAAATATTTATTCATCATATTTTATCAATAATTAAATATTGTTTTTCTTTAAAGTTTTTAAGGATTAATTTTTATTAAAATTTTCCTTATTTGGGCTAAAATGATGGTATTTCAGGTAAGGGAGAATATCTTGAATTTTATGATAGTCTAACCTATTTAAGTTAAAATGATTAATCAATAACTTCTTATTTAATTTTAACACTACCATACTTTGATTCAGATTTAAAATTTAACAATTTTTCAATGTGGCTTTAATCATTTGGTTGTTTTTATATTTTTTCTTATTTCTTGATTAATTTAGTTTTATCAAATGATTTATTATTATGTAATTCTCTTTCAATTTAATAATTAATTCTTATCTATAATTTTTTCTTTTCTTTTTGTTTTTCAGTTACATTTTCTAAGGTAAATGAACTGCAATTTATTGATTAATCATTTTTTTTAATATTTGTTCTTAATTTGTATGATAATTGTAAATTAGATATTAAATCATCTGGCAATAGTATGCTATTTTCTAATAAAAATGATCTAGGTTTTGATCTGATTTAATGATCATATGGGATTGGTTCTAAAGTTTCATAGTACATAGGTTTAGTTGATCTTTAGGTTGATTAACTTTGATTTTCATATAATTATACCTAGATGGAATGAATTCTATTTCTATAATGATTTCTTTTTGATATAATATCTAACAACAACTTAAATTCCTTTAAATTAAAAACCTAATTGAATTTTGAAAAGAAGATCTTGAGTGGGAATTTAATAACTTTACACTATTTGGTTAAACATTAAACTTAAAAGTCTCTACTAATTTGCCTAGATATATATTCTTCAAATCCAAAAATGTCATTTTCTGATATTTCTGCAATAGGTTTAACTTAAGGTTTTTCTTTTGTTGATTCTGCTAAAAATATAGAGGGAATTTATTGAAAATGTTTCCTTTATATAGATCCAACTTTTTTTCCTATTAATAATTTTCCTTCAAGTATAATATATAAAAATTCAAGTGATTCATTTATTTTATATATTTTTTGACCTTATTCATAATAATCTATTTTAGCCTCAGAAGATAATTCTTCAATATCGTATTATTGTAATACATTCAATATAGGATGATTTATTTAAATCATTTTCTTAAGATTTATTTAATGTTAGTATTTATGAAGAGATGCTCTAAAAATAAATGCATTTATAATAATGAAGATTGAATTCTTTTTAGTAATGTATTCTGATTTATTAGGTGTAAGTTTTGTTAGATTTTCTTCAAAAAGAGCATCAGCAATATTTGAAACATTACATTGAGTTTCATTAATTTGCATTACTTACCCTTCTATAATGAAATAAAAAGCATTAGGTTCCTCATCTATTTTATTTTCTTTAGTTACTTTTTTTAACGATAATCATTTCATTAGGAACACTAATCAACTATGCAAATTAAGACAATCTGAATAGGCATTCTTAACCATGAAAATTTTTTATTTTTCTAAAATAAGTGAATCCCAATAAATATTCATTGATAAAAATGATTTCTTCATAAGTTCTATCATCAGATTATTTATTGAATATATTCTTTAAAATTTAATTTAATGATTAGGATTATGCTTATACTTTATATTTAAATATTAAGTTTTCATCAAGTTCCCATAAAGGCAATTCTAAATCATTAAATAATGATTTACTAGGTTTCATTATATTAAATAAATTTATTAATTGAAATCATTCAATGGAAAAAGTAGGTATAAAATGAGAGATTAAAAGTCAAAGTGAAATATTAAATCTATATTAAATTGATAAGTAAAGTTAAAATAAAATTGGAAGTTTGATAGTTTAGATTAAATTTTATAAGAACAATCATCAAATGGAAATCGAAAATAAATAATTGGGTAATAAAAATCAATAGACATGATCTACTATGCTGTTCTAGATTTAAAACATCTACCTTAGATTAAGTTATAGAATCAAAGTAAGAAATTTAAAAGAGAGAATCAATTTAGTTAATTTTTTTTATATTGAAAATAATATAATAATGATAAATATAAGCTAGGTTAATAGCTAAGTATTCATAAAGCAAAGAAAACCTCAATGTTCTTCTCTCAAAATGCGCTATAAAGAGAGAGTAAATCTTAAGAAATACAGTTTAGGAAAGAGCATGGAATGATAGGATTATTAAATCGGAATAAATCTTGCATTTAAGAACTAAAGAGAGTTTGAATAAGAAGAGACTGCCAAAACTATAAAACACTACAGCAATAATCGTTTAAAAATATATAAACATGCAAAAAAATCAACAAGAATCAATTGAAATTGTAGAATGTGAACAAAAAATAGTTGAGACTAAATTAGACTAGTTGAGATAACTTTACAAAGTTTATTGTATTCCTAAAATCCATTAAGTATAATATTTAAGTTTATTTTCTTAAGAATCTATTTAATACAATATTAGAAGCATCCTCAAATAAAAGAGCAGTTGTGGAAGAGGAACTAAATCTAATGAATAAAAAATTAGCCCCAATACAGCATTGTATGTTTGTAATTACAGCCAGAGAGAACTGTTTTAAATAAGTTTTTGCTTTGTTAAAACAGAATTAAACTCAAATTGACTTAATATTAGAGAAATTAAAAGACCTTAGAATGCTTAATCTAACTACTTTAGAAAGTATTGTTAAATGGCAATAATATTTTTTAAATAAAAACCTAAGAGCAGAATTCCAATTAGATGACAATCCTCCTTATCATTAGAGATTTTGTAATGATTATTTAGAATTGAAACCTCAGCTAATGAATTTATTCAAGGTTTCAGATTGGCCAGATCCTTTCTTTATTTAATTGTTAGGCAAAGGATAATAAAGATTATAAATCAGAATAAGGAGAGCAGAAGCTGAATTATTGAATTTGATAGTTAACAATATTTATTTTAAATGAGAAAATAAGCAGAATATGAACTCTATAAACGTCTTAAGTTACTTGGTGAAGGAGCGTTTGGGAAAGCTTATTTAGTGGAATGCCTTTAAGATAAGTTAATTATATCTTAATTTCTCAGGTCTTTGTGGGTTTCTAAATACATGGATTTAGCTGCAATGACTAATTAAGAAAAAGATGAAACCTTGAGAGAAGCAAAAATTCTTGAATTTCTATCTCATCCAAATATAGTAAAGTTTAGAGAAGTTTATAAAACTAAAAAAGGAAGATTATGTATTGTTATGGAATATGCAGATGGTAATTTTATCATTAATTCAAAGGTGGTGATTTATCTTAAAAAATAAAGGAAGCTAAAGGTAAATATCTTCCTGAAGCTCAAATTTTAGATTGGTTTACTCAAATATGTTTGGCTATTAAACATGTACATGATAGGAAGATAATTCATAGAGATTTAAAAGGATAAAACATCTTCTTAAATAAAGAAGGTCAAGTTAAATTAGGAGATTTTGGAATTGCAAGAATATTGAAAATAACTTTAGAAAAAGCTAAGACTATGGTTGGAACACCATATTATATAAGTCCTGAAATAATCGAAGGCAAACCTTATTCAGTTATGACAGACATATGGTCATTAGGAGTTATACTTTATGAATTATGTGCTTTATAACCTCCATTCAATGGTGATTCATTGCATGTTCTCGCTATAAATATTGTTAAAGGACAATACAAACCAATTCCTGCAAATTATTCTAAAGATTTGAAATAACTTGTCTAATAGATGTTGTAAGTAGATTATCGAAGAAGACCTACAATTTAAGAAATATTAAGTAAAGATCTATTAATTATTCAAAGAAATGCCAGTCATTACGAATAGAATTAAAAGTTTTTTAAGTGAAACAATTCAAAAATAAGAATTCTCTCATACTGTATTTCATAATAAGATGTTTGAAGTAAAAGGAAATCTAAATTAAGTTAATCTGATATTGAATGAATAACCATGTCCACCTTAATTTTTAGAACAAAATGCTAAAAATTTATAAGAATTTCCAGAAGTTATTAAAAAACCCTCACTTCAAGATTGTGATATTATTCGACCTCCTTAAATAATGAAATAATAATAATAACCCTTATCTCGATAATCTGATCTTTAAAAAGATGCACCAAAAATCTAATAATAAGAATACCAATACAAAAAGCAAGATATACAAAAATAAATTGATGTTCCTAAAAAAATTGATCCCATAATAAAGAATTCACCTTTAATATAAAAAAAAGATATCTCGAAAGATATTCCTTAATAGAAAGAAGTCATAAAGCAATCACCAAAATAACAATATCCTATAAGACCAAAAAGTGATTAAGAAAAATAATAAAGAAGTGAGCCATGCAGATTCGATGGTAAAGTGTAATAGAAACATTCAAATAGCGAATAAGCTTTGATACCTGATTAAAAAAAACAATAATTCATTTCTCCAAAAAATAAATAAAAATTAGATTAGCCAAGGTTAACTTATTTTATATTTGTTTAGACCTCCAACTGCTCCAAAAGAATAACCAAAATTATAAGTTGCTCAATAAAGACCTTAAAGTTCAAGGCCTTTAGTTTCAGATTAAAAAATAGTTTAGAAAGTGAATATTGAATAGAAAAGACGAATAAGTGTTGATAAAGCTCCAGTTATTCAACCATAACAATAAAAATAATAACAATTAGAATAATAACAATTAGAATAATAACGTCAAGAAGAAAAAAATAGATAATTAAAATTAAAATAATAATAGGAGTAATAAGAGTAAGAAAAGAAATAAAAAGAGTATTAAATTTAATAATAATTACTTGAAAAATAAAGATAATTAGAGAAGTAATAATAATTAGATAAATAAAAATAATAATAATAATAACAATTAGAAAAATAAAAAGGAATAGAAGAAAAATAAAGAAATATTGAAAATTAATTAATATCTAAAATGGATATTAATAGGAATGATTAATAAAAATAAAATTTGTAAAAATAACCATATTAGAAATCATCTCAAATTGATAACAAATAATTTGAATCCAAGTAATAAATTAAATCAAAAGCTGATTAACTATAAAAGATTGAAAAGAATGCCAAAGATTTTGATCTTATGTTTAAAGAATTGGAAAGTTTGGTATAAATTATTAATAAATAAAGATTAATAATGTTCATAATGCAATAGAAAAATTTCCAAATTAAGGAGGCAAAGAAAATTATTTTGATTAAAATTTAATTTAAACAATCTTAATTGAAGATAGAGAAGATGATGAAGCTGAACCAATAGATTAAGACTATAAGAAAAAAAAATATATGGTTAAATAAATATCAAAGTAAGAGGAGTAATGTTTAGATATTTTAAATAAATAAGATTAGAACTTTTTTAGTCTAGGGATTAAACTTGAAAATGCTCTTGGATAAGAAAAAATGAATAAAGCAAAAAATATTATAAAATAGACTGTAATCTTACTATTTATAAATATAGTTAGAAAAAATGAATTTAGAAAAAATGGAATTATAATACGGACCTAATTATGAACAATTACTACCTTTTTTAACATTAGAAGAAAGAAAAAAATATACACAACTTTTATTTACTTATATTTTATGTGAATGATAGCATTTATTAGTTATTAAATAATATTAATTATAATATCTATTATAATTTCTTGGATTTTAATATAATATAATTCATCATCACATCATTATCTTAGATTTTGTAGATAGGATTATTACAAATAAATTTATATAAAACTATGCAAAACAATAATTTAGAACAATCATTTGCTAATTACGTTAATAAGTTAAATAGTTATTCTGTTCTAAAGATTAATCAAGATTCATAAAACAAATTTGGATCTTCAAATCTACCAAAATTAATTGTTCCAACTCCATTTGAATCGAATGAAATGCTGAATTATTTGGAAAGGGCCAAGTTTCCTAAAAAGACTGATCTTAATAAAACTATATGGATTGAATTTAAATAAGAAGGCACTAAGAGTTTCAATAAATTAACAAATGAACTATTCTAATAATTAGAGCCAAAGAGTGTAAAATTAAACACTANAATAAAAATAAAATTTGTAAAAATAACCATATTAGAAATCATCTCAAATTGATAACAAATAATTTGAATCCAAGTAATAAATTAAATCAAAAGCTGATTAACTATAAAAGATTGAAAAGAATGCCAAAGATTTTGATCTTATGTTTAAAGAATTGGAAAGTTTGGTATAAATTATTAATAAATAAAGATTAATAATGTTCATAATGCAATAGAAAAATTTCCAAATTAAGGAGGCAAAGAAAATTATTTTGATTAAAATTTAATTTAAACAATCTTAATTGAAGATAGAGAAGATGATGAAGCTGAACCAATAGATTAAGACTATAAGAAAAAAAAATATATGGTTAAATAAATATCAAAGTAAGAGGAGTAATGTTTAGATATTTTAAATAAATAAGATTAGAACTTTTTTAGTCTAGGGATTAAACTTGAAAATGCTCTTGGATAAGAAAAAATGAATAAAGCAAAAAATATTATAAAATAGACTGTAATCTTACTATTTATAAATATAGTTAGAAAAAATGAATTTAGAAAAAATGGAATTATAATACGGACCTAATTATGAACAATTACTACCTTTTTTAACATTAGAAGAAAGAAAAAAATATACACAACTTTTATTTACTTATATTTTATGTGAATGATAGCATTTATTAGTTATTAAATAATATTAATTATAATATCTATTATAATTTCTTGGATTTTAATATAATATAATTCATCATCACATCATTATCTTAGATTTTGTAGATAGGATTATTACAAATAAATTTATATAAAACTATGCAAAACAATAATTTAGAACAATCATTTGCTAATTACGTTAATAAGTTAAATAGTTATTCTGTTCTAAAGATTAATCAAGATTCATAAAACAAATTTGGATCTTCAAATCTACCAAAATTAATTGTTCCAACTCCATTTGAATCGAATGAAATGCTGAATTATTTGGAAAGGGCCAAGTTTCCTAAAAAGACTGATCTTAATAAAACTATATGGATTGAATTTAAATAAGAAGGCACTAAGAGTTTCAATAAATTAACAAATGAACTATTCTAATAATTAGAGCCAAAGAGTGTAAAATTAAACACTACTGTACAAAGGTTGAATTTCAGAAAATTTCAATTAAAAATACCAAAAAGTTAATAGTAGTTAATGAGAAGTAGACAGAAATATTTAGATTAACTATTAATTGGATAATAAAGAATCATAAAAACTGAATTTTGAATAAGAATTTTATATATAAAATAAATTATAAATTATGTATTTGAAAATAATTATAATATGAATATTATTTAATAACAATAGATTGATTCTAAATTAAAAATATTGTAATTATTCAATAAAAAAGAGAAGTACGTTTTATGATTATAAATAATTTTAAAAGTATTTTGATAAATCAATATTATATGACATTATTTTATTTGGTATCTTCAAATTGAAATCTCTTAAAATTCATAGTCTAAGTTGAGATTTACAATAATATTGTCATCATTATCAATTATTTTTAATTAAATTATTTAAAACACCAGTATGACAGATTTTGCTTTGACAACCTTCAGTAGCAAAGGCAAGTTATTGCAAATTGAATATGCATTAAATGCTGTAGCAAAAGGAGATACAGCTATAGGAATTAAAGCAAAAAATGGTGTAGTTTTAGTTGTTGAGAAGAAATAATCATCAATTTTAATTGAAGAATCAAGTGTCCAAAAAATAGCTTTATTGACAGATAACATTGCAGCTACATATGCTGGTTTGGGACCAGATTTTAGAGTGTTATCATAATAAGCAAGAAAATTAGTGAAGAAATATGATTTGAAATATCAAGAGGAAATTTTTGTATAAACATTAAGTAGAGAATTAGCAGAAGTAGAAATATTGAATAAAATTAGGATGTGTAAATAGCTACATAGAGAGGTGGAATTAGACCATTTGGTGTATCCATTCTTATAGCAGGATATGATGAGGAGGGTCCTCATTTAGTATAACTGGATCCAAGTGGTGCTTATTATAGTTGGAAGGCAACAGCAATAGGTAAGTAAGCCAAGAACGCTAAGGCATTTTTAGAAAAGAGATATAATGCTGATATGGAAATTGAGGATGCCATTAATACAGCCTTATTAACATTAAAAGAAGGATTTGAAGGTATACATCTATTATTATATATATTTAAGGATAAATTACACCCACTAATATTGAAGTAGGAGTGATTAGGGATGATCATGTATACAGAATCTTGCCACCATCTTAAGTAAAGGATTATTTGGAAGAATTAGAATGATAATTGATTATGAGATATTAATGAAATATTAATAAATTCCTTATGTAAATCATTTCTTTATGAACATTGATAATAATCATAAAAAAAAGTAGAAAATACAACTAATTGTTAGTAATATTTTGAAATAATGATGTAATATGTATTAATTAATTGTAATAATACAAGTAATCATAATCAAATTATTACACTTTCTGTTTTCTCATCCTTTATTTTTTATTTTTTATTTTCAATCATTAAAAAAATGTAAAAGTGAAATAGATGATAGATAAATAAAAAAAATAGGTTAAAATATTTTATATGAATTAAATCCAAAGTTTAATAAAGACATCATCAACAAAAATACTCTTTTTTTATAATTGTAGATTTTGAAAGTGATATCTAATATATTGTTTAATGATATAAGATCCAAATTGACAATTAAGAGAATAAATCCATTTTAGATTGACAATGTCACATAATTTATTTATAATTCTTTTAATATGACCAATTATTCTGCCTAATAAATGTATTAAAGTAGTCTATATTTAACATATATTTATATATATAATTTAATTAAATCAATGAGGTTTTGGTTTATGACCATCAACATAGAAATTCCTTGTAGCCTTTGGTAATGATATTACAACATTTTCAAATTTCTCATCAACCTTCACTTAACATCCTAACCTAGAGGTTTCTGTCAATCCATAAGCAAGATCTAATAGATCTTCTTCTTCAGGTACAGGTTAAGGCACTTTATCATATAATTATTCTATATCAATAAAATATATATTACTTGGTAATATTACATGACAAGTAGAACATGCTAGTGATTATTCACATGCACCTTCTAAATCAATCTCATTTTTATGTGCAATTTATAATAAATTTTATCCAATAGGTGTTGTTACTTTTGTTAAGGAATTATCTTTATTTTTAAAAAAGAATGTGACCATTTTTTATTAAGATGCACCAAATTTACTTAAAAATCTGATCATCAAAAAATTATATAATTATGGTAATTATTAGATTGGATTTTAGATATTTGATAATATATTTTGTAACAATTTTCAAAAATCCTCTTTTTTTGATTACAGTCTTATCTATATTAATGAATCTTAGTTAATTATTAAATTCTTTTTGTTCAAAATTAGAAAATTGTTTATTTTAGTATTTTGTATTTTCTGAATTTGCATTCTTCATAGTATCCTTTTAGAAATTTTGATTGAATAAATAGATTACTTATTTAAATAAGTTATGTTAATAATTTAGTATTAATAATATATAATGAGTTATGTACCTATATTGAATAGAAATTTAACCATGTTAGGTCTTTCGGTGCTTGATTTAATATTTGGTGTAGTGAATAACTAAATCTAAACAATCATTTTAAATTCAGCACTTCTCGGAATAATATTATGTAAGATTATTCTAATATATTCAAGTCATTATACTATATAAATACAAATATTAGAAGAAACCTAAATTGTTAGAAATTTCAGTTATGCTTTATTATTGCTCTTATTAACTTGCATTAAAGGGAGTTCCTTATATTTGGTTTAGTTTGCTATCTATTGCATCAAATAAGCATATCATCTAATTCATTATATTATTACTTATAATAGCCATAACTTCCGCTTAAATTGAACCCATTTGTCCTATATGTCACTTATAAGTGTTATTAGAACAAATATTTTTGATGGGATTATTAATATATAATCGATTTAATTTTTTTACAGAAAAGAAGAAAGCACAAAAGCAACTACAAAAGTAGATATTTTGTAAAATCAAATATTGTTTATATAATGAAAACCTAATAGATGTCGATGATAAAAAATAGAAATAACAAGAAATATCAATTCTCTCTGGAGTTTCTTTATCTTCTCATCGTCTAGATAATTAATAATTATAGTTGAAAACTTAAAAAGATTTTAAAATAAAGTGTTACTCTATTAATAGTAATGAACAAGAATAACGTGTTTTTAATTAAAAACCATTAGTATTTGATAGTATTAGTAGTTTTCTTGAAATATTCTAAAAAGAATTCAAATAAATGAAAAATAAAATAATTATATCTTCTGAATTAGATATTCCAACAGGATAAAAATTAAAAAGGAGAATTTATATTCAATAATTTAATAATTTAGGTAAAAAATATTATTAAATTGCTATGTTACAACAAGATGATAATTTAATTAATAAATAGAATAAAAATATCAATAAATTTAAATTAAGTTTATCTAAAATATTTACTCATAAGTTGAAAACTCCTTTGAATACAACTCTTGGGTATTTATAAACTGCTATTTAAGAAAATATTAGTGTAGATGAATAATTAAAAATGAATTTTTTAAAACCTGCTTTCATAAATTCTAAAATTTAATTTTATTAAGTACAGGATATTTTAGAATATATTAATTAAGAGGATTTATTATAATTTCGAATAGTAAAAGTGAATATGCATAAAACATTAGGACTTATTTATGATTTAATTGAATTATAATGTAGAGCAAAGAAAATTAAAATAGAATTTTTAATAAATGATAAACCTTTTAATATAAGAGAAAAGTATATTGTTATTATTAATATTAGACCTATTTATATATAAACAGATCAATAAAGATTGGAAAGAATTCTATTCAATTTATTGAATAAATCTTATAGACACACTCAAATAAATGGAAGAATATGTCTCCATATTTAAATTGATTCTGAATTGAATTAAGTATAATTTAAAATTAATGATAATGTATTGGGATTCAAATAAGAATAAGTAGATTAAATCAATTCATTTGCTTAATAATAAAATAAATCAATATCTTAATTTAGAAATTCTATAGTCAAAAAATCAAAGTTCAAATTTAGTTTAACATTATAAATAACTAACAAATTAATATTTTTCTTAAGTGATATGTAATGTTCACTATAAGTCAGAAATACAGTTGAAGAAGGTGCTAGTTATTATTTCTTTATCAGTATGAATTGTCAATAAGGTAGTTTTCAATAAACTGTAGATTTACAAATGTTTAATTCGAATTCATAACCTAAAAGTTCAATTACAATAAAATAACCTACAAATAGCTATCCTTTTTTTAATTATACTCCAAGTTAGTATTAAATTAGGTAGTTTATATAATTATATCTAATTAGTAAAGAGAGAATCTTTGAAGGTTTAGATATAGATGATGAACCCTGTGCTAATAAACCATTTTGTTTAAGTACTTAAAATTTATCATATTCTCCATAACTTACAATTTTAAGAACTCAATAAGCTTAATAGAGCATAATTTAATATTAGAAAAATGTTTATTAAAAAGAATTTAATGAAAAATCATTAACATTATCTTTAGCATTTGAAAGATCAATAAATATGAAAAGAATTGGAGATTCTGTAGATATTAGATAAGATGTTAATTAAACAATATTGTTAGTAGATGATGAACCATTTAATCATGATACATTAAAACTAATGTTAAAAAGTCTTGGTTTTAAGAATTTCCTTAGTGGATATAATGGTTAATAATGTATAGAATTAGTATAAAAATATCATAATTCAATAAAAATTATATTTATGGATTTAGATATGCCAATTATGGGAGGAATTAGAGTAAAATTTAATAATATTGATAGGCAACTAATGTTTTGATTTAAATGATGTAATAAAATGAAATTGATTATATTCCAATAGTTGCTTGTACTGCTCATGATGATAAAAATACTTAATAAGAGTGTATGGAAGCAGGAATGCTTTGTGTTATTGCAAAACCTGTATTTGTAAGGAGTTTATAAGAAGCTTTTGTGAGAGTAAATGAAATAAAGTTTAGAACTTCAAATGTCTTAGCTGGATCAAAAGTCATATCATCAAGTATAAAATGATTTTAGATTATGATTCTCTTCTTATTTCTGTCTATAATAAATTGAATATTACATATTATTATTAATTATTAGATGAACCAGAAAACAACATAGTTTTATATTATGTTTGGTGCTATTGTTCTATTGGATATAATCAATAGTATATTAGTCAATGAAATCCCTATAATAGTGTGCAATTCATTGATTTTATTGTTTACTATAAGTAAATTTGTCCATTCATATAACAAGTACATTACTTCCTCAAAATTAAGATAAAAAAAAGTGAAGAACTTCTAATAATTATTTTGTTCTTTCACAATGCTGTATAAATATACTATTATGGAATGAAGTCAATTTGGTTTTTAATTTATCTTTTACAAATATTCAAATAAGAAAAACATAATCAAATACTTAAATATTGTAAATTTATATAATTAACAATCAATATTATCATATATTCTATATAATATGATGGTCAACTTAATTTTGCTTATTTTCAGTAACTCAATTATTGTATTGTCATTTTAGTTTATCAGATTTTTAATTAAAATGAACAGGATTCAAATATACAAATAGCAGAAAATTTAATTATTTAAGAAATCAAGTAATTAATAATTTTTAAAATATTTGATCATAAATTTAATGAACTTTCAAAAACTACCTCAAAATTCAATAATAATTATTTATAAATGACTACAAATTAAAGTAATGATAAATAAAATTTCTAAATTAAAGCTTATTTAGATAAAGAATTAGCTAGTACTCCTTAAAATTAATGTGGTTGGAAACCTAGCATAGTATTTAATGATTATCAAAAATTTATAGAACATATTTAAAATTTAGAGAATTTAGATTCTTAATATCATTATATTGCTACATAAATTGATTAAGAAAAGAAAATCAAAACTAAATATAATATTATATATAAAAAATTTGGAAGAAAAGATTTCATTATAATTGCATTTATTAAAATTGATAATTTTCATTAAAGATAAATGAGATGGAAGTTTAATAAATTCAAAAAATACTTTTATGATATATTTGCTCACAAATTAAAAACTCCTTTAAATGCTTCCTTAGGTTTCTTATCATCTGCTTACAATTACACTGAAATGGACAATAATATCAAATAAAATTATATTAAACCTGCATATATAAACTCTAAATTGTAATATTTTTAAATATCAGATCTTTTGGAATTTCTTAATCCATAATGTGATCAAACCACAATATAATATTATAAAATTAATATGAAATCATTCTTATATACACTTAATGAATTAATAGAATCTTAATGTCAAAACAAAAAGATTCTATTCTCAATTTTTGTTGAGAATATTCCCTTAAATAACATCGATAAGTAAATTCTTAGAAATAACCATTTTATAGATTTTATATTTTATCAGATTTACTTAAATTAGAAAGAGTTCTATACAATTTGCTTAATTTAACCTATAGATACACTCCATAAAATGGTTAAATTACATTAAATTTATATATAGACAAATCAAACTCAGAGGTCATTTTTATCATTAATGTTAGTGAATTCCTGTTTAATAATGAAGAACTATTAAATATAAATTAATGGATTTAATCCTAAATGGAATTTTAATATAAAAAAAAATCAATAGCTATTAAAAAAGAAATTAAATTATCATTAGAAATAACAAATCATTTAATTAATATATTAAATGATTATGAGTAACATCTTTAAATTACTTCATCTGATTAGGGAACAGAATTCAAATTCAAATTAATAATTAAAGAAAATAAAACAACTGATGGATCATTAGAATAGTTCACTATTGGTTTTATGTTAAAATAAAAAAGTAAAAAAACTGTTAAAAATGAAATCAATAATGATTAAACACATAATAATTCTATTTTGATTAAACCAAAATCATTATCACTATTTAATTCTTCAAAAGTTATACGTGAACCATCAGCAAATACTCCAATTATTTATCCAATTAATTAACCAAAAACTTTTAAAACACCTTCTACTTTAAAAAGGGTTAGATCATCTTTTGCAAATAGAATTTTGATGGATTTTGATCAGAAAATTTTAATTGTAGATGATGAACCTTTTAATCATGATACATTGATTTTAATGATGAAGAATATGGGTTATAAATAATTTCTAAAAGCATATAATGGACAATAAGCAATTGATTTAGTTAAGGAGAAATAAGGTGAAATTTCCATAATTATTATGGATTTAGATATGCCTATAATGGGAGGAATGGAAGTATTATTATAATATAATTATTAAGGCTACAAGAATTTTAGTAGATATGATGTTAGATTAAAAATTAGATTACATACCAATAATTGGTTGCACTGCTCATGATGATAAAGAAACAATAGATAAATGTATTTAAGTTGGTATGCTTTATGTTGTAATGAAACCAGTATTTGTTAAAACACTAAGAGAAGCATTTTAATAAATAACTAATATAGAAGATGGCAGAAAAAGATCATTGGTATGTTTCACTTCTTAATTACAAATATGATTTAATATATTATTAATATTAACAATACTAATATGCTTAATGAAATCGAACATAATGTAAGGCTCATTTTTCTACTTCAATTAATTTCAATTCCATTTTCAATTATTGAACAGAAATATATTGTGTTAATTTTGAATTTAATAGAAGTTGTATTGATTATAGGTATACATTTTATATTTTATTGTTAAGTACATATAATCACTATAAAAATAGATTGTTTTATATTTCATTCAAAAGTGATTTTATTGTTGTTTCTATTAGCAAAATCATTATCCATGTTTGGTTAAACTGATTTTTGGATAGTCATATATATATATAATATAAAAAAAGACTTTGTAATACTTAATTAATTTGCAGTTATTGCAATGTTAATTTTTTGCATTAACTAATTTAATAGTGTTCATAATAAATCATATTAGTAAACGATTATAGAATTAGGAGTCTTATATCTGTTTGATGTATATTTGCAATATAAAAATTATAAAAGATAAGAAAAACCTAATACAAATGAATTTTGTAGGAAATTTAATATTAACCATTAAGAAATTTTAAATCATAATAATAATCAAAATAAAAATAAATTTAACCATCATAATCAAAGAAAAAATGTATTATCTATAAATTAAATTAATGAATCTCATTATTAAATTTATTAAGCATAAGATTCTATACCAAGTTTAAAAGATATATTTTATCCTGAATGGAAAAAAACATATTATTGTTATTCAGCTGAAGAATTACTCAAAGTTTATGAAAAAGAAAATTCTAATTTATTTTATATTCTATATATACCATCAGAAATAAACAACAAAGATATATATAGAGTATAAATAACAAGAAATAAGGCTTAAGATTATATTTTAAACTTTACTAAATTAGATAGTCTCTTATATTATAAATTAAAAGGATCAAAAAGAAAATTTAGATAAAATTTATCTTAAATATTCTCTCACAAACTCAAAACTCCATTAAATTAAGCATTGGCAAAAATTACATCTATGCTTACTGATTTGAATGTACTACCATATTAAAAGATCATTCTTTCTTAAATCTACATCTAATAAAAATGTTAATTGTATGGTATTTTGGATTTTTTAGACTATGTTAATTCAGATTCGATGACATTCTAAACTTCTCGTATTACTTTAAAATAAATTATTTAAAATGTTAAAGACCTTATTAGAGAGTAGTGTAAAGCTAAATCAATAAAATTACGTATCTTAATAGAAAATATTCAATTCAAAGATTATAAAGGGTATTATTAATAATATATTGTAGTTATATTGTTTTAAATACTGATTCATTAAAATTGGAAAGAATACTATATAATTTATTAAATAATGCTTATAGACATTCAAATAAAAATGGAACAATTCATTTGACTGTAGAAATGAATTAAGGAACATTGAATTTTGCCATAAAAGATTCTGGAATAGGAATGACTTAAGAAATGATGGGGGATTACAATTTGTAATTTTAATCTCATTAAAATCTTTTGAAATCAATTAAACGCTCTTGGAATCACAAATTGGGAACAACTTTATTTGTAGCAAATAAATTAATTCATTTATTAAATGGAAATAAAGGTTATTTACAAATTCTTAAATAAGAAGAGTTTGAATTCAATTTTTCAATATTATAAGAATTAAACATTAATAAAGGTGTATCAGATATAGGGTTTGGTAGTTTAAGTTCTGATAGATCAGAAATAAATTTAATAATTAATTAATAAGATCATATGGATGAAATATAGGAAGTAAGTGATTAAATTGGAGATGAACCTCAAAGTTAAGAAATTAAAATAGAATAAATTAAACATATAAGAAATTTAAAATAGATTATTGCATAACCTTAATCTTAAGTTCAAAGTAAACATTCATAATTGTTCAATAAAAGATCTTCATCTATTTTTGATGTGAATTCATTTTTAAGATAGTTTAGTTTTAAAGATGGTGGAATAGATTCCAATTAAGAATTAGTTGTGGAAAAAGATTAATATATTATGATTGTTGATGATGAACCATTTAATCATGATGCACTTTTAATGATGTTAAAAAGATTTGGATATGCTAATTTCATGCATGCTTATGATGGAAGTGAATGTATTAATAAAACTAAAGAAAATCATTCAAAAATTAAATTTATTTTAATGGATTTAGATATGCCTATTTTAAATGGGTTTAAGTAATTAATAATTATTAATTCAGAGCCACATCAATACTTATTGAATTAATGAAAACTAATTAAATTAAAAGGATTCCCATAATAGCATGTACTGCTCATGATGATTACGAGACTGAAACATAATGTAAAGCTCTGGGTATGCTTGATATCATCATTAAGCCAGTTTTTCTAAAATAACTTTAAGTTGTAATTAAAAATATACCTAAAATTATTTGATATTTCTCATTATATTTATATATGGGATTTACTAATATTAGTTATTAATAATATAACAATATTAATTAATTTACATTTTATTCCAAAAATACATAATTTTATTAAAATTATTATGATATTAAATCTTAATAAAATAATTTTCTTTACAAAAGAATTGTGAACTTCTGAATTTATCAATCAAGAAAATATTTATAGATTAATATTTAAATTTAATCTAATAAAATAAAAAGAAAATAATAGATTGTTAATTCAATATACTTTATAAAAATTTTATTATTGACAATAAATAAAATTAACTATCATTTAGATATATGGGTTTTTTATCTTGATTTCATACTTCTTTAATTACTTCTCATTGAATATAGATCCTCTAATTATTAGAAAAAATTTTATGAATAATTCTTGATTACTCTTGCCAAATCCTATATAAATTATGCTAACATGACTTAATTTTGATAAGTTATTCTTCCCTCCTAAGCTTAAATCTTAGATAAAACAAAAATAATTGTTTAACTAACATGTTTATGAGTTTCATCTTAATTATTTATATATTAAATATAAGAATCTTGTTTCAGATCATCTTAAAGTAGATCAACATCTGCGAATCTCTATCTTACTTAAGAACTCATAGTCAAATAGTTTAAAATTTTACTTTTTTCATAAGTTCTTGGTGTGGTTGTATTAGTTGGTTAATATTTTTAATTTTTAATTTGATACAATACAATAGTACTTCTGATATCAATTTTATTTTCATCTATATCAAATTGTTTTGCCATCTTATTCATACTTTAATGAAATTCTTTAATATGATATTTAATTTCTTAATTTTTTAAATCTTTCATAAACTTTAGATTTTCACATATTCTCATTTAACCTGTCTCAAATAATATTGTTTCATAAGTCCAAGGACCATAACCTATTTTTGTGAACACTATTTAATTATTTTCAATACTAATTAAATACCATCTACCATCTATAGAGTGAATTAATTTAAAAAATGAATTATCAGGAAGCAATTAATAAGTAAAGTAATTCTCAATTAGATATAAAATCTAAAAAAAATATTTTATATTTGGTTTTGGAAATTTTAAGATTCCCATTAAAGAGAATAAAATTTTACTTTCTATTTTAAATTTATTTTTAAATTTTAATTCCTTAATCAAATCAAATTTTTATCCAAATTCATGTTTTAAAAATTCTTCTTCTTATTTTTTGATATAAACTTCACTAGTGTCTCTCAATACTGCATTCTATATCAATAAATCATGATTGGAAATATTAATATGCTTTTTCTTAAAATTTTCATCCTTTTTTATTTCATTTCTTATATGAACTACATACTCTGATGTTACATTATAAATATTATACGATTGTTTAATAAATTTCTATTCTAAAAATTCATTATAATCTATAAAATAATCACAATAAATCTTTTGAATTTCAAACTTAGATTCCTAAATAATTTATATAAAATCTCCTTATGGTTTTATCTTCTTTATAACTTTATTAGTAATAAATCCTACATTTAATACTTTATTATATGTCTTAGTATCTATTTGAGGTTCAATCTCAATAGGAATCTCAATTAAATCATTTTAATATGCTTTCAATCTAGAACTTCTTGGTTTAAATTCTAAGATATCTGGATTGTCATCATTTAAAATAGCTGTTTTTTTCTATAATTGTATTACATTACTAAGTTCTTATACACTTTTAAGATCATTATCTGTTCCAAAACTACTGCCCAATATTGCTTCATCTTAATAATTTAATTCCACAACTGCTCTTTCTTCTGGTTTATATTTTTCCAATTCTTATTGAAATAAAGTCTTAGAAACTACAGTGAATACTTCCCAAACTAATCCTCCAATCAGAGCTAATAAAAAAATAGATAAGAAAACAAACGAACCTACAAAAATCATTGGAACTACTAAAGTTTTAGTTTCATAAGATAATTAAAAAACTATTTATCCCCAAGAGGCAGCTGTAAATATTTGTAGCATCATCAAATATGATCCACTGAATGAATTAAAATCTGAATATTTACATTATCCCCATTAAAATCTAAATTCATTTGGATCACATGAAGTATTTGAAAATGGATTTTCTGTATTAATTTCTAAACCTCCATATATATAAATTCCAACACAAGCATATGTAAAAAAAACTATTTAAACTGGTAAAATTAATCTTAAAATAAGTGGTATACAAATTATTATTTTATAAAGTAAATTTTTCACATAAGCAAAGATTTCTAAACCTTATAATAAAAATCCAACTAATTTGATTGATCTAAATGCTCTAAATATACGAAATGCTTTTTAAATTTTAGCAATTCTTAATATTCTATTTGCTTTTATAGATTAAACAATATTTCCAGTAACAAATGAAAATAAAATGAAATCAAATAGGATTTATAGAATTATTATACTCAAATCAAAAACATTCCTAATTTTAATGATTAATAATAATACCATCCATCATTAAAGAAATCTACAATACCAATTCCTATTATTTTAATCAAACATTCAAAAATATAAATTCCTAAAAACACTGTATCAATAATATCAAATACACTTAATATTTCAAAATCATCTATAAAAAATGCTGTTATTATAAGAGAACAATTTAATATAGTTATAACTAGCATAAATATAATAAATCCCTATTCTCAAATCAATAATTACCCAAGATTCAATAATCTTTTTTACTCCATATTTATTACAAAATGTTCTGAATTATTCCCAACATTTTAATGATTTCATTTTAGGTAATGATATATTTTTGCTATTCTACAATACTGTTAACAATTAATTAAATTCATCAAATTGTATCTTATCACTATTTAAGAAAATAATATTACTTAAAATCTTTATCAATTTCTTAAAATATGATTTTTATTTGATCATCTGTTAATTAATCTCGATAAAAGGTTTTTAGAAATTTTTTGAATTGGTTTTCAGTTAAGAAACCAACATCATTAGAATCAAGTGAAATGAAACTAGCCATCATAGCTGATTTTTATTTGATAATATCTTAAATTGCTATTTACATTCTATGTTTACGAAATCCTTCATACACAATAGCTAATGGGATAGGTTAAAAGAGAAATAAAAATAGAATTATATATATCACAAAAAAGAATACATAATAAGTTTCCTAAAATAAAACAGGTATCATAATATCTGGGTAGAAATCAAGAGTGGCTGTCATAAATAACATATTAAATAATTTAAAGAAATCTCCATAATCTTAAGTATCCTCATCTACAATTTACAATTAACCAATTAAGTTTATTCCAATAAAAGAAAATGTTGATATTATAATTGCATAAAGTAAAAATAATAGAAGCAAATCTCTACTAGCATTTGCAATTCCTTTTAGATTTCTTCTCAAATCTTTTGAATAAAATATCATAAGAATGGGTCTTATCATTCGACTAAATCTTAATTGAGTTTGATCATATTGATAGTTTATAAAATCCATTCCACACAATAAAATAAATATCAATTTTAACATTCTTTTAGTATTAAATTAGAAACCACCATCATTCTTTTTGGTGGCTAATAAAATGAATGTAATAATAAAGTCAAAAACCAACAAAATCAATATACCAAGTTCCAATTTAGAAATTAATGAATTTTCTAATTAATCTGAATTTGGAAAGGGCTTCTCAAAGAATGTAAGAATCTGATACAATAATGTAATTGTTAAGAGCATCACACTCCAATTTCTACTATTTTCAATTTTCCATAAAAATTTTAAAAACACTTTATTAGACATATCAATATCATTTCTGATTGTCCTTAGATAATAAGCATCATATAGATGTCTCTCAGCTTTTAATTCTCTATCATCAGAAGGCATATGCTTAACTATTTTTTAGATTTAAGCCACTAAAATGTCATTTTTCTTTTAGTACTTGGTATCTAATTTAGTTAAGTTTATGTCATTAGTAGCCTTGAAAATAGCTGATCTTCTAGGATTCGTAAGCTTAGGTATGTGATCATCACACAATTAAGGAGACTAAACATCATCTTATTTCATTTTTAAATATAAATCATAAATCTGAATATGTCAAATCACTTTATTCTAAAATTTTATATAATTTAATCAAATCCTAATATAAAATCATAAATTAGAAAAGTTCTCTAATTTTCAAGGCATTAAACTTATTTAGGTTCTATATAGGTCTATAAAAATTAAAAATTTTCATTTAAAATTTGTAAGGAGAATTATTTTATAAAATATTTCTATTTATCCTTTATTTTATTTGTTTTTAAAATGACTCAAGACTTGTATATTAATTATGTAATCTATTTATTAATCTTCTTAATAATAGAAAGAAATTCAGTTTTTTATTAATTAACCTATAAACTTAATCAGTTTTTATAAGATAATGAAAAAGAAGGATTGTTAGATATTTTATTTATTATATACTGTATATAATTATATATATAATTTTTTATATAAGAAAGTTATTAAAATTTTTAATAAATATGGCTTCAAATATTAAAGTGTCGCATTATTCCATCAATACTGATGAAATATTAGGAAAAGGTTCCTTTGGGATTGTTTATGCTTGTTAAAGTGACAATTTTAAAAATAAAGACTTATGTGTTAAAGTATTATTAATTTTAATTAGATTATTCATTATAAGGCATAAGTTTTTAAAGAAATTTAATTGCTTGAATTGCTCAAAAAAACTTCAAATCCTAATTTAATTATGATATATGATATCATTTAAGATTAAAATTAAATTTACATATTTATGGATAGATGCAGAGGAGGAGACTTGAAATCTCTAATTTTAGATTATAGCATAAGGAAAAAATAATTTTCTTTAGAATAAATTGTTGATATGATTAGATAAATAATACTGGGCTATTAAACATTAATTTAAAATAAAATAATCCATAGAGATCTAAAACCTGCAAATATTTTATATGAGTTTAAGGAAAAAGATAAGATTACTTTAAAAGTACATAGTTACTTAAATAGATTAGTTAACAGATTTTGGATTGGGGAAAATATTGGATGATATAAATATTAAGCAATATATGACTAGAGTGGGTACTCCTGCTTATATGGCACCATAAATAGTTTTTGGAGATAAATTTTCTACAAAATGTGATATTTTTTCTGTAATAATTAAAATTATTTTAGTTGGGAATTATTATATATGAATTAGCATTTCTTGAAATACCTTCATAAGGAATGAATCCTTTTATACGTAATTAATTTTAGAAATCTTTAAAAACTAAACCATTTGTTTGTCCTGATTTATGTTAATAATAACCTGATTATTTGAAATGTTATTTATAAGATTTAATTAATAAGATGTTAAGTTTTGATGAGGAAAAGAGACCTAGTTGGGATGAACTTTTAAAATCAGATATAAGTAATAATTCAATAAATTTTAGTGACTATTATTAATGAAGCTTTACCTATTGAGACAAAATTAAAAAATGAGGAACCAAATTTATCAATTATATTTTTAAAATATGAAAGACAATTGGCATACCAAAAATAATATGATTAGATTTAATTTTGTAAGCTTTAGGAATTTAAATATAAGCTATAAAAAAAAGATGAACTTTTAAGAAAATCATATCTTTTTATATTTATGATGATAAGTAAAGCACAACTAGTAATGAATCTATAATACCAATTTCAATTAATAGTGTAATTCATATCGTATATATATAATAGAAAAAAACAGTTTCCCAATTTTGATGCTTATCATTTTCAACTAATTTAGACATGTTTTATTGGATATATCTATAAGATACTTGAGAATGCTTTTGGATTCTGTAATTAATAAATGGATTAAATTAATGAAATATTCAAACAATAATTTTAAAATAAATTATTGTAAATGTCATAAAGATTTTATCAATCAAACGACATAGAAGTGTAAGAGATGAAAAAATTTACTTATCATTTTTTACTTTAAGCTAAGGTAATATTTTAAGTAGCAGAAAACGATTTAATAAATTCAAAAGCAAAACATTAATATCCTAAAAACATAGAAAAATTTTATAGATTGATTTCTTAAAAGGAACTTACAGACTTTGAAATATATGCTAAATGGTTTTATTTTTTTTGGAATCAACATCTTCGCAAATTTTTGTAATATGATATAACCAAATAGAACGATATAAGATATTAATCGTAATTTAATATTTTAACAATAGTCTATTAATATTAATTGAGAAATTTCTTAATTTAGAAACAGATTATCCTTTTTCAAAATATGAAAAATTTGATGAAAGTTAAGTATTGTTATCAGAAAATTCTACTAAGGAAGAACTAGATAAATCAATAAAACTAAGAGTATACATTTGACAATAGAATTAGAATATTATATAAAGCTTAATTTCATTTATAATTTATTTATTAAATATTATATTTTATTATAAATGAATTAGAAATCTGATGAGAATACACCTAAGATTTAATTGATTGACATACAATAATCAGGATTTAATGCTGAAAATTTATTAAGAGTGATTTTATCAAGAGATAAACTATTAAATGGTTTAGTGAATTGGCTTCATGAAGCTACTAAAAAAAATTAATTAGATGATAAACATAATCAATTATATATTAGAATAATGAAGGTTTGTGCAGTTCAATATGCTTATTTTCAATTATAATCAGGATACAATTTTATTGCTCCTGATGAAAAATATACAGGAATGTGTAATCATTTTTATAAAATTTTTGAAACAGAGGAAGATTACAAAAAAGAGATTAAATAATTTAAGAAAAATCAAAGTAAATAAACAAAAATAATGATTGATGATTTTGATAAAAGATTGACTACATTATTAAGATGGAGAAAAGTATTAAAAATAAATATATTTAGAAATTTATGGATGATTATGAATAAATAAAAAAAGAATTTAGTGACACTAATCCTGATTATATTAAGTTCCATAAATTAAAATAATAAATTGAAATGGAAAATTAAACAAATTTTGATATTTATTAATATTACTTTACACTATTCTATAATGAAGAATGGTTTAAACAACCAATTGATGATAATTCTTATGAAATACTAAGGTAATTAAATATCTTAATTATTTAAGATTACTTTGTTTGATTAAATAATTCTTAAAATTAGATACTGTATATCCAATAGAATAATATGCTAATTAATCAATAACACTATTAGATATTAATGAAAATGAAAAATAGAAAGATTATTACATTAAATTGATAAAATAAAAATGAAATAAAATTTAAGAATTATGTTAAATTAAAAACATTATTAATTTGAATAAATCAACTATCAAATAAATTCTAATTATCATCGTTATCATTAATTACTTTTATTATTTATATAAATATATACCATCTTTTTTTTCGCTAACTTAGTTTTAAATTTAATCTTCAAAATCAATTTAGTCGTTATCTAAATGTTATTTTACAGCAGATTCTATTCCTTATAATGGTAATGCTTCTTATTCAATATTTTAAGATACAACTTATTTTGGTTAAGGCTAAATATGTATATATTCTAATACTTGAGGTGGTACTAATTCTTAAGCAACATGATATTATCCAGATCTTTCATAAATAATTCCAGTTTCTTCTGCTTAAGCCAAAAAGCTATGAACTACTTATTCTTCAATTTAATTTGTATAGAACAAATTAAGGTTGTTTGTAATATCTTTTAATGGTGCAGAAGTTCCAAATGAAGCAATTACATTGATGACATTTTATTGTAATTAATTTGGGAATTATTAATTAGGAGTCTCAGGGTAATAAAGTTTATCTTATTTCAAATTAAATAATACTAAATCTTTCCTTTGTAGCCTTTGGTTTTTTTTCTTATTATTATTTTTTTCCTTTTCTTATTGGAGATTAAGGTGGTGATGCAGGCTATTCAGCTGGTTCATCATTAGCTTTTGCTTTTTTTCCCTTTTTTATTTTTTTGTCAACAACTTCTGTTTATTTAACTTGTTCTTATTTGGTTTACTTTCCTTTTGGCATAAGACTTTTCTTGATGATATAATTTAAATATTAACTAAAAGCGGCAAATATTTGTATAGATTATAATCTTATTTATTATTGAATTGGCCAATAATATTGTAGATAATGAGTGATAAGAAAAATAATAACATACCTTAAAATAACAATCAAGCAGATGATCCTAATTATGCATTGCAAATGTAGATTATTGCATTTTAAGATTAAACCATTAATAATTTAAAAAATATTATCATTGAAAAAGATTCTGAACTTTAAGTATGATCAATATTTTAATAGAAAAAAAATCAAGAAAATGCTTAATTGAGATAACAAATCTAAATAATAGAAAAATAACATTCACAATAACAAATGTCTTATCAGTAGGAAAATTCAAATATTTTAAATTTATAATCTCAATATTAGAAAACTTTTGATGAGCTCAAGAAATTGAAAATGATATTCAATTAAAACTCTAATCCTGATATAGTTATGGAATCACTTCAAATTAAGTAATAGTGAATTTAATATATATCTATAGAGAATAATTAGTGATAATTTAGCAATAAAAAAATAAACTTGAAATTGAATTAAAAGTATTTATATATTAAATAATTATATTAGGAAGCATAAACTAGACTCATTTAATCTCAAGGTATCATCTAAGAACTTTAAAGAGAAAATTACCAATTAAAATCATTTTCAATGTCATCATTTTCTAATCCACCCTAAATACAATAACCATCTATTAATTAGAGTTAATTTTTATAATCATAATATCCATCTAATAATTAAAGGTATTTTTATTATTTTATTAAGTTAAAATAATGAAGAAAATTAAAGGAATTAAAGAAAAGTTTAATTAAAAAATGAATTAAGATAACTACCTACTTAAAATAGAACTTCAGCATAATAAAGAAGAATTCAATAAATTGAGGATGAATTAAATTACTTGGAATAATTTTGATCTATGTCAATAATTCAAATATTATGTAGTCTAATTCATTCTTATCTTAAGATTATAATAAAAATATATAAAAAATTGTTCTTATTGTATATATAATAAAATCAAAAATTGTTTTGGTTTTTATTTTATTAAATAAAATGAGCAATGATTATAACTATATGTTCAAATTTATAGTAGTTGGTGATACAAGTAATAAAATCAATTAAACTATTTAAGATGTAGGAAAATCATGTTTATTATTGTAATTTACAGAAAACAAATTTTGTGATCATACAGAAAGCACAGTTGGGGTTGAATTTGGTTATAAAACAATAAAATTAAATGATTAAATGATAAAGCTTCAGATTTGGGATACAGTAAAAATATTGACTAAAATTTGAAAGGCAGGCTAAGATTCATTCAAATCCATTACAAGATCTTATTATAGAGGAGCCATTGGAGGATTACTTGTATTTGACTTTAGTAGAAGATCAACATTTGAAGACATTAAAAAGTGGTTAAAAGAAATTAAGACCTTTTCTTGTGATAAGATTGAATTAGTACTAGTTGGCAATAAATCGGATTTATCAAAGAAAGATGTTACAATTTAAGAAGTTGAAGAATATGCATAATAAGAAAAGCTAGATTTTTATGAAACTTCAGCTAAAACAGGGAAAAATGTCGATGTTGTCTTTGAAAGTATAGCTAATAAAATTTTAAGAAAAATCGAAACCAAATAAATTAATTTAGATGATTAAGTAAATTATTTAATAAAAATAGATGTTAGGAATTAAAGTAAATTTTAATGGAAAAATGAAAAAAAAGAGTAAATCTTAAAATAATTTATCTCCATATTACAATATAACATTGAATGGAAAATAAAATGATAAAGAAAAGGATGACAAAAAAAGTTGTTGTTGATAGTTTTTTTAATTTTTTTGTAATTTATTATATTAAAATGTGTGTGATTCTAGAAATATATTTTGAGTAGATTATTTTTGAATTAAAAATAATAGCAATTTGATTAATTTTCAAACCATTAAAGATTTCTGATTATTGTATTTTCTTAATTCATATTCCATAATATAATTGACAATCTTTATAATCCCAATAGCTATAATTGTACATGCAATCAATGTAAAGAAGTTCTTAAGCAAATTCTTTGAATTAGATTCTTAAAAATGTATTGATTCAACTAAACCAATCTAACTATTTTGTTTATCAAATATTGTGTAATATTTTCTCATAAAAGGACTACCTAAAATCATTAATTAGTCATTATGTGATCGAATATTTGATATTAATACATAACATATAGGTTCATGATTATTTGTATGAATATAGAATTAAGGTTCTAATGAAAATTCTTAACTATCTAAAAGAATTTTTATTGTAGGAAATTCAGAAATATCATTTGTTGGACAAGAGCATTTAATAATTTCTGTCCATACACAATTGGTAAACACATTTTGTAAATTTACTAATATATTTTTAGGAAAGATCAACAATGAGCTTCCAGAATCTATCATTGCATAAATATCAACTCCTAAAATTCCATTCATATCTATTTATTATGATGAAATGATCCATTATTCATCAGATTTAACATATCTAATTTCTTTATTGAATACATTCTCATCATAACCTCCAAAAGTTATTGATGATTAACGATTAGAGTTTTCAAAATTATAATAAAAACTGATGGGCCATTCTATAAAAGAATGATTAGATTATTATTATAGTCCTACTACTCCATCATAAATAGCTCCTTCCATTCCAGTTACTTCATCAACTAAAATAAACTGAGATTCATCAAAATGCTCATTTATTGAGAACATACCTAAACATTTTACTCCTATTAATGCTCCAACATGATATGTTATTGAAGCTTATTCTTATGATGGAATACATGTTGGTTATTCACACACAATTCCTATTTAATTTTTATTACATCTTTAACAATCAATACTTGGTAACCACATTTATGATGAACCTGTATCAAAAATTACTTTGAAGCTATTCATAGTATAATGTTTACTGTAATATTGAGTCTTTAGAAAGAACTCTGATTTGTCCTACATATTAATAATTATAAAAGTTTTGTAATTCCAATGTTTTGTTTTGTTCTTATTGAGTAGAATTGATATCAATTAAGAAGGAACTTTCTTACACTTGTTTAGTATCTAGAAATATCGTATATTTGGCTAAAACAAAGTGAATACATGCTACACTAATTAACAATTAAACTATTATCATATATAAATTATATACAAATCATTATAACATTCTATACTAGGTTTAAGGTTTAGAAATTAGTAACAATAAACTTAATTTAAATCTTCGATTCTTGTCTAACTTAACGAAGGTTCTTCTTCTTTCATTTGCTGTCATATTCTTAAGTAATTCAATTTAAAATTTACTCATACTTTCCATTAAAATTACATATTACATTTTATATTCAGGTATTCTTTTATTATTTTTAAGAATGATACTTATTTTAATTAAACATTTCAATTACAAAATTACTTTAAAACAATCGAGTAGCTTATGGTGTTGTTGGTTATTTAATCAATTTTAATTAAGGAATCTTTAATTCTCTTTAAAATTAAGGTAATTTATTTTGTAGACTATTATTCTTTCTATGTATTCTCTAAGATATCTGATTATATTTTGGATTGAACTAAAATGATTATTTAAATTCGCTTTAACTAGCTAATAAAGTAGATTAAATTAATTCTGTATTTTCTGGAGTACCTCCCAAAAGATTCTTTAATTTTAGCCTTGTAATAGGCAGTTAATTTTCATACAAACTACTTGTGTTTGAAATTGAGTTCTTACTTAGAAAGTGATGACTACTCTTTGGAGAATTAAAGATACTGGATGCATCACTTTTTCTTTTTCTATGATAAGATTCACTTGATATCAATCTACCCAAACTATCCCTTTCATTGATAAAAGGTACAAATGTTTGCTTTTATTCAATTAACTGATTTAATGGATGTTCATAGTTGTTTAATGAATCTATAATCAAAGCTTTTTTAACAGCATCTGTTTTATGTAATGCTGGAAGTTATTTGTCTTTGTAAAAAACACAATAATCCAATTAATTTTCAGAGGAATGCTTTTTCATTATTTATATTTTGTAAATTAATAATGAGTTACGAAGCATGTGATTTATAAACAGATTCTAGATATCCCTTTGATCCAAGAGCTAATGCCTTTGAATTAGCTAAAATGGAAAGTATCAGGAGAAAATAGCATCCACTTATTTTAATAACAAGAGTTAAATCAAGTGGAGTGCATTACTTTATAGGTCCATCAAAATCATATTCTAATGAATATCCTAGTGAACTGGAACCTTATATAACAAAGGATGATTTTGAAGCCTTTATTAATGAGGTAAATGATGTCATAGTAAAATATTGGCCTTGCTTTTTCACTTTCATTTTAGCATTTGCTTTTTCAGTAGTCACTTGTTTCTTAAGTCTATATTTACCTAGAGTTTGTATTGAAGATGTTTAAAGATTTCTGGGGTATGTAATAGAGAGATGGAACGAGACTTGGGAAGAAAAGGGGATTAAAGTTGAATACAAAAGAAACCTCTTAAATAGTGAATTATAATTTTATAAATTATGAAAATGTTCTATTTAAACAATTTAGTGGTGAAACAATTAATAAATGAAATTTGGAATTATTAAAACAGGATTTCCAAACACTATTTGATAAAACTGGAAAGTGTAATTAATTTGATTAAATTTGAGAATTTCTTTAATTCAATTAGTCTTAATTTTTGTTTATTAAATAAATGAGTAAATTATAAGAATCTAATACATTTGAAAACAACAAAAAATATAAAATCAAAACAGATCGTAGTACTTAGATGGCATCTCCAAAAAGCAAGGAATTTGATGTATAAGAGAATTTGGTTAAGAAATTGAATGATAATTATAAGAATTAATAAAAAGAATTAGAGAAACTACATTCTATTATGGGAAATAAGGAGGATTAAATAAGAAAATTACAAGATTTAGTTAAACTATAATAAAAAGAGATTGATCGATTAACACATATTAATGAATATTTGATGCAAGCTAATTAAACCAAGTTAAGTATTTTAAGAGATGAGAGATAATTAAATTAAGGAAGTAAATCAAATGTAAAAAATAAGAATCATAAATCTTTAATGCCTCTTGAGAAAAAGAGTAATAAATTATCAGATGATAATACATAATCAATTAAATTATTCAGAAGATAGACATTTCGTAATCCTACATTAATGAAGTTCCATCAAGAAGAAGTAGATACTTTTAAAAGTGAAAGGAATACTACAGGATCATCTAATTTTTATGACATACTACAATAAGAAGATTGTTTCAGAACAAATGCTATATTAAATATCTAATTATGTACTAAAGAATTTGAGTTATAATAGCTGATGAAGATGCAACTACTTAATATAATTAAGATGGGACAGTTTCTTTAATGAAAGTACTCTTAGATTCTGAAGAGATCTTTAGTGAAATTATATAATCAATATCTGCTTAAAAATTGTCATTTCTATTTGATAAATTTAAAAGAATAATGTCAGATCATTAATAATTATTTATTTTGGTATTAAGATTAAAGAAGATTGTTACTGGAGCATTATAAATGAATACATCTGTACTATTAGATGATGCATTATAAAATATTATAGATAAATGTATAGATTGTTTAGAATGTGATAGAGCATCATGTTTTATTGTGGATTAAGCTAAAAAAGAATTATGGACAAGAGTAGCCAAAGGAACTTCTACTACTATTAGATTATAAATTGGTTAGGGATTGGCTGGTTTTGTTGCATAGAATCATACAATCTTGAATATTGAAGATGCATATAGAGATTAAAGATTTAATACATAATAAGATGCAAAGAATAATTATAAAACTAAGACACTTTTAGTTTCTCCTATTCTAGATGGTGATAAATGTGTTGGAGTCCTTCAATGTGTCAATAAATCTAATGGTTTCTTCACTAAGGCTGATGAAGCCTTACTATAGATAATGGCTGAATTTAGTAAGAGTGTACTTAAAAATGCTTTGAATCATGATGCCTAGATATTGATTTAAAATAAACTTAGACATATCATAAAAACAGGTATTATATTATAAGGAAAACAGGATAATATGGTAGAATTACTACTTTCATCTGAAGAGCGTCTTAGATCATTAATGAATGTTGATCATGCAAAGGTTATATATATGGATAATTATTTGTATCATATAAATAAGGATGGTAAGATGACAGAAACTTAGAATTTATTAGGAATAGTAGGTAAATGTATTGAAGAACAATAAATAGTAGCTGTTAGTAATTGTTATACTAGTCCAATATTCAATCCAAATATTGATATTGAAACAAATATGCCTATTATTTGTATGCCTTTGAAAACATAAAGTCATTAAATTATTGGAGCAATCTAAGTTGTTAATGTTAAGGGTATTGGTAATATTTCATCACATAGTGATGCAAAAATTAATTCAATTGATTTAGATATGTTAGAACTCTTTTGTTAGCATTGTGCATAATCTTTATTGTAATGTAAATTACATAAATAATAATTATGATGATATTAATTAAAATATTAAATAATTATTATGATGATATTAATAAAAATATTAAATAAATATGGGCAACTCTTAAAAAAATGATGAGAAGTTAATCTCCACTGTTTGGTTAGGTGTAAATGTAAAAAGCAAATCCTAAGATAGGATGATTGGACATCTATAATGAAAGAGAAATTATCTCGCATTTCTGAAGAATGGGCTGTTCCTTTGATAAAATGTTTGGATAGATTTGTTTAAAAGGAATAGAAAAATTTTAGACATAAAATGAAACTAATTTGTATTTCTGTATCTTTTATTAATAGTAACAAAGACTATGAAAGATGAATAATACGATAATCTATTCCAATAAAGTTTTGTGTTTTTGTAATTTCATTTCAATTTATTATGATGTTTATAGAAAAAATAATGAATATCTTCGTCAAGATTTTTAATCAAGTACCGGAATATCTGATCTTACAATTTCCACAAATTATAATTCAAGTATAATCTTAAATCATATCATAGTTGGTAAAATCAATGAAAGTTAATCAATATCATCTAAAATCTTAGATAGTATATATCCAGAAAATCAAAATTCTTAATTATAATAATTCTATGTTTTTTTATCTTGTATTAATGAGGTACTAAGTAATTAAAAACATCCTTTTATTTATATCATGAATTTTTTTAAAGAATGGGCATCCAATTAATTAATAATTATGAAAGATCCTTAAAATACTATACATTAATTAAAATTAAAGCTTTAAAAATTTTAGATCTCATCAGATATATTTTTACATTTTCTAATTTTTTCTTTGAATGAATATTTGGGAGATTTTGGTGATGATATCAATGAAGATGGACCCTATAAATACATAAAAGATAAATAAAATTATTTTAATTTATTTTTAGAACATGTAAAATTTACAACTTATATATTAGACATTTGATGATACATTAACTTCTCATTTAATGGATGTGCTTAATTACTTACACAAAAATAACAATAATAATTTTATTTAAAAAATCAAACATATAAGATCAAAACCTGATTTTTTTGAGATTCCTAAAAAATATTAAACATAAGAAAAACCTTTCATTTAAGAAATCTCTTGTTTAAATGAAGCCCAATAATTAAAACGTCCAGCTAAAATATTTTGCTGTTTTACAAAAACATATTTGATGATCAAGGATCGCTTGACAAGATCTACCTCTAATTTTTTGTTTTTCTAAGTAACCAATTTTGTAATTGTGCATTCTAATATACAAAATTTTTATGCACTATTACATTTACTAGAAATTTTCTATAGTAATTCAATTATTTTACTTAAATATAATTAATCGTTGGAATTCATTTAAAATATTATTATTTCTTGAATCCTTAGAATAAATGATTAATTAAGTAACAAGATAATTTATATAAAATAAAATAATAAATAAATAAAAATGTAATAAAATCATAAACCTCTGCTTATTATTGATTCCAGATACACACTCTATGACATGAGACAAAAAAAAGTATATAAATATAATACTGTCCTTTAAAAATCATTCCTGTTACTATAAACACATTTTTAAATATAAGTAATATTTTGTCACACTAAACCTAATACTAATGATTTTTTTTACAATGAATTTCAAAGAAATTTTTAGGGAATCGACTCTAAAAAACTATCAATCCAAGAATTAAAAGAGATTTCATTTTAGAATTTAGAATTAATTGTAATAACTCATAATTATGAATAATTCACTCTCAATTAGAATTATCAATTATACTATTTCTCTAGTATCTCATAACAATTAGATAAAAAAAGAGAATTAGAACTCAAATATTATTAACAAAATCCTAAACCAAAATTTCACATATCTCACATTCTTTAAGTCATGTCATATTTTTCAAAGTCTGAAAATCCTTTTTGTGTTGGATATTATTTTTACCCTAAAAAGTTTAATGAATTGATTCAATTTTAAACATTAATAAGCAACAATCATTTTACTTACCTTCCTATAGATTTTAGATTTGTTAATAAATATATAGAAATTGATTTATTGTTTCATAAAATTATGGATATCTACAAGAATAAGGAAATAAACATGAAATAAAATGAGGTTTAATTATTCTAATAAAACTATGACAAATTTATATAAGAAAATGCCTAATTACCTGTAATCGACTCAATTGAATGCCTACAGACATTAATCTAGAGAGATGAACTAAATACAAAATTAGAATCTATCTTAGCTAGTCCTGAATTCTAAAATGTCGTTAAGGAGCATCACATTAAAATTATGACTCCACGATAAATAGTTTTTAACAATATTGATTAAGTATAAGATTTATCAAATTTGGAATACCCACTTATTGTTAAAACTAAATAAGGAGCATTGACTGCTAATTGCCATATTATGGCTATAGTTGTTAATGAAAAAGGACTCAAGGAGTTGTTTAAACAACAATAATTTAAGTATGAGATTATTTTTAGATTAGAGGAGAATTAATCTTGTAGTAAATTATTAACCATAACAGCATTATATACAAAATATATCAACTAGGGAGTAAAGTGATAGTACAAAAACGTAAGTCTATACCGAATATCGAAATTAATAATTTCAAATTTGAAGAAGTAACAAATATATTTATATTCTTTAGGGTTTCTATGTTTTTGACACACAAAAAGACTTATTTAAAAATGTTTCAGAGTGTCTCAAATAAGTTGATGAAGGAATTCATGAATGCTCAAACGAAGCTTAATTGTAAAAGTAAATGGAATTATTATCTTCAATAATATCAAAGGAATTTAAACTACATCTATTTGGATTTGATATAATAGGAATGAATTAGGAATTTTATATCATTGATATTAATCATTTTCCAGGATATAAAAATGTATGAATAGTTCACTACTATTTTAGGTTGAAAATGCTATAGAACTTTTTGAATAGTTATTTATATAAGTATCAAAAAAATGAGGATCCGATCATAAAATGATNTTCAAAGTCTGAAAATCCTTTTTGTGTTGGATATTATTTTTACCCTAAAAAGTTTAATGAATTGATTCAATTTTAAACATTAATAAGCAACAATCATTTTACTTACCTTCCTATAGATTTTAGATTTGTTAATAAATATATAGAAATTGATTTATTGTTTCATAAAATTATGGATATCTACAAGAATAAGGAAATAAACATGAAATAAAATGAGGTTTAATTATTCTAATAAAACTATGACAAATTTATATAAGAAAATGCCTAATTACCTGTAATCGACTCAATTGAATGCCTACAGACATTAATCTAGAGAGATGAACTAAATACAAAATTAGAATCTATCTTAGCTAGTCCTGAATTCTAAAATGTCGTTAAGGAGCATCACATTAAAATTATGACTCCACGATAAATAGTTTTTAACAATATTGATTAAGTATAAGATTTATCAAATTTGGAATACCCACTTATTGTTAAAACTAAATAAGGAGCATTGACTGCTAATTGCCATATTATGGCTATAGTTGTTAATGAAAAAGGACTCAAGGAGTTGTTTAAACAACAATAATTTAAGTATGAGATTATTTTTAGATTAGAGGAGAATTAATCTTGTAGTAAATTATTAACCATAACAGCATTATATACAAAATATATCAACTAGGGAGTAAAGTGATAGTACAAAAACGTAAGTCTATACCGAATATCGAAATTAATAATTTCAAATTTGAAGAAGTAACAAATATATTTATATTCTTTAGGGTTTCTATGTTTTTGACACACAAAAAGACTTATTTAAAAATGTTTCAGAGTGTCTCAAATAAGTTGATGAAGGAATTCATGAATGCTCAAACGAAGCTTAATTGTAAAAGTAAATGGAATTATTATCTTCAATAATATCAAAGGAATTTAAACTACATCTATTTGGATTTGATATAATAGGAATGAATTAGGAATTTTATATCATTGATATTAATCATTTTCCAGGATATAAAAATGTATGAATAGTTCACTACTATTTTAGGTTGAAAATGCTATAGAACTTTTTGAATAGTTATTTATATAAGTATCAAAAAAATGAGGATCCGATCATAAAATGATAATATATTATAAAAATATGTATAATGTTGTTTGTTAATCAAATTAATTTAGAAAATTCAGGAGCTAAATTTATGATTTCAATTTCATCATCCTCATTTGATTATTAAGGTGCTCTTGTATTTCTCTTACTTGGAGTAGTGAGAATATAAGAAATTTATTTGCTTTGTTTTCTAGGACTATTTTACTTGTAAGAAGAATTGAAAGATAGTTTTGAGCTATTTTATTTATTATTCTCTCTAGGCTTATATAAAAAGATCTGGTTGTAATAAATAATATGTTATTTTTTTGGTGATTTTGGAGTTTTGTAAGGACTTTTCTTAGAACTCCTTTTATGATTGCTTTTTCTACCAATGATTTTACTTTAGGAATCATTTGGGTTACATGCCCATATTTTTAATCTCGATTATTATTATGATTATGTTTCTTCTGGATTTGATGTTTCAGGCAATTCCTTGATTACTTATTCAATATCATTATTATCTTGATTACCTAATATTTTTTATTAAATATGATCTTGTTTCTTATGATATATATTAAAAACTTCATTAGATATTGGTTATTCATAACACTATTGAAATTAATCACTTTAACCTATATATTCTAATTAGTTTTTGGATTCCTAATATGGTTTAGAGTTTTCTTAAGTAAATAGTTATTATTCTTATTTCTATACTTTTAGCATGTCAAACATTTTAAATTGTATAGGTGATTAATTTTAATGAGATATCTTTTTTGTACTTTTACTATTTATGTTAGATTGTCTTTTCTGTTGATAGAACCGTTCTTATGATTCACTCATTATTTTTTCATGAGTCTAATTCACTTTGGTTAATTTTATCTCATTTTGTTTTTTGATTGGAGTTTCCCTGCTTGGAGTGCAATCTGTGCCTCTGAAAGTAAACTTATTTTCTCTTATTGGTGTAGGATTAATTTTCACTAAAGAGTAGGATAATGGACTTATTGGAGTCTTGGAGCGTAATTTATAGAAGGAAGGAGATAGGGATCGACAAGAAAACAAAGGTCTTGTGACAACAAATGCTGGGACAGGATGGAATTTGTGATCAATGGAGCTGAAATGTTAACGAATTTATTGAATCTGATATTGCATTGTTTTATATATTAATACATTCATCAAGAAAACCAATATTTCATAACTAATATCATAAAAGAGAAGCTTTCTTATTTTTTTATATATAATACTCATTATTAAAAATAGATATTAATAAAATTTATTTCATTTTCTTTTAACCATATTAATTTGATTTTTAATGTCTAATTTAAACCATTTACAAACTGACTAACTTAATATCTATTTGCTTATTATTTTTTTAATAAACAAAAAACATTTAATTAAATATACATACATAATTCTTAATCTTAAATAATTATAATTCACTTTTTTATTAAGATAAATTAAACCTCTTATTTTTTTTATAATTTTAAGTGGAAAATTTATATTACATCTTAATATTTCTACAATAATTTAATTTAGTATTAATAAATAGATAATTAAGAATATTTATTTATATAAGTATCAGTGCATAATCTATTTTTTCTAGATTATAATTATAAATCTATATATTATTTCTAAATGATTGCATTTGTATTTATAATTCTGTAAAAATGGAATGAAAAATAATAGGAAAACAATATACCATTGAGATAAATGTTAAAATAAGGGATGGGGGGATTAGAATAAAATTTATGTTTATTATATAAAAATATTTCATTTATATATAATATATATATTAATTCAAATTTCAAATATTCAAAATGTGTCTTGAAATATACATATTTAAGTGAATTAAGAATTTTAAAAAGTGATTGGTATGCGTATATTTAATGAGTTCTTTAATAAATAGAATTCATAAAAATAAATTTGATAAAATAATTTAAAAATGAAAACAAAAGAGCTTTGGACATACACAATTGATAAGCCAACTGAGCCCAATGTAAATCTAACAAATCAAGTATTTGCTTGTGCTTTTTTAAAAGGTAAAGTAATGCGAGATTTGATTAGATGGAGATGTTGTGGTTGCCGCTGTAGGGAATGCATTACTATTATTTGATACATAAAAATCTGAAATGTTAAGACCACCTTTAAGAGGATAACACAAAGACACAATTACTTGTTTGGCTGCATCTAAGGATGGAAATAAAATGGTAACAGGTAGTGCGGATAAAACAGTTATTGTGTGGGCATTCAATATTGCTAGAGGTGAGAAGATGTTGGATGCAGAAAAATTTTTTTCACATAGTGAAGCAATTTAATGTGTTGCTATCAGTCCTTTAATGTATTAAATATTTACAGGTTCAAATTAAGAGTATTCTTTATGGATTCCTGGAATGAGTAATATAGACAGGTAGAAGTATAAGGAGAAAATAATATGTTCAGCTTGGAGTGCTGATGGACAGTATGTATCATTTGGAACAATGAGTGGTATGATTGAGTACTTTTCACATTAGGACTGGTTGTGATTACGGATAGATAAGCACATTAATTGAAAGAGATTTAGACTTAGAAAGGAGGACCAGTATGGTGTATGGAATGGACTCCAATAACATCTGAATATTAATAGTCTCAATTAACTGTTGGAGTGTGGATGAATTCATTATATTAATTTGATTGTAATGGATAATAAATTGGGGCTAGAATAGAATTACCATTTGATCCTTTACATATAAATTTTTAATATAATGGTGAATATATGGCAATAGCTGGGAATAATAATAAGATTAATCTATATACAAGAGAGGGAGGATTCTTAATGGAAGCCTGTTCTCTTAATGATTGGATATGGTGTACTAAAATAAAACCAAAATCTACAGTAATTGTTTGTGGTACTAATGATGGTGACATTGTTGTATAGGAATTAGTATAAGAAAATGTTACTGCATTATATGATGATAAATTAGTTTAGAGAGAACAATTAACAGATGCAATTATATTGTCAATGATTTCTAATTAGAAGGCAAGAATTAAATGTAAAGAATTAGTAAAAAGAGTGGCCATATTTAAAGAAAAAGTGGCTATTTTATGTGGTATTAAGGTTTTAATTTACACTTGTGTAATTAAAGGAGATGATTTCATGAAATATAAATAATTTAAGAAATTTTAGAAGAGAGTGGATTGTGAACATTTTTAATTGGCATCATCAAATGTTTTAATTGGAGCAGGATAGAAATTAATTGCATTCAATTTTAATGGAGATATGGATAAGACTTGGAGTTTTGAATCTCCTATTACAGTTGTTTCTTGTTAAGGTGGTGCACCTAAAAGAGAATTAGTTTTGATTGGATTAGAGAATGGAGGCATTTATAAGATCTATTTAGATAATTCATTCCCTATTTAAATTCATAAGGTTAATACACACATCAAATATTTGTCAATGTCTTAATCAAAAAGAAAATTGGCATTGATAGATGGAAATTAAAATTTATAAGTAATAGATACTATAAGTAAAGAAATTTTATTTGGGGAAATGAGTGTTGAAGGTGTTGCTTTTAATTCAGAATTTGAAGATTTGATTGCTTATTCAGGTAAAGGATTATTGTTTTTCAAATGTATCGCATTTCCAGCTTTAAATTAAAAGATAACTGGAAATGTTATAGGATTTAAAGGATGCAAATTGTTCCTTCAAAATAACAATCAAGTCTAAACTATTGATATTTAATAAACAGCAAATATGTAGAGATATTTAGAAAAAAAAGATTTCTAGAATGCTTTAAAGATAGCTTGTCTTGGTGTAACAGAATAAGATTTAAGAGCTTTAGGAATTGAGGCTTTGATAGCAGGAGAATTTGAAATAGCAAGAAGAGTATAATAGAATTTTTATTATTTTTATAGTGTTTTTTGAGAAATAAGGATTACCATTTCATCGATTTACTTATGAAATATGAAAAGAAAAATTTAGATGCATAAATACTGAATGAATTAAATGCTGAGGCTTTGGCATATCAAGGGAGATTTATGGATGCTGGTAATCTATTAATAAAGGTTGGGTAGGCTGATAAAGCAGTATAGTTATTTAAAGAATTAAGGAGATGGGATGATGCTATAAGTAAATAATTATTGTAAAAGTAGACTTTGCTAAAAAGGGAGATGTTGCTTATAGGGCTGTCACATCTGGAGGTAGAACTGGCACTGGTGTTAGAGCACCAACATCATAAGGAAGAACAGGAACAGGTAGAGGTTAAGCAGTCATACCATAACCATAAGATATAGCACCTCCTAAGATAGAGATGAATATGTTATTGAGAGAACAGGCTGAATGGACAAAAGAATCTGGAGATTGGAAAGCTGCAGCTGATTTATTTGTCACTTGTTAAGAATATAAAAAAGCTATTGAATTATATGGATAGAATAAATATTTGGATGGATTATTAAATGTTTGTAGAATGTTAGATAAACAAGAAAATTCAGATAATATAGTTTTATGTGCTAATTATTTCAAAAAACTTAAACATCATGGAGGTGCTAAAGAAGCTTATCTTAAATTAAATGATTTAAAAAACCTAATGATTTTACATGTTGAATTTCAAAAATGGCAAGAAGCTTTTTAAATTGGAAGATCTAATAAAGAACTTCTTGAAATTGCCAAAGTACCTTATGCTAATTACTTATTATTAAATGATCGTTATGAAGATGCTCTCAAAGCTTATAAGAGTGCAGGTAGATTTGATATAACAATGAAAATGACAAAAGATATGGCCAAAAATTGTATTGAAGAATAAAGGTATCATGATGCTAGTTAATATTTATGGAATTTAGCTATAGATTGCTTATCTCAAATTCAAGATTATTAAAATCCATCAGGTGATGATGTAAAAGCTATTTCATAATATCGTGATTATAGTGATTTAGCAGATGTTTATTATGCATATTAAAAGATACATAATTTCATTTGTGAACCATTTTAACCTTTATCAGGAGAAGCTTATTTCATATAGATTATGAATTCTGCCAGATTCATTATATCAAAATGGAAGAGTATATATTAGGGAATTAAAATGAGTTATGTCTATTATGCTTTAGCCAAATGTGCTTCACAACTTTCATGTTTCAAAACTGCTCGTTCATGCTATGAAAAATTGAATGTAAATATTTTATTTAAATATTCTTTTTTTAGTAATTCAAAATACCTGCAGAATGGAGTGAAGAAATAGATCTTCAATCATTATTAATTAGATCAAAACCATATACAGATGATGAATCTAAATTACCATTATGTATGAGATGCTAGACATACAATGCAATTATTAATGTAAATGAAAAATTGTCTGTATGTAATGCTTGTTTGCATCCTCTATTTTCTTCTTTCATTAGCTTCTCTACTTTACCACTTGTTGAATTTAAAGTTGATAATTCATTATCCAGAGAAGATGTGGAAAAATTATTAAATAGTGAAAAAGTATTTATCAATAAAAGACCAGGATAATTATTTCAAGATAAAATCAATGAAATTATTTAATAATAACAAACATCACAAGATTAATATTTAGTAGTTGAATTGGATGAAGCTACAATTCAATCTCTATCACCAGAAGAGGTTTTGATTGTAGATTATAGATAATATTGTAGATCAATAGATGTCAAATATTATAAGAATATGATTGGAGAACAACCTATTCATACTTGTCTTGATTGTGGAAGATTTTTTTATATTGATGAACATGAATTTGAATATGTCTAAAAAAAGTGTTGTCCATTTTGTAGAATTTCAGATAAAAAAATACCATAAAAGGATGTTTTTGATATTTGAAATAAAAAATAAATAATTATTATTATTAATTAAGATATAATATAGTACTCTTATGTAAAAGAAATTGTATTTAAAAAATTTGATATTCTCTGAGTATTAAAATAATTATTCTTCAATTATTAAATGATTTCTAATTATTTTTAAATTATATATTATTTTATATTTAAAATTACAATAAAATTAATATCCAAAGTAGATTTAATCAAGCTCCAAAAGGAATTCCAATATTTTTATGAAAAGTAAATGTGAGTACTAAGATTATTAAATTAATTACTCTCTTCATCAAGATCTAAAGTTTCAAATATTAATAGCCAAGGCAATTCATAAGCCTTTTTAAATCTGATCAATTTGTCTAAGTTGAATCTACCTTAGAATATACATTGGACATATTCATCTGATGTCATTTTTGTTGTAATACTCAAAATATCACTTAATCTATTCTCAAAAATTAAAATAATAAGTATTTATAAAATACTAACTATTGTTTCAATTTTTGCATTGCATTTATAGTTTAATTTAATTTTTAAATCTTAATATAGTAATATGGCATGATTAATAAAATCATTAATATTTATTGTCTTAATTTTTAATTTATTTTACACATTAATCATTAAATGAACAAGAATTAGTTTTCTTTATATCATTAAATATTAAATTTCAAAAAATTATGCTCCTCTTATTTTTTCTAATATTTTAACAATCAATTTTATGGCATTTCCAAATTGCTTTTGTATTGAAATGGGATTTATTTTGTTTTCAAGAAAGAAATTTCTAAATATCAAAAGTATGGTTGGTTAATCACCTTTATAAATAGAAATCTCAGTTCTGATGGTTTATTTTTAATAGTTTATTAAAATAGTTTCATTAAAGTTATTATGTGTAGTCTTTTTAAATTCAATCATATTTTTATGAATAATATTTTATAGTAAATTATTATGATGAGTAGCCAATCTAAGAAAATTCTCAGCTTCTTCCTAAGTTTTAAACATTTTCTCACAATTCCTAAAATTCTTGATTGTATAACGTAAGGTTTCCTCTTAAAATTATAGAATCATGTAAGATTATTGAATTTAGAGTTTTTATAGAATTTCTTCCCATCGACAATCCGCCAAAGTTAATAAATATTAAGAGCGCTTTGCTTTATTATATAAAAAATTGTAATAATTTATGTACAAGATGAGTAACAAAGAAGCAATAGGAGCTGAATATTAGATGGATTCACTTTTAACTAAAACCCAACTGATTCTAAATATTTATAGGGATATGATAGTTAACATTCCATCTAGATATTCTCCTGTTAAAATTAGTAGATAACTGGCTGCCATTTAGTTAACTCCTTATAACATTGCCATTTAATTATCAACTTCTGATCTATCTTCGAATACTATAAAGTAAATCGTCACGAAATGATTAAGTATTATAATACCTAGTCTAAGATACTTATTTTTTTTCCAAAAAAACCCTAATTGTAAGCATAGATAAGATAGAATGGTAATATTTAGATAAAAGGCATACATGTTATCTTCAGATATTGATTGGATAACTTTTATCAAAAAGGCTAATATAAATCCGCTACTTATGGAGATAAAAGTGAGTAACCTTTTAGAATGTTAGTTTTTTATTTGATAGGATTCCTCAATGTTAGCATCTTTAAAAGTTAAAAAAAAAGGATGCATATACAATTTATGCAAATTGAAATAATAATTTCTTATTAATTTTCATTAATCAAATTAAAACAGGTTATTTTGGTATAGAGATACTCTTTATTCTATATTAATCTTAAATTAAAGGTATATGACATATACTTAAGAATCTAAAAAGACTATAATAATTTATTAATTTTCAATCAATTTCAAATATAAATCATTTATAATCATTACAAAACAACATAATTTGAATTATATTTTGTGATTAAATCCATAAATAATATCAATGATAAACATTAATATTTTAATGGGGGTTTGTAATTCAACAAAAAAATCTTAAGATAAGAATAAGACTACAGATAATTTTAATCCAGCTTTGATTAATACAGCAGATGTTCAATAAACTTAAAGAGAATTTGCTTCTAATTAAAATGAAAAAAGACCTAATTTAAACCAAACCGTTCAAAGGAAGTTTAGAAAGTCAGGGACTTTGAGCTATTTTGAATATAATCATGATAAACTCTAGACTGATAAACGATCTTGTAAAATTTACAATTTATTTATTCAGAAAACAATAAAAAAGCAGGATCCAATATACCTTAATTGAAAATCAAAATCACTGAATCAATAGCTTCAAAAGATTACTCAGTGTATAAAGGGATTGTGAAGATACCCAATAAATCTACACTAAGAGTTATGTAGCATAACAGTGATGGCTAACTAGTCGTTATGGAATAATTACCTTTTGATTAAGAAGGAAAGGACTACATAGAGTGGCTCTAAAAAACTAATTTGGTAATTAGTCTAGTGAATGTAGGAGTTTTATCAAATTGGAAAGGTTTATGAAATCTTTGTTTGGGGATAATAATTTTAGATAATGAGTGAATATTGTACAGGTGGTCCATTATCCTAATTGTTGCATCACAAACTATCAGAATAGGTAGTATGTAACATTTTGGAGTAAATGTTTGAGATTATTAATTTTCTTCACTAAAACAAGTTAAACCACAATAAACTGACAATCGATAGTTTTTCATTTTATTACGATTTGTAAAATTATTTGATTAAGTTGACTGATTTAAAATGTTTACATAAACCTTAGAGAGAGCCAACATTATAAGTTATTTAATATGCATCTCCTGAAGCTCTAACTTCCCATCATGCTCATAAATCAAATGATATATGGTCTTTAGGAATTATTGCTTATCAATTAATGACTAGAAATTTAATCTATGAAGGAGATCAAGATTTGACAACAATTCAAGAATTTAAGTAAGCTATTCTTAGATGGACAGCTAAATAGGATTTATAAGATGAAATATCTTAAGATTTTGAAAATCTAATTTTTGATATGCTAAATCCTGATAAAACCTAAAGACTTACTATAGAAGAATGTTTAAAACATTAATTTATATAGAATCATTAAAATTAGAATTTGAATTGTCATTTCAAACATTTTTTTACTTAGAATTTTCATGATAATTTATAGAAAAGACTAATGATTTATCTAATAAATAATTATGAACACTCTCATTATCAAGTAGGACATAGAATATTTGATATATTGGATAAAGATAAAGATGGAAAATTGAATGTTGAAGAATTAGAAGAATTTTGTAGAAGACTTAAATAAACATAAGGTTAAGAAAAGAATATCAAAATTATATAGAATTTAATAGAGAAAAAAAGTGAATTAGTATTAGAAGATTTCATTTTGATGATATCTAATAAATCTATATACTTAACTCATCATAATCTCGATCATAGTTTTATGAAATTTGCAAATAAAAATTAAGAAGTCACTGTTAAATCATTATCAAAAATACTCAATATATCAGAATAAGAATTGATTGTAGATTTTAAGAATCGGTAATTGTTTTATGAGGTATCTTTTATTATTCTATATAGAATTATTGTATTCCTTTAGAAAAAATATAATATGATTAGATATTAAATTAAATTTTAGAAATTTAAAAGGAATATTGATGACAATTAATTGATTATATCATTAAAAATAATGCTTAATTTGTATAATTCTTCATTTGAAAACAACCATTAGTTCCAATTCTAATTAAAAAGATATCGTCCTTCCTATACAATTCAATCTGAACCAAAAAATTAACTAACTAGATAACACACTATTTAAGATCTTTTAAATTTGAAATTGTCTGGAAATATATAATCTAGTTAACCTGTAATATAAAGAAACTTATTAATGAGACCATCCTTAAAGTTAGCTAAGATTACACCATCTATAACTGAATCTACAGATAATTATAGTTCTATAAAAAAGAGAACTATTTCTCTAGAAAACTCCAAGAAAGTTGACTTTCACCCTTCAGTCTTGGTTATTTATTCAGAGAATGGAATTAAGAAGAGAGAAAAGTTAATTGATGAATGTAAAATTAAAAGAACAGGTACCAGAAAAAACTGTATAATATTAATTAAAAAAAAATGATTATCCAAATAAACCGATTTGATTATAATATTGAGTATAGATTAAACAATCATATGTAAAAACTTTTCTATATTTAATCTTTTACTTTCATAGCCTATTAAGGTGTTAATTTATGATTAACACTTAATTTGATCATAATTTTATCCAGATTCTAATTCTAAAATATTATATATTTTATTTTTACAAACTCTTTTAGCATTCACTTTCACAATTTTATCATGACTCACTTTAACAGTAGTTACAATTTCATCCTTTGTATATTTTTCATCTATACTTTCACCACTCAATAATTAAATCTAAATGACTTCATTTACAAGTCTATTGAATTTCTATTCATCATAATGTAATCCAGTAGAATAATAGAAATTTCGAATACATTCTTATGGATCTTAATTCCTATAAACTGCAATATCACCTATATATTAACCAGATTAATATAATTTAATCTTTCCTATTGTACAACTTTTATCTATTAATTGATATTCAGATAATAAATCTACTTACATATCATCTTCTAAATCTTGTAGAAAACTATTATTTTTATAAGCTTATGCTTTCCATAAGGCACTATCAATTTTACCTAATCTATTATAATTGATCCAATCATATAATCTTGTCATATACATTTCTATTGTTTATTAAATGATATCAGCAGTTTTTGAAATAATAGTAGATGTTGTTTATATACTTAATTCTTATAATAATTTATGTGTCAATGTGAAAGATGTATCCTCTAGAAATACAGGTAATTTTATAGTTCTATATTTTAGATCAAATTAGAGTGTGAGTAATTGAATTTATTATTTTTATTGTTATGGTGATTTGGATTTGGATTTTGACATGGATATGGGTTGTAAAGGTATTTTCTATTTAGAATTACCATTTTTTTGAATGTCAATTTATAATGTTGGAATTGGAGATTGTTTTGAATAAGTTAAATTTTAATCTATATCTGATTCAATTATAGCAGATTTAATTTTCTATTATTAATTATCATCAGAAGAATCTGGACTTGAACAATTTTAAAATGATCGGAATTGTTGTATTTAACTGTTATTTATTTAATTGCTATTTTTCTTAAATTTTTTTCTGAATAGACTATTATCAATTTTATTTGGATGAGTCTATCTTTCAGTACCAGATGAACTACTAATAAAGGATGCTCGTAAAAATTCTGTCATAACAAATACTTTTATTAATATATTAATTATTATATGAAAAAGAAACTAAATTTTAATTATGTTTTATATATATATATATTCATTTTAATCAAACTATGGGGATTGGAGTTTCATAATTAATTAAGAACTCTCTATATTCTTTTAGATTTATCTATAAAATTTATATAATAATATTCTTACTCCATCATTAAGATTGAATGTATTAAAATCTTTTTGAATCAATTATTCATCATAATTGTTTAAGAATTTACACATTGATTTTAAAGTGATTAGATTTGATTATCTGGATAATTATTTAAAACTGGATTCTTAAATATCTTAAGTTAAAATTATGTCTTTATTTGATGCTAATAGTAAAAATTCATCTAAAGTTAATTCTTTTTATAAATCTAATTGTTCAATTAAATCCTTTCCCTCAATTGAAAATAATTCTTTTAATTCTTATAAACTCAAACTTCCATCTTTATTTGTATCAGCTGTGATAAATAATTTTGTCAAAACTTTTAAATGATCATTTGCATAATTATGAAGAAGATATTAAAATATGCATTTATGGATATAAGTCATATTCTTGCATTTTATCATATTTTTTAAGGGTTATAATAAATCTTATGGTTAAACTTATTTCATCTTAATTAAAAATGGATGTTCTAAACATTTTTTTAATGTAATTCTATCATTCCGATTAATACGTAACATTTCTAATAAAAGTGAATTCATCTCTGAAGGATGATTATTTAAATATTCTTGAGGATCAAATGAATCAATTTCTTAAATATTATAAGGTAATTCTTTATTTCTTAATTACAAAATTATTATTGCTAATGCCCAAACATCATTACATTTATTTCTTGTCTTAATTTCATTTTAGTTAGCATCATGATGATGTTTATTTTTTGGTTTATGATTTTAGTGCTTTTAAGAAAGTGGATCTGAATATAAATGTGCCTCTTTTGGATACATCAATTAATATATGCTTCTAATATCTGATAACTTTATAAATGGAGTAGAAGAGTCATCAAATACTGAAAAACTATCAATAGTTAATTCATCATGACTTAATCCTTAAGAATGTATATAAGCTAATGCTTCTATCATTTAATAAAATATAATCCCTATTTTTTTATCACTCTACTTACTACAACCAAAAAGTTTTGACAAAGATCCTCCAGCACAGCATTCATACATTACTTAATAAATTCTTTTATTATGATCTACAAGAGTGTCTATAATTTTTACAATGTGCATATTATCCTAAGTTATTAATTTCCTTACCAACTTAATTTCTTCCAATTTATTTAAGTATTCGTGATTTTTAGTATCAAACTTGAGTACTTCAATTTAAACTAATTAACCTGTTTCATTGTGTTGCATAACCGTTTTGCCTTAATTGTCTGCTATGTAATATATTCATATACCTAAATTTTTGCTTGAAACGATTGAAAAGTTTTTAGAGGCTGACACTAACAATGTTTTGGTCACTTATTTATTGTTGCTTCTTTAATAAGTAAGATTTGAGAGTGATCCCGTTTTTTATTACTCTTATATTTATGAAGACTAAATGATCATTGTCTTAGTTGTCATTGTTGTTGCGTGAGATGTTCTTCTAATAGCCATAGTACCATTTTTAGCTGAATTCATCTATACTGGAGTTATATTTTAATTTTGGGATAGCCTCCTTATAGGTGTAATAGTTCTTTGGTTCTCTTGGAATTGATTTATACTATTCTTCTATTCACCTATCAATGAAAATTATTGATTTATTTTGGTTTCTGTTTTGGCTTTCTATTGTTACTAATTATTTTTAGAAGATGAAGAAGTACAAACTCCCATTAATTATAAATAAACAAATTTAAATTAGGGCGTATAAGTTGTTTATAATATGATTAAATAGTTTAGAATAAATATTTCTGTAATTTAAATAAATCAATTACATATATTAGCATTTATTGTACACTTAGCCAAAATGCACAATGTCAAATCTAATATGTCATTACAACTATTAGATATAGTTGGATCAACGAATAAATAATTACCTGATCCATTTATATCAACTGTGCAGTATCCATTAGTACAAATAGACAAATATTCAGCATCATATAATGTCATTTTGACTAAATCAATATTTTTTAATTGAACTGTGTATGTAGTAGTTATTGCCCATTTTATAGTATATTTTAAATTAATTTAATTAGATATTCTTATCATGAATATAGGACTAACAGCAGATTAAATACCAAATATTTATGGATATATTACTGTTAATTAAAAAAATCCATTTTCTGGATATGTATTCCATGAAAATTCAGCTTACTATTGAAATGCAAATCCCAAATATTTAAAATGAATATGATTAAAATTCACAAAATTATAAATAGTATAGTATTTTTCTGAATAAGTACTTAATCTCTAATAATAAATATCTATCAGTTCTAATATCTTGAATATTGTAGCACTTCTTTCAAGAAAATTTGAAAGTATATCATCTCTAATATTTTATAAACTCTCATAAATTGCCCTCTCCAAATAATATGGATGAGAATACTATCCTATTAAGATTGATGCTTAATTAAGATATAAATCAATAATAGAATTCAATTGAGTATTAGAACTAGATAAAAAATCAAGTTAATATAACTTATCCATTGCTTCCACACTAGGTAATGAATTACTAAGTTCAATTATATATGTTGAAGTTTGCATTATATCTTCTGTTGATAAGTCTGATATAAATCTATAGAAATATATCTTCTATGCAGTATAGGCAGTACTATAACAAGATGCTACAAATTGAGGAGGAGTATAATAAACTGGTTAACATTCTATTTGCAATGCCCCACCAGATCTACAAGCTGCCTATTGAGTCACTAAATGACACAATTATGGATTGCATTAAGTGCTATCCCAATAACAATATCCAGATTCAATACAGGGAGTTTCAGTAAAAGATGAACATGAATCTGATCCAATTGCTTGACAATTATAATTAGCAATAAAAGTAATGAAAATTAGAATAATCATTTTAATTAATTAGTTATGATTTTATTTATTATATCTCAAAGGTATATTGAATAATACTAATTGAATTTGAAAAATTAATCATAATTGAATAATTCAGATAGATATCTAAACAATAGAAAATTCATTAATTATTATTGAATAGTTGATGTATAGAATTAATTAAAATATAATTATGGTAGATAATGATATCAAAATTGTTTGAAAAGGTATTATACTTAAAATTTTATAATTTATTTGGTTTTGGTTATATTTTAATTTTCAAAGAAGCGGGAAAGGTATTTCTTTAGATGATTTATTTTATAAGAGCATTAATTTAATTGAAAAATTAGTATGTATACAGGCACAATCTCAGTAATTTATGGTCCAATGGTATGATTATTAATATATGTCAGTTTTCTGGTAAAACTAGTGAACTTATGAGATTGGTCAAGAGATTTACTATTTCTGAGAGAAAATGTGTAGTTTTGAATTATGCAAATGATAATAGATATTCAGAGGAATAGTGTATTTCAAGTCATGATAAGTATATATTGTTCATTTAAAAATGAAGACAATATTTGAAAGCCATTAAAGTATGCAAATTAAATGAGGCTTATGAGAAATGCAAAGAGAGTGATGTAGTGGCTATTGATGAAGGTTAATTCTTTTCAGATGTAAATATAATTGCATTATGTATAGATTGTAGAATTTAGTGAGAAGATGGCTAATTTAGGAAAGATTGTAATAGTTGCAGCTCTTGATGGAACCTTTGACAGAAAACCTTTTCATAACATCTTAAATTTGATTCCTTTAGCTGAACGAATAACAAAACTAACAGCTGTGTGTTGGTTCTGTAAAAGAGAAAATGCCTCTTTTACTAAAAGAATAGTATAATCATAAGAGAGTAATTAAAATAAATAAAATTTTAGTTGAGTTAATTGGTGGTGAGGATTGTTATAAACCTGCATGTAGAGTATGTTTCCATCTTGCATAAACTCAATCAAAAACATAATCCATATTATATGTTAATTAAGAGAATCATTTTGAGTAAAAAAATTTGATTTGCTGAGCAAAAACTATAATTAATTTATATTTATTATTATTAAAACATAATGAGTTATAATGGAAATGCACTATTGACACCATCAAGATATGGTGGAGAATCTTGGAATTCCCAAACATGCTTTACTGCTCAAGAGGATTATTTTGAATGTTTGGATAGAGAGAATTCAACTAATGGTAATTTAATTATTAATGCAGTCAATCGTAAACTTTGTGGAAGAGAACATCAAATATGGAAGGAATCATGTCCTGATTCTGATAGAAGAGCCTAAATGATATTTAGAAGACTTGATAGATAAAATTAAGCATTGTATACATCAGAATAGCTAAGATTATATAATAATCATTAAAATAATAGAAGCTTCAAATGATTAATAAAAATGCACAAAATATATCAAATATTATTATAATTAATAAGTCTTCTTTATAATATTATCACTCTTAAATTATTTTATTATTTGAATCTTTATTATTAATTTTATTATGTATCTACAAACTATTACTAATAATTCATAGATATCTAAGATGTAAATAATATATCTATATCATAACGTATTTGAATAATATATTAATTTAAAAAAATCTGAAGTTAATTAATAGTAATAATGTCTAATATAACTAACAAAAGTTTTGTCTAATATAACTAACAAAAGTTTTGGAATATAAATAAATATTCTTTATCAGAGTTATAATTAAGAGTTACTTTTTTAGTAAATATAAGTAAAGCTCTTATATTATAAATGTTTTCAGAGGTGATTTTCAGGATGTATAAATTTATAATCAAGTTATTTTGTAATTATTAGACTGATTATTTTAATTGAATGATATTATGTAAAGTAAGATGTTAAGATAATCATTATTTTATTATTAAGACTCCTTGCAATTAACATACTTTATATCCAGCATTTGATTATTATTTTCCTATATATANAGAGAAAATGCCTCTTTTACTAAAAGAATAGTATAATCATAAGAGAGTAATTAAAATAAATAAAATTTTAGTTGAGTTAATTGGTGGTGAGGATTGTTATAAACCTGCATGTAGAGTATGTTTCCATCTTGCATAAACTCAATCAAAAACATAATCCATATTATATGTTAATTAAGAGAATCATTTTGAGTAAAAAAATTTGATTTGCTGAGCAAAAACTATAATTAATTTATATTTATTATTATTAAAACATAATGAGTTATAATGGAAATGCACTATTGACACCATCAAGATATGGTGGAGAATCTTGGAATTCCCAAACATGCTTTACTGCTCAAGAGGATTATTTTGAATGTTTGGATAGAGAGAATTCAACTAATGGTAATTTAATTATTAATGCAGTCAATCGTAAACTTTGTGGAAGAGAACATCAAATATGGAAGGAATCATGTCCTGATTCTGATAGAAGAGCCTAAATGATATTTAGAAGACTTGATAGATAAAATTAAGCATTGTATACATCAGAATAGCTAAGATTATATAATAATCATTAAAATAATAGAAGCTTCAAATGATTAATAAAAATGCACAAAATATATCAAATATTATTATAATTAATAAGTCTTCTTTATAATATTATCACTCTTAAATTATTTTATTATTTGAATCTTTATTATTAATTTTATTATGTATCTACAAACTATTACTAATAATTCATAGATATCTAAGATGTAAATAATATATCTATATCATAACGTATTTGAATAATATATTAATTTAAAAAAATCTGAAGTTAATTAATAGTAATAATGTCTAATATAACTAACAAAAGTTTTGTCTAATATAACTAACAAAAGTTTTGGAATATAAATAAATATTCTTTATCAGAGTTATAATTAAGAGTTACTTTTTTAGTAAATATAAGTAAAGCTCTTATATTATAAATGTTTTCAGAGGTGATTTTCAGGATGTATAAATTTATAATCAAGTTATTTTGTAATTATTAGACTGATTATTTTAATTGAATGATATTATGTAAAGTAAGATGTTAAGATAATCATTATTTTATTATTAAGACTCCTTGCAATTAACATACTTTATATCCAGCATTTGATTATTATTTTCCTATATATATATATACTATATGGTTTTTTTAGAGTTTAAGTATTTTTAATTTTGATACCTTATGAGAAAATCTTTTATGTTAGAACTATAAAAAGAAGTTTCATTATTAAAAAAGTAATGATTTAAACTCCAATATTTTTAATAGATCTCACATAAGAATTTATTTGTTAAGCAAAAACTCTCTGAGAATTCTTTAAGAGTATAAAATAATCTCTGAGAATTGAGTTTTATTGAAATATTAGTAAATCTCTTGGCTCTATGTAGATTATGTATAACTATAAATATTTTTGATATTAAATTAATAAATATGTAATTGCCATGTATGTTCTGTGATCATAAAGGGAGTCTGCCAGAATTATTGAATATGGTAAACATCAAAAACATTCAAGGCTCTTTATTCAAGGTATCAGACTGATTTTTGTTAATTATAATTACGGAGTCCAACTACAATTCGTTTCTAAGATTAGGCATGTTTTGAAGAGTTGGAAGAGTATTTCAAATTGTATAAGCTCTAGTTATTTAGTATAGTTATTACACATTTCCATATTTGAAAGATAATTAAAAGCAATTGATTGAATATTATAGATATCATAGAGACATACCGCGTATTTTCATAAAGAATATCACTTCTTAATTGGAAGCTTATCATGAAAAGTAGAGAGAGATCAGATACAAGAAAATAAAGAAATAATTAGGAATGCATGTTTAAGACACAACAAGAGATAATATGATATATTCATTTAAAGCTTTAAAAGGACTTAGTGAATTATAGACTACAAGACAATTGCAATAATTAGTTAAATAGATTAAACCTATTGTTTATGATAAAAGTGGAATTGCTACTTTGATTTAAAAATAAAAATAGTAAATGTTACAATCTCCTCAATTGAAGAGATTATTAAAAATTGATAATATTAATACTGCTACTACTTAAGCTACAAAGAGAACTTATCATACTTATCATACTCTATAGGATGTAAAAAAGAAAGGTCACAAAAAACAACTTACTTTATGCACAGAGTACTCTCCTGATGATAGGAATGATTTCTATAAGAGATGGTCTGATGTTTTAAGTCATAGATAATTATAATATCATAAAAATAAAATAAAATGTACTCTTCTCAACAAAAAGAAATCACTTAAATGATTTTTATAATATTGTATTTATAATATGAATAAAGCTGTAAGAATAAGATATTCTAGTCTTGATGATTCATTGAGTACTACCAAAAGAAATTAAGTAGTTATTGCCATAACAGAAACCATCAAAAATCAGATTCAGAATCTTCAATATAATCACAATAACATTAGTTATTATATATCTAGGATATGTAAAAATGTCAAAGAAATGAGGAGATACCGTACAGATGCCTATATTCGTAACCAAATGAGTAAGATCTACAATTAGACCATTCATTTAAACTAGATTCGTGAGGTATTCAAGATTCCAATCTAATACATTACTTAAGACTTAGTACTTTCAAGATGTACATTATAATTAACTTCTTAAACTCAACATCAATATAATTTTAGTATACACTAATAATAAAATCATTTTATCAAGTGGATGGCCTATTTTGAAGATTAGATCTACTTGGAAATGTAAAGAATTTAAGAAGGATATTTATTACAAATTTAGAAGAACATCTAAGATTAATATATAATTAATGTAATTAAACAACAGTAAATTAAACATCAAATACATCCAAGAAAAATAGAAATGTACAAATATGTTAATAGATTAATAACAAAACCCTTCTTTAGAACTATGAGTAAAATATCTTTATTAGAGGATTGTGAATTAAAAGTTGGAGAATTTCAATTAATAACACCATATTCAAGAAGTTATGCAAAATAATTGGATACTATTTCTTAAAATCTTAATACAATAGAATGATTATCATTATAACTTCATTTATAATTCTTTAATCTGTTGATTCTTTTCTTATATCATCTATTTAAGAGTTTTGAATTGTACACAATCATTTAATTTCTTTTCCAATTCTTATTTCAATTACTCATTCTCTTATTTTAATTAATTTATTTAATCTTGATATGTACCTACTTAATCTGCATCTAAAACCTATTCTTTTTTAAGTAAGACCAATTCATTCTATAATTTTTGATTATACTATTTTAAGAAATCATTCTCTTTTGACATTTCCTCCATTTATTCTTATCAAATAAGATGATCATCTTACTTTATAAAACAGTATCAATTGTTGGCAATCTAGAATATCTAATTTTACTCTAAAGTGGTTTATCTTCAACAATGGTACCTCCTTTCTCTAGTATTTTCATCTATTCGATAATTTTACTATAATTAGAATGTTAAATACACATTCTCTATGAAATTAAAATCTGCATGAAAATCTTGATCAGAACATACAGATAAAAATATTTTAACATAAACTCCACACATATAAATTATTTTAGACACTTCTTTATTCATTAGTACTTCTAAACTACTCTCTAATTTCTTAAGAAGTTCTTAAACATCATCCTTATTATATAAAGTGTCTTGCACTTAAAATTTTGAAAAATCCTTAAATTCTAATTCTATTTCTCTCATTGATTCTTATTTCTTGAGATTGAAAAAATTCAAAAAACTTTAAAGTTCTTTTTATCCATCTGAAGTGAGATTTGATCCATCCATTATTTTATATATATATATATTTTTTTATATACTTAAATTTGTAAATAATCAAATAAATAATAACAATCCTATATATAAAATAAGCATATGAGCATAACTAACTAGGTGTCTTGTTTTAACATGCAGTTTTAAACCCTTATTATTTATTGAATGTGCAAATCCTATTTACTTATCAGTTTGATCAAACACAGTATAATAACTATGTAAAAAAGCATCACCTAATAATAAAAAGTCATCTATCTATGATCTTTCTAATTTTGTATTACATTTAGATTAACTGCCATCTAATATTGTACAAGCTATTAAAATATAAATTAAATTTATACAATAAAGATAGTCTTATGGATTCAAGAGTAATTCTAAGGAACTATTTACTCTTATTTTTATAATAGGAAATGAATCTATAATTCCTTATTCATTTGTAGCATTTACAAAACAATGTACAGTGCAATATGATGGTGCATAATTTTCAACTCTGTATGAACATTCTACTCCTTTGGCTGCAAAAACTTACAACATATCATCCATTGCAACTGCAGGAACAGTAAGACAACTAGTTCCACTGTCAACAAGAGCTGTTGTTATAGAAAACAATTCATCATCAATTGACATTCCTTCTATTCCTATAAGATATTAATAATCAGATTTTAAAGGCACATATGATATCTTTTGATCCTTTTATACAAATTACATATCAATTCCTCCAAAGAGAATATAGCTACCAAATTCACCTTCATCTTTTAAATACAATGAGAAGTATTTTTTAGATATAAGTTTTTATTAGTAAAGGGATTCTAGGATAGATGGGTTTTGATTAGCAGCATTTGAATGGAATCCAAGTCCTAAAATACCACCACTAGATGCCATATTTCCACTTGCTCTTTCAATCAATAGAAAGGACTAATTAAATTTGATATTATGCATCCACACTTAATCCCAAGCTAATGTACCTGAAATTGGACCATCATCATAGAAAATTGAGTAACGAGAATCAGTATTAATACAAGTTGAACTTGCTTTACAATCATATCGATTGACTACTTTTAGATTCTATTATTATTACCATTATTAAGAAATCCTTTTGAATCTATTGATGGGACCCATAAATCAGAAGACCCAGTATCAATAATCAACTCCATCGGTTATTTCAAAGATCCAAATTGCATTTGAATTCTGTATTCTACTTGATGAATATCATGAATGGGATCCATAATAGTTAAATGTCTTTGAACTTGAAATTTGATGCTTTGAGTCTCTTAAAACAACCCAAGCAATACTGTTAGAATCATCATAAATGAATTAATAAAGTATTCAAAGTTAATTATTATTGAATATATAAATAATTACGTTAATTTAGCAAAATAAGCAGTTAGATCAAGAATAATAGAATAAACATAAATATAATACTTAGAATTATAAAGTAGACTATTTTGGAATAGTATGCTTATGAGATGATTATATGAATTAAATTTTATTAATATATTATGAGTATTCAAAGAATATGAATAACTAAAATATAAAACATATAGTTCTCATAAACATATTTTTATACATTAATTGTATCAGCCAATCAATCTAAGTACTTTTATTATATATATTTATTAATATGTTATTATTTATATTATTTCCAATAGTATTTTCACAAACTCAAGTATGCCAAACTTCAGATTTCAATTTTGGATATAAAAAAGTATAATCTAAAATTTAATTTAGGTTAATATTGTAATCTGTTTATTCTTTCAAACAACTGATAATCAAAAATACAGATAAGTTTATTAATTAATAGTTGACTAATATACTGCACATTTAGTATCTGTAGCATATCAAACTCTTTCTACAAAATAAAGTAGTTTATGGGCTAATTTCTGATATTATATCTCATGTTTATGGTACTCCATATTTATAACCTGGTGGAGCATTTCCAATTTAATCTATAGTTATAGGCAGTTTTATCGATGTATTCATATTTTGGAATAATGTATGTTTTGATGGTAGTTTTGTAAGGAGAACAAAATTACTATAACTAAAGGATCAAATATTTAAAAAAATAATGATTTTGTTATTTCATGTAATGGAGGTGCTTGTGATCTTAAAGTATATGTGAGTTTTTTAGGAATTGATGTTAATGGTTAATATTACACTAGTAATTATATTGTTAGATAATATAACAAATAGAAATACAAACGTCAAAGTTTAAATAATATTCAGCAGCTTAAATATTTATAAATACTTAAAATACATTTAATAGTGTAATAGATTAGTATTCATATTATACGTTATCAAAAAAATGATTATTTATAAATGATTAAATTAGATATTGAATATTTGAACAATAATCTTATTATATATTTAACATTCATGATTGTATAATTTAATACTATTATATATATATATATATAATATTAATGTCATAGTCTTGTACTGAAAAATTATGGAAACCAATCATTAGACCTCCAAGACACTATTATTAATTAAAAGATTTAGGAAATTAGATCACCATGGTTATTGATACAGTTACAAAAAGAACAGATTTTGAAATTGTTAATAAAAGAAAACTTACATTATAATGTAGGTACACACTAAACCAATATAACCAGTCTATTTGAACCAGTGAGAGTTCAAGATCGGTAACACTCTTGTATGATTTATTTACATGGAAACTCTAGCAGTCGAGTTGAATCATTAACAATATTAGAATATTTGATCCCTTATAACATAGCTGTTTGTGGAATTGATTTATCAGGTAAGCCATCACTCATTTATCCAGGTTCTGGACATTCTGAAGGTGTTTACATTTCTCTTGGTTATTATGAATCATAAGATGTACAAAGTCTCATTGATTATCTAAGAGATCATAAAGTAACATGTAACTTTAATAATAGAGCCTTACATTACTTAAATTGGGTTATGGGGAAGATCTATGGGTTCAGTTACAGCCATTCTTAGTGCCAGTCAAAATGAAGATATTAAAGTCTTGGTTTGTGATAGTCCATTTTCTAATTTGGCACTCTTATGTAAGGAGATTGCAACATCTGGTTATGGAGTACCTGGATGTTGTTTTAATTGTTTCTTTTGTTTTGTAAAATCTAAAATTAGAAAAGAAGCTAATTTTAATGTAGATGATCTCAATATTATCTAAATAGTTGGAAGTAATCTTATTAATATCAAAATTTAGATCTTTCATCCTAAGTTTCTATAGCATTTTTGAGTGCAAATCAAGATCAATTAGTAAACTCAAAACATTCAAAATAATTACATTGTGTTTTCAAAGGAACTAAATTATTAAAATCATTTGATGGTCAACATAATTCAAAAAGACCAAATGATATAATGAAGGAGGTGGCAGATTTTGTCATTTCTTAGTTAGGCAAATAATCAAGTGATTAACCTTAGAGTTCAAGAGATACTAAATTGTTACTCTTACATAACTAAAGAGAAAAGATATCTTTCTAATATGATGAAGTACATCCAATTATGACTGGAGGATAAATATCCAATAATGAATAAAATATAACAAAATGAAAATCAATTTTGATATTTATTTATAATATGAATATAACATCTCAATCTAATACTCATATTTAAAAAAGTAAACTATTATTCTATCTAACCAATTTCCCTTTAATTAAATAATGTTATGAAATTTATTAAAATTTATATACAAATTTAAGTAGTTATGTAATCCAATTATTTCTACCATATTAGTTAGTTTTATTATGCTCAAAACNTAGAATATTTGATCCCTTATAACATAGCTGTTTGTGGAATTGATTTATCAGGTAAGCCATCACTCATTTATCCAGGTTCTGGACATTCTGAAGGTGTTTACATTTCTCTTGGTTATTATGAATCATAAGATGTACAAAGTCTCATTGATTATCTAAGAGATCATAAAGTAACATGTAACTTTAATAATAGAGCCTTACATTACTTAAATTGGGTTATGGGGAAGATCTATGGGTTCAGTTACAGCCATTCTTAGTGCCAGTCAAAATGAAGATATTAAAGTCTTGGTTTGTGATAGTCCATTTTCTAATTTGGCACTCTTATGTAAGGAGATTGCAACATCTGGTTATGGAGTACCTGGATGTTGTTTTAATTGTTTCTTTTGTTTTGTAAAATCTAAAATTAGAAAAGAAGCTAATTTTAATGTAGATGATCTCAATATTATCTAAATAGTTGGAAGTAATCTTATTAATATCAAAATTTAGATCTTTCATCCTAAGTTTCTATAGCATTTTTGAGTGCAAATCAAGATCAATTAGTAAACTCAAAACATTCAAAATAATTACATTGTGTTTTCAAAGGAACTAAATTATTAAAATCATTTGATGGTCAACATAATTCAAAAAGACCAAATGATATAATGAAGGAGGTGGCAGATTTTGTCATTTCTTAGTTAGGCAAATAATCAAGTGATTAACCTTAGAGTTCAAGAGATACTAAATTGTTACTCTTACATAACTAAAGAGAAAAGATATCTTTCTAATATGATGAAGTACATCCAATTATGACTGGAGGATAAATATCCAATAATGAATAAAATATAACAAAATGAAAATCAATTTTGATATTTATTTATAATATGAATATAACATCTCAATCTAATACTCATATTTAAAAAAGTAAACTATTATTCTATCTAACCAATTTCCCTTTAATTAAATAATGTTATGAAATTTATTAAAATTTATATACAAATTTAAGTAGTTATGTAATCCAATTATTTCTACCATATTAGTTAGTTTTATTATGCTCAAAACTTATAGTTTAGAAATATAAATTTTTAGCTTTAAATAGGTAATATAGAGATATGAAATTTAGATATTCATTTAACTTAATCTTATATAAGTACTATTTTTATTACTCAATTATATACTGGATCAGAATCATAAATTAATGTTGTTAATATCATTAAGTTCAATCCATAATTTATTGTAATCATATATCACTATCCTCTAACTTTATTGATCTCCTATTATACTAACGACAATTTTTTTTAATTGAAATCAAATAGAAAAAAAAATTTTAAAAGGAAAATAATAATAATGATTCTTATGCTTACATCAAAAGCAAATGTTAGTTTCATAAAATCATAAAGAAATGAAGTCTACTTTAAGGATTAGTCAAATTGAAGAATTTACTATTGTGATCAAATATAATATGATATCTTCATTATTTTAATATATTCTAATTGTCATTAAATTTTCAAAAGCTTTTATTTTATCCTTATATTTTTTTACTATTTATTAAAATCTTGATAATAATGATTTCTTTAATAAAATTAAGGAAAGGAGATTGTTTAAGAGAAATTAGCTTATAATCAAGATTAAGTTCTATTTGAAATTTAGATCTTAATGGTAAGGTGAATATATAAATGTCAGATATATATTTTTAAAGAATTACTAGGGTAATATTAAAGAGTATAATAATAGAATTTGAATTATTATTTTCAGTCATAATCTAAGTGCTGTATGAATAAGATATATTTTTGAGATATCGAATTAAATGTAAATGATAATTACAATTTAGTTAAGCAAAATTGAAGATGCGTAATTCAAAAGACTGTTTATTAAGTATTAATTTTTAGAATAAAATAATTAAATTATAATATGATTAATGTTTAAAAAAATCAAAATTTATAAAAAATTTATTCCATTTGTAATCCTATCTCAAAGTTTTTATTTAAACAATTAGGACAATATGAGAAAATTGAAGTCTTTCTTTTATTATTTTCATTTGTTTTAATCCAAAAAAAATTACAAAATGAGTTTATGCATTTTTAAAAATTATAGTTTTTAAAATACTTAATTTATAATTTCTAATACTAATTATGAAAATATCTTTAGATAATTAATAAATTGGTATTATTAAGAATGATTTATTATGGTATTTTAGTTTTACAATGACAATAGATTAATGGATGTCCTTTTTTTATACATATTTCTAAATATTATTAAAAGCAATCATAATGATAAAAGTGATCGCATGCAGTTTACACTATTTTACCATTACGAGATTTTTTACAAACTTAACAATTTTCAATGATTTATGAATTAGAAATAAATCCATTCTTATCTTTTTAGATTGAATCGATTAATTTAGATTTTTATAAAGTTTTCTATGGAATTTAAATGTTATTTGGTTTTTATTATTCAAGATTTATAAGTTAATAGAGCAATTAAACATCAGTCTTTAATTTCTAATTATGTTTATTAATTTCTTCAGTATTAAAAGTGAATTTAGATTTTTAGTACTTAATATTCTTTGGAGATGGAATTAAGCTACATAAAAATCTTTCTTTTTCATTTTTCTATTATTAACAGTTACTTGAACTTCTTATTGAGATTTTATTTTTACTTTAATAATAGTTTTCTCTCTCAACTGATAAAGAATGATCATACATATAACTTCCTTTTGCTTTCCTATATTTTAATTTATACTTACTGTCTCTTAAACTGTCCTCATATTTTTAGATAACAATGGGTAATTATTACTTTTACTATTTATTATTTATCATTTTTATAGTTATTATAAATAATTTATAAATAAATAGAATTCCTATTATAAGATGTTGTCTTTAAAAATTATCATAATTAAATACTTTAATATATATATATATTTATTAAGATTATTCTTTTAGACTTTTATTATTTGATAAAATAATGAATCTTTTTGCATTAATTATTAAATAATTATAAATATTTCTAAAATTATAATTTACAATTTTATAGATCTCATAATTGAAATTAATTTTATTTAATGAATTCTATTGAAATAAATTAGAAAAATAAAAGGTATTCTCTTTTATTATCTAAATTATTGATCTATAATTTAAACAACACTCATTAATATATAATTAATAATCATTTTTCTATCTATTCTTATTTATAGAATAATCTCATGGTTAAACATGATTAACAAAAAGATTAAACACTAAGTAAATTTTCGAATTCTGAATTAATGATGATAAATTAACAGGTAGTTTGTTGGCATTTATAGAAAGTATTGGATTTCTTTATTAATTAAGATAACTAAGAATTTAATTTGATTTCTTTAATAATTGCCATTTAAACTCCATTAAATTAATCTATATCATATTTGGTTAATTCTTAATTGCATTAACAAAAATAACCTTTTAATTTTGGTTAATTTATAATTTCTTCACATAAACAATTCTTATGATAAGTATGATTACAATTCAATTATATAAAATCAGTTTGAACATTATTCTAACAACTTTTCAAACATTAATTTGATTAAATTTATGGTATACTCATTATTGTTGTTTTATTCCAATTAATATCAGAAAATGGTTATTGAAATAACATACTCAGATTATTAATAATATCAGATGTCCATTTTTATGTAAGATTAGCATAACAAACTTCATTTGAAAATTTAGTTATTGAATGAGCATCATGAAGACTAATAAAATTAGATCTGGGATATTAAACTTCTTCTGTTAATTATTTAAAATCAGAAGATTATTAAGATCTATGTGTAGATGGTATTAAACCATCAATAACTAATCTATCCATTTATAATTTCTTTCTCAGTATATTATTCTCTTTTGCAATTTCCTTAATTTTCATTATGTATTTAGCTATTTTATCTTCCAAATTTCTAACTAAATAGATACAAGATTTATTTTTGCAAATCAATGGTTTCAAATGTATTTAATTAAAAGGAGGAGCTCCAGATATATCTTTATGAATTGATTAAGCCAAAAGATGTTTTGCTTATAATTTCAATTGAGGAAGTGAGGGATTATGATTAATACTTATTAGACTCTCATTTGGAGAACAGATAAGTTTTGAATGAACACCTTAATACTATTTTCCTTTCACATTTAAATACTCTCTCTCTGATAAAATCATTTTATAATAATTTTTAATTTAATATTCAATCCTAAATTGTCATACTAGAATTACATGCATTAAGCATAAAGGGCAAAATGATTCACAAATTTAATTATGTTTAATTATCACAAAAAAAGAGCAACCTTTATTTGGACAATTTCTAATACCCTTATTTATATTTTTTATAGAATTAAGTTAGTTATTTAATAATTAAAAAAAGTATATTTTTAAATCTAAACTATTTAGAATTCTATAAGGATTTCTTATTAAACAATTCTTTTCACAATACAATATTGAATTTAATTATTGGATCTAATTTTTAAATAATTCTTTTAAACAATTTTCATGATATACATGATCACAACTCAAAATGAATTACTTTTCTTAAATTCCTTTATTACAATTAATGCAATTTAGAGAAAATGTCTACATTAATGATTCTCTATATTAAATCTCATTTCTTTAATTTTCATTATCATCAATATAAGATTATATTTCCATTTGAGATCTCTAATTATTATTATGTTAATTTTCATTATCATCAATTAAAGATTTGATTATAATTTAAGATATCTAATTCTTTTATTTTTCATTTTATTCTAAATTAGCTTATACATCTTATGGTTGAAATATTGTTTCATTAGTTAATTCATTATTTAATGTAATAGATTATTGATTAAATGATTCATCAGATGTTTTAAATGTTTGTGATTTAAATATTGTTTGATTAGTTGATTCATTATTTAATTTAATAGTTTCTTAATTAATTGATTCATCACATGGTTTATATGTTCCTAGAGTAGAGCTTAATTTATTAAATCAATTACTATTATTATTCAATATGACTTAATTTATTTGTCTATTGATAAGAATCTTTCTTTTCTTGAATTTAGATGGTCTAACAACTATCTTATTTATTTTTTAAGTTTTCATTCTATTTTATTAAAAAAGATTCAATCTGAGCCTATTTTTGATCACTTAGAAATTTCAAATTCTCTAAATAATGTTAAAGAATAAAACATTTCAATTTAGTATCTTTATTACTTTTAAATTATTGAACTATTTTTTCATAATTTTTTTCCTCAAGCAAAACTTAATTGTTCTCCATTGTTACCATAATGATTAATTCTCTTTTTTATAAATTTGGTATTTATTTTTATAAATATTTTTTCATATCTAACAAGGTTGAAGGATTTCCTACATTATAATTGTTTTTTTAATGATTGATGATCATAAATTTTATTATATTAAATTATTTAAGAAAACTTAATTAATCATAATATTTATTTTTTTATTGTAATAGAAAATAATAAAATAAACAGTTTATTTATTTCATCTTTACTTTCTTAAATTTATAATATTACTAATTTTAATAGGGAGGTTAAATAAGGAAATAATGCTGGCTATAATACATAATAATAATTAGTATATATAACCTATGCAAAATTAATTAAATCTTCAATTATTTATTACATCAAATCTTGATTAAAATGGGGATTTGCACTTCTTAAAGTAGTAAAAAATAATAGTAGTAAAAATAATAACTAAAAATTGTACTACCTAATAAATTATCTCGAGAATCACCACCTGAACCTTAAAACCTTAATTAATCCAAAAGAGAATAATCACCCTAAAATAGTTAACCAAGTTAACATAGTTAGAGAAGTATTCATACTCCTGGAATCATATCTGAAAATTAGAGATAATCAGTATAATCTCATGGCCTAAATAAAAAATGCTAAATATTGACTGTAAAAAATCAAAGATCATCTTCTATGAGATCACTATCCTAAAGATCACTTAGTAATTGCAGTTCTCCACTTAGAGGGTCTGTTATATAAGGAGTACAATTTTATAGTACTAATGCATCAAAAAAGTACTCTTTTATGCATAATAAAGAAATGCAAATGAATGTATCAATATTACTTAAGTATTTTTAGTCAGAATTGTCATTTGTTTAGAACAATAAAACTGGTAAAAAGGCTAGATTGGAAATATTATCAAAAGCAGAAGAGGAAAGCATTAAATTCATTTATTGGCTGAAATCCAATTAATTAGTATTTTATTATTGTATTTTTTTAGGATCATTAAAATATACTAAAAAACTTAGAAGTTCATTAAGATAATACATCTTATCAATTAATCTATGAATTTTTTGATGGATGCAAATTATCTCGATTGCCAAGCACAATAGATATCACAGAGAAGATATTAGCAAATATTGCTGATCAATTATTTTCAGTTCTAGCATATTTAAAAACTTAATAAATGGTTCATGGAAATATAAACATTCATAGTTGGGAATATTAATTTCAATCAGATTAAGTAATTATAAAATTGATTGATTTGAAACCAATATCTGTTAAAAGAGTAGATGAATTTGATATTTTATTATACACTCCTCCTGATGCTCTATACAAAGATGAATATACAGCAAATAGAGATTTATGGGCAGTGATGATGATTTTATACTCTTTAGGGAAAGGTGATGTACCATATAAAATACCACATAAATTATAGGGTGATATACCAGCTGTTAAGTAGTTTATATTGCATTATTAATTTAATTTGGAATAAGATCTAAAAAAATGGTCAGAAGATTTTAGATATTTTATTGAATCAGTGATAGGTGAAAAGAATAAGAGGAGAAGAAAAACATATGAAGAATTAAAAGATAATTAATGGATGAAAAAATACAGAGAAGAAGAAATTTCAATTTAGGAAAGATTATTATCAAATATAATGAATTAGAAGGAGAGTTGTGAATTATAATAAACAATATTAGAGATTATGGTATAGGAATTAGAATAAGAGACTGCAATTTAATTATAAAAGTTATTTTCAGAATTTGATTTAGATTTAGATATGAAATTAACTAAAGAAGAATTAATAAAGATGTTTTAAAAATATACTAAATTTACTGATCTAGAATTTCGTATTAATCAATTATTCATTGATCATTAAATAAAATCAGAATTTATGGCATAATTTACTTTTTTATCACTTGCTGCTCCTAAAGAATTATTATTAACTAAAGCAAATCTTGAAACCACTTTTAATCTTTTGAGTAACAATAAAGCAGAACTTAGAGCTGCTAATATTACAAAATATCTTAATCTAATTAACGAAGACTTAGAAACACAATTTAATGAATTAGCTTCTGAAAAAAAAGTAATATATTATATATATATAAATGATAGCTTACATTAGAGTAATTCATTAGTGTGATGGAATTAGTAAAATGAATAAACAAATCTAATATCATAACAAATATTATTATCTATTATTAATAATCATTTTAATTTTTGCAAAGCTTCTTCATAAGTTAAATTACTCTATCTATCTTTGGAATCACCTTTATTTATTACAAGAGATATATACTTCTTTTTGGAAGAGTATTAGTTTATTCAAAGTGTGTCAAATTTGATAGTGTATATGCAAGTGCTTTCTAAAAAAATACTATATATAACAGTTACTGATGTTTCTGGGTCTAATTTGCCATAAAGATTAATATCTCTTCCACGTTAATCTCTTTGATCACAATAAGCCTCTTTCACTTCACTTTTGTATCTAATGTCTGCAGGTAAATCAGATCTTAAATTAATAATTAAGATTAATACCCTCTATGATGTTCATGAGTTGTAGAAAGTAATGTAATTTTACCGAAAGTCTTTCCAAATAGATTTTCTGACTTTATTCCTGGAACAAATCCTGCATAATCTAAATAATTTATTATCAATAATATACTTGGAATGTGATTTCTGTTACCTTGAATTTGTAATAAATCTTAATCATAATCTTAACTTGGAATGAATCTAAATATAATTAATTAAAACAATATTACCCTGTGTATCCAGGAATTGCATTAGCACCTTTTTCTGCTTAGAACATTTTATTTTTATTAATGTAAAATCAAGAACTAAACTAATTTGTTAAATATGATCAGTTTTCTTCATATCTAACAAAATCTTAAGTCAAATTCATAGAAACTCGCAATCCATTAGATTATTATTAGAAAAACAATATCCAAACATAGAATTGGGATTCAAGTCTTCTTCAAACAAAACCATTAATTAATAAAGAACTTGACAAAATCAATAATCTAGTTGATTCTCTATTTACAAAAAAAGAAACTCAACTTAATTAGAAATAAGAATAAAAAGAACGTAATTAGAAGTCATTTATGGAGAAATCTTCACCTTTAGGTAATCTTTTATCTGAAACAACTTAATCTATGGATTACAATCTATAATAATAGAATATTCATTAGAATCAAAGTCTGATGGATCTTAAGGCTGACATTCTTAATGTGAGATCAATTTCATTTAAATAAGAACGTCCTCGATAAATAAAGACATCAAATGTATAAAAAGTAATTGAACAGAAAGGACTGAATCTTAAATAATCAGCTCCATTGAGTTTACATGAATTGAGATAAATAAATAATATTGAAATACAGAAAGCTTTGAAGGTCTTGTAAAAATGATTATATAATTACAAATATGTAATAGTAATTCGATTAAAATATACGAAGATTGGGAGATTATCAATTCGATTCCAAATATCTTTTGGGAGAAGGGGCTTTTGGCAAGGTTTATAGGGGAAATAAAATAAGTACAAATATGGAAGTGGCCATAAAGAAGATTGATAGTTAAATGATCAATAAAGATTAGTATTTAATTGATGCTCTAAGTAAATAAAGTAAACAAGTAGAATAGATAGCGAGGTGCAAATAATGAAATAATTGGATCATCCAAACATTGTTAAATTTATAGATAAATTTACAACTGATCGCTCCATCTATATTGTTACAGAATATTGTGCTGATGGAGATTTAAGAAATATAATGAAGGGAAGAAAGATACCTGAGACAGAAGTTAATTAAATATTCTGTTAATTAGCAACTGGTTTTAAAGAATTGGTAAAAGCAAATATAATCCATCGTGATCTTAAGCCAGCCAATATAATGAATCATAGAGGTATTGTTAAAATAGCTGATTTTGGATTTTCTAAAATTGTTGATAATTTTAAAGGGGATTTATTAAGAACTTGTGTAGGTTCACCATTATATATGGCACCTTAGATATTAAAAAAGGAGAAATATACAACCAAATCAGATATTTGGTCATTGGGTATTATTTATTATGAAATGATTTATGGTAACTCTCCATGGACAGGTATGGATGAGAAGAGTTTAACTTAAAATATAATGAAATAACCATTAAGATTTCCATCACATATTTAATTATCAGAATTTGGAAAAAATTTCATAACAAAAGCTTTAGAGAAAGAAGAATCTAAAAGAATGGAATGGAATGATTTATTTCTTATGTTTGAATAATAGAAGAGATAATTGCCATAATAAAAGATTTAATTTGATAAAAATAAACTTGTTAATAATATTCTTGATTCTCCTTAATCTCCTCCTTAAATAAATGAAGCACCTAATTAATAATTATTATCATAATTAAATATACTCAATTTATAAAGAATGCATTTAAATTTTTCACATTTTGTAAATGTTGAAATCACTTAACATATATCAATTATTACACAACATTATAGAAAAGAATTATATTTTGAATTATTATGTTTACTTTCAGCTAAATTCACTGCTAATTCATTCAAATTATTATAAACAAAAGTATTATAATTATTAGAATCATAAAAGAAATCAAATGAATATTAAAAATTCATAAGTTAAATTTAAAACGAATATTAATTAGCTAATGAACTTTGTACAAATACTTTATAATATTTTGATAGAATAGGTTTATTATCTAGTTTAAGATAATTGGCTGATTTTTAAACCTTTATTGATGTTGTAGAGTTAAATTAAAATTAACTTATTTCAGTTGAAAAGATTATTAAAGAAAGAGTTTAAAGTGTTTCTAAATAAATGATATAGAATTGCAAAGAGAATGAAGTATTAATTTTATTGGATTATTTGATGGAAATGTGTCTTAATAGAAGTAAAATTATGAATGGAAATAATAATGTGGACTTTTCATTTATTCAAGAAAGAAAAATACAACCAGATTATAATTCATACTTAAATTATAAATTAAGTGAGATGTATGGTTATTGATTTTCATTATTGTATAATTGATTGATTTTAAATCTAGAAAACAGAAGTTTCATCTATTTTACCTGTTTATGGTCCATTATCTTATTTATATCCTTTATCCAATTTCATATTTTCAATTAATTTACTTATTTTATTTATTATCTTATTCTTTTGATCTAACCAACTAAAAGTCTTCACTAATATAATTAATAACAAAAAACTAAATGCAAATAAACATACATTTATTATCTCTATATCATTTTCATAAATATATGTCTCTATTATATTTATAGTAACATTTTATGTGTATCTAACCAAGAATCCTGTTAAATTTTTATGTGTCATATTATATTACAGTTTATAGTAAAATGAATCTCCAACAATAGCTAAGTATCATATCATTAACTGAATACAGTTTTATGGATGGTACAAACAACGAATTGATATTGGCTACACTCGGAAACGGGTCAAAAAGGCTGTTTAAGATGTAATACCAAAAAAGAAATCATCATTTTCATATTCTTTTGTTATATCATTTAATCCTTCTAATTTATAAATTTGATTGAAAAATTCAAAATCTCTAAGGCCTACATGTTTGAAAATCTAATCTCTATCATTAGTAGATAAGTAATCATAATCATTACAAAATATTATAGTATGCTAATTTATTCCTTAAACTATGACAAATTCATCTGTTGCATCTATATCAATAATTCTTGAATCAATTTACTTTTTTCTTATTATAAAATTATATCCATTTTACAAATTAATATAATATTCTATTAAATAATATTTAGATTATTATTAATAACCATAAAATACATTCTTACCATTCTTTGTATCTACTGATATTCCTCCATTTTAATGTTCTATCCATTATTTAAATTCATATTATATTATTCCCTCTTTCTATTAAATTTCACATAAAAATAATCCATTCTCCTTATCTAAAATAAAAACAAAATAAATTCCATCATTATTACTCTTTGTTATTATTGAAAAATCTATTATATTAATTTATTAGTATTCATGAAAAATCTTGATATTTTATATAAATTGTAATCCTTTCTCTACTATTATATATACATCAAGTCCATCTATACCAACTGCACTAAAGATAAGTCCATCAATTTCTTTTGTATATCCTCTATAAATTCTTTTTTTCCAACTTGGTACTTCATACACACTTAAAGAGCTACCCTAAGATTCTATTTGAGCCAAACTAAATAATTGTGCCCTATCATTTTATAATAAAAATGCCACATTTGATGATGGAGCATATAATAATTTAGGAAAATCTTATTCAAAATGAATAGCATTAGTTAATTTAGTTAGATTGAATTTCCATACAATCTTAGCAAATTATTATCCTATTTCATGAAAATCATGTTAAGATAAAAAATTATAATTGAATTTCAATAAATACACTATTAAATCTGAAGTTATTGCTATCATACCATCATTTATATGAGTCATTGAAATAAACTACCTATAATTAAGTTCATTATTTAAATCAGTTTCAAGAAAATTTATATCCTGAATTATACGAAGTTCTTAAGTCTCTAATTTAAGATGTAAAGGAATTATTTCACAACCAATACTATTATTATTTTTAGATTCTAAAATAGCACTTCTTGCTTAATCTAAATCTAAACTTTTTGCTTCATTTTAATGTAAATTGATTATCAAATCATTTAAATTCACTTCAAAGAGTGTAACATCATGATATGATATACATTTCAGAATTATAAGTGAAATGAGTAAAAATTTCATTAAATTATCAATAATATATATTAATATACAATTTATATGAAAATGATTTGTGTTAATGAATACTATCATAAAATTATTTACATCAATCTTTAGGCACATTCTTTGATTAGATTTTTGAGAACAATTAATTCAATTATAATAATTCTTATTCTAATTACTCTACTTCTTTTTCATTGCTTTCACTAACTAATTTTTGTCTCAGTTCTTTCTTCTATGCTATTGCATATTTCACTTATTCCTCTAAAACATGTTGAGTTTTCATTCTCTCTAAAAGCTTCTGTCCATCTGTATAATTTAATTAATTACAATGATTTTCTTAATATAATTTTGCTTATTAGAGCTCTTCTGGGATTTCTATTTTCTCTCCATTCAAAGCCTTATTTCTAATTAAATAATTCTCTACTCTTACTTAATATATGCATCTAATTTCTTAGTTTATTGATCTAATCGATACATTCTAATTAATATATTTGTAAATCTTACTAAAAATATTAGTATGTTAAATATCCCATCCAAGAGAAAACAACACCTTTTATTAAAAAATTTGGAATATGCAAAACCATTTAATTATAAATATTATATTTATTAAGTTTATATTATCATAAAAAAACCATAAATATAAAGTGAAGTAAAATAAATTGATATCTCAACATAAATAAGAAAATTAAAATAATATTTTGAGTAGTACATTTTGATAATTATTTTATAATAATTTAGTACTATATTACTATATTTTATTTAATAAATAAAACATCTAATCCAATATATGAATTATTTATTAGACTTTCTTTATTATATAAAATAATTACTAATTTAATTATCATCTATAATTTACCTTATTTGTTAAATGAATTTCATTTAAAAAAATAGTGATATTATTTTAATATATTTTCAATACATTCTAATATATAATGAAATTATAGTCATAAAATGAATAAAATCATCTATTGATAAGAAAATTGATATATAATATATGAATAAACTGATGTGCATTAGTATTATTATTATCAAAATAATCAGATTTTAAAAACAGTTTCAATTCTATAAAGTTGATTGAAAATACAAACAAGAATTAATTAAATAAAATTGAAACTTGATATGGCTTAACTTTCAACTAATAGATTTTCACTACCCATCATTGGATAAAAAGATGCTAAGTCTAAATAAATGCCAGTAACAAGAACAATGAGACCTTCACTTTTTCTGAATTAAATTGATATAATTCCTAATTCATTAAAAACTGAGGCAGAAGCAACCGATAGAAGCATTTCAAAACCTATTCATACCTAAATTGAAAGCGATCCTCTCATAGAGGTTTCATATCACTTTAAACTTCCTAAATTAGCCACTTAAAGAGCTTAAAAGATATAGCAGTCACTACCTGATTTACCTCTTGTTAATTAAGAATCAAGAAATGATTCTCCAATTGATTATTAAAGACCATCTAAGAGAACTAGATTATTTTTGAGAAGATAAGATTCAAAATTAGATGTTCCAGTACTTAAATTTCAAAGGAAGAGAGTAGAATTCAAAAAGTCTTTAGTAGTGATTGATTTAGAAACTGGCATCAAAGATAGATAGGAATTAAATGAAGTGAAGAAGCCATTAAGAAGAATTGCACATTAAAAAACAAGATCTTATCAGAAGAAATTAGAATGAATAAATTACTTGGATCTTTTTGTCCTGACCTAAATTATTTATACATTGATTTAGAAGAACTTTGAAAATTTTTATATTTTTTTCCATTGGTTTTTCATTAAGAGAAAGATTTAAAAATTTAGAATTATTAAAATATTATTTTAATCAGCAAAAATATCAAATATGTATAGTTCTTTCATCTCAATGAAATGAATGCTTTGATTTTCTAAGAGTCGATAGAATGAGATAATGAAACATCAATATTTTAATAGAAGTTATTTTAAACTTTAGAAGGTAAAGTCTATAAATTAGGAACTGGAGGAATTCTTTTAACAAGACTATCATCTATTGATTTTGCTCTTTTTCTCTCTTATTCCTAATTTATTTTATTGATGATCTCATATCTTTACATCACTTTAAAGGGAGGAGATTTGATTTTATTATTGTTTAGGTATCTACAAGTGAATCTTAATTAATCTGGCTCATTTTTTTTAAACTTAAGAAATTTATCCATGATTTTAGTTCCTTTTCTATATTTCATTGATTCAATTGATCCAGATTTATAAACTTATGATGCATCTTTTATAGTTCCACTTAAATGAGGAATGAGATTATCATCAAAATTATTTTCTGTTATTCTATATTTTGGTGGATAAATATTTTGAGTTAATGATATTTTAGGAGTTTTTGGCTTATTAAAACAATTGACTAGATTTACAGGTAAAGTTTGTTTGACATCTTAGATTCGGTCAGATGTATTTTTAGAAATTATGACTTTTGATAAAGATGTATGTTTGATTTTTTAATTAGGACATTAACAATAACCAAAATATTTATTCTAATGTGGAGTGTATGAAACAGAGTTATGATATTTCAATTTTAATTATCTTTATTAAGAATTACTAAATCCACTTTGATAAGGTATGAAACTTTCAGGAAATTTTCCTCTTGAATTTGTTTATTATACCTTCTGGTTAACAAAATCTAACACATAATAGTTACCATTTTCAAGATTATATCTATTATAATATTCATTTTAATTACACAAACTCTTTATCCATTAAAAATATAAAAAATAATCATATAATAATACTTGAATAGAGAGAGTATATGATTAATAACTTTATTTTAATAATTAATAATATATTGATCACTTCATTTATTTATTTGATAATTTGAGTGTCAAATTTTTATCAACTGAAGTTAGGAGTAATTATGATTAAGTTTGCATTAAAAACATATTCATTTTGAATTATTCTAAAAATATAATTTCATTGATTCCTTAAATTTTGATATTGATTGTTCCTTTATCATTTGATAAATTGATAAATATCTTTGAGTTTTTCATTTTTGTCAAATTAGTCAAAATGTTGAAAATACAAATCATAAATATAAATAATTGTTACTTATATGTAGATAATAAGTATGTATTTGAAGATTTAAGTGGAAATAATTCAATATTAAGAAAGTTGAAATAATTAACAATCTTCTTCATGAGATCATAACTATTAAGTATTCCAATTTATTTATTGTTGAAATGTAAAATAGTTAGAATTCCTAATTTAAAGAATTTATGATTCAATAACTTCGAATTAGAGGTTAATGAATTTAACATAGATTTTTTGATATTAGAAATTGAAACAACCTATTTTTATTTTTAAGTACATTATTCAAGTATTAATATACATTTAAATCTTTCAATATTCATATTGCAAATACGAATTTTGAAAGATTTTTAATTGTATTAATAAGTTAATTCATAATTATGTTGTGTAAGTTGTTACTTATCTGCTTAATAATCAATAAGTAATTTTTATTCAAGTGTTATATTTTGATTTTAGCATAATCTCAAGAAGGCTCTTAGATTACAACTATCACAGAAAATAGATTTGAATCCTGGAAAAAGATTAATTTTGTTAGATAAAAGAGTAACAAAATTGTTGGAAATAGGATCAAGTGAAAATTTAAAAAAAGGTTTTTAAATTATATTTGAAAGCTACTATTACCATATTAGATCTTTCATATAGAGTGTAAATTATTATCTGCTCCAATGTTTATAGAAGTAAATAGTAATAATCTAAATAGTAGAACTAAGAATTTAGGTTAATACTGTAAATAAGTTAAAGTCTGGTTAATTTACACATTAAACATAAATCTTAAATCCCATAGTTAGAAGAATCTAAATACAACTAAGATCAAATATTTGTAATAAGTGTAAATTCGATATCATATCAATAATAGGGAGTACACAATTTAAAGAGTCACTTGACATATTATGGGAATAAGTTATTTAAAGTATTGATGAAATCGCAACAAGACATTCAAAAAAAATTAGCTGTTTTCCTAAATAGTGATATTTTCTTTGGAGTACAAATATTAACACAATTAAGAGGATATTAGTCAATGGCCATAAATGCTAAGGATTATTAGGAATATATATGAATTGTGAGGAGAAGTTTAAACAACAAATGATGAAAAAGATAAGGAGAAAATAAGAATTAGTTTTACTTCTAAATGCATCAAATTCAGTTTTTTAGTATTCTTATTCTAACTTAGCATTCTCAAATCTTAGAGTATATTTGTTCATTTATTAATGTATTGTATTATTTTTTATTAGGTATGTGAAATTTAATATTTCAATTATCATCATCATCATTCTCTTCTTTTTACTCTTTAAGTTCCTTACTTACAATATCCCAAGTCATGTAATAAATTAAGGACATAACTCCAAAACCAGTTCCACCTTTTGTGTAAATTCCTTCATTTTTATCAGTTACAGCCACATTAGCAATATCCCAATGCATCCATCTAACCTTCTTTTCAACAAAACATTCTAAAAATGCAGCAGCAGCAGAAGCTCCAACTCTACCTGAACTTGAATTATTAATATCAGCAACACTTCCTTTGATCAATTCTCTATGTTAATCTTCTAATGGTAAAATCCAAAACGGTTCTTTTGTTATTTTTTCAACTTTCTGTAACAATTAATAACATCCCTTTCTATTTGTAAAAACACCACAATATCTACCCAAAGCAGATTTAATAATGCCAGTAAGTGTTGATAATTCAATCATTTCTTAAATAGGATACTTATCTTATGCATAAGACATAGCATCAGCTAATATCAATCTACCTTCAGCATCTGTATTCAATATTTCTACTGTTATTCCTTTATAAGATTAAATAATATCAGAAACTCTAAATGAATCTGGTCCAATAGAATTCTCAACCCAAGCTGTTGAACATACTACATTAATTGGTAATCCTAATTCAACAATAACTCTAAATGTCTCTAATACTGTACAAGCACCACCTTTATCATCATACATTTATTCCATACCAGATGTACTTTTGATGCTTAAACCTCCACTATCAAATACAACTAAAAATTAATTCAATATCTTACCTCCTTTTCCTACTAAAGCAAAATACTTATCATTATCTGCATTTCCTTTATAAGATAAACACGAATAAAATGGTTTATGTATTGATCCTCTACCAACTGCATGTATAAGTCTTAAACCAGCAGTCAAAAGTTCATCTCCTTCAATCAAAGTAGATGTGACTTTATCACCAAACTCTTTTACAATATTCAAAATGTAATTCTTCATATATCCAGTTGTAGCAATATTAGGTCTTGTTGGTACCAATTCTCTTAATCTTAAAATAGGTTTCACTAAATGATGTAAACTATATTATTATATTTTTTTTACTATTTTAGATTCCATTTCTATTCCACTTCAGATAGATATACTTCATATGTAATTGGAGTTATCAAATTTAAATAATGGATTGGAAATTATGATGATTTTCCTCCTTCTTTAATAGATTAATATGTCCATCTATAATTTGCCAATTAAAATCCAAAAGTAAATTCTGCTATATCATTAATTGTATAATTATGAGGTAATAACACACTTATTGTATTTTCTTCTGTCTTCTATTTAGTTATTTTGTTGGATGCTTTACGAGCCAAATTTGCACCATCCTATCTAGGATTTGTTGCATTCTACATTATAACATATTCAAATGGATCATCATCATTTAAAGCATAAATTTTTACTGATTTCTAAGAATTAATATCCTTTAGCAACTCCTTTGATTTAAAATAGAATTGTAGCGCTTTTACAATTGGATCTGTAGATTGATTTATAGATGGATAATACAAAACATAAACTTCCTTAGTTGATAATTAAGTAGTATGCTTAATCTCAATATGAGGAGTTGTCTCCATCAATATGTGTTTTTACATAATAATTAAATATTTTAATATAATAGTCATATAAGACCTTTACTTCTACCACTTGCATTCGAAATGGTATTCGAATTACTTTCTGACTTATTTATAAGAGATCTAATTCTAATTGACTTAATTGGAAATTAAGGTCCTACCAATCCTAAAAAGATTGGAAGAAGAACTAGTCCCTATTAATATCAATTATGAATCATATACATTAAATGCTCCCAAAATAACCATCAGAATGTACATTCTAAAGTAATACAATTTAAATAGTGTGGAAGGAGCAAAACCAAGCACTGCCACACCAATGAATTTAGTACAAGCAATACCAACAAAAACTGAAGTTCCCATTGTTGACATTGCCTCTCTCACTCTATCCCATCTTTATCCTTAACATAATCTAAATTTTATTATTATATGAGCAACAAACTCAACTGCCAATCCTATACAAGTTACTAAATTGACAACACTAACTGCATTTATTTCTATCTAACTTAATTGTAATAAATGATTACCACAAAACCACCAAATATTATATTTGTTAACCATATTGTTCCTATTAAATTAAATGCAATTAAAAACACAAACAATACCACTATAAGTGCACATATGACATCTTAAACTAAAGTCATTGTGAAGAAGATAGTTGCCAATGCTAATAATACATTAGTTATGGCTACTGCTCTAATATATGAATATTAATCATAAAAGACATATGGCATAGAATAAGGATATACCTTTTGACCTTCTTTTAAATTTGCCTATTTAACAACTTTATCAATAACTTATCTTGTCTACTCTAAAGATAAAATGTATCCAGCAGAATTATGTATAGGACGATGTTAAAATCTTAATCTACTAGTCTTTACATAACCTGTTTCATTTAATACAATGTCAGCCTCAAATGTTTCTCCACAAATACCATATCTTTAACAACAAGGAGAATTTATTCTAACTCCTAAAAATCTTTTTAATTGAGTAGGTAAATCATATAATGCAATATCTTATGTTTCACAAGCTTGAGTCCATTCAGCTGATTCTCGAGTAAATAAATTAAAAGAAGCAACCCAACTATAAATTGGTGGTTGTACAGTTTCATTTAATCTTGATAAAGAATTAGATAAATTAGCTACTAATTCTAAATCATGGGGATCTTAATAATTTAAATTTTCTAATATTAAATAAGCTAATGGTCCTATTTCAATATATTTCTTTTCTAAAGTCATATAATTAAATAAATCAGATCCTTCCACCATTGAAACCTACTCATCCAATCCAACTTTAATTTTAGTTAATCCTACACAACTAATAACAAATAATGCCACAAATATTATGATTGTTATTATAATGCAAAATGGTTTTTATAAAAGTTTAGAATATGTCTTCTTAAAAAATGTTTAAATCAATTTTCTATCTTCTCTTAATTGATAATTTATATCCTACTTACAAATAATAAGATCATATCTTTTATGTTTCTTTCTCTATTCATCCCATGTTAGAAAAGCAACAAACATTGTAATTTACAAAAAATAATCTATGAAAACTCCTACAGCTGCTTAAATACAAAATGATTATAAAGCAGGCATCTTAGTTAATGATCCAACCAAAAATGCTAAAGTTTCACATATTGCAGCTATTGTTATGCTAGGACCCACTTATTCTAAAGTATTACCCATTCTTTCTTATATTGTTTGATGTTTTTGCTTTTTAAATTGATGTGTTATAATAAACATATTATCAACACCAATTGCCAATATTAAAAATGGAATAACCTTTATTATTCATATAATAATACTTCCAAACTAATCATCGTCAATCCTATATCAAAATATGATACTAGTCCAATACTACTTATCATAGAAACAGCTACAATAAATATTCCTCCCAATCCTAAAGTAAATCCATTGTATATTTTACTAGGAAATTACCCTATAGCTAATCCAATGTAAGCAAACATCATTAAATATGAAACAACTACAATCCAAGCATTTTAATTTGTCTCATTATTAATTTCATCTGAAACTGATCTTTCTGCCATAAAAGCTACTTTATATTGATCCAAAAGTTCCTCTTTTGGAGCAACCATCAATGATTTATTATAATTATCATAAAGTTTTTTGTAATCCCTTTTATTAAGAGCATCTAATGTGTCCATCCATACATCTTTTTCCCACAACTCAGCATTTTACTTTGTAAATTCATCATTTTTTAAAAGATATGTAACTGCCATAGTCCTAGCCTAAATATAGCAATGATCACAAGGCTATGTATCATTCTATCGATTTTCACAATTTCTAATAGTTGTATAATTTATAGTAGATACATTCCTCCAAATACAGATTCTAAAATTATAGGGATTCCATTTTTATCACTACAAGGTATATTTGTTTAATTGACATCAATAGATTCTGTACAAAGAGTAGTAAATTGAATATCATGATCTTTCTAAAATACATTATAAAAACAACTTCTAATAACTTTGGATCCTAAAGCCAAATATCCATTGGACTTGGAACATAACATCCTTTGGCTGAGATTGGTCTATAACACAGATCATCAAGTGTTGTATTTTTACCTCCTATCTATACTTTTCTATTTCTGATTATATTCTATAAAAAATATATCACTTATAATCCTTCCTTTTAAAATACATTCACCCAATTTTCATTCCTATAAGTTAATATGAATTAATTTGTTCTATAAAATGGACCATAATTTTTAGAAGAACTCTCTTATTCTTAATAAGTTCTACTACTAGAAGAAACCCACAATGCTATGTAAAAAATTAAAAAAATATACATTGGGGATCAGTTAAGACTGTTAAATTATATAATCCTAATGACATTATTCCAGTCATAATTAAGCAGATCAAAAATACAAAGCAAGGAAATTTTGATCCAAAATACCCTATATGATAAAAGATTCTTATCATCAATAAATATTATTATTTCTAATAAATTTATTAATATAAAAAAATAGAACTAATATAAAAGATATATAATAGTTTCAATAAAACTAAATTTATTCTCATTGAATTCATTCAAATATCTATATAAATGTATTAAAGTTATTCTTTTCATCCTAATGTTGGTAGTAATTTTGTTTACTATCTTTTCATTCCTTTTCGAATTAAAGGCTTTGCACTTCCATCAATTTTATCTTTCTTCATCACTTAATTAATAAAATCTATCACCAAAATAGATGCTCTAAATTCTACTCTTTTTTTAATTAGATTTCCTTCTGTAAAATTTTTTTTATGCTTTGTTACATTTTAAGGAGATGTAAATTAAATAGGTGGTAACTTTATATTATCTCCTGATTGAAACGTAACCTTCATTGATGTGAGTTAGCTACTTGAATTATTATAAAGTGTGTTTTCAAGAGATTCTTTATTACTGATTGATATTGCAGATTTTTCTTTAATTACAGGTAGCTTTGTTGCATCTCTTTTCTTATTTATTTTTAATTAATTGATAAGAGGAGACTTTTCTAAGTCAGAAGATATCAATTTAGGAGACAGCAAGACAGAGTTCAAATCTAAATTATTCAAAAACATTGATGGCCTAATCTAATTTGTTTATCTAGTCGATATTTACTATTGCATAACAAATTATTTATATTATTCTTATGGAAGATAATATTATTTTAGATTTAATATAAGTGATTTGAAAATTTTATTATCAAAAGAGAAATTTTAAGATAAATGTAAATTAAAAATTTGATCATATGTGATAAATAAAAGAATGTCCTAGAGATAAGAGCGATGAAAATTTAGGGTTTTTAATATTATACATCCACTGTTAATTGATGAATCAGAAATTTATTTTACAATAAAATCAATTATTTTAATCGATTTAAATAATTAGAAAATGTTTAGTAATTATATAATTTAAAATTTGACTAACATAATCAGATTGATTAAAATATAATATATAATATAAAAATGGAATTTTGATATTATTCTATAAACAATTTTTTCATATAATTATTCAAATAGCCAATACTTATTATTCCTCTAAATAATTTTTAATATTACAAATAAGCTTGGTTAAAGTAATTATTGTATTATTATTTTTGATTAAGAAAAGCCAGTAATTTTCTTCACAGTTCCATTTAATTTTATCTAGACTGAACATAATAGATTCCTTCTCTCTTGTCTATTTTGCAATTTTCATAGCTATATAACATATATTTATAATCCTTTTCTATTGTACTTTTGAAGAATATTTTATAAACTTCTTCTGATTCTAGAATTAAAGTAAATCTTCCATCAACCATATTTATATTTGGTAAGACAAAAATATCATATTTATGGAGGGGTAAATGCATAGTATATTGCCCTTTTGTTTGATTATTTTTTTTTAAATCAAATATATATTACTTTTTTATTAGCACTTACTGATATAAAGTTAAATTCTTACCGTATTTGAAGTTCTCTTATTAAGCATCATTATCTTTATACATTCAACTAATTATATTAAAATTGGGAATGAAATATAAGAATAGAGTAGATAAATAAGATTCAGTTTCTATAACCTTTATACCCAATTATTATGATAAACATACTTTATATTTCATTATTTAATATCCCAATCAATATATGTAATAATAAGATAAACATATGTTTATAAATATGTTAATATTATTATTAAAAAAACTAAATGACCTATGCTTTAATAGATTTAAAATAAATGACATGGTCCTGCTTTAAATTATTATTAATCTAATATTATTGGATTTATAAATATCAAATTCTATAAAATTCTTGATTTCTTTCGATTATATTTTAAAGAAAATACATTTAAAGATAAGAAGATTTATTAATTAAAAATAAAATGTGCTTTAATGATTATTCTTTTTATTTTAATCAAGTAATTAATTAATCAACCCATGTATATAAAATAATCAATTTTTATTAATTTAAATAAAAGTATATATATCATAAAAAGTGTGTAAAAATAGAACATGCCAATATTAATTTAATGATATATTTCACAGCATCTCATTTTACAATTTTTTATATGAGTATTTGAAATATCAATATATTTTGAATTAATTAATCTAATGAGTGAAACCTATTTAACTTTTAGGATTTATAATAATTTATCATAATGAATGAGATGTAAACCAAAGAATTGAGTTTTTTTTGATATAATTATTATAATATTAAATGGGTTCTTGTTCTGGATCAGTATAAAATAAATAAAAGCAATTAAGAGATGAAAGGATTAGAACCGAACCAGATAAAGAAAGAGGAAGTGATGCTTTCACAGGCGGTATCAATATTTCAAATGTTTCGAGAAAAAGTGATGAATTAAAAGGCTTAGATTTGCCTAATCAAAAAAAGAAGACAATGAAAAAGTAAGAGAGTCTTAAAGTCACACTTTCTATAACAAATGGTCCTATATCTAAATATTATGTTCGAAAGAACCTACGTTATTTAGAAGGTGTTAATTTTAAAGATAATATGTTTGTTGTATAACATGTAGTTACTGGAAAAATTAGAGTAGCAGAAAGATTTTAAATAAATACAAACACTAGTGCTTTCATAAATAAAATAGTATACTTATAATTAGTAAATATTTGATATATTTTTAGAATCATCCAAATTTGCTTGATATATATGGAATTTTTTAAGAAGATAACTATTATACTATTATTTCTGACTATTGTAATGGTGGATCATTATTAACATTGCTATCAGAAAGGAATTCTCATTTTGAAGAGGAAGTTGCTGCTTAATGTTGTAGATAAATATATGAATTAATGGGATATTTACATAAATTTGGGCTTTATCATGGTTAATTAAGTTTGAAGAGTTTTGAAAAATACAATTAAGGAAAGAAAAAATTTACAATAAAACTTGTTGATTTTAGTTGTTTATTTTGTAAATCAGATATTAATGAAAACAATGTATAATTTTTATCACCTGAATGTTGCAATGAAAATTCAAGTTATACATCTGCAAGAGATTAATGGGCAGTTGGAATTATTACAATGGCAATAACTCTAGGTAAATTACCCTTTAATGCAAAATCATAATAAGAATGTTTAGATAATATTCAATAATCTTGTAAAAAGGAAGGCTTTATATAAAAGGAATTAGAGAAATAAGTAGCTAATCCTTTGATTAAAGATTTAATACTTTAATTTTTGTAGGTTTCTCCTTCAAAAAGAATAGATTTTTTTTAAGCCTTAGAGAGTAAATGGATGAAAAATTATGAACAAATTTTCAAATAATAGTTTAAGTAATGTTTAGATGAATTAACAAAGAAAAAAGAAGCAAACTTTCTTCAATCTTGCTTTCTTTTAATGATGATTAAATAATTTGATGATTAATACTCTTAAATATAAGAAATATTTAATGGATTAGATCTTGATAAAAATGGTAGACTCACAAAACCAGAATTAGTTTAACATTATACCTAATACTTTCATCTCAAATATAATTAACATGAGATATAAGAATTCGTAGATGAGATATTTGATGCCTCAGATCTTAATCATAGTGGTGATATAGAATTTTCTGAGTTTTTAATTGCTCTATCTAATTAAAAAACCCTTATTACTAATGAAAATTTAAAGTGTATTTTTAATCAAATAAATCATGGATAACCTTTTGGATTTATAGAATTGCAACCATTATTTAGAACTAAGGAAGCTGAACTATAAAATTCCTTACAATAAATTCCAAATCAAATTGTATCATTTTTATAATTAATATTAGATTGATTTTGAAGAATTTACAAAAATGATGTTTGAATTGATAGAAAACAAATGATATGTATAAAATCTATATAAAATTTCTAAAATAATAAAAAATCATTGACCCATTATTTATTTAAAGATAGGATAAGTAATCTAAAATTATTTATATTTTTGTTTACAATTTTATCTTAGAATTCATTAAACTCAATTTTTAATTAATTTTCACGATGAGGAAATAGAGATATCATCTTCCCTAGAGTTATTCCCTAATTACTATATGATAATTAGGAAAAAGCATCCTAGAGTTAATCTTCAATTAAACATGTAGAAGTTTCAAAGAGTGATGTAATGTATTCATTATAATCAAAACAAATTCCATCATTTTATTTTTCAATTTCAAGAAATTAACTTATTATTTCATCTTCTGTGAATTTATTCTTTTTCATAAACTCCATTAATTCAGTTTTACTCACCTTACCATCATTAGATGCATCCATTTCATAAAATAACTGATTTTCTCTATCTTCATTAAAATCAATATTTATATTTTTAATAATAAATAAAGCTAAACATTAATAAATGCATGATTTCTTTTTTAATTGAAATACTTTCTTAATAAGCTGATTTATTCTCTTTTTACTAATGACCTATTTAGATTGAAAACAAATATGTGATGAAGCTGATTGTAATGATAATCTATTTTTTTATTTTGAACTCAATAATAATTTTAATAACTCTGAATATTGAATATTACTAATTTAGTTTATTACAGTTTAAATGATTATTTCATGATTAGAAATAATATCTTATTAAATGGATTCAATACTATCTCCATGAAAGAGGTGTTAGTTTGTAAATAATTCAAGTCCTATTATTCCAATTGCCCAACAATCTCTTTATTTTGTATAAATATTTCCTTTATTACATGCTTCAGGTGAGAAATATTGGATTTCTTCTTCTGTATGTTTTGGTTTAGACAAGATCTTTTCAATATCTATCAACTTAATTTTTTCTGTCTAACTACATATTCGAAAAGAACTTATATTCAAATACCCATGAATTATATTTTTTTAATGTAAGTATTCTATAATTTCAATTATTTACTTCAAAATTTCAGTTTAATTTTCAATTTAACTTGCAATTAATTCTTTGTTTTCAAAATGTTCCTTGACAATTAAAATTTAATTATCAAATTCTAATATTTCAATGATATTTTATAATCTTGGATGAAACTACTTTAATGATAACTTTTACTAATTGCAATTCTAATATTTATTTAACAAGTTCTTTTGATAATGAATTATTTTCATATAATGTACCAATTCTTAGCTTTTTAGTTATTAAATGTCTTAATTAAACATTTTATTCCTTATAATTCAATATTTCATAGCATTATTAAAGTGGTACTTATTTTAAAGCAATATTAACTTTAAAAGTTTTCTTATTTGACTTATTTTTATTGGAATATTCACTTTTTTCTTGACTATATTAAGATTTCTTTTCAGTTTAAACACTCCCTCTCTTTCTTCTTCCAACATCCAGTATCATTCCCATGTCTATTTTTTATTTTTAGTTGCCTTATTATGATAATTAACTAGAAGGTGATTTTGAGTGTTTATATACATTTTCAATATTAGCTTTAAGAGTATCATTATTAGAATTCTTGTTTTATTGGATTGTATCGTTTTTTTCTTCTTCTTTTATTTTCCTTTATTTTTAGGAGTGACTAGTGCAAACCCCCATAAATGTAATAATTATTTATTAATATTATTTTTCACTTAATTATACATTTATGATAGATAGATTATTCTTAAATATTTATAATACTTGAAAAGCTAGTTGCAATAATTCAAAAGACAGAAAACTATTTTTACAAATGATTAACTTTGATGTGTTATTTTCGATTGATATAAAATATAAATTTAGATCAATTTAATTATTGATTATTAATGCAAGCACTAAATTAATCAGAATGATAAAAGTATTATTTATATTGATCACTGCTTAATTAAAGAAATCTGATTAAAACTATTTAATTTTTTAATTGAAAACTTGAAAATACCAAACAGTCACTCTTTTTGAGGGGTTAAAGGAAACTGAAAATTTAAAAGATATTAACAATAGCCATATATATTATAAAGGCATCGTTTAAGAGCTATTAATAATTAAATGAATTCGAATTTATATTCCAGCACTATCAGAGAAATTAAAGAAGAAAGGCAGTGTATAACCAAATTAGATTGCTTGGTTAATGAGATTAATATTATGACTCCTAATGATGTAGAAAAATAATGTCTTAATTCTCTAAAAGACCCAAAAAAAACTTCTAATCTGATCGAATCTACCAATAAGGTAATGTGAAGAATTATTTTAGCAACTTTAAAGGAAAGACTCTATAGCAACAAAGATTTTTAAGAATGTAGAACGTTTAAAAAAGGAAAAACAAAAAAATAAAGATTTTCGAATAAATTCATAGTCTTGTATTTAACCTGAAAATGAAATGTAATTTAATTAGAGAAGGGTAGTAAGCTTAGAGAATGATAATAAATAAAAATCCCATATTTGCTAAATTTCAATTCCTAAATCAGTAAAGCAATTGAAAACCGATTTATTTAAAGCTAAGAAACAAATCAATATTAGATAAGTACCTAAATTAAAAGAAAGATGCACATTTATAAAAGAATTATTTTTTATCAGCACTATTAAGGCAATAATTATTATTTATTAAAACATAATAAAATATCACAAAACAGTCGATATTAAGGATTTGCCATAATTATCTTCACAGGATCAAATAGAATAATATAGTGCAGAATATGTAAATTAGATGAGATAAGACTTGAAACTCAAAATAGATTTTAGCTTTTATAATTTATTCTTTTGGAAATTTAATTCATGTTTTACTCTAACAATGTTAATATTAGGAATGATTGAATCAAATTCTAATTTTATTATTTCATTATTATTGTACAATATAATAGAAAATGTTTAAGATGGTAATAAAGGAGCAGCTTAATTGAATGCATTATATTTAACATTCCTATCAATAATTACTATAATTGGAAGACATTACCAATAGTAAAAATATTATTAATAAATTATAGTATATAATTAAGTAAATTTGGAGGGAAACTTAGATAAATCTTAATGTATATATTGATTGAAAAAATCTCAACATTATCAAATTGTTCAATTTAGAAATCAAATTCTGGTTCCATTTTAAATATAATATGTAGTGATTTATCAACTTTGGAATGGTAATATGGATATATCTATTGTATACCAATTGTTCCATTTTCATTATTATGTTCTGGTTGGATTTTGTGGGTAAGAATTATTTGATTTTTTAGCTCTAATTTTAAGGACCTTATGGTTTGATGGCAGTTTTAATTTGTGTGATTACATATCCAACACAAACAATAATTTAAAAGTGTATTTAAACTAAAATAAAATTGTTGAAAGAATACTAAGATTTAAGATTAAAATAACAAACTAATTTTTTAGATAATATTTAAACAATCAAAATGTATTGTTGGTAAGAGACTGTAAGATAAATGATATTAAAGACTAGATTTTTAGAATGGAAGCAACATATTTAAATATAAATTTTAACTTTAATAGATAGATCTATAAATTAATCAATAAATATATGGGGTTCCTTTTTATTTTTAATCATTATATATAATTTAGGAATTCCTTTAAATTTATAAAAGGTTATATTAACTATATAATTAATGGGTTCAATAAGATATTATTGTGTACATTAAGTTTCATATGGATTAAAAGCAATTATTAATTTAAATGTTATTTTTAAAAGAATTAAAGATTTTACAAAGATTGAACCACTTTTTGCTCAGATTCTTGAATTTTAGAATGATCATCCAAATGTTAATGCTTAAAGTTATCTTGAATTATCTAGTAACAAAGAAATGAGTTAATTTTCATTAATAAAATTATCAGAAAAAGCAAATCAATAAACTAAACCAAGTTTTCAAATATTGTAAGATGAAGCAATTTCAATTCGTTCTGTTTATTGTTATTGGGAATTATAAAGATTACCATTGTTAAAAAATATCAATTTTATTGCCAATAGAGGATAATTAATAAGTATTATAGGTAAAACTGGATCAGGTAAAACTACATTTCTATAATTGATATTAAAAGAAATTCCATATATTTAAGGATAATTAGAATTTACAGATAATCTGACATTTGGTTATGTAGAATAAGAACCCTTTATAAATCCAACTACAATAAAAGATAATATTTTATTTGGAAGAGAATACAATAAAGAATTATTTGATGAAGTATATATTTTAATAAATATTGATAGGTTTTGAAAGCATCTAATTTTTTATCAGATCTAAATGATCTCCCAGAATCTGAGAATACAGTAATTGGAGATAATGGGGCAACTCTTTCAGGAGGTTAAAGAGCAAGATTAAGTTTAGCAAGAGCTCTATATGCTATGCCAAATGTATATTTATTTGATGATCCACTATCAGCAGTAGACTCTAAAGTTGCTAAACACATTTTTTCTAAAGCAATCTAATAATTTATCTTTTAATATTAACCAACTAAAAGAAATAATCATCCAAATCCAATTGTAATTATGACTACTCATCAATTATCATATGCATTGAAATGTGATTATATAGTTGTTTTGGAAGATGGTTAGATCATATGTTAAGGAAGGGCTAGTGATGTTGGGTTGTAGATAGAAAAGATTTTAAATGTTTAACCTGTAGAAATAAATGAAAATAGTTAAAATAATAGATAATAATTATCTTGTGATGGTAAGAAGAAATCAAATAATTTCAATATTTATTATAATCAAACAAATCTTTTGACTCCTAATGAATAAGTAATAAAAACTATTAAAAAGTTGATATTATATGTAACTAGATCTAAATTGTTATTAATTTTATCTTTAAATATATTAACTGAAATAATAAGAAATTTATTTTATAGATTGCTTACTTTAAATGCAGATGATGAAGGTATTAAGAAATATGCTTTAATGATATCAATATTAGTAATAACTCATTTAATTAATAATGTATTGAAATATTCAATTTGTAGTTATGTAATTTTAGATATGAATAATGAAATATTTTCAAAATCAATGTAAGCTTTGGCTCATGGAAAAAAATCATTTTTTGATAAATAACCAAGTGGTATTATAATCAATAAATATTCAACTGATTTATCTATTTTAGATAATCAAATGCCAATAGTTTTGATTGATATATTTGAAGATGGTTGTTAATTCATAGTATCACTATTAATGATTGGATTTCTTTAACCATTCTTTTTTTTACCTATAATGCTTACATTATTTTTAAGTTACATTTTGTTCAAAACAGTTGTTCAAATTCTATCTTAATTAAAAATTAATGATTTATCATAAAGAGCTCCTTAATTATCATAATTTAAGATATATATTTAAGGTTTAACTCATTATCGATTATCTAATTAATTTAACTAATTAAAATAGAAATTTTTTATTTTAGCTAATAATAGTTTTTAATCAAATTACATTTATCATTAAACTCAGAAATGTTTTTCATAGTATGTTGATTTGATAGCATTATTTACAAAAACTTCTGGAACGTATCTAATAATTGCATTTATTGAAGATAATTCATTATTTTCACAAGCATTATTATTATTATAATCATTTCATGCCCAAAATACATTACTTAGATAATTGATGGAATTAAGTGGACTTTTCAATTCATATGAAAGATTATTAGATATTTAATAAATTGATAAGGAAAAGGATGATGAAACAATTAGTACAGTATTACCACGTGCTTGGCCAAAGTAAGGTAGTATTGTATTAAAGAACTTATCATTGTAATATTATGCCAATTAATAACCAGTCTTAAAAAATATTGATTTAGAAATTAAACCAGAAGAGAAAATAGCATTTGTTGGAAGAACAGGTGCTGGTAAATCATCTCTTATTTCTGCATTATTCAGATTAGTTGATATTGGATCTGAGAGTTCTATACTTATAGATGGTTGTAATGTTAGGGAATTATCATTAAATCAATTAAGAAGAGCTTTGGCTATAATACCATAATAACCCCTTTTATTTTATGGATCTATAAAATAGAATTTAGATCCATAAAATTTGTACACTGATTTAGATATTTGGAAGGCATTATCAGAAGTAAATATTGATGGAATGATTGAATAATAGAAATAGTTATTGAATTGTAATGTTATGGATCTGAATTTATCAGCTGGATAAAAATAATAATTGTGTTTGGCAAGAGTAATTTTGATGAGAAGGAAGATCTTGATTCTTGATGAAGCATCTGCTAATATTGATATTTTAACAGATGAAGCTATTTAAGAGATTATTCGATCTAAATTTATGGATTGTACTATACTTACAATTGCACATAGATTAAATACTATTGCATATTATGATAGAGTAATAGTATTAGAGAATGGGTAAATTGCAGAATAGGGTAATCCTTTTGAATTACTAAGTGATGATTATAATGCTGAGTGTATCAATAAGAAAACTAAATTTGCAGAGATGGTACTTGAAACTGGGAATAAGAATGCTCAACAGATTTTTGTAATGGCAAAAGAATCATATTATATTAAATAATTAAAAAAGAAATAAAAATCTAAAATTTGATTTATTTAATTTATTTTATAATTAAAAAAATGTTATAAAGTCACAAAGAAAAATTATAACAAAAAGTGTCATCATATAAGGATAAGATAAGATCTTAATTGAAAAAAAAAATAGTTGTTATTAAAGATCAATTGAAATTGAGACATTCCAATAGTGATTGTAAATTTATATTATTACTATCACAATAGTATAATTAGAAACACCATTCTATTAACAATCAAACATTGCTGCTGATTTTTCTGATATTTATGAATTAGGTATTAAATTAGGAGAAGGTGCTCATGCAATAGTTCATAAAGCAATTAGAAAAAGTGATAATTAAGAATTCGCTGTAAAAATATTTAGATCAAGTGATCCAGAAATAATTGCTTCCATAAGAAAAACTTATTAGATTGGATCTATGCTTCAACACCCTAATCTAATAAAAGTAAAAGAACTATATATTAATTAATAAAATGGATATTCCTATTAAGTTATGGAATTATGTCATTATCCAAATTTAGAAAGTTAAATAGACAAATTGAATCCCATTGAAATAAAGACAGTTATGCGGTAAATTATTAATTAATTTAACAATAGTGAATTGTTGAATGGATTACTTTACATGCATAAATAAAAAGTTTGTCATAGAGACATTAAACCTGATAACATACTATTTGATGGTTAAAATATTAAAATCTTAGACTTTGGAGTTAGTAAGAGATTCTACATTAAATAACAATATATTGACATGTGGACACCAACAGGTACTTAATTTTATTGTGCACCTGAGATATATACAAAAGTTAGTTACACTTACAAAGTAGATTTGTGGGCTGTTGGAGTATTAATATATATTTATTAGTATAGGTAATTCTCTATTAGCTATTAACATAATAATTACCATTTCAAGATGAGACTGCTCATGGAACAATTGAATTAATATGTAAAGCATAATTCTAAGATCATCCAGCTTTAGATAAAGTTAGCAAAGATCTTTTATCTAGATTATTATAAATTGACCCAAAAAAACGACTCAATGCAGAAGAAGCATTACACCATGTTTGGTTTTAAAATAAAGAAATAAAATAATAATGTATGGATGATATGATTGTGCATGATGGCCTAGTTAATAATTCATCATTAATTATCTAACTTAGTTAATCATAAAATAGGAATTCTCATACCAATCATTTTCAAACAAAAGTTGAAGCATTTAAACCTACCATACATGTCAAATAATCTTCATTTAGAGATTAATCATGATATACTAGGTTATTTAATATTAATATTCACAACAATAATAAAATCACAATAATTAGAGAATCTTTTCATTTAATTCTTAAATCATATTATCATTGAATTCTTATAATATCTTGTCTAATTTTAATTTCAAATTTTATTATCTCAATTATTCCTTTATATTTTAAGAATTTAATAATCTTAATATTGAATCTAAGAACTATTTTATTAATCCAATTTCATTAATATCTAATAAACTACAAATTATTTAAACAAATCCTAAATCTAATAACTTTTTTGAAACTATTTCATCTCCTGTTGCTTGTAAATTCAAAATTATACTCATACAATAACTCTTTTCATTTGGTGAAGCTATAATATTTTCAATAATCTTGAAAAGTATTGGATGAGTAATTATCTTTATTGCAGCATTATTATCATTATAACTTAAATTTGTCAAAATTAAGTAACTTTCTTTTCTTATGCTTTATGATTTATTACTTAAATTCAATTATAATTTATCTAATATCTTTAAATCTAATAATTTCTAATATTAATAAAAACTTATACATGTGCAACTACTAATGTATCTGATAAAGTGAACTACTTTATTATAATTAAACATTTATCCATCATTGTACATTCATGATTTATTATTGTTTCAAAAACATTAGATTCTAATAATAACTCATCAAATTAAGAATCATATAATCGACCTAATGGCATTAAATATTCTTCACATTACTCTTTTTTTAAAGCCTAAACAACAATCTTAAGACCAATAAATTTTTAATTTGAATCAATTTACTATTAATGTTCAATTAGAGAATTCAACAAAAATATTATACTTGTTAAGAATTATCCTTCTGCTATTTAAACAAATTGTAATAAATTAGGAAGCAAATTTATAAATGACAATCTATATTATGATATGATGTTTCCAAGAAAAAAGAATATGAACTTGTATGAATTTTCAAGATTTTCCATAAATTGACTTTTCTACTCAATTTCTAGAACCTAATTTAAAGAGTAATCACTATTTTATGAGATATTTGATCTATTTTATACTTTCTATTATATCACTATAAAATACATTTTCGAACTATAAGTTTGCTTGAATAATTAAATTGATTGCTTATTTAATTAATGTCTAACTAATAGGATTGTTTGGAAATTATGAATTTAAACATAAATTTGTTAATACTTGATAACATACTAATTAACCTAATTATATAGATTATATGCAGAGCTCCAAGTATTGATTATTTATAAAATAAACTTCATTTTACTAATTATCATTAATTTGTTTAAATATCACTTAATGAATCAATCCTGATTGAACTACATTATTTTATTATAAACATTCTTTTAATTGAGGAATTAATTAATCAAACTATATATCAGGTAATTTAGAAGATAATTAGAATTACAATCTTTTCCTTTAAAAAAAGGATTCTTAATCTTTTTTCCTTATTTCTTATCTAAATTATTCTCTCATATTTAACATCATATTTTAAGAAGTATTAGAATCCATCAATTAATTTATATGTTAAAATTTTATATATAATTAATTCATTCTTATTGATACAATCCAACATGCCAAAATGGAAATAAAGACATGATATAGCAGTAAATGAATTCAAAAACAGCTTTAAAGAATGTACTAATAGTTATTTTCTAATCTAATAATTTGTTTATAAATTGATTACTTTATTATTATTATTTAAGTCTACGAATTTCTTCCTCTAATTCAGGTTCTTCATCTTAATCTTCACTTTCCTATTTTTCATATTGTATCTCTTATATATTTTCATCAGGAATTTCATTTTCCTTCAGATCTTCACCTTCTTTCTTCTCATTATTTTACATTAATGGTTCATCTATGTTATTCTAACTATTAATTTAAGCAGCTTCTTTAGAAATTATTTGTTAAATATTTTCTTGAGATTATTTTTTATTAAATTGCAAATCCTCCTCTTCTTTAAAGATTTATTCTTATGTGTCAATTAATTAAGTTTTTTAATCTGAGGAGATCTTGAATTTATTTTCTTGCTATCTCTATATTTTCTTTTCATTATCATTAATTTATTAATTTGATTCTTATTTACTTACAATTTTTCCCATTTAATCTTATTTTTATAATTCTTATGCCTGTAATATTTTAGCTTGCCTAATCAAAAAATCTTAGAGGTGTTCTTTACTATCAATTTAAAAATCCTATTCATTTTCATAATCATTAAATGAATCTAATTCATCAAGATTCTCTTGTTATTCAAGTTATTACTCAAAATTGTTATAGTTCAATTTTGAATTGTTGCTTAGATTTTATGGTTGATTTATTTTTTCCTTATGTTTATTATTTATGTTCTCTTATTATTACTATTATTATTACTATTATTATTATTATTATTATTATTATTATTATTATTATTATTATTATTATTATTATTATTATTACAGCTATTATCTTAATTATGCTTTAAATTCTTGATATTTTATCCAATAATAAATTCCAATAATCACCAAGAGATAATAATAATTCTAACCCTTAAAATAAGAGCTAAATAAAGTATAGAATGCTCCAATATAACAGATCATTTTAAAATGGAAAAAGATCTCTTACTACATAGGGGAATCTCTGTCATCTAATTTCTTAATTTATTCTTACCTAATCTCCTTTATTATAATAATAATAATTATTATTATTTTTTTTGTATTTTTTCTGAAGTGTTCTACTAGTATTATAATCCCATGATTGGCATATAATTATTTATTGGCTAGAGATTAGATAAAGTAAATTAATTAGCAAACTATACTCTTTGAATATTTTTTGTATATTCAAGGTAAAGTAATTACTTATTTGTTTATGAGGGTTGTTTTTTATTACCAATTACTGTTAAAAATACAATTTGTTCTTATTTTTTTACAATTTCATGTAATTTCTCATTGCCATTCAATTCCAATCCACCATGATATAATTTAATTGTTTCTGGATCATAGAAGGATTAATTTCTGGCAGAGAATTAACAAATCTAATATAAAGTTGATTTGTACTTATTCAGTTGTCCAATGATTTGGACATTAGAACTCTAAAAAATGTCCATTTGGAAACTTAACTTTTATATTCATTTAATAATGTATTAATGGGATTTAGTAAATGAATCGAGTGATTAGTTAAGAATGTTTAGCTATTGTTTTATAGTGTGGAGTGCATTATTTATACTTTGCTATGATAGGATAAAATTGAATAATCTTAGTTCTAAAAAACAAATAGATGTATTCAACCGAATCGTCTCAATTTTACATGGACAATTTACTTTTTGGGGATCATTAATTATAATACTTTCACAAACTCCTTACTAATTATAGGAAATGAATTCTTCTGAGATGTAATTCGTTATGATAGTCAGTGCAGGGTATTTTGCATACGACGTCATAATTTGTACTTATTTCGATTTATATGACTATTGGTTGATATTTCATCATGTCATAAGTTTAATGGCTTTTGGAGAGAGTATTCTCAATAAGAAATATGGACATATCATTATATGTAACAACTATACTAAATTACTATATAGTCGGTATGTTCATCACAGAAATATCAAATTTGCCAATGCATCTTAGACATATTTTGGGTTGTTTTGGATTGAGATAAACAAAGATTTATGAATCAATTGAAATCCTTTATTTCTCATTATTCATAATTTTTAGAGGAATCTTGAGTCCAGTTTTATTAATACGAACATATGAAGATCTTCATGCTCCATTATTAATAAAAATTTCTGCGTCTGGATTATTAGTATATTCAACCTATTATATCATTGAGTAAATTTAAATTCTATCTATTTTTAGGATGGTGAAAATAACCTAAAGAAAAATCAAATCATATAGAGATAGAAAGAGAAGGAATTTAACAATGTATTGGTTTTCTTAGAATCCATTACTGCCTTCACAAAAATACGTAGACTCAATATTATGAAAATATTAATTATTAGATCTATTTTTTATACAATATGATTTTAAATTTTGTCTAAAAATTTATATAAAGAAATAAGTAATCATTTTTTAGAGTAAATAGATTTTTATCAAAAATTAAATAGTAATCTATAATAAATAATTTTATTTTGTTAAATGAATAAATTTACCTTAAAATTTGATGATGAAATATTAGAAGAATAATATCAATAAGTTAAACTGAGAAAAATTAGAAAACCCATTTATTTAGGACTATTAGTACTATGTTTTTGTATGATAAGTTCAAATGCTATAATAAATTTGATTACTTAATAATAAACTCTTTTAAAAACATATATCAATTATTCTTATCTAATTTTTATGGTATTTTAAGCTATTATAGTTTACAGAAAGCCTGCCTTAATAAAATACTTATTAATTATTTCAAATATTGCCACAGGTTTGTTATAATTTAATTTTAATGATTAGACCCCTGCTTAAATATACTATGCATAAAGTTCATCATTTACTTAGTTATAAGCAGTTGCCTACTTTATATCAGATTTTCAAGATGGTGTAATATAAGTTTTAGCTTTACTATTTATAAGATTGGTTATTACTTCTATAAAGATAGATGATGTGGATTTATAGACTGTTTTAATAGGATTAGCATCAACATTATTTATTCTAATCACTTTATATGTTAATGATCAAAATTCAAGAAAAGAGTTTTTGTCAAGTATTTCAGAAGATTTATGGGATCATTCACTGTCTATTCTAATTAAAAAACCGCATTTTAGGGTTTAATACAATAAGGAGTATATGAAAATTGATTTAATTTCATCACATTAATTATTTGATTTCCCTGGTTATGATGAAAATATATGTTAAGGATGTAATAGTAGATAAATATTACACTCATATAAATACAAAAAATCAAATTTAAGTGATTTTGTTCTAGAATAATAATAAACAATTTAAAATTCAATCAAAGTTGAATACAAACATCATTCATTTTATTTAAGAATAGTGTGTGTTGGAATTAAAAATTAGAATATTATAGTAATATTTGAGAAAAGAAAAGAAGATACATATGGATAAATAGTTCCAAAAAAAATGAGAAACTTAATTTTTCAATAAATTAAATCATAATAAAAAAGATCAATTTATTAAATATTATTTAATTAAGGATTATTATCAATATTATTAATTAATTAGATGTAATTGAAAGAAATAGATATAACATAAATGTTTAAGAAATTGAATAAATAGTATAAATATTCAATGAAACCAATTAAAATACTACCTAAAAGTATTAAATTAACATTATAAACTTATTCATCCTAATTGAAAATATTTTTAATTTAAATCTTTTAAATATTTGATTAAATCTCTAAAAAAAGGATATCCATATTATTTCAAGATTTAGAAGATTGTATTTTAGTATAAATTATATTTAAATAAAATATAGAAGGAAATATGAATCTTTTATTTCTTAGCTTATATAGTAATAACATATTTATTTAAAAAATCAAATAACTTTTGCTATTTAATGAATTAAACATAGATTTATAAATGCAATTCAAAAAACATATTCCATACTAACTAATTTAATGATTTAATTAATATATATATATATTTATTTATCAACAAATTTTTGTATCTTTCTCTAATATTGTATTCTCATCTGGATAATTATTAGTATTTATTCTTGTTTCTACATTTGTATTAGTTGCTCTAAAAGTATGAGGCATTAATAATTTAGATGCCCTATTTTAAGGTAGAGACTTAATCTTTTATTCTAATTATTCGCTTTCTTTTATTATTTATCTTTAATGTTTGCATTAACGATAAGTTACACAGAATAAAATTGATATGATAAATATCAATAAAATGAAAAACAAAAATTAAATTGAAATAATTTAAGATCTTTAATTAAAATGAACTTTAAATTCTCTTTATTTCCAACTTTCATTAGTTCTATACATTAATTTATATTTTCGTTCAATTTATTTTGAATCCGCTAAAATTTGTATAAATTATAATACTATCAATAAAGCACTTAATTTAAAATGGTTATATTTTTGGTTGAAATTGAAATAAATATTTAGATGTAGTTCCATATATATTCTAATCAACTAAAACAAATTACTTAACCGAAGTTAATTAAAAAGGTATTGCATTTTATTTATCTAAATAATAAATGAGAAAATGAGTGTGAAATCCTTAAACAAGAATAAATTACTCATTAACATCAATATCTAAAATTTTATTTGAAATGTTGAATTTAGCGACAGAACCCCATTTTCTACTATAAATTTCAATATTGAATTAAATCACATAATATTAATTTTTAGACTTATAAGCTACAAATACAAATGCATTATTATTAATGGTTAATGCAATTCCATCATTTTTAGGACCAACATTCTTCAAAATCAAATTACTATAGATTTATTCATTTGATATTGTCAAATCAATTACTATAACACCATTAATCTTACACAATATATATATTATATAATTAGAGTCCTTAATTTTTTAAATTGAAAAATCTCTAAAATCAACTGCCAATAATCCAATAGATTAATTGTTTAAATTATAAGATTAATATTCTTAATTAACAAAATAGATTTCTAAACCATCTTATCCAATAGCAGAAAATAAATAAAAATCAATAATTTCAGAATAATATCGAGTTTGCCTACTTTACCAATTCTTAATATCGCCTTATTTTTTTAGATCACCAAAATTAATTTAATAAGCATAATTAGGATAGATAAAAATTAGATTTTATGAATATCCAATTAATTATGGAAGTGAATCCTAGTAATTTGTGAAATTAATATCATATATATTGGTGATTTTCTAATTTATATTGACATGGAAAAGACGATTGTTTATTGTTAATCCATAAATATCATTATTTCCAAGTATAACCATATCTATTAAGAGATCAGAATCTTCATATATTATATCACTAGTAGACAATGTAAATGTTTATCCTTCTGTAAATAAAGTTCGATTTTAGAGAAAGCAAAACTGTGAATTAGTCATTATTTTATGATCATCACTAGGTTAATTGTAATCAATACTCTATCTAAACTAGTTAGGCATCTAATGCATCCATAACTTCAAATAAGGTCTTAACTTCACCAAATTTAACAAAATAGGATTAAATTGCTTTGCTTAAAGTAGGAAAGAGGATATAAATGAACAATAGCATGAATTTAGTATAAATTGAAAATGTATTTTTATATTATTTAATATATTCATATAGCGAATTCCTATTTAAATATTAAAGCATATTTCGCAACGTCATCCTATTTATAGGATAATAGTTTTTGAATTATACTAATTCCATCCAATTACACAAATAAAGTAAAAAATTAATTAGATTTATTATCTTTAACCTTAATTTCTCCTTTTCTAATTATTTTAATTAACATTTCAAGTCCTTTCTTAAGATGTATTGAAATAATTTCTTTTTCATTTGCAATATCCAACATTTTTAGTAAATATTAAATAAGTCCATTTTTAACAAGTTAATTTACATCATCATTAGTCCCATGTTGAATAGCATTTCCTATTACTTCTAAAGCATCTCCTCTTAAATTTGAATTATCATCACTTAATGATCTAAAAAGAGAGATCAGAAAGTTTTGATTCGATAAAACCTTAAACAGAGTTTCTGTAGCTGCAAAGGTCTATATCATATCTCCACTCTTTTCTCTACTTTTAGGATCAACAATCATTCTAATATGAGCTATAAATCCACATTCTAATAAATATTTAATTTATTCTTCAGTTCCATAAAAGATGCATTCAAAAATTCTAAGAATAGATACAAAATTTCCCATTGGTAATAGATTAATTAATTAAGGTACAACTCCACTATTTATTAATGCAGTTATTCTATTAGGTTCTCCATCTATCATATATCCTAATGCCCAAATAGCATCATTAATCATTTTTAAATTTTATTGATTGAACTCTTCCATAATTACTTTTGCAAATATTTCAAATGCTAATTTTACTTTATCAAATCTAGGACTTGGTCTACCTATACACAAATTAGCTAAACACCATATGTAAATTGATTTATATTTCTATTCCATTTTGCTTATTATTTTCTCCATAGTAAAGACTTACAATATAGAATCTCGATATTTGACAGATTCACCAGCTAATTTACCTAATATTGTTATGATTAACATAATTAATTCACTCTAATTACCATCTAGCACACTCAAAGATAATTATAGAATTCCATTTTACATAATAATTTTTGTTATTTCACTTCTACCACCAGCTAAAATTGATATGATTTCTAAAATTATAATAATAATATAAACTACATGCAGCTTCAAGTTTTATCAAATATGTACACCCAAATTAGATCATATGAAATAAAATAGGAATTAGCTCATTTTCTTAAGCAATCGATTCTGCTTACTCAAAATTCTTTTTAATTATTGAAATATAAATACTGACAAAGTTCTTTATAATTTTATTATTGCTTTATGGCTTTCAATAAAATTCTCTGATTTCAGTGCAATTATAGCATCCTTGGCAGATATATGATCTTAAGGCATTCTTAATATTTAAATTATTTCATCCTTCAACTCTTGACAGATTTACTCCTGTTGGACTAAGTCTTCATGGTTACAATTTTGTTACAATTTTTTAATTCCTCCTAATTTCTGACTATTTTTCATGTTTTCCTTGTTTATGTAAGAATAAAAGAAGATTTTAATTATTTTTTGTTCTCCCCCCCCCCCTCCAATAGTCGATTCATAAGAAATAATAAATAATATAAACCATCTATATCTTCTTTAAAGATATTAATATTATAAAAATTTCAATCCTATCCATTTCTATAATTATATCATTATTACTATTTTTATTACTATTTTCTTATATCAATTTTATCTCTTAAATAAGACAATAAATATATAATATTAAGCACTTTAAATCTAATAGAAGAGTAGTGTATTATATATTTTTAAAGGTTCATATTTAAATGAAAAAATAAATGTATTGGATCTATGAATATATTCATTATATAGTAATCAGGTTGATTAAAGAATTTCATTTGGACTGATATATTTTTTACTATGGTTAATTTTGGAGACTTTCCGGTTAGGTAATTCAGTTAATTGAATATAATTTTTAGAAAGAATATTACATTATTCACCTTAACTTCCTTATCTGAAATTAGTATAATTCTTTGATTTAATTATTGAGTTCATGTCTTTTAAATTAGGATTTTGTTGTTTAATCAATATAATAAAAACTGAAATTATATAATTATCATGGCAACAATAGTTTTTTGATTGCTACTGATAATCTCTGACAATTTTATCTACATTCTTCTTCCAAATTACATTCTGAAATCTTATATTTCTCCTTTATCAAATACATAAACTCAATTAATTTATTGAATTCCTCTCCTTAACCTAAATCTCTTGTTTATTAAGATGTCAATACACACTAGGATTTAATAAATGTAAAATACTTGAGTAATAAGTTCCTAAGCAACATGTAAATCATTCTTTTCAAGATTAAATCTATCTTAAGGATAATTCATAGGAATAATCTTTTATAAATGGAACTTATGAAAATATGAATCTTTTGCTTTAAATCCTGTATAAAGTGCAAGATTTTTCATACATACCTAAGTTTTATATAGTACATCATTCCCCAATAGAATATGATCATTTCTAACAAGTAAACGATTCAATATAGTGAGAGCATAATCAAAACAAAAGGGAGTATTTAATATATTACTCTCTTAATTTGGAAAAGTTAATCCTATATTATAAATTTTAATGGAAACTCCTTTTTTGAGAGCAATATCATTTTAAATAGATAAGACATGTTCTATCATATAAGATAGAGTATGAGGAACACAATTACGATCAATAAACAAAACAGCTTTTTAATGATTGGAATTAATAATTTCATTTATCTTTTTATAGAATTCTTATTAAAAAGTTTCTTTAATATATATAAATACTTTTTCGAATTTAATTGCTAAAGAATCTGTACTATCACCCAATTTATTTTTTATTAATTGAAGTGTAATTTCATCAGCACAAATATCATATAAAGGATAATCCTTATAATTTTATTTTAAATATTCTACTAATGTTGATTTACCAGAACCAGGTATCATCAATGGATAGATAATTACTATTTTATTTTGTGCTTATACATCTTCATCAGATTCTTCTAAATCCAAATCATTTTATTCTTCAATAGATGGTTATTCTGCAAATTCAAATTATTTTATTATTGAATCTAATTTATGAATATCAAGTTCATCTAAAACAAAGGTTCTATTTGGGAAATTCTTTTAACAATCTTTTAAATAAACTTAACCTTTTTCTAACCATCTTTCTAGACTCAATTATAATACTTTTGGTTTCATAATAGTAAATTAAACACCAAAAGAACTTGCAATAGGATTTGAAAATTAAAAATTTTTACACTGTAAGTTCTTTAATGATTAGTTGAAAGCTTCTTAATTCATACCTAAGAAAACAAAAATGATATTAGATGGATCTTGATTTTGTAATGGTGAATTTATTAAGTAATCATTTAATTGTTCTTCATTATTAACATTCTATGGTAATTTAGGAATCATATGTAATATAGACAAAGCTCTTTATGCAAATACTTTTTGGTTTCTCCACATATATTAGCATTCAATACATTATAAATTTAAATTATCTTTTAAACTTTACAATGTTTTGTCTTCTAAAAACATTGGTAATGTCAATAGTATAATTCTTACATGTCTTTAATAATTCTTTTATTTGACTTCACCTAACTCATCTATTTCACTCATTTTGTCTTCTTGCATATTTTAAATATGTTCTAAGAAATCAACAAAATTATATCTAATTCTTTCAAATGGTATTTTATCATTATAAACTTCTTCAAAAGCCAATTTAGAAATATGAAGATAATACCTAATAGGTTAAGGAGGAGAATATTATTTGATTATGATTTACAATTCATTAAGGAATTTACCTAATTAAACTGATAATTAATAATGTTCATTCAAATTTATCTTTTAGATTAATATTTTTAATAATTCTCTCAATTTTCTATATATTAAATATTCCATAGACTTTAATTTACAAATACTTATAGTTTATTAATTACCAATTTGATCTTCTGCTATAAAATAAATAACAGATCCTTCTCCTACTAATTCCATAGGTCCTTATCCAATTAATTATGACCAAATTGATAATTAAGATAGGACAACTTCATAATTATTAAAATTTTTAATCTATGAATTTTTGACAAATTGTAAATTAAATTTTTTACAAATATTTTTAGTGTTTTCGACAGGTAAACAAATATCAGGTGAATTATTATTAACTATGGCATAAAAGATTAATTGAATATGTGAATACTTTGTTATATGTTAATAATTAGGATTACCACAATATTCTCCTATTAATGTATGTTGATTAAGAAATGATTTCAAATCATCATAATTTTATTGTTTAATAATTTCTAACCATTATTTTGCAATTAATTTAGCCCATGTATGTCTCAAATGATTATATTAATTTAGATCATTCTCTGTTTAAAAAAGAATTGTACAATTTTTTGATGCTACCAACCAATAACTATTTGTAAAACTTATTTGACAATGTTCACCATTCTCTTTAACTAATTTATAGAGATGTATCTTTTTTCCTTCTTATATAGCTTGTTTAATGGGATACAAAATATTTTGACAAGCTTTTTGATGATAACTTGATAATTTGATATTTTATTATTCCATTTCATAATCAATATACTTCCTTTCTAGATCATAGAACTTTCTCATTCCTCTTCTACAAATATTTATGGAATCATGATGTACTAAAATAGAATTACCTCTTCTAACATTCATTAAAAAGAATGGATTTTTAAGGTAAAGTTTGTCTTCCATAGGACCTTTCTTATGTAAGGATATGTCATAAAGTTGGAAGTCAAAGATATCTTATTTTACAAGTAGAATCTTTTTATGCTCTTTCATTTTTTACAAGTATTCAGCAGGATCAGAAATGTAATTACCTTATTATTACATTATTTAATTAATAATTTATGGAGTAATTTTTAAATGTATATAAAGAAATGAAAAAGATGGTCAAGATGAGTAGTTTCTATTAGACTTAGAAGAAGGAATAGAAAAATAATGGAAAATAATAAAAGATTAGTCAAAAATCAAAGAAAATAAAGGAGGCACCATTAGCATCTAGAGAAGAGTTAATGCAAAAATTAAAAAATAAGATAGATACTTTAAAAGCAGATAGAACTACAAAGAAGGATTATGTACCAGAGAGAAAATAGAGATAATAAAAAAAGAAATGAATATATAATTGTATCGATAAAGAAAAATAATATATATTTGTTAAATAATTAATGTAAAAAGTAGCTTTGGTTTTATATGAGTACATTCATAAGAAGTACGTAGCCAAGATGATCCGTAGATCAGATGATTTGTATTCACGCCAGGTACGTGAGCCATTTGATTGCTTAGATAGAATTCGAAATGGGAGAAGCAGTTAATTTGAAGGGAATTCCTTCAGCAGAGCTAAATAATGGTATTCGATCGTATTTATCCTATCCATAAATGTTCCGTGAATATGCTAATAGACCTGGGAATTGGATTTTCATAATAATTAATATCATATGTCTATCAATAATCGATTTACAGGGTGAAGACTTTTCTCTTTTTTATTAGTTTGTAATTCCCTTATTAACAGGCATAGCTGCATTTCTTATAAAGATGATATACTATTAATATATCAAATATTAATAGGATGAACTTATAAATAAAAGGAAAGTGACTATTTTTAAGAGATTAAAAAAAGTATGTGCAGTCAAAAAACCTAAATAAGAAAAAGCGTTGTAGGAGGTTGATAATAAGAATAATAATCCTCCTAAAAATGAAATTGTTCTACTTTCAGGACCTCGCAAATAAGACATTTATAAACCTATGATAATATCCTCATTTCGAGAGGATAAGAAAATAATATAATCTCCACCACCAATTTAAATTGAATAGAAAGTTCAAATATTTGAGACTGTATATTGGGATTAAATTGAAGTAGGCGATATTATTTTTTTGTAAAGAAATGAAATTTGTCCAGCTGATATTCTTATTTTAGAATCAAATTTAGATCATTGTTGTGCAGATGTTACAAGTTTTAGTGGTAATACAAATTAAATTCAAAAAACTCCAAATATTTTAACAGCAATGTCAAGAGTTCATTAATTTAAAAATAATTGTTTTGAATATAGACTATTATTAAGTGGAAAAGTGAATTATGATAGATAATCAGGTGATAAATCTCTTTATTCTGGTTTTGTTAGATTAAAGAATGATCCTTAAGCTATTGATATAAAAAAAGAAAATATATTATTTAGAGAATAATTATTATTGAATTGTGATTACATATATGGTTTAGTTTTATATGCTGGAATGACATCTCGTTATTATTACAATCAACCTAAGAATAGAATAAATAATTCATTCTTTTATACAAAAATAGATCGTTATTTTTAATTTACTTTAATCTTATTAATAGTATTATCCTTTGCATCTTGGATGGCAGAATCTTTACGTTATATTTCATATGGTAGAGGATGGAGCCTCTAAACTTTATCAAAATATTTATTAGGATATTTAAATATGATTCCTTATTATTTACATTCTATTATTGATTGTTAAACTCTCATTTCTATGATAATAAAGAGTCATCAATTTAAATCAAATACACAAGAATAATCTATTAAAGATAAAGATACTACTTTTTAATTATAATCCTTTTATTCAAGAATTAATGATACTCCTTTGGCTGATTTGAGTCTTGTAGATAGTGTAATTTTTGATAAAACTGGTACAATGACTATACCTTAATTTAAATTGAAAATGATATCAATTAATGATTAAATCTATAATATTAATAATAAGACATTTAAGAATAAAACTAATTGGAAATCCATATAAAAATAATAATAAGATCATTATGAAATTTAATAATATTTTTTAAAAGATACTCAATCACCTGTTAAATAAGCATCTTAAGTTAAAATATCTCCTTCTCCAAAATAAATGAATGGTAGTACTAAACGTTCATCAATTAAACCAATTAAACCAGAAGAATACATTTTACCATCTAATAGTGAAACTAATAATAATGATTAAGCTAATTTTGATCCTGAAGAAATGGTTGATGATCATACTAAATTAAAAGAAATACATAAAAGCAAATAACCTAAATTATTCTAAGATTCTTGGGGTTCCAATACTGATATTGCAAATGCTAACAATAATAATCCTCCAAGTTAAACTAATCAATAGAATCCTTCTTAATAAAATGAAATTAAAAGATAAACCTATGTTTCAGGTGTTACTATTAGAAGAAAATAAAGTATTAAATTGGATAGAACCGATAAATAATCACGTAAATTATAATTTGAAAAATCAATGGTATTTACTAAATTTCTATCAGATGAAGGTGTAAAAGCATCATTTGAAAGATTAAGTGATGATTAAAAGAATTTAGATGAAAAAGATCTATTTAATCGTCTTATTTCATAAGAAAGTAAGAAATAAACTGAAGAAGCTATATTTATATTAATGATTTGTCATAATACTTCATCTTCTTTTAATAAAACAGATGATCTATTTAAACATGAATTTTCATCAAATGTTGATAATTTATAATTAGATTTTATATCCAACTTTGATTATAAGTTTATATGTGCAACAAAAAATAAATCTAAATATATATTAGAGATTAATGGAAATCTAGTTGAAGTACCAGTTACTGTTACATAATTAGAACATTATAAAATTAGTGTTATTATTTCTAGATAAGATTATGTACGATTCTTTGAAGATGTAGATTTGGCATATGAATATGTTTAATTTATTAGAGATGATAGTCAAGAAATGAGTGATTAAATTCTTATGGATAAAGAAGAAAGAGATAAATGGGATGCAATGATATATAGAATGCATTAAAATGGTTGTAGACCAGTCATATTCTTTAAATCATTTTTAGATGCAAATTAACACACTTTATTTCTCAAAAATCCAATTTAAGAATTGAAATCATAACCAAGAGCATATGAATTATGTTTAGTTATTGGAATAAGAGAGAAATTAAGAAAATCAATTTCAGTTGTAATTAAAAACTTTTTAGCAGCAGATATGATCATTTGGATAGCAAGTGGTGATACTTTGGATAAAGTATTACCTATTGCCTATAAGACTGAAATTCTTAAGGATCTAATTCCTATTATACATTTTGATCAATAAGAAGTCAATCTACAAATTAAATAATAGATTTAATGGTTATATAATAATCAAATTAAACATTTAAAAGATGATTCTATAAGTGTTGAAAAAAGATCAACAGAACGATTAGTTTTGAGTCCCAATCAAAAAAGAAGATCAATTCATTCAAATGCTAGAAGATAAAGTACCAAAGGTTTATTGCCTGGATTAGCAACATCTTAATAAAAAATTAAACCATTTTCAATTCTTATACATGGTGATACTTTAGAGAAAATATCATAAGATAATTCTTTGTTTAATCATCTAGCATTTATAATAGCTTTTTCAACTTCTGTTGTTGGATATAGAATGTCTAAATCTTAGAAAGCTATATTGGGTAGAATATTATAAGAGAAGTAAGTATGGAGAAGAAAAATATTAGTTATTGGAGATGAAATTAATGATAGTCAAATGATGGCTTATTCAGATTTTGCAATTTAATTACAGAGTGAAAGACAATTATAAAAAACAACAATAGAAAAGATGGAATAATTATAGAGAGGCAAAAAGGAACAAAAGAGTTCAAAAGTATAATAGGTGAGTGGAAAGAACATTAACAATATCATAAGTAAAAAATCAATTTAAAATTAGAACATTAGTATAAGACAATTCCTTATATTGGAATGGCAGATATCATAGTAAAAGATTTTAAAAATCTTATTAGTCTAGTATTAAATGAAAGTAGATAATCTGCTGAATTATTAGAGAATATTATAACATTCTCCTTTTATAGAAGTTATCTTTTATGTTTTACTCTATTTTTCTAAATATTATTCACTGGAATAACATTCTATCCACCTTTAGATTTCTTTTAAAGTTTACTTTATATTATCCCTTGTTTTTCAATGTTTTTTTAACGTTTAACTTAAAAAGAAGAGAAAGTAAACAGCATAAAGAATTAATTAGTATTTTTTTATAATCAAAATCAATTGGATTTTAGATAAATGAGATATTGGTTGTTCTTCTATAAAGTGATATTGTATTCAGCATTTGAAGCTCTTATCATTTCTGTGACTCTACAGAATATGGATTTAAAAAGTAATAAAGGATATAGTTTTGATGAATAAATGAAATCTATTTAATAGTTTGTAATTATACTGTTATTAGATTTAACTAAATTACTGACTCATGCCAATATTTATTAATATATAATTCTACCTATTGCTTATTTTGGATTATGTACTGTAGGTTATTTAGATTATTTTGATTATTAATATGGAGAATTATTCTAATTTGTATTATCTTTATAATCTATTCTCTTTATAATAGCAATATAGTTAATGTTTTTTTGTTTTTAAAAGATTTTGACTCAATTTCATTCAATTTACATGTACAATCATACATATTCACCTGAAGATCAAATAGAAATTAACAATAAAATTAAACCAATTTAAATTTACAATTAAAAAAGAAAGAATGAAAATATAGTAATAAATATATAGAAATATGTATTAAAGTTATTTAAAAATGAAGAAGAGATTGATCCTATAATAAAGTAAGTACTATCTGGAATTGTATTAAGTGTAAAGACTACTAAGATTAATAAAATAACACAAACATTTAAGAATATGTAATTAGAAATTAAATATTAATTAAATGAATTACCATCTATAATTGAATATTATAGACTCTACTATCCATTAAGTTGGATGTTAGTAGAAGGAGCAATCTTAGTATAAATTTGGTTGATAAATACTGATGTAGATTATACATGGTTTCTTTATTTCACATTTGGATATAATGCAGCCTAAGTATTAATGGCTTTATTTATATATACAGTTGCTTTTAAGAAGTATCATTTTAGAATTAGTAAAATATTGATTACTTGTAGATTGATATATAAACTTATTTATGATGCCTATTTCTATTAAGATAATAATAATGAATTAACAGATATGTTAATAATGTAATTATTCATGTTATAACCACTTATTGATGATAGACCTTTAACAATTATTTTTTATTGTTTTGTTGTCAATATAAGTTTTATTATTAGATTCAGTTCTAATAATACAACGACTGATGAGAATTTCAATAATTATATAATGTTGAATTATTATCTCATTGCTTTAATGTAAACAGCTTTATCAAGTGGAATGCATCTTAGAATTTAAAGAAATTCTAGAGAAGAATTCATTTAAATGTTGACTCTTGATCAATAAACCAATTCTATTAGTGATACACTTAGTATTTTGATGCCTAGATTTATAAGAAATATGATTAATTAGAAAGGAGAATTTGATATTTAAGAAAATTAAGGAGAAGTGGCAATTCTATTTTGTGATATATGTTAATTTGATAAAATAATTAAGACTGAGAAGGAAAATGTTATACATCTATTAGATATCTTATTTAGACAATATGATTCATTATGTAGTCAATATGGATTATAGAAGATAGAAACTGTTGGTAAAACATATATGGCAGCAGCAGGACTTAAAAATATATCAACTTAAAGTAATGTTAATCCTGTTTTAAGAACAATTCAAGTAGCATTTGAAATGAGAAGATTTGCTCAGTAACAAAATTTTGGTACATCTGAAGAGATTATTGTAAAGATTGGTGTACATTATGGGAATGTAATTGCTGGTGTCATTGGTTATCATAAACCTTAATTTTCTTTAATTGGAGATACTGTCAATACTACTTCTAGAGTTTGTTCAACTGGTTAAGATGGTTAAATTAAAATATCAGAGGAGGCTTATAGATTAGTTAGTGGATCATAGGATTTTATATTTACAGAAGATATTGTTGATGCTAAGGGAAAGGGTTCAATTACTACTTATATTTTATCTGAATAATAAATTACAAAGAATTTGAGAAATAAGAATAAATCTTAAAAATAGAATACTAATAATTATCCTTCAAATTCAGTAACTGCTATTGATAATCCTGCTAGATTTAATAGAGATAAAAAAATAAAGAGAAAACCAACTCTTGTATTACCTCATTTGAAATAAAATAATCCAAAATTATAACACAAATCTAGTTTAAATGTAGATGCTCATTAATAATAATAATCACATGGTGATAGTGAACATGCAAATCCTATTGGATAGAAATTCTCTATTGAAGGTGCTAATTTAATTGAAGCAATAGAAATTAAATTAGGTAAAGAGAATTTATTAGTTGATGAAAATTTTGATTTTTTAAATGGAGAAATTGAGAAAGAAAAATTAAAATAGTTAAATTAAAATGAAGATGAATTTAAAGAATGTGATGTTCTTATATTAGATAAAAAGAAATTATTCTTAGATTTTCATCCTGATGTAGATCATTAACATATTGAAGATTTTTATAAAGAATTAACTAAAAAGAATGCTTTATTAGTGATATTATTGAAAGCTGGAGTAGCTATATTATTATTAGTATAAAATACATCTACAATTTTAATTTCATAGATCTTTGAAAACTAATATACATGGTTTATTAATTTGAGTTTTGGATATCTAATTGTTACAATTAAAATGGGGTTTCTAATTCTATTGTTAATGAAATAATATAGAGAAAGAGTATTCAAAGAAACATACTTTATATACAGTTATATTATAACTATGGTATGGTGGATCATACATATATTCTCATACTAAAGTTTTATAGTTGGAGAAATTTGTATTGCAGTAGGAGTATTCTTATCCTTCATGACATAATTAAATCCAATAATCAAAATGAAATATAAGGTTATAGAAAGTATATCTATGATATCAGTTAATTTAATTGTTGTACTTGTTAAGAATTGGGAGAAGAGTTTAATTTATTATGCTATCATTTTATAATTGATTTTCATATCTAATCAAATTTATAAATTCAATAAGAATGTTTAGATGTATAATAATAAATGCAAATTAAAAGCAAAACATTAACAATTAGATTAATTGGTTAAACATTAATTACCTAGACATATGTTAGAATAATTTTTAAAATTTCAATAATAAAGGGCTGTTTTAAAGGATAGTTATGATAATGTAACATTACTTTTTGCAGATATTGCAGGATTTACAGAATATTCAAGTAAAGTTCCACCAGAATAAGTTGTATTTATGTTGAGAAATCTATTTACTGAATTTGATAAATGTTGTTAAGAAAAATCAGTCTATAAATTGTATACAATAGGTGATTGTTATGTAGTTATGGGTATGTTAGATGCAAAAGATAGAAATATTGCATTGGAAGCTAAGAATACTGTAGAATTAGGATTTGAGATGATTAATATTATCAAACGTGTTAGAGATCATATAAATTTTTAAGGATTAGATATGAGGATAGGTATTCATACAGGTTCAATTATTGGAGGAGTATTAGGTACAGAAATTGTTAGATATGATATTTATGGACCTGATGTACTTGTAGCAAATAAAATGGAATCAAAAGGTGAAAAAGGAAAATTATAGGTTTCATCTAGTACAAAAGAAATCTTGGAATAACATTATTCTGAAGAATTCAAATTTACTTTTCATACTACAGTTGATATTCCATCTATTGATAGATCTACAGATGGATTTTTTGTCAATTTTAAATCTTATGATGAACCTTCAATGGATTTACAAGATGAAGTTTCTGATTGTTGACTCTAATTAGTAGTTTGATAACCACATATCCATATTTTATAATTTCACTTTTTATTTTTTATTTTTCATGTATATATAGATTTAATTAGTTGCATTCCTTATAAAAAGAAAAGACAATTGAAAACATCAATGCTTAAAATCTAAAAATAGATATTAAAAAGTTAAATTAATATTAAAATTTGATGGTCTTCATATATTATCACTTAGGATTTGCTGGTTTCATTCTCTTAATTCAATTATACTTACTATGTAGAATGTATAGAAAGAAGAATATTACTAATGCATCAGCAATAACACCATCTAATATAATGAAAACAGTTCCAACAAGTAGAACACATCATTCAACTCACAGATCTTCAAAACATTCTGCTTAATCTGATGATCATCACATTATCACCTTATAAAATACTCAACGTTTACATAGAACTCTTTAAAAAAAAGGAACATTTACAATAGAGTCAGTACCTGAAACCAATTAATAAGGTAGAAACAGTATCAAATCAAATGCTGCAGTGTCTCCAGCTAGAAATATTCTTAAAACACCTACATTAATAAGAAAAAACTCTGGCTACCAAATAATTAAAACAAACAATAGAATTGAAACTCAATAATTTCATCACCATATACCAAATAATTTACCTACTATTCCATCATTATAAGAATTACCAGATTCTGTTAGATAAAGTGAAATTCAATTTTTAGGAGAAATCAAATAAAATTAAGATAATAGATAAAATTATTTTTATATTAATACTGTTTATAGAGTATTAATTAGATGTGTAATTTCTTAAGGATTGATTGGTTGTTTTTTACTTTTAGAATTACATCCTGCTTTATGTGTATTAATTGATTTAGTTGCTGTTTGGATATTTAGATTTTTTCAATCAAACAGGAAATGGATTCAAATTCTATAATTATTCATTAGCTTTGGATTTGACATTTCTATTCTTTTTTTATTTTAAATCGATTTAACTTGGACCATTTCCTTTATTATTCTTGCCTTTATTGATTCAATTTTGGAAATAATAATTCTTAAAGCTTAAAGATCTCATTCTTAAGAAACAATTCAAACTCAAAACTGATATATATATATAATATATAATTATTCTAAATTTAAATAATGTCATTCATATTTATTTACATTATAATATATATTAAGAATTGAGGAATTTCTTATTCATTTCATATATTATTTATTATATATATAAATAAAATTAATAAATGACGGAATAAGTTATTGCATAATGAATCACAAGATTTTGAAAATAATATATTTTAATGATGAAATATTATAATTCAAAACCTAGCAATATCTTATTTATTCAAAACAATATTAAATACACTAAAAAAAATGTAAAGGAAATAGTAATTCGAAAGTGATTTCAATAATTTCTAAGAAGCCAGCAAAACTTCACTTGATTAAATGTTTAAACAATAAGACCTCAATGAAAAACATAAGGAAACCTGTCTCAGAAATGCTAAGACTTTTGAATTATTTGCTACTTGTATAATTAATAAATTAATGTAGGCATGGAAAGACATGAAGGCAAAATAGACAATATTGCTAAGTATCTCTCTATGAAGATGCTCTTTATCGAAAAATCAGCATTAGAATGCTATAAAGGAAATACAAATGATAGAGAATTCGAAAGATGCCATCAAAGAATTGAATAGCAACTTCACGATGTCTACAGTGAATACTACTAAGGCTTACTACACCTTTGACTTCATTTATATTATTTAACAATCAATTAACAAATCTTATTTTTTTATCATTCACTTTATATAAATTTTTACATTTTATATAATTATAATCAATTTCTCAATAAACTCAAAATATTCTCAAATATTTTATACATGTTTATTAGATCACTCATATATTCATTATGATAAGTGGCCTATACTTTATTCTATTACATAATAAATAGATTTTACATCATCATTACATGCAAAACATCTACCAACATAACCAGAAACACATCTTTAACAATAATTATGAGCACATGGGATTACTGTAATTGTATTATTTAATTCTTTTCTACAAAATTTACATGTTAATTATTATTTAAACATAAACTATAATATTTTTAATATATTTAATACAGTGAATTACTCTAATTACTATGATTTTATTTATAAATTCTTCATTTTAATTTAACTTTCATAATTCTCATCTATAGCCTTTCTTAAAGTTTCATCCATTCTTCTATAGGTATCTTTATATTCTTATTCTATTTTTTTAATTTAGATATCTGTAGATGAGATCTCTATCTATTATCTCAAATCACTATTTATTATTTTTAGATAAATAATTTATTATTCTTATTCTTCTAACTGCATTTTTAATTTTATGTTTTCTAATTTCAAATCATCTATAACTCTATTCTAAATAACCCCAAAACATAAATTACTTGTTCTATATATTTTGTTTCAAATTCTATCTATAATTTGTCTATTGTTTGGAATTCTAATTAAGTTTTAGGTTATTGAATTCGTTTTGAGACTGAATCATCAGTTATACTTTGAATTTATTTTTTTATCTCGTTTTGAGATTTCATTATGCTTAATTATCTCTTTTACTTTTAAACAAGAGGCTACTTATAAAACTTATCTCCTTATAAATAACTTGTATTCTCAAAGTTTAATTTGGTTTTATGGGATGGTTTAGGAGACTATGTTTATTCTAACAAAGGAAGCTTGTTAATTAACATAATTTAATAAAGTAAAGGATTATATACTTTTTTAATAACAGAAATTATCAAAATAATTCGTCTGATTTTTCACTTTAATCCCATTTAGCTAGAGTGATAGAATGTTTATATTCAACTTTATTATAATGGTAACGTGATGATTCTACATTTGATTTCTATCTTGGTTGTGGTACAAATGTATAGTCTAATTTAATTTTCTCTTTAGGATAACGATCATATAAAAAGCATTTTTCTATCTGTAATCCTTTAGTATCTTTAATTTCAATTGTTTTTTGGTGTTTTTTAGATCTTCTCATCATTGGTGTTGCTGATTGTGTTCTTGATGTTTAACTACGAGATTCACTTCTTTTATAATTAAAAGTAGATAGAGTCTTTATTTGGGGGGCTTCTTTAATTTAAACTTGAGTAGTAATAGTTCTAACTTTTTTAGGTAAATATGTTTCTTCTAATATTTTTTATTTATTCTCTATGCTCTACTAAATTTGAGATATTTATCTTGAGAGTGAATTACTCTTCTGATTAGTTTATACTTTAATGAATTCTTATTATTCAAATGGTTAGAAATTAAATTGTCTTCCACTTGGAGTCCAAATATCATGAAAACTACTCCAAAGAGACATACGATTTTAATTGAAATGTTTACGCTTCTTATTAGGTTTATCTTGTACTTGTAAAGTGACTAATTTAGTAATCTTTAAATCAAATAATTATTACATTTAATGGCATTCTCACATTTGATAAATTGTCTTTTGTTAGCATTTGGACCTTTCTTTGTTGTATACAAAGCAAGATAACTGTAAGATTTACTTATTTATTCTAGTGCTGAACAAGGAGCCTATAAGACTGTATTGATTAGCATTTTAGGATGTTTGCTAACATAATTTTGTAAATTGTTTCTGTTGGCCTCATTATCTGTGATTACAGAATAATTCATTCATGTAAGGGATGACAATAAAATTGTAGATTAAATTGCTATTTGATTTGATTGATTGTTATGGAATCATTTTAGTATCAAAATAAAAGACTAATATTGATGATAAAATAAGCAGAATATTTGCAATTGCAATAGGATGGGCATTGATGGATTGTGTAATGAAACATCTTTTCACTTTTATTCCAAATGCTACAACTGATGAATTTACATGGACATTTATTTTAAGAGGAATTACTGCAAATATAGAGTTTGTATATATATTATTTTAAATTAGTTTGAAACATTGTTCTTAGTAGGATTATTATAATCAAAAAATAAAATTAGTTATGCCATGATATTATTTAAGGTTCTTGTACTTCCCAATTTCCAAGATATCATCACTAGAGGAGGATTGTCTTCAATATACATGTTTGTGTCTAGATTTGTTATATGAGTTATTATTACAATTTACAAATATTTTATAAATGCTTCAAGAATGCAAATCAGAATTGGCATCCTGTAAAGCTAAACTGATATCCTTGAGTATAAAGGATATGTCTAAACTATTGCCTATGTGTAAGACTAGTACAAGTAAGAACGAGGTTTTTATTTTGAATGACATGATTGAAAAATATGATTTTGATGAAGAGAAAGAGAGGGTAGTGTGTTAAAGTGATTCTTTAAGGATAATACTAAGACTAGTCTGAGATTGTTAAGAAATGATGTATAGAGATATATCAAAGAGTTGAAAGGGTTCACTAACAGTCATGAGTATTATTAAAAAATTGAAAGCATGGCAAACAATATTACTAATGAGTATTTATCAATATCTATGTATTCATAGAATAACAGATTTCAAATCAAAAATGTCATATTAATTTGATGATTTAGCATAATAAGAGGAAGCATTAACAGATGATTTAAAAATAATTGAATAGAAAATGGACAATTATGATGTTGTTCAAAAACAACCCATTATTAAAAGAAAGCCTATGCAAAATAATGAAGAGACTGTAAGTGAATTAGGATTGATCAAATAAAAAGTGGATTTTATAGATGAAAAAATAGATTAAATTAAACTCTTAGAACCAGAAGATCATAGAGAATTTTTAAGAGTAAGAACTAAACATAAAGGTAAAATATCTCAAAATTTCATTAATGATTGTCTCAAGGCTATCCCATTTATAACTGAGGATCAATTAATGGAATAAATAGAAAATTATAATTTATTACAATAATTAGAAGATGAAAAGAAAGAATTACTTACAGAATATAAAAGAAAGAAAGAGGAAAATAAATAAATTCAATTACAATAAGAATAATAATAATAAGAAATTGAAAAATAGAAATAAGTAAAAAAGCCTTTGGTTCCAAAAGAGGAGAGAGATAAATTAAAAGAAGAAATAAAGTAATGGAAGATTAAGAGAGTTACATAGAAAGCAATAGATGAAATAGAGTATGATACAAAAAAAGATATTGAGAAATAGAAATCAGAAATGTTAAAGAAGGAAAGAGAAGAAAAGAAATTATAAGTATAATACTATAGGGAATAGAAATTAATTGAAAAATAGAGAGAATAAGAATTAAAATAAGTAGAAACAATGTCAAAAAGATATGTTAGTTAAGAAGCAATAGAAAGAATTAAAATGAAAGAAAATCATTTAATTGAAAAAAAGAAGAGTATTCTTGAATAGAAATAAAAGAAATAATTTGATTAAGAAATTAAATAATAAGCAAGAGAAGAAGATAAATATATTAAATTTGCTTATGTTGAATCAAAATTAAATGAGACAACTAAAGCAGCAGAATTATAAAAGAGATAAAAATTTGATCCAAAAATTGATCAAGGAAAATATGCAGATACTTTTGGAGGAAATTTATTAGGAGCTGGTAGAAGAGCCATTCCTGGTTGGAGATAAAATTTAGGTTGAATAAATCCTATTTATGATATTGATTTTGCTTTATCAATTTAGTTATATTTCTGCAATTGATTTTCTTAATTCTTAACTTAAACCTGAATTGAATATTATGAGTATTTAATTGACTGTTTCTACTTATCCAACTCTAACAGATTATAAATAATGAAATACCTACTATCAAAAATGGCTCTAAGATTCTTCTCTTCGTCTTAACAAGTTTTAATCCAATCATTAAGTTCCTTAGTTTTAATGGATGCAATTGATTTGTTAGTATTAACATCATTTGTTACTTCAACAATATCTTATTATAAATGTAAGACTTAAGCCTTCAATTATGCTACTGATGCAGCCAAAGTTTAATTAGCTAAGAGTAAGATCTCTCTATCTATAAGATTAATAAAAAGTACCTTTATCTGATGAATTCAACTTCTCTTGCATCATCAACCAATAATTCTTACTTTTAAAGTTCATAGATAGAATCAATTAATCCTTATATTGTAGCAACTATTCTTTCAACTTATTCTGGAGTTTTAGCTTATGTTGATGCTTTTAATAATAATTCAACCATGATTCCATAACCTCTAGGTGTTGGATTTGCTTCCTCTAAAAATAATATTTAATTATATTTACTGAATTTAGAATAGTGTTCATTTGAACTGACTTGTAAAAAACTAACAGAACCTAATCCAGAAACAATTGATTTTGCTTCTCCTAATGCTGCAACATAATTTGTTAATTCATTTCTTCTATCTTAATATTCTTATTTTTATTATTCTCTTGTAGCTGTAATTAGTGCTAATTTATCATTATTTCTTTATTCTTCAGAATCCTTTACTAATGCTTATTCTTATTTACTAATCAATTCTTCATTGATTAAAGGTACTAGCATATTAATAGATCAATACATTTTCTTTCATCATCAGCTCTTTTGGCATTTGCTCTATCTATAACACTTTAAGCATCATCTTATCTTGTTTAACATTAAGTTTGTCTATTTCTTAAATTTGTTTAAATAGCTCCTTTTTCTTATTCAGCTGATTTCAATATTTCATTCAATGATTAAACAACAGAATCTACTGCTGATCCATTTGATAATTCCAATTAGACAGTTTGTAATATTGTTTTTCCAAAATCTGTTTTTGGTAACTAACTATTACAAAGTTTGTACTGTATTAAAGATATCTATGGCTTCAGTTGCTGATGACAAAGCAATCACAACACAGAGAAATGCAATAATCTTCATTTAATTTATTAATCAGCATAGAAAACGAATTTTTATATTTTCATTACAATTTTTATATTATTAATTAAATAAATCAAGGAGTACTTTCTTTGACAGCTACTTATTAGATTAATCTTATTGATTTATATTCATCCATAAATGTAGGATTTATTGTACTCGAATATGATTTTGATTTTGTTGAATTATATTATTCGAATATTTACTAAAATACCCATTTAAAACTAGCTACCTATTCTATTTGCTAAAATTAAATAAATTTATAAGTATTAAATTCATACATTTAATGAAATAAATATTTTAGTCACTGAATTTAACTTTTGTTCAATGATATATAATTTTATAGCCATAATCATTATAGTTGCAGATGTTGTGTGATCTTTTGATTAGAATACTGGAAATGCTATAGATCTTATTTATCTGGCATTAGCCTTATTATTATTAATAAATACCATTTTCAAACAATTTTGAATGCTTTCATAAATTAATTATCTTTCTTCATCATACTAATCTTAGATACACAATTCATTATTTTCTTAAACAACAGCTAAAATATAATTCTTTTTGTTCTCTAATTTTTTAATTTTTGCATTTACTTTTTGTAGATCCTACAAAAATACAATTCCCATTTGTTGGTATAAATGATGGTTTATCATTTTAGGGAACATTTGAAAATTGCTAATCAGTCGGTTAAACTATACAATCTACTAACTCATTCTCTATATTTCCTGCTGTTAAAATGACATCACATCCATTAAATTTCTATTCGCATAATAATTAAGACATTGTTGACTGCATACCACTCTTGGAATAACAAAAATTATTTCCCATTTTAGTTTTATATATTATTAATCTATAATAAATTATTCATTTATTCAAATTATCACACTGATTACCAATGTTCAATCATATCTTATCGTAGAATAATATTTATCAAATTTATTTTTTTTTCGCTTATATTCATTTAAAATATATTAAGTTTTTTTAAGATAAAACTATTTTTTAAAATTTTGTTACAATGCATAATTCAATTTAATGAAGTTATTGTCTATTATCATTTTGAATTAACTAATCAATATTATTACAATCTTTTCAATATTAAATCAAGATACTATAATAGTAATTCTCAATAATCAAATATGAAATTTATATTTTATGTAAAAGAAACATAGTTTTATTTTATTTAGATACAAATTAATTTAATAAATATAAAATTAAAATGAAGATCATCTCATAATATTTATATAATTAGTATATTTTATTTGATTCTCTAGTTTATTCATTATTATTAAGTATAAATCATTTTTTTATTTTATCCTTTAAACATACATAATAACTAAATAGTTTCAATAATATTTTATTATCAATTAAGTTATGAATAAACTATTCTAAATTCTAATCTCCATTATATTTAATATCCAAATTATTTAGTTTTAAATTGTATCTGAATTTTGATGTCCAAGAATGAGTTGCAATCTTTTAAATTAAGTTAAAAATCCAAAATTTTAATAGTAGAATCTCTTTAAGCATTTCCTAATAAAACCAAAATTATCATTCATAGGCAAAACATTGAGCCATAATATATCTTAGAGGATTATAATTTACTAAATATATATTATCTACATATTTCTTAAAATACAAGTATTAGATCATTGGCTCTAATAAAAAATACTTTTTGAAACTTAATTAATAAAAAAGGCAAAATATATTGTCAATTTTATCTTTGAATTTAAACTATTATTAATTATCGGTAAATTCATAATTTTATGTTTATGACTTCTCTGATATCCAAAACTTTACTCTAATGATATATTGTAAAACTATAATACATATTGAATTCTTTTATCGATTTAATAGGTTATAAAAAATATAATGATTAATAAAAAACTCATTATTATCTTAAGCATATCATTAAGTTAATCTAATATTATACAAATATATTTAATACATTAATAGTTAAAATGATAGAATTAATTCTTCATGTTTACATAATGAATAAATATGTCAAGTTCAAATAATTCTAATTCAGATCTTATTGTTTAGAAAGACGTTGTATTTTTAAATAAATTTAACACAATATAAATGTAATAAGATTCATTTAAGCAATTAAATTAAATAAGCTATATATAGATTTGGATATTATGATTTGATTCATTTCAAGATCAATTAAAAATAAAGTAATATTATTGTAATTATATCAAGATAATTTAAAAAATTAATTATCTTTATCTTGCCTTAATTTCTGAATCTTCTTATTATAATATTTTTATTAAATTATTTCAAGATATTTTTTAATCTTGATAGACAGACTATTATATTAATGTAATTTATATATGTTTATTATATGATATCTACAATAAAAGGTGATCTATTTGATTTTTCATATTGAATTTCTTGGCATATTTAGTTCTCTATTGGATTTTTAAAAAGATAAATTATTTTCTTTTAGAGAACAAAACATTTCAGCAAATTAGATTCAAAAAGGTAAAATATTTGATATAAATAATTTAATATACTTTTCTAGATGAAATTCATTATGTTTTCCAACCTAAATGGAACACATTTTGAGTCTCTAGAGTATATGAGGTAACAGGATTATGATCTGGAGGGAACAACTGGAATCGACCTTGAATCTCCATATTGATTAACTCCCTCTTACATATTCCTGATTGCCAACACTCATTCTATTATAAGCTCATTTTTTACCTTCTATTATTTTTAGGAATGTACAACAGAAGACCTGAAAGCAGAAATTCACAAATTACAATTTTACTACATAAAGTGTCAACTGGGTATGAAGTAGTAGAGGTGCAAACAGAATAACGAAAGATGATTCAAAAGCCTTCAACATAGCCAATTCCCCCAACTGTTAAAAAAGAAAACACCACAACTAACATTACTTAAGAAACAACACAAAGCAAGGTAATAATTGGACTTCAACCTTTTAGAAGGATTGGTTTTTGCAGAATTGGGAAGCAATAATCCCAGCTCCTGCTCGTTGGTTTCAGATTGATTCCATTCATTAAATTGAAAAGGATTCCCTCCCAGAATTTTTCCATCAACATTTTCACAATGATAATTCATACTATAAGGGTAACTATAAGACTCCCCTTACTTACCTTAAAATAAGGAATAGCATCTTATAGAAATGGATAAGCACTTAAACAAAATATCTTAAATTTACTGATTGTCTCAATTTTATTAGCGGAGATGCTTCATCTTTGTTAAGAGTCTATACCTTCTTAGAACATTGGGGATTAATCAATTTTTAATATAATCCTAATAATCTTCCAAATTAAGGATAAGTATATCAATAAAATGGTACTTTCTTAGAAAGAGTAAAGCTTAACTTCCAAAGCAATCAAATCAATTTCCATAGTGATCCTCATTATGAGTAAGAATCATTAACATATAAATAAATAGATGTCATATTTGTGACATGAAGGCTTATCCATTCCATCAATAAAAGAAGGAAAATTTGGCATCATTTCAATTATAACCATTATTGCTATGTAATAATTGTTTCCTTGAAAAAAAATATCCTAAATTTTTAAAAAACGAAGATTTCTGTAATATAATATTTCTTACATTATACTTAGCATAATTACAATAGACTTAAAAATACTCTCCATGGACTTAAGAAGAAATATATAGATTATTAGAATTAGTATATAAACATAAAGAAAAATGGAATGAAATTGCAAAATATTTTACAAAACGATCTTTGACTGAAATTGTTAAAATGTATTTGTAATTACCTTATTCCAACTTATTTCCATCTTTGGATAAGGAACCTTCCATACCAAAAAAACCTTAAAAAGTATTTTATTTTAAATAATAACTTAAAGGAACACATTACTTTTCACAATGATGTGAGTAATCCAATTTAATTGGGAGTTGCTTGTTTCAAATCACAATTGGATAAACTTAAATTACCTAATATTGAAGTTACTCAAAGTTAGGAAACTGAAAAAATGGATGAAAATTTAAAGTAAATGATCTCGGTTTAAATGGAGAAAATAGAAGAACAATTATTATATCTTGAAACATATGAATAATTAATCAATCAAGAAAAATAATGTGTTTAAACTATACAAAAAAAGAATTTATAGATGTAAGTGTAGGTCTAGACTAATAATATTGTAAGTGACAATATGATGTTTTTATGAAACCAACCAATTATAATAAGTGTAACATATCTAAATAAAATTCCTTTTCTAATATAACTATATATCTATTAAATAACTCTAAGAATTTAATATTAAACAATAGTCTCTACAAATTTTCATTTTAAATATTATAATTCAAATTATCATTAATTGTTTTTATGTATATTTGCTTGTCTATTTCTTTTAAAGAATTCTCATATTTTAAATAACAATATCAAATAATAATTTAAGATTTCATCATAATATTTATCTCTGTTTTCTTTCATTTAACAGGTAATCAACATATTTTATTGTTTGAATTTTTGTAGACCTAATATTGTTTATAGTTACTATAACTTAAGTCTTTTTGTTAATGGTGAATGAAACATTATAAATATAAGTATTTAAATCAAATTCATAATATAAATTTGTATTGTCTACATGTGTATTCAATTGGTTATTTTTTTTGCTTTTATGCACATCTCTTACTACTGTTGAGTTTTCTTTTGAAATTCCTGACTGCTTATGATTCTTAAGTTTGTAGTGCTTAGTAATAAATATTTTGCAATTACTCTAAAATATATAAGGTGATCTTTAAGTAGCTGATGTTGGTCTTGAATAGTAAGATTTACGTGTTGGAGATTGCCTTAATTTATCAATTACAAGATAAGATAGGTCATTATATTTTTGTAAAGTCGTTTAATGTATAGATTAATCAAATGATTGATTCATCCTTTTCTTATAATTTGCATAATGATATGTATCAGATGTTTAGTAAAGAATACGATTTCTAATAAATCTTTACATTTTTGGATCATTATCAAGATGTTGTTTAATGTATATGTAATCCATAATATATAATAATTTCTCGTTTGTAAGTTCAATTTTATTTGATTAGTCAATGAGTATATACAACACTATTATAATACGATAATATATAAATAATATCAAAATTATATTCAATATATTAATCCCATATATTTATCATAATTTGGATTATTAATTACTTTTAAACATACTTTCCATATCTATAAAGAATATTATTTTAACATAGAACATTATGTTTGTAATCTCTCTCTTAATTATCATCACTAATGCATGTACCAATAATGCAAACACTGGTTGGAGTAATAATTACTAAAAGATGCTCATAACAACAGCCAATTCTATATCAAATGTAGATCTCAAAACTGTATGCCCAAAAATTGATCCAGCAAAGGTTCCAGGTCTAACTCCCTATCAATACTTGAGTTCTAGAAGCTGTCTTGGATATTTAGGACCATTGGGTCCTTATGGACCTTTATCAAAGCTAGGACCTTTGTCCAACCATATTTGGTATTTAACCAACCTTTTAGACAAAATCTATTTGCCTACTAATTTAGTTGAATTATTTCAATGGACTCAATATTAAAACGGAGCTCCTTTGTCTAAGGATGGACCCTTAGGTTATAAAGGTCCATTGGCAACAACACAATATTATGGTTAATAAGATCCAGGAAAAAAATTATTTGAAACAAATGATTTTGCTGTCTAATTAAGAGCTTTTGGATTATGGTCAGCAATTGGTCCAATAGGACCATTAGGACCTTTAGGACCGTTGGGACCATTAGGACCAATAGGAGCTCATGGATACAGCATTGATCTAAATGGAAATTATGTTAATGGTTCTAAGATAGTAAAATCTGTTACCATAGATTATGATGGCAGTAGTACAAGAACATATCCTTTATATGAATTTTATTAGAGCAGTTATGCTAAGACTGTTTTGTTAGATACATCATTTCTAGTAGAGAATGATATTTGTTAAAATGATGATGCTTATGAAATTGGTTCTCAACCATTTAACCAGATAGTAACATTTGTTTTAACTCCTCTTACAGCTTTAGATTCATATTCTTTAATTTTAAAAGATTAATATGGTAGAGTATTAGCTTAATCAAATGCAGAAAACTACATTCAAACCATTTAATTGAATGTGTAAATGAATACTTAATTAACTATAATAGTCCATCCAATACTCTTACATACAACGATTGGATAATATAGATTATTTGTAACTGGTTCAACATAATACATTACCATGTACAATATATCTGGAAATCAGATTTTATCCAATTGATTTATATTAAATGATAAATATATTTCATTAGTCTTCAAACTATTTTTTATGCATTGCTTCTTTAATTAGAATCTTCTCATTATAGTGTTATTTTCTTTTTTTAACAAATTCTTCATGTTTTTTTCTTTTTTCTTCTTCTTCTGCAGAATCATCATCCATATTTTTTCTTTCTCTTTCTAAATCCTCTTTTAATCTTTTATTTAGTTCTTCAATATCTAGTTTCTATTAATGTTACTACATTTAATCGATTTGATTTTACTTGTTGCAATTTTTGTTTATTTAATTGTGCTTATATTAAATCTTGTTCTATTTCATCTTCAACTTCAATTTTATCTTCCTGTTGATTTTATTGTATAATTTCATCTTCATAAGGTGTTTTAGGTTCATCAATTTTAGTTTTATTTCCTCTTTCTAAATCTTGTTATCTAATAAAATTAGAATATTCTTTACTATATTGTATATTCATCCCAATGCAATTCTTTCTTCCTACAATAAAATTCATTTCAATACATATCTATATCATGTTGTGTATCCTTCTTTAGAATTCCCTTTTATGATTATTTCATTTTCAAGATATTAATATAAATTACAAATAATATTTTTATATGATAAACTATAAATAAATAATTCAAATGGAAAATCATTTTTTTATGAAGATAAGAATAGAAATATTATAAAATAATACAAATTCATTATGTTAATATAATATAATTTTATGATTATATATATTTTATATCATTTAAACAAAATTAAAATTTAGAGTATTTTCATTGAACTCATCTTGTTATTTATTTGANGCTAAGACTGTTTTGTTAGATACATCATTTCTAGTAGAGAATGATATTTGTTAAAATGATGATGCTTATGAAATTGGTTCTCAACCATTTAACCAGATAGTAACATTTGTTTTAACTCCTCTTACAGCTTTAGATTCATATTCTTTAATTTTAAAAGATTAATATGGTAGAGTATTAGCTTAATCAAATGCAGAAAACTACATTCAAACCATTTAATTGAATGTGTAAATGAATACTTAATTAACTATAATAGTCCATCCAATACTCTTACATACAACGATTGGATAATATAGATTATTTGTAACTGGTTCAACATAATACATTACCATGTACAATATATCTGGAAATCAGATTTTATCCAATTGATTTATATTAAATGATAAATATATTTCATTAGTCTTCAAACTATTTTTTATGCATTGCTTCTTTAATTAGAATCTTCTCATTATAGTGTTATTTTCTTTTTTTAACAAATTCTTCATGTTTTTTTCTTTTTTCTTCTTCTTCTGCAGAATCATCATCCATATTTTTTCTTTCTCTTTCTAAATCCTCTTTTAATCTTTTATTTAGTTCTTCAATATCTAGTTTCTATTAATGTTACTACATTTAATCGATTTGATTTTACTTGTTGCAATTTTTGTTTATTTAATTGTGCTTATATTAAATCTTGTTCTATTTCATCTTCAACTTCAATTTTATCTTCCTGTTGATTTTATTGTATAATTTCATCTTCATAAGGTGTTTTAGGTTCATCAATTTTAGTTTTATTTCCTCTTTCTAAATCTTGTTATCTAATAAAATTAGAATATTCTTTACTATATTGTATATTCATCCCAATGCAATTCTTTCTTCCTACAATAAAATTCATTTCAATACATATCTATATCATGTTGTGTATCCTTCTTTAGAATTCCCTTTTATGATTATTTCATTTTCAAGATATTAATATAAATTACAAATAATATTTTTATATGATAAACTATAAATAAATAATTCAAATGGAAAATCATTTTTTTATGAAGATAAGAATAGAAATATTATAAAATAATACAAATTCATTATGTTAATATAATATAATTTTATGATTATATATATTTTATATCATTTAAACAAAATTAAAATTTAGAGTATTTTCATTGAACTCATCTTGTTATTTATTTGATAGTAGAATCGTTTTTACTGATATATTTATTTTTTTAATAGATTTTTATTTATTATAAAATGGGTCCAATATAGTTACGCTTTAATTATATCTTTGGTGAAAATTAAGCCTTCTTTATAAAGTTTCCTTTTAAATAATGTTATTTCTATGATAATATATATCCATTGTCAATAACTACAGAGTTCTTAATGTAACATTATAATATTCGATTCTTTTTTGGAGAGACTGATTAATGTAACTTAGAGTCAATATGAGTGGGTACTGTATTTACTTAGTTGAGTGATTCACTCAAAAATTTGAGTTAATTTGTGTATGTATTTGTATAGGAGTATTCTTCCCAACCCTATAAATGTGAGTGTTTATTTTTCATAATTCTTTAAATTAAATTATGCAACCGGTCTAACCTATTGCTGAAGGATAGCGAACAAAAATAATATATACACTTATTAAGGATCAAAAATACAAGGAGGCTATAAATTATTTGAATTATGAATTGCAATTTTGTCCAAAGAGTAGAGCATTATCTTTACTTGCATATTGCCATTACATGAATTAAGATTTCACTTCTGCTGTTGGGATGTATGAAATAGTTTAAATAAAATAGTTATGAACAATTAGTGAAGTATTATCCTGAGATTGATGATTATAAGATTTACTTGGCATAGTCATATTATAAGGATAGTAAGAAACTTTTTGAAAAATAGGTCTTTATGATGAGGCATTAAAAGTGTGTGCTTCAATTGAGAATCCATAATATTAAGGCAAGATGGTGTAATTGCAAGCTTTGATTCGATATGAGAAGGGTGAATTTCAACATGCTAAGACATTATTAAAATAAAATGAAATGGATGATCCAGATTCAGTCATTAATGAAGGATGCATATTATTCAAGGAGAATAAATTTGATGAGGCAAGACAAAGATTTTAAGATGGAATGAATTTGACTGGTTATTCTTGTGAATTAGCATACAATATAGCTCTCTGTTATTACAAATAAAAATAATTGGCTTAATCTCTGAAATATATAGCAGAGATAATTGAGAGAGGAGTGAGAGAAAGACCAGATTTAGGAGTAGGTTCAAATGCTGAAGGAATTGAAGTTAAAAGTGTTGGTAATTCTTAAGCATTGAAAGAGTCTGCTTTGATTGAAGCATTCAATTTAAAGGCAGCTATCGAATATTCAATTAAAAATTATGATGCAGCAAAAGAAGCATTAGTAGATATGCCACCAAGGGAAGAAGATGAATTAGATCCTGTTACTTTGATGAATCAAGCATTGATGAATATAGAAGAGAAAACAGCTGAGGGATTTAAAAAATTGAATCATTTATTGTAAAATCCTCCATTTCCACCTGAAACATTCTCTAATTTATTACTCTTGTATTGCAAATATAGTTATTTTGATATGGCAGCTGATATTCTTGCTGAAAATGCTGATCTCACTTTTAAGACTATTAGTACAGATGATTTTGAATTTGTGGATGCATTGATATTAAGTGCTGCAAGTCCAGAAGAATCGTATAGAAAATTCTAGATTTTAGCAAATAAACATATAGACACTCTTAGAAGGATAACAAAATCAATTCAAGATGCTAGATTGAATAGAGATAATGAAGGAATTAAGAAATCTCTTAAGGAATTTGATGATTGTTTAGAGAAATTCATTCCTGTATTGATGGCATAAGCAAAAATATATTGGGATAAGGACAATTATTCATAAGTTGAAAAACTATTTAGATAATCAGCAGAATTTTGTGCAGATCATGATGTATGGAAACTAAATGTAGCACATGTATTTTATGTGCAAGACAATAAATATAGAGAGGCTATTCGTTATTATGAACCTATAGTAAAGAAGAATAGTGATAATTTATTGTCATTGACAGCAATAGTTATTGCTAATTTATGTGTCAGTTATATTATGGTCAATTAAAATGAAGATGCTGAAGAATTGATGCGTAAATTAGAAAAAGAAGAAGAGAAATCATAATATTAAGATCCTGAAAAACCAGTTTATCATTTATGCATAGTCAATTTAGTTATAGGAACACTTTATTGTTCAAAAAATAATTATGAATTTGGTATTTCTAGAGTTATCAAATCACTTGAACCATATAATAAGAAAGTAAATAAATTATATCAATTATAGATTAATACAGATACATGGTATTATGCTAAGAGATGTTTTGTTGCTTTGATTGAAGTCTTAGCTAAACATATGATAATTCTAAAAGATACATCATATAGTGAGATATTGGATTTCCTAGATGCAGCTGATCAATATGGCAAAGCTATTCCCTCTGTATTTATTTAAAATATATATATATAGGTAATTAATCCATTAGAATAACTTGATGAGAAACACACAGTATCATATGAAGCCAGAATGATTAAGAGGATGTTTCTAAAATTAAGAACATGAAATTATATATATATATATATATAAATATGTTACAGAAATAATTTGAAGAGGAAGAAGAGAGAAGTAAAGAATTCTTAGCTAAATTGAACTAAATAAAAAAAGTATTTTTATCAATTGAAGTCAATAGGTGTCTAAGGATATGAAAAATAAGAATGTTTAATCAGTTTAAAGATAAGAATGGTCGAAAGAATATTTGTAATTGATGAAAGTAGAGAGAATGCTTAATATTGATTTGGAATCAAAATTACTTCTTTTAGAGATCTAATCTGAATTACCTAAATTTTGTTTAGCTGCTTTATTGGAATAAGGAGCACAAAATTACAAATAAGTAAAAGAAGAATTGATTTATTAATTACAAAATTTAAAGAAGATTCAACTTTAATTGAAGAAAGAATAATTACCTAGATTAGATAAGAAGATTAATAATGAATCATCTTAATTCAAAGAATTAGCATTTTCATTTAAAGATTATTTACAATAAATGATTTCTAAATTAGAAATAGAATATTAAAAAGAATCTACAATAGTTGATGAAGAGAATGAAGAAACCTTAGATATGCAATAATGTAATGTGGCTATATGCAATTCATTCCGAGCTAGAATAGAATAAGAATATTTAAATGACAGTATTGTAATTTAAATCAAACCATTTAGAATTGATCTTATATGCTTAAAATTGTGATGATGAGGAATTACAGATTCTTGAAAATTATGCCAAGGCTTTAGAGTATCTTTATGAGAGATATCAATTAGAAATATAGAAACTTACTCCAAAAGAGAGGATAGAAGTAAGTGAAGAAATGTTATATTTGGGATCATCAAATAGTTTACATAGTATGTAAAGATTAATGCTTCATTTTCCAAAAAAGAGTCGTCCTGAATTATAAGAAGCTGTAGATTATATTAGAAAATAAAAAGATATAAATAAGAGATTGATAATTTTATAACGTAATTGGAAGATTGAATATTCAGTAATCTATTTATATAATAGTTTTAGTAATTACAAAATAAATCAGAATAATTATTAAATGATATGCAATAAAACAAAATTTAAAAAAATTAAAGATGGATGGAATATTTATAATTAAAGCAATAAAGAATTAGAATAGCAGAAGAATTAGAAGAGAAGTATATATTATTAATTATTATAGACGTATTGAATATGAAAAGAAATAATAAATTTTATAACAATAAAAAGAAGAGGAAAGAGAATAATAAGAATAATTAGATTAAGCAAAACATGATGAATGGTTAAAACATAAAGCTGAAATTGCAGAGATTGCTCTATCTTATCAGGCAGAAAAGGAATAAAAGAGACAATAATTTTTAATATAATAATAATAATAAGCAGAAATAATAAAGAAATAATAATTACAATAAATTGAATAAGCAAAACCAAGAGTACAATAAAGATAAGAGAAAGAAGTAGGAAAAAGAGAGGATAAAAAATTAAAATAAGAAATTAAGAAATTGGAACCTGAATTGAAAGCTTAAAGAATTGAGGATGCAATCAATAGATACAGTATCAGACCAAATGTTGATAAGGATTTTTAGAGATTAATTAGTGAAACTGAAACCAGATAATTGCGAAAACAAACAAAATACGATAAAGCTGATAAAATTCCTTTAGTAATCATATTAAATATTGTGCAAAGTCTAATGTTACAGGATTTAATATCAATTAATTAATGTCAGATATGAGATATCGATTATAAGTTGCTTTGAATGATGCAGGAATAGGGTAGACTGCTTATGCTCGTGAAGTTATTCTAGGTATGAGCAAACCATAATGAAAATTATAATAAAAATAAGTATGGTTTGGTGCTGTTTTAATATCTTATCATTCACATTAAATTATTTATTTTCAGTTTAACAATCATGTAAACTATATGTCATTATGCTCTACCTTAGTTTTACATTTCAACCAACATTATTTCTCAAGTTTATCTTATTACACACATTTCAAGGTATAATTACCACTAAAAATAGTTTATCATAAGAATGGTCAATCATAGTCTTGGATATCATTCAATTCATAATCAGTTTGACTCTTATGGTGATGATTTTTATAAGAAATAGATTTTAAATGAGAAAACCTCATCTTTTTGGTTTAGCATGTTGTTTTTCAGCTCTTTCTATTCTTTTGACCGTACAAAAATTTGATCATTATTATCTTATTTTGATTATCCTTCAATAATTATCTTCCTGTTTGCTTATGTCATTATTAGTGTTGAATAAAAATAAGATTGGAGTTGGAATAGTAATTTAAATATACTTGATTGGATTTTTAATTGATTTTCTTTCACTTTACATTTGGTATTAATTAACACAATAAAGATAGGATTTTTGAAAATTAATTCAGTCTGAGTAGAGCAATTGCTATATTAGGATCAGGTGGAGTTGGATTGATTACTATGATTTTATGTCTGTTATGTCATGCAAAACCAAAAGGAAAACTCTAGAATGAATTGCATATAATAATAGGTTTCTATATTTTTTGTGAACTATTCATATGTTGTAATATAATCACTGAAATTATAAATGTAAGAAATTATTACTATATTTTAGAGTGTTTCAAGCATATATTTGATAAATTTGATTCTACTTAAGATTTCTAATGTGTTTTTAGATGTACTTATTTATCCATTTGCAAAATTCCATGAACCAAAAAAGATGTAGATTTCAAAAAATAAAATTTCATCTGAAATCATAGAGAATTGTAATACTAAATAATTTGAATGCAATGGTATTGCAACAAAAGAAAGTGATTACGAATTAGATAGTGCTCTTAAAATCAAATCAGATAAACATATTGTTACTATTAAACAAGAGTAATGTACTTCCAAAAAGTGGATTTAATCTCTTTTAGAAATTTATTGATTAATTTAATTCTTATCAATAATATTTCCACTTAGATAAAAAAATATAACTATCAATTCTCATTTACTTGATGCAATTGTTTTTATGTAATATCAGATAAAAACACATGTCCAAAAAATTAAAAGAATTTTTAAATCTTGATTATTAAATCCATAATAAAGTACCATCTTTAGTTTTATTGATTTAGTGTTTAAGTTACCAGGCTATTAGGATCAAAACAGACCATCCCAAAATGGACTTCATATATCTGATTTGGAAGATGGGATTACAGAGGAACAACTATTTGTGGAGTTTAGAAAATTTGGATAAATTAGCTATGTTAAATTACACAGGTATATGATTAGACTATAATTAGATATCAATTCATTGGAAAATCAAAGCATTATGCATTCTTATATTTTTCATCATAAGAAGAAGCAAGGAGAGCAAAAGAAGCAATGAATTACAAATAGCTTCTCAGAGATCCTATGCGCATTACTTATATTTAAGATTATGAGAAAGATGCAAACTTATTTTTTGCAGGATTTGAGTTGAATATAACACTTAAATAATTAGAGGAATTCTTTACAAAATGGGGATAAGTAGTAAGTGTCAAATTATCAGTTGATGAAAATAAAAAGAGTAGAGGTAATTGAAATTCTTAAATTATTAAGGTTATGGTTGGGTTTAATATGAAAAGAAAGATTAAGCTAATGCTTTGTTAACTGAAAGTTAATAAAATGAAGGAAAAGTTTAATATAATGAAAAGACTTAAATTATTGTTAAAAGATTTATAAAGAAAGGTACAAATGAACGTGAAGATAAGAGATGTAATTTATATATCAAGAACTTTTGGACTTCATTAGATGGTATAGATTTAGAAGACAATTAAGTTAAAGAATAATTAGTATTTATAATAAATTATTTATAAAAGGAAACTGAAATGCGTAATAAATTGAATGAATGGTTCAGCACTTATGGTCCAATAATTAGTATATTAGTCAAAGTTGATCCTGAACGTAAAGCTCCATTTGCATTTGTCAGTTTCAGTAGACATCAAGATGCCAAAGAAGCATAAAGAACATTAGGTACTAGTTTAGGAGCAAATCAATAAAAGGATCCTTTGAATACTGGGAGAAAGATGTATGTAGGTTGGGCATAAACAAAAACAGATAGAAAATAACAAAGAGATAATAATATCTATTCAAAATATATTTATGCTGATCATTTAAATAGAAATGTTACAGAGGAAATGATTAGATAAACATTAAAAGATGCTGGTTATGGTGATATTAGTATGGTATTATATATCATTTTTATTTTTTAATAGATTAGATTAGAAAAGATGCAATAAGGATTTTAATAAATCATTAGAATTGGATATATTGTATTTGAATAAGCATAAGATGCAAATAAATTAATCAAATCTTTTAAAGAGAATGAAAAATTTGATGAAATAAAAAATCTTTTTGATTAAAATGTTGAGTAAGCTGGTGGAAAATACTTTCAACATCTTTTCCCTCAATAATCATAATAGAGAGGATAGAGAAGAACTAATTAAAGATAATCTCCAATTAGAAGAATGTATTAAATGCCTGCAGGACCAGCTTAATTTGGTAATAGAATGCCATTCCCATTCCCTATGTAATAAAGAATTCCAACTGGTGGAATGAGAAGACCATATCAATAATAATATCCAAATCCAATGAGACAAACTCCATTACCACCTCCTTTATAATAGATTACTGATTTAGCTCCAGTTTAAACTGTTGCGTTCAATAAGAGATAAGATTTAGTGGAATTATTGAATAATTTAGAAAATTTCAAGGCCAAACCAGAAGAAGAGCAATTGAAATAATTATAGTAATCATTTAAATTAATAATATTTAGAATGATGTTGTATTATAGAATAAAAACAAAATTAAATTAAGATATAGAATCTCATTGGAAGAAGGTTAGTGAAGTACTTTCAGATCCTTCTAATTATACAGTTGATGAAATACTCGATATGATTAAGAATGAAGATTAATTTAATGAATTAGTAGATGATGCTGTAGCTTAATTGAAAGAAGAAGCACATTGGTGATAAATTTATTGTTTGTTCAAATATAAATGTATTTCAACGAAATCTATTTGTATGATATTCTGAAATTCCTGGATTTGATAACCATAAATCATATTCCAAATAATACCAACCTTGAATTCCAAAATGTAAACTTAATAATACTCCATATAAGATTAATCCCATTTTTAGTATATATTTTTATTGAATCTGCTTCAATTTCTACTTATATTAAAATTATTCAATTCTTATATTTTTAACAATCTCTTCATTATCAAATTAATTTAAATTAGCAATCTTAATTGCCTATTTTATTACATCATTATCTCTATCTATACATTTAAAGATTTCTAAAAGTGATCCTGAATTGTGTTCAATCTCATAAGTTAATCTAATTGCTTTTAATTAAATAGGAATTTTTTATAGAGTCTCTTTACTTACTAACTATTAAATATTTGCTTATTTTAATTGATTGATAAATGATTGCATTATTGTTATATTATATGTATATTTATGATAAAATGTAAATGTAACAAAAATCAATTGGCACTTAATATTATATTATTTATTGGAATAAAAACCAACTTAATAAAGTATCCAACAGCACCCATAACAACAAAACCAATAGCACATGATGATGCAATTTTAATATACTCTATTTTGTAATTGTATATTCATTTACCTCTTTTATCTGGTTTTGTGCATTTTCTAATAAATCTGTAACTCTCTTAACCAAAACTTTGGACATCCTATAATATTCCATTGATTCCATTCAAAGTTTCTTAACTCATTTTAAATTTAATATTGAATTCTCACATAATCATTTTGCAATTTTATATTCACACTATACGTGTTAAATTAATTTATATAATTATTATGTAATTATAAAATCATTTTGGAAATATCTGATTATCAATCATATTTCTATTAATGAACTTTTGCTCTCTATATTAGGTTGGAATAACTTCAATTTGATTCTTGTAGAACTAACCTAAAAAATAATATCATTTCAAATATCATACCATATCCTTTATATTGAGCATCATCCAACTCTTTTCTTTTATTTTAAACTCTACTATTTTGTCTATTATTATTAATATTCTCAGTCTCTTGAATATCAGTATTAAAGATATTTGAAGCCTTATTCTTCATTGAAGTTACTTTGTGTTATTATACTAAAATATGATAACAATAATACATTAACTAAATTAACTAAGTGCATCATCCTATTATTATTATTATTATTATTATTATTAAGATTCTTAAACTCTTTGATTAGTATAAGCATTCTCATAAGCTACTCCTGTAATTGGATTAAATTAAGCAACTGGTTGTTTACCAGTGTTTTATTATTTACTACCACTATTACCTTATTTATACTAAATATATTATAATAAAAAAAAGATACCTTATTATAGAGTTCTTCTTCTACTTTGGGTTATTAATAATGATCATATTTGTTTGATTATTATAACAATTATGGTTATTCATAAGTATTAGGAGGATTATTATTTGAGTATTATTTTACATTATTATTATAACTATCTATAGTATCCTAGTAATATTAATCAGGTTGTTTATATAAGGCAGCTAATTCTTTTTTTTTGTTCATTTCTTAAATATATAACTACTTCATATAATCTTCATCTTGATTTTACTAATTATGTTTTAGAATACTTCAACAACTGGTACATAAGTTTAAGTTTGATATGAAGGAATGTATGAATTTCTTTGATCTTGACCAACTTTTCCTGCAATTTTAGTATCTCCCTTTCTAGATTGATCAATGTCCCATCCAATTTGGAATCCTTATCTGTTGTTTGAGTTATCTGACAATATTAAATTAATAAAAGTTACCGTTGTATGTTCTGATAGAGTTCCTTTTATCTCCATCATAAAGTACTTAATTTTTTGGTGCTCCTCTAGACTAATAAAGACTTATAAAATTTTTTAAACCATTGCTAATTCTTCTGTAATTTTTGAAATTTAATTAATTAAAATTCTAATATTCATATTAAAAATTCAAATATATGTCGTTAATTATAAATTAATAGATTCAAATATCGTAAGATCATTAATCACTTTTATTATTAATTTATAGTTTTTAATTCAATATTTATTTTCGCAGTTGATTATATCTCTAATAGTCGATTCTTCAAATTAATATCATCTGCCAAATCAGTATCATTTCTAATATTATGTATAATTATATATACTTTAAGAAATTAACATGTAATTCTTTTAATTCAGTCCAAGATTTTATTGAAGATAACATTACAGTCACTGAATTTCCAGAACCTTGAACACTTTCAAGACTTAAAAATAGACTCTGTAATTCTTTCAATTTACATAAACCTTTAAACAAAGTATTTACACCATCATCACCTAATGGATTACTAATATTTTATAAATTGATTACTGATCAAGAATCAAATTTACTGTTTCTAACTAAGTAGCTTAACCAAAGCCATTATACAGTAACTCCATTCCATCCAAACCAATTTAATTTAATCGAAAATTCAAACTAATATTTCTCAATTTCGTTTATGTTACCAAAAATCTATTGACATATCTCAATCCAAAAGAAGAACAAGATACACTAAGTTTTAATTTATTAAACTCACTTCTCAATCCAAAATTATAATATTCTTAATGGTTACTACATTTCATGAATAGCTTTTGCCAAGAATCTTACACCTTCATCCTCTATACGATTTTTGGATAAATCAATTGTTAATGAACTTAACTTCTTTAATTTTGGTAATACTTAACCTAAAGATTCACATCCCTTTTTTGTAATTTAATTATTCCATAAAGTCAAATTTAAATGCTTTATTTTCTCACATTTAGATAATCCTTTAGCAAATTCCTCAACACCAAAATCTTTTATTTAAGAACCCCAAAGATATAATTCACAATTCTCTAATTCAGATATACTTTCTCCAAGATCATAAAAACCTTCATTGTGCATTGGAATACTTATTTTAGATTATAATAAATACTTAGAAAAATTAATTGATAATTAAGTTAGGAGTGGTAATCGTTTCACAGTTTATTTTAATAATTTAGAAAGCACTTAATTCATATAATTACTTTCTAGACTTAAATCTAGCTTTTTTAGTTTTGGCATGGCACTTATAAGCGAAAAAAATGCTTCACAACAATCCATTGGTAAATAATTTCTTAATTAATTTAGAAGAAGTAATACAATCCGAAATCCAATTTCAATTCTTCCATATGAACTAATCCTTCTAAAAGGGGTAATGAATTATTAATCCCTTCATCAGATAATAAATTATTAGATATTTCTAAAGTTAATCGTTTCAATTCACTCATTTTCATTATTGCCTTTATTAAAAATAACAATCCCAAATTTCCTAATTTATTACTACAAATAGAATTTATGATAATACTTCCATAAATGTAATTATAATTCTTTCAATTTTTAAGCTCTATTTAATATTTTTTCAATTGGAGCCACTGTTCTTACATTTAAACAACTCATTTCTAATTTTATTTGTAAAGTAATCATTTAAAAATTTTTAACTTATTAAGCTATAGTTTCTAAGAATTTAAGTAATTCATCCTATGATTTATTTTACATTCCATTTAAATCCAAATATACATCCTCCTTATTTTTAATATCTAATTAGAAATCATCCAAATTAGCAATTGATTATAGATGTTTATGATTGATTTTAGCAGGCTATTTAAATGATAATTATATATACAGATTTAACTTCCAAATATTATCTTTCTTCAATAATTTGACTTAATTATGAAAAATCATATCTTTAATCTGGAGATATATCTAACATCAATTTCAAAATTTTGGATACTCCTTTGATTCTAGGATATAATTCTTTAACTTGTTTTCGTTTTTCTCTTAAATAATTGTAGAGTTTCATTTCATCATCAAATAATTCTTCTCTTTACTAATATGAAAATTGTTTATGATACCTGTTTTGTCATATTATGAGTAGTAGCAAACAATAGGAAAACTAATCCAAGAGAGAAAACATCACTTTTATAAGGATTATATTTAGCTTAATGTTTTCTTCTTTTAAATGCTCGATAGACTTCTGGAGCTTAATATAAAACTGTGCCACCAATAGTTCTTGATCTTTATTCTTCATCAATAATTTCAGTACCAAAACCAACCTGTCTTATATTAAGAATTTTACATCGCAAACCTTAAACAATAGATTTTCATCATTGAAAAGAATAATATTTTCTGGTTTGATATCTCTATGTGCTATTTTAATTTCTTGTAAATGTGAATGTGCTTTAATCATAGTCACAAAGAAATCAGCTACTTCATACTCTTGAAACCTGAACTCTGGATCTGATTACTTTTTCGATTAGATGTATTGCTATAAATTTGTAATGCCTAATTCCATGACAATACAACCAAAGGTGATTGCCTGCATTTAAGAGATAAATGAGTACTTTATCCTATGTAGTCACCTTCTCATAATAGAAGCTATCCTCAAATGATATAATATTTGGATGTGGATAAGCTTTTATTTTTTGTAGGATCTAAATCTCAGATTAAAACCTCTCTCTCAATAACTCATCAATCAACACTTGTTTTATACAACACTTTTGTTTTGTCTAAAGATTTTCAGCCATATACACTTCATTCCAAGTTTTAGCTAGAATACTGAGATACCGATATTCTGGGTTTACATTTCCAGTCATCATATTTTTTTATATTATTAATATATTATAACTTGTAACATTCTTCATAAATGATGTCTGGTTAAATCTGATATTGGTCCATCCAATTCTAACAATTTTGCTTATCCAATATCAGAATATAAAAGACATTACTATGGCCATTCATCAAATAATTTTCCATTAAATTCTATTGTCTCTTCTTATGTATGATTTTATAAAACATACAATTTACCATTATATTTGGTACACATTAAATAACATTCAGTATCAAAATTGAAATTAAATTTTAGTTTAACATCTATTTCTACAGGAATTAGTTCAATAATTCCTAAATCATATTGATATGAACCATAGAGATAAATCACTTATGAATTGTTTTTGAAAGAGTCAGCAGATACCAATACCTTAGCTGAATAAACCAGCAATTTCATAATATCTATTTTTATTGTGAATTATCCTTTAATTTCATATTCTCTTTATTTCAAATTCAGAGGTTAATTTACATTTAAAGTAAGATTGGCTGATTGATTTACAAATCCACTTATTTAAAGTATTGTAGTTTTGTTATTATCAATGATGAATGTATTTTAAAGAGGACTTGGATAAAATGTCTATTTGAATAAACCAAGCACATCAACTTCAAACTTCTCTTACTTTAAGAGGAAATATCCTTGCTCATTACAAACAACCTATAATTTATCATATGATATTGTCAAAATGACTCCAACTGGTAATTAATCTCTTGTTAATAATTAACCTAATTCATTTACTCTTCTTGCAAATAGTATGTTAATTACTAAAAATATTTATAACATTTGTTAAATTTAATTAATAAAATACACACAAGATCTCATTTATAATTCCATTTCATCTTGATTAAATACTTCAATCTTATTTAAGCAACATCATAAACAATAAATTCATTATACAATAAAGATGTCTAAATAAATATAAGATATATTATTACATTAGGAACACCAGAAGCAGCTCCTTTCCCAATAGGTACTTTGACTTCTGGCATACCTGGGAATGGAATGTTTTCAGATGGATTAGGCATTGTTCTACCTCTTCCCCAAGTACTGTGTTTACCTTCAGGCAATTAGTTAGCATAATAATCTGAATAAAATTTCTCATTTGGATTTCCCAAAGCTACATCACATAATAATATCAATCCTGTATTATTTTATCTTGAGACTGCACAATAATTAGCTGATTTAGAAACCATATCTGCAAAATAAACACCCTATATTGATTAAACTTAAAAATTACTTTTCCAAACATATAACCAGTAACTGGAGCTTCTGGAGGTGCAATCCTTAATCCTTAACTTAGAATACCTACAAAATTTGTAAGTCTTGATCCATGCCATAGTAACATTCTATTGCCTAAATCTTTTTTGAATCGATTATCATCTTGATCTTTTTACAATTCAAAAACATCAAGGACTTCTAATCCATATTCTCTATGAGTATCACAATGTGTGTTTGCTACAAATTATTTAATAGTCTAGACTTTTTCATCTGTAGGTTCTAAGAATTACATATTTATTCCTAATTTTTTGAAATTTTCATCAATAGCATTTGAATCATCTGAATTTTCTTCTAAAATCTTTGTAGCAATTTATATGTGTTAAATTGATTCCAACATATCTAATTTATTTTTAACCATTTTAGGAGTATCAATAACAGGAGCTCTTAAATATCCAAAATCATGAGGGATTTAACTATAAAATTCACTTGAAAGTCTTTGTAAAACTACTTAATCAGGAAGTTTATTTTATAATTCCTCTGATATTTGTTTAAGAACATCAAATCCTTTCTTTATAGTTGAAACAGCTAATTTTCCTAAAGGTGTTTTCTTGGCATCATAACCAATACTAATTAAATATATATAGATTAATAATACTCTTTCATCTAATTATTAATCATCTTCATATCAAAAATTAATCTAACTAAATCTTTTATTTTTTAATGTAAATTGCTTTTACTATATGATTCCTTCTCTTTATCTTCTCTAAGTTTCTCCAATCTCTCTAATTCTTTTGGATCTTGTTCTCCACTATAATCCCTTTCCAAAACTCTATATTCACCTTTTACACTTTTTTATCTCACTTTACTTTCATAACCTTTTTTTGCAGATTCAGCTTTTAAAAAAGATTATTTTGCAGATTAACCTTCAACACCTACTCTACCCCATCTTGTATATAAATAAAAAAAGTCTAAAAATATACAAATGATATATTACCTTTATCTTTCTTTTTTAACAATTAAACAACATAAAATTTGTTGTTATTATTATCACCCATAATATTGGTTTAATTCATCATGCAATCATAAATTTTACCATTCTCTTCAAATACTTCATAATTCTCTTAATCATCAAAATATTCATCTACAGGTGCACTTATCTTACTTTTAATTATATTTGAAGTATCATCTTTCTTTTAACCATCTTAAATATTTTTAATTGGAGATGGAGAAGTTGATTTTTTTGAATCTTTTTGTGGTGAAAGATTGGTTTTTACATCTTTATCATTTGATTTTGATATATCTTTTATAGCTTTATCAATTATATCTCTAGAAATGCTATAAATGATTAATACTATTTTTTATCCTCTGCTTTATCAATCTTTTTAGATCTAGTTGCTCTAGTTGTTGGTGGAGGTGAATTAGTAACTTTAGCAGTTGATTTTTTTGGTGGCATTGAAAATAGGAATATTATATTAATGATCTTGATTGTAAAATATTTAATATTTATAGAATCAAATCAGAATTCATTCAGAATTAAGTATTTAAATATATTTTGATCAGTAATTAGTTTTCTAAAAATAAAAATATCAAATTAAGTTATTGATATTCTTAATTTTTAGATAAATATATATATAGAATTCATAAAAAATAATCTGGATTCTAATTCCAAATCTTTGTTTGAGCATTCTTCATTTAATTTTCACTTGCTTAAAATATTTTAGCTCTCATCTCCAATTTATCACTAACTTCACAAACAGCTCCTGAATTACCACATCTATAACAATAATTAGGAGCAGAAAAGATAGTTTTTAATTAATCTTTGTATATACTACGATATCCTTCCATTATTACTTAATGTGCTCTAAGTACACAACTTAAATTATTAGTTTATAAGAATTATGTAAACACATCTTAACCAAATTCTTTACCCACTCCTCTTTTACTTTCACCAAATCCTTTTAATTCTTATTCATTTGGATCATTCCAAAGTAATTCACATATCTCACCATTATCTGGAATCTCTGATAATCTATTTAATGCTCTTACCTAATATATTTTATAACAATAATATCATACATCATCTAATAATTTAGCATCTTAAGCTATTCCTCCATGTACACACCATATTTTCTCATCAATTAATGCAGATAATGGCATATAATCAAAAGATTCAGTTAAATATCTCCAAATATTTAATGAACCATATTTCCTCATAGCTTCATCATATAATCCAAATGTTTGAGTAAGAATTCTAGATTCATGATTACCTCTTAATAATGTAATTTTATCAGGATTTTTTATTTTTAATGCATAAAGTAAACAAATTGATTCTATACTATGAAATCCTCTATTAACATAATCACCTAAGAATAGATAATTTTAATCTCCAACTTCTCCTGATTATTTGAAAATTTCAAATAAATCATATAATTATCCATGAATATCTCCTACTACAATAACTGGAGGATCAATTCTTTAAACATTTCCTTCTTCAATAAAGATTTCTCTTATTTTTGCACATAATTGTTTGACATCTTTTTCCTTCAATAATTCTCCATTCTTTAATTTTTCTATTGATTTGTCTAAATCAGTTTGCATTATTTTATTTATTTATTTATATATATATATATAATATTTATTTATATATGAAATTCTCTAAATAGACAATCAATTAGTTGGTTTGTCTTCTATGGCTTTTTATTAACTTGATTCCCACATTAATCTTCTAATTAATAATCTTCCCTATAGAGTAGCATTAAACAGATGCATGCAAAATAGAATGTAGCTTTGAGGAGATATTCTTAGTGCCCATCTCATAAATAATGATGAATAACCTAATTATTTAAGAGATTTATACAAACTAAAACACATTGCATTTCTTTGCTAATTTTTGCAGGATCTCTATTCCAATCATATAAGGCTTAAATTGGGAAAAACCAATTGCATACTGGAGCCCAAAAATGTGTAGTTTTAGGGCCAGTTGAAGAATGCACCCAAGTCCAAAAGATTCCTGAAAATTTGCTAGCCATTCGATTATATTATTATTAATATTAAATTCAAATCCAACCTCCCTTTTTAACCATTTGTAATATCTATATTAGACTAAATTTATTGTTATCTTACACATATAATTAGATTAGAATGGATTAATAAATGATTAAAGATTGTGAGAATGTTATTGGCATCAACTGAAAGATGTGTGTATCTTTACATATGGTTATATATTAATAATTATTATGTTATAAACAAAAGTATACAAATTTTATAATAAATATATTCTATATCTTGTAATAAATCACATAAGAAATATTTTACTTTTATAATAATGAAATTTAACATAAAAGTCATGTTCTTTTATTCATTCATCCATTAAGTGGTGCTAATATTGGATCTATTTGGTTATATTTGTATTGATGTGTATCTCTGATATCTCTAAAATCAATCAACTAAACTTCTCAAAAGATTTTATACTTTGTTTTTGAATTTGCGTCTTTCAATATAATGACAACAACCCAATATAATTGCCAAAACAACAATTAATATTTATGAGGATATCCAACAATATAATTCAATTTTGTTATCTTGATTTTCAGACATTTAATAATTTAAATTATAATAATATGAATTAAGGAGAGCATCTCAATAAATAAGAAGATGATCAAAAATTTACAGAAGGAGATTAAACATTCATAAATGAATAGACAGATGATGATAAAAGATTCTCTAACACTGTAGTAGATAGGTAGGAATAGGGAGGGTTGGAAGCTTTGTTGGTAAGTATTAATATCAATTGAATTAGGAATTGGATTATAGAAATAAATTAGAGTTTTTAAGTTCAGAAGAGAAAAATATATTTTCAGAGTTTATTGTTATCTGTTAGATTAGAAAGGATAAATATATAAGTGAATAAGATCCGCATCTTTAATTTTTGATGGAAAAAGCAATGTACAAAGGTGTATAAAAGATTCTCATAAAAGCTTAGAAGATTTAAGATAAAGAACAATGGCAAGTATCAATGATTATGATATTAGAAAGAACAATAATAATTGATGAGACTTTTCTATTCAGATATGAATATTGGTTTCATTACATCAACAGGGTAATTAAAATCAACAATATTCATCTATGTCCATTAATCTATATCAAGTTGTTTAGACAATAGATAGATAAATTTGAATTTTAATAAAGAAGATCTAAAAATTATAGCCAATTATTTTTCAATTGATGAACGGAACAAATCCAGCAAATCAAGTCCAGAATTCACATCACCTATATTGACTAAATAGAAATCAGAAAAAGAGTAATTTAAACAAAATAGTGCAGGTTCAAAGACAATATCCTAAAATGAGGGTGAAGTAGAAAATTAATTGAAAAGAAGTTTACCTCTATGTCATCAAACTAATTGGCTTAAATAAGAATTTATAAAAAAAGATTACTTTAAAAAGTAATTCCTAATCTTACAAAAAACAAATGAAAATGAACTCAAATCTGGAGTTTAAATCTTTTTTGTTTATAGAATAAAAGATGATCAAATTTATGCAGTTAAAAAAGTATAATTAATTAATTTCTATTATATAGTCTTAATTAGCTTCAAATGTAATTTCCTTTTTTGATGTATTTTCAACAGTAAATCTATCAGAAATTACAAATGATTAAAGAAAAATTAGAGAAGCTAAAATTTTATCTAAACTCAACCATCCAAATGTTTTAACTCTCTATGATTGGTGGATAGAAGAAGAAGAATCAGGCTACTCACTTTATTTGATGTCTGAATATTGTTCTTATCCTGGACTTAAACATTAAACTAATGATTTACTCAATTATGCTTATTATTATCTAAATCCAATGAATTGTAAAGAAAAAATAGAATAAATCAAAACTATTATGTTGTAAATCATGGATGGATTAGAATACATACACAAAAGAGGTATTGTACATAGAGATCTTAAACCTGAAAATATCTTTGTTACATATGGAATTGATTGTCAACTTCAAGTTATGTTAGCTGATTTTGATTAAGGAAAAGATGTAAGGGAATCCAAATTATCTATTATAACAGATGAAAAACTAAATGACTAAGATCTAAACTCTATTAAATCAAGAAATACTATTAATTCAGGCACTAGTGGTTATGCAACAGCAAATTCTTAAATTAATAAGGAATATGATAAAATGGATGAATTTTATGCTTTAGGTGTAACCTTACTTCATTTAATATTGGCTTTTCCTGGATAACCCAAAAATCGCAATCTTTATACAAATACATTTGCTATTAGTGATATTTCTGATGTGCTTCTTTTATTTGATAGTTGGGCTGTTAAATTAGTTAAAAATAAACATCCTGAATTTAATTTTCAATAATATTTTCATCTTATGGAACTTGCAAAGGCATTACTTGAAAAAAAAATAAAGGAACATGATCATATAAGAAAAATCATACAAAGTTGGTGAATTGTTGTGTATTATAATTCATCTTTAGATTGTTATTGTTTTATTTATATTAATTTATTTTAATAATTTATTATTATTATAAACACTATTATATATAATCCATAAAATGTAGTAAAATATACACCGATATGTCACATTAATTTATCTTTTACATTTTCTAATTCAACATAAAATTCTTTTATTTAAGATATTAATTATGCTAATTTCTTAAAATAATAATATTAATGGGAACTTGTCAAGGAACCAAAAAAACATAATAAAAAAAACCAAATCTTGAAATCCAAATCCCTAACAATGATAATCTTGAAAATTCAAGAAAATCATAAAATTATCAACCCAAAAGTGCTATTGTAGAGAAAAAGACACCAGCAAGTTCATAAAGACAATCTTTAAGAAGTTAACAATTTCAATTCAATAGTGCATCGAGTGATTAGGCTCTTAAAAGTAGATTTTCAACTCCTATGGTTGATTTAAAAAATCTTGAGTAAGATCAGGTAAGAACATGTAAACATAAAACAACTTTTAAAATGAATGCTACAGTAAAGAAAGTAGCCTTTTCTAAATTTTATTCTGTTCAATAAAGTAAGAAAAATAGTTTCTCTAAAATTCCTGGAGGAAGCATTCTTGTTCAACATAATATGACAGGTAAATTACATTACGCAGATATTTTGGAAAACACATAAATCACTAAATTCTATGTTGATGAATTATTGAGATGTTAATTGGTAATATTAGATAATAATTATGTGTTTAGCAACATCCAAATATAACAAATGTTATAGAAATTTTGGAGGACAAATCTTAATATATAGTTATAAAAGAATGTGCATAGGGAGTTCCAATTTCATATTTAGAATCTCCTGAAAAATAAGCTAGCATTTTAAAATAAATCATAGAGATAGTATGTTATTTGCATAGTAAAAATTTAATACATGGAGCATTATGGTTAGGGGCTTTTGAAAGAAATAATGATTTAGTTAAATTGGTTGATATTTAAAGTATTTTTATAAGACATGAACCTACTAATCATGATGCTGAATATGTAGCACCTGAATGTACATTGGATTCAACTATTTATACAAAAGAAAGAGATATTTGGGCTGTAGGAATGATAGCACATAATCTTATTTGTGGTAGATATTTTAAGGCAACAAATGCTTAAGATATTATTAAAGAAATAGAATAAGTTAGAATAAAAAAACATTTGCATCTTGATAATTCATAAATTAAAGAATTTTTAGAAAAGTTTTTACATATTACTCCTGAAAAAAGAATAGCACTTTAAGAAGCATTAAAAGATTAATTTCTACCAAAGACTAATGAAATGGAAGAATTTGATAAAATATTGAAAAGAAATTAAAAATTACAAAAAATAAGTGTTCTACAATAATGTTTATTGTTATTATTTATTAATTAATTTGAAGAATAGAAGATCAAATATTAAAAGGTATTTTAGAACCTGGATGTAGATTATGATGGAAAAATATCAAAGAATGAATGTTTAAGCTTATATCCTGATAAAGAAGAGTAAATTAATTCTCTTTTTAATTTACTTTCCCTTAAGGATAAAATGGATTTTTAAGAGTTTTTAGTTATTTCAGTAGATAGGACTTAGTTGTTGACTTCTCAAAATATTGAAACCATTTTCAATCTATATGCAACAGTTAAAAAATTTCTTCTTTTACAAACATTAGTAAATCTCTATAAATCAAGAGAAAATGAATTGTAAGAAGCTTTTAGTGAATACGATCATGCTCATGTATAATATATATATATTAATTAAATTAGATAAATTTTAAAACTTTCGAAACTCTATTGACAGATTTGTTGTGATCTTTATTAATAATAATATTTGTTTGCTTTTAAAGAAATAACATCAATTATCAAAATAATTACTTAATAATTAATCATCAATCAACTATCAGATACCATAAAAGAGTCAACTACTGCATAACCTGCTGCTACTCCTCCTTCATTATCTAAGTATCTTTTTGTTCTAACTAAATAACCACCTACTTCATTCACTAATATCTTTTCTCCATCATTTATAAAATATCCAATAACACTGATTTCACTTATTACAGCTTAAATATCTAATTATCCTCTTCTCATCATGAATCCAATACGAGGAATAGGTTTAATTCTTTCCATTACAATAAATTCAGTTCTTTATTCAGGTGTCAATTTTTATAATTCAGGAATTATTTAATCATCATAATAATTGTTTCCTCCTCCTTCTCTTTATGGTTTTAAGACATAATCATGAGGATTCTATTTGATCATTTCTATTAACTAATAATATTAAAATAAACCAAATTACTTTTTCATGTTAATCTTCATGATCAAAACCCCAAATCTTACAATAGTTTTCACTTATTAATTTAGCTTCATCTTTGTTTAAGAATTTCTAAATTTAAGTTTCATCTAATAAAATTTATTAAAGTTTCTTAAAATTCACTAATTATGTATTTAAACTTGGACATTTAAGTGCTTTACTTAATTCAATCATTTCTCTTATGTTCCAACATTCCTGAAATAATATAATATATATACTTCATTTTCATATTAATCAAAAGTATATCCAGTTCTAAAATATACTAATGCTATTTCTTGTCCAAAAGCTCTTAGAATTCCATTTTCTGATGTAATATTACCAATTAATTTTAAAAAAGTAGTTCTTTTACTTAAAATTCCTAATTTCGCTAATCCTTTTTCAATGTATCTCTAATCATATACATTTCCTTCAAATTCTGCTGTTATTATTAAAACAATTGCATTTTTATTATTATACAATTCATAAGCTTTATGTAATGCATCAACCATAATATCATGATTTAAATCTTATTTCACTTATAATTTATAATTTTCTCTTATTTACTTATAATAAGAATCAAATAAGAGAGAATGATATTTCTAAACTCTATCTGAAATGAATCCAAAACTTATGGCTATGCAATTATATTCTACCTACATCCATTAATTCAAAGAAGCATGATGTAAAAAATCATTTCTAACAATACATATTGTATATGGACATTTTGTTTATGATTTTTCTACTTTTCCTTATATTGAAATCATTCTTCTAATAAATTCATCATGTTTTGCTAATCTACCCAAAATACTTGTATACCATTCAAAATCCATACCCATCTTGGCAACTACTTTTTACTATAAAATAGTTTTTTTCTTTAAATCATTTATAATATCATAATTTATCTAATATAAACATAAATTAGTATTATACATATAATGGAAACAAGCTAACTGGACAATTATCTGGAAATTATTTACCATCTTCCTTGTATCTATACAATATCCCTTAACATTATGCAAAATCATGGAAAGTTGATAAATTCGTTGATATAATTCCTTTTAAAATATTTTAAACATTCTTAATATTGGGTGAGAAATCCTTCATCATAAAATCAACATTAAAATAGTAATTCTACAAAACATTATTGGATAAAACTCTTGCAATATATTAATACAAAATTTGATAATTATTATAGAGTATATTTGGATACATATTTGAAACTATCTCTAATAATTCTACTAATAGCATGTCTGATACAGATAATAATTTATCATGTTCTAAGTATTTGAATTAATTATGGATAATAAAATTTTAGATATGATTACAATGTTCACAAATTTCATTTTTCTTGTCAACTCCTTAATTAAAAGATGATGAAATAGTTTAATAAAATGGTTTGAGCTATTCTAATTAATTAAATGAATTTGTGAAATATTTGCTATAATTATCAAGTTTTTCTGAAATCTAAACTAATTTTATTAATTGTTCAAATATGCAAATTTCTTGAACATATTCAAATTAGATAGGTAAATTTAAACTCTTCGCTATGCCATGAAGAGGTTCAGATCCATAGCGGTATTGATATGACTAACTTTAAATCATTAATTTATAAATAAAAAATTAATATATATTCATTATCATTTTATTTTTAAATCAAGAATTGAGAAAAAAAATTATAATTCTTATATTTTTATAATTAAAATCATAAATTCTAAATCATAATTAGAATTATGTTCTTAACTAAGTTAACAAGTAAATACAAAGCTCTCAAATCTAATTTTCTTATAATAAATTATAATTCTGTTAATTTAAAGATAAGAGCCTTATAAATCTCAGTGATTAAATATATTTAATATTATATGACGCAAAACTAATTAAAAATGCTGCTTTGTGTATTATAAGTAGCTTTTATATCAGCTGGACTTTATTTCTATATATTCTGGAAGAAATTAGATGATGTAAAGATTACATTCATAAATTTCAGAAACCTTATTATGAATAGCTGGCTTTTGTGTATGGGCTAATTTTAGGATTCACAGAATTATTAGTTGCAATAATTTTATTCATCCTAATGAAAACTCATGTTCAAATCACATCCCTGGGCTAGATAGGTCGTTATATTAGACAGAACTGCTACAAGGAATATTATGCTCTCATAATTATAAATTTGGTATAGAACATTATAATTAGGCATTCTTAATAACTTTCAATATAATTACAATAGTGGACTCAGAATCAGTAAGTTTTTAAAATATTTAATCTCTTCACTTTATAGCAGCCTATTATATTTAATCAGTTCTTTTCGCATTGTTTTCAAATGACTTATTAAAGAGAAGAGCCTTGATTCCAAATGAATTTATGTTTGAAAGAGAAGGAATATTTCGATGTGCATATGAAGTTCTATATTATGTAGTGTGTTTATTCATTGTATTAAGTAGATATAAAAATATGAAAATTATAGGTTACTTTTTGGTAACACATTTTGAGAAATTACCTGAACCAAATCAAACCTTATGTTAATTAATCATATTCACATTACTATACTAATTTTATTCAATAACTAAATTGGGTATCTTAATAAAAATATTTTTAATAATAACAACTACTAGATTACTATATTCAGCAGCAAATTCTATTAGTAATTTGAAAGATGATTAATAGAAAGGATCTTAGATCACATTGGTAGTGATCACAATTATATTTTTAATAAGAATGGTTTAACAATGTATAATAGGTATTATAAGAGCAAGAGAATAATATTTAAATTAAACTGAACATCAACCACCTGATATATTAAGTGCATTAAATTTATTACCACCAAGAGACCCATATTTAAGATAATCAGCATAAATAATAAGTGAAGAATAAATTGAAATGTTACCTGTTTAAAAATTTAAAATGGAAAATGAATTTGTTTGTTCAATATGTGATATGAATTTATTAAAGAATGAAATGGTAATGAAATTAAGTTGTTCACATATTTTCCATTCAGAATGTTTGAAACCATGGATTAGAATAAAGAATTCATGTCCAAATTGCAGATAACAAATATTAAGTTAATTCATGCAATAAAATTAAAATGTAGAACAAATACCTTAACAATTACAACAATAAGTTTAAAATATTTAAGTAGAAATTCCTATAAATGAAATCAATTAATAAGCATTAGATGTACCTTAGAGATAGATGGAGATATAAGAATGAGTTCTTTTTATATTAATTAATTTTATTATTAATCTTAAATATGTGATGATAACTAAAATTACTTACTTATTTTGATTTCTATTTATATAGAGTTAAAATTATTATTATACTATCAATTCTTTAATTATGAATAATAGCATATAACATTAATGTCACTTACTCATAATTTTGACAGACTTAAGAAATTAAATGAAGACAATAGTTTTTAAATAACACTCAAAAAAGATATTCCAGAGTATTTTGCGATAATTAAATATTTCATTAATTAAATTATATCCATCTTAATGATTTGTGTGAGACATCACACCTTTTTAAACTAAAAATATGGAATCTTTAACTAAGACAATCTCTTAATGATTGGAAAAGTATTTGAATATTTTAAATTATAGTCTTAGAACAATCCAAAATATCGTATTCCTTATAGTATAGAAAGTATTATTACATGGTGTTTTAATGAAAATCAATAATTATAAGGGTTTGAAATCATTATCAATAGAAAAAAGAAATGGTTTGATATGAGTCATTAACATACAATAGAGTTGATGTAAGTTTTGAATGGAAGATTTCTTTACAGAAATATTTAAGCATTCTATCAATTTTTATATATTATAGGGGTAGGAAGCTTTAGTAAAGTAAAATTATTATATTGTATGTTAGGTAATCAAAGTATTCAATAACATTGAGAAATAGTTCTATGCTTGCAAGATTCTTAAAATGGCTTAATTTGATGTATCCTTTATTTTAATATCAATCATAGGATTTTAAAAACGAACTTTCTATACTTTAGTCATTAAATCATCCAAATATAATTAAAGTGAAAGAGGTGTATTTGGAAGATAAATAGATCTGGTTAATAACAGACTTGGTAGAAGGAGGAACATTAAAAGAATATTTAGAGAAATTAACTGAAATTACTCAATTTGAAGTATATATAATTATGAAAGTACTCACAATTTTAATTAATTTTAGCAAATATTAAATATAGTTTAATATTTACATTCTAAGGGATATGTACATAGAGATATTAAACCAGAGAATATTTTATTAAGTCAATATCGTGATCCTTCGAAACTATACATGATCGATTTTGGATTGACAGCAAAGAAAGAGGACGTAGCCACTAGATATCCAAATTGTGGTACTCCAGGATATATAGCTCCTGAAGTGATTAATTTTGATCCACATCATCCTTATGATGAATTAAGTGATATTTTTAGTTGTGGAGTTCTATTACATAAAATGTAATAATTATGTGTATATAATATTAGAATTTATGGGGCAGATTTATTTGATGGATCTTTTTATAGTGAGGTGTACTTTTAGAATCAATAATTTCGTTTGGAATAAGAGTAATTTGACTATAATGAATTCTAACCACTTCTTAAAGGAATGTTGAGAGAGAATCCAAATGTTAGATTAACTGCTACTTAAGCTTTAGAAATGTTAGAATAGATTGTTACTACAAAGAAGGATGCTTTCGAAGTGGATGTTTCCGATTCAGAAATACAACAGGTTAAGACAGTTTCAATTTAAACTATGAAAAGAATTGAGTGTTGATACCAATATTGATTTCAATAAATATATGTTCTCATTATGTATAATTGACGAATAGTTACAATTCATTACTGAAATTTCCTAAAGTTTCATGCACTTAATTAATAAATTTGTATATATGCAATTTATCTGCAAAAGGAAGCGTAAACTTTTCAATAACATTTACAAGATTGGAATCAAAACTCATGATATCATTATAATAGATGTAATTTATTCTTTAAATTAAAGGGAACTAATATTGCTAAATACATCATTCCATTTTATTCAGAGATCGAAGTAAATTGGAACTTAGACAACAACAAATTAATTGGATTTGAGTTTCTCTATAACAAGAAACTAATTTAATTTGAAATGAAACCAGAAGATTGCTAGGTATTCTAAGACACAGTGAAATCATAAATCTTCTTTTCAAACTTATACAAGTTTTATAAACCCATTTATGAAATTGGTAAAGGAAGTTATAGTAATGTAACTTTTATATTGATTATTCAAGGTTTTGAAAGTAGTAAGTTATCAGAATAAAAATATGTACGCCTGCAAATGCATAGAACCAAATGACAACTTTTCTGAACAAGTATTACTATATTTTGAATTTAGGATATTATGAATGAGATTTAAATACATTCTTTATTAAACCATTAAAATATAGTTAGACTATTGGGAATATCCAAAACTCAAAGGCATTTCTATTTACTTATGGAATTACCCAATGGTGATACTTTAAAAAATTACATGTGTAAGAAGGCCAAATTAAGTGAAGAAGAAATCATAGGAATTCTGAAAGTAAGTTTTAATAATATTTAAGTAATTATTATAAGCTGTAGATCATCTCCATTCAAACAACATCATCCATAGAGACATTAAACCAGAAAACATTATCTTATAACATACTGATGATCAAAGTACTAAATCTCAATAACAAAGCACTCATTAAGTTGATTGACTTTGGACTGGCTGCAAATCTTAATGATCCACATATCTAGTATAAAGTATGTGGAACTAGTGGTTATGTAGCTCCAGAAGTAATAAACAATGATGGACTCACACCATATGACACAAAATGTGATATTTTTAGTTGTGGAGTGATCCTCTATTAATTGTAATTTTATTCAATTATTATACATAGACTCACTCATAAATATTTATTTGAAGGAGATACAAAATCAGAAATATACTAAAATAACAAATTATATAAAAAAGTTGATTATAACTTTGGAGATATCCATTATTATTTTCATAATTTACTCTCCCAAATGCTTGAAGATAATCCAGAACATAGAATTACTGCTAAAGAAGCACTTATAATTTTGGATCACATTTCAATATAGATTGATGAAATTCCTCAAGATGAAAATATATAAAGATTACCTGTCATGATGTCTATCAAACCCAAATCAGATCCTAATCTTATGAACATAGATTTCTGATTATTAAATTTGTTAATGTTTTTATGTCTTATGACATTTAATAGTTATTATATTCTCATTTAAACTATTAATATTAAATCTAAACCTTTTTTGAGTTAAAAATGACACAATTACTCTAATATTATAAAATAGTACTAATATTAAAACATAAAATTATATATACAAACTGAAAAAACGCAATCGGATATCTAATAGTTGAATGATATTTAATTTCAATTTAATTATGATTTGCATTCGTAAACATGCTATAATAGATTAACAATATCTCTTATTTATCCAAGATGGTAATATATGCATAGGAAAGGTACTAACTAAAAGTTATACTAGAATAATACAAATCCTAAATATGTTTTGCCCATAAATTTATAATAAAGATTTGAATGGAGTTTTGACAGAGAACTATAATAATTTAATGGGTTCATAATTGAATGGAAAAATCAAAAAAAATTATTCAATATGTCTGATTAGAATTGCAGAAAGTTAAAATCTCAAATTGATGGAAAAATACTTTATAATGAAATTAATTCATAATATTTTCCTATTTAAATTGTAGGAGAAGGGACTTTTGGCAAAGTAAGTCTAAAATGTTATTGTTTCTAGGTTATCAAAGTGGTTAGTCTAATAGACAGACAGGAGTATGCTTGTAAAGTTATGAAATTTAATAAAAAGTTTTCAAAAAACGTAATTATGAAATATATATAATAGGACATTATCTATGAATTGATGACTATGTAATCATTGAACCATGAAAATATTATCAAAATTAAGGAAGTTTATAGTTCAAAATCACATTTCTTTATTATTATGGATTATTGTAGGGGAGGAACACTTAGAGAATATATGGCTTATAAAACATTGAATTAGGATCAAATAGTTATTATAATGAAGGTAATTTAAATTATAATAAATCTCTAGTAAATTTTGAATGCACTCATTTATATGAATTCAAGAGGATATATTCATAGAGACATAAAACCTGATAATATTTTATTGAGAGAACAAAATGATGTTTCTAACATATAAGTGTGCGATTTTGGATTTGCTGCAAGAGTTGAAGATATCTTAATAAAACATCCAAATTGTGGAACTCCTGGTTATATGGCTCCAGAAGTTATCAAATATGATTAGACTAATCCATATAATGAATAATGTGATGTTTTCAGTTGTGGATCATTATTATATTCAATGTAACTTTATTTATTTAAATATATAGATTAACAGGATATAATCTTGAAGTGTAGAGTGAAGAAAGTGAAATTTATAATATAGAAGCTTAAGTTTATGAAGAAAAACAATTCACATCATATAATAATTAATTCAAGAATATTTTACTTAAAATGTTAGAAACATGTCCTAATTAAAGAATAACTGCAAAAGATGCACAAAAATATTTTGATAATTTTGATTTATTCCTTTTAGAAGAATAGAATTCATTAGATGTAATTCAATAAGTAAAGCACATTCCTATCAAAAAGAATGGCTTTAATTAGTTATGATTCTCATTTATTTATGTTTATAGAGTTATTTAATATTAGATTTTATTTATGGATTATAATGGGTTGATTTTAATCAAATCAATCATAATTATTAGAGATTATTATTATTAGATTTATCAACAAAATAATTATATCCCCTAATACATATCATGTTGTGTTATCGTAAACACTCTCTTTTCACTAAAAAATACTACATTTTTAAGAATGAAAATGAAATTCTCTTAGGAGAAGTATATATTTATTTTATTTAAAGACCATTACAAAAATAAAATATACTATCAAACTCACTCCTTAAACTGTAATTGATTGGTCTATTAATCAACAAACCATATAACTCAATGGATTTTGGTTAATTTGGAATAAAAAATAAAAGTTCTTCTTGATGGATGCAACAACCTGTAATATATTTAAATAGACTCTCAATGGTATAGTCACCTATGGAAAATATTAAATTCTTTATGAACCAATCAATTCTATATAATACAGTTCTTTTGGTTATGTAATTATGTCTATATTTTATAGATCAAATAGCTTTTAAAAATGAAATATCTTTATTCAAGAGATTCTTATATGTGTAAAACTATTTAAAAATCTATACAATATTCAGATGAAGTAAAAGAAAAATTATAATATTTAGGATTTCTATTACTAATTTGAAATCCTAAAATAATTAGATCATTCGAAAATCTTAAAGTTTAAAGAAGCATATAATAATAATAAATAATATCATTTCATTTTCGATTATCCAGAAGGAGGTTCTTTAGCTGATCTCATTAAGACAAAATAGTTATAATTTGAAGAAGTCTAATAAATCATTAAAGTAAATTATATAATTTATTTAGTAATTAATATCAACTGTTTCCTTTATTCATTCAAAAGGATATGTCCATAGAAATTTAAAACCAGAACATATATTCTTCAAGGAATTGAATAATCTAGATACTCTTGTTATATCAGAATTTGAATTAGGATGCAAACTCATAGATTTCTAGAATAAGTAATTATTGTATTTTATTAATGAAGAAATCCAACTTGCAGAATTCATGGTTATACAGCACCTGAAATCAAATAGAAAATATTTAATTAAAAATGTGATATCTTTAGTTGTGGTGTTGTTTTATACAAAATGTATTAAATAATCATATAAATTTAGTTTAACAAGAAAAGATTTATTTGATCATGAATCAAATACATATGATGAAAAAATGATGTTACATTTAATCAATCAATCAGACATAGATTAATAATACTAGAATTTACTTAGGATGATGCTTCAATTTAATCCTGATTTAAGGGCAACAGCAGATCAGTGTCTAACAATAATTAATTAATTATCAAAAAGAACTCCTTCTTTCTCTAATATTCTCGATAAATCCCATATAGATATTGTTTAATTTTTGATATTTTGATCTATATAATTTAATTTTAATCTTATTTTATCAATACTAATAGCATAAATAATGAAATAATTTCAATTAAATTAAATGAGGATTTAGATGAACTTTCTGAAAATCATGACTTTATCTAAAGGTTGCCTGTTATTCAAATAAATAAGAGAATTGAAATGTCTTATTGATTGTTAATTATTTTATATTTTATCACTTTCAACTTGAATATTTAATTACTAACAGTAAACAACAAATAAAAATAGACACTATTAATGTATTTATACATTTATTTGCTAATGGAGAATTTTGAGATTCTTCACTCTAAGATAGACTTTTAAATATTACATTCTTTAGTTCGCAATTAGCCTTTTTTATATTTTTATATGCTTAATCTATATTTTAATCAATCCTATCCAAAAGATGACCTTGATCTAAAACTAGTTAATTCAGAGATTAGAAAACTTAAGCTAACTCATTAATCATCTAAACTAATTTATTTATCTCTTAATCACTATTTTCATTATTAATAGTTATATACTTATCTTATTGAATTTAATCATAAAGCTCTTCTTCTTATAAAGTTAAATTATTATTCTCCTTAAATTCTATTTATTTTTCCTCTTTTTTATTTAAAAAATGTTCTATAAAATAATTAATAACACTTACTATTTTGATCTATGGATATGCATTTTATCATGGTTACCATTCTTTTCTATTAATTTCTCAAGAGACCTGCTGTTTCTGATATTTATTAAGATAAAGCAATGGAGATATTTTCTCTTACTTAAATGATAATATTGTATTTTTACTTCTTTTTTCACTATGAGATTCTAATGGGCTTTGATACTTTTAAATCTTTTAAGTGTTCTTTTCACATTCAAGAATTTTCTTAAAGATATAATAAAAATTTACTGTTGTAGCTATTTAGTTTTTTTCATAAATTAATTTTTCGATACGACTAGTATCATCAAATTACATCTTAATTCTTTTAATACCCAAAATTTATAATTCTTTAACTAATATAAAATAATAATATCTAGTACTTAATTCCTTAATTTGTCTTATATTTTCGATTGTGTGATAATAGTCCTAGGCCCATTCAGCTGAAAGTCCAAAGGTGGATGATTACAATTCTATTGAAATATTGGCATCTGTAGATACTGCAGAGTTATTTTAAGAATTTTGTAATAAAGAGTTTTGTTCTTATGAATATCAATTTAAAAAAATTACTTAATGGGTTAGATTGATTAAGACCTTTAAATTTATTAGTTTTCAATCTTAGATTTTCTTTATAAGAGTTTAGAGTATGAGTTTTATTTTTCAAGAATCCCAAATTCTGTTTCATTCTGATATGAAATTAATTAAATTAATAATAATAACTAAAAAAAGTATTTGCCATTAAAAAATAAAATAATTTAACTATATCAAATCAAAGTTTTATTGATTTATTTCTACATTAAAGTCCTTGTATTTATTATATTATCTCACTTTGAAATTGTTATATGATATTCTAAAATAATAAGAGGAAATTGATACCCAAATAAGAATATTAGGTAATTTATCAGTCCAAAAATAATAAGATCGGAAGAAAATGACATTCAAAGTTATCAATTATAAAATTAGATGATTATTTTAAATGATTTTTATTATGATTATAGATTGTATAATCTTAATAAATCAAGTTTTAAATCTAATCATATTTTTATTGTTAAATTAATGGGAAGTACTTGCTGCCATAAATAGCTTTAGGCATTCTCATCTTAGGGTATATGAGTAATATTATCAAAAACAGAATTAGTATGTGATAACAATAATGTTTCTATTAATAAGAAGTCTAATCATAAAGAAGAAAGTCCAGATGGACCTCCTTCAAAATTGCCTTCTTAAAGTGTTTCTGTTCCTTAAGTGTATGAAGAAGCTTTGGTGTTTAATTAGTTGAATCAAATAAATAATACTAAAGGAGCTATAAGTGAGGAGAGACTTTTAATAGATTTGAAGGAGCCTTTTGATGCTTCAGAAAAATAAGATGANTTTCGATACGACTAGTATCATCAAATTACATCTTAATTCTTTTAATACCCAAAATTTATAATTCTTTAACTAATATAAAATAATAATATCTAGTACTTAATTCCTTAATTTGTCTTATATTTTCGATTGTGTGATAATAGTCCTAGGCCCATTCAGCTGAAAGTCCAAAGGTGGATGATTACAATTCTATTGAAATATTGGCATCTGTAGATACTGCAGAGTTATTTTAAGAATTTTGTAATAAAGAGTTTTGTTCTTATGAATATCAATTTAAAAAAATTACTTAATGGGTTAGATTGATTAAGACCTTTAAATTTATTAGTTTTCAATCTTAGATTTTCTTTATAAGAGTTTAGAGTATGAGTTTTATTTTTCAAGAATCCCAAATTCTGTTTCATTCTGATATGAAATTAATTAAATTAATAATAATAACTAAAAAAAGTATTTGCCATTAAAAAATAAAATAATTTAACTATATCAAATCAAAGTTTTATTGATTTATTTCTACATTAAAGTCCTTGTATTTATTATATTATCTCACTTTGAAATTGTTATATGATATTCTAAAATAATAAGAGGAAATTGATACCCAAATAAGAATATTAGGTAATTTATCAGTCCAAAAATAATAAGATCGGAAGAAAATGACATTCAAAGTTATCAATTATAAAATTAGATGATTATTTTAAATGATTTTTATTATGATTATAGATTGTATAATCTTAATAAATCAAGTTTTAAATCTAATCATATTTTTATTGTTAAATTAATGGGAAGTACTTGCTGCCATAAATAGCTTTAGGCATTCTCATCTTAGGGTATATGAGTAATATTATCAAAAACAGAATTAGTATGTGATAACAATAATGTTTCTATTAATAAGAAGTCTAATCATAAAGAAGAAAGTCCAGATGGACCTCCTTCAAAATTGCCTTCTTAAAGTGTTTCTGTTCCTTAAGTGTATGAAGAAGCTTTGGTGTTTAATTAGTTGAATCAAATAAATAATACTAAAGGAGCTATAAGTGAGGAGAGACTTTTAATAGATTTGAAGGAGCCTTTTGATGCTTCAGAAAAATAAGATGAAATAGATGAAAGAAAGGAGGATTTTGGAGCAAAAAAGGATGAAGTAGATCAAATTCAGTTAGAAAAAATAATTTAAGCAGAAAAATTGGAGATATAAAATGAAACATAGTAAAAGCAGTAATAAGATACAGGAACAAGAAAGTCTCCGGCAGCTTCCTCAAAAACAGTACCTCATGATCCTAAAGATAATAGTCAAAGCAGAAAATAGAGTATGGCTTCAGTAGGATCAGTGTCTGTAAAATTTGGAGTAGAATTATTCGTAAATTTAAAAAAACAATCAATAACTAAAGTTTACACTCTCGGTTAGGTTTTAGGTTAAGGTGCATTCGGAAAAGTTTGGAAAGTAACACACAAAACAACAGGTATAAATATTTTACTTAATTGATGAGGTTTAATTAGAGCTATGAAACAAATTAGAAAGTAAGAATTAATTAAGGAAGATGAATAAAAACTGTTTTCAGAGATGAACTTGTTAAAAAATCTATATCATCCTAATATTGTTAAATTGTATGAATTGTATCAAGATTCTAATAATTATTATTTGATTACAGAGTATTAATAATATAAAATTTAGATATTTATGCGGTGGAGAATTGTTTGAAAGAATAAAGAAAATGAATTCATTTACTGAGAAAAGAGCTAGTGATTTAATGAGATAAATATTAATGGCAGTAGTGTATTGTCATGAATAAAAAATTGTACATAGAGATTTAAAACCAGAGAATGTTCTATTTTCAGGTACTGAACCTGAAGCATTAATAAAGATTATTGATTTTGGATGCTCAAGAAGATTTAATTCCTAAAAGAATATGACCAAAAGATTAGGGACTGTATGTTATAAAAATAAATATTAAGCCATATTATATAGCACCTGAAGTCTTAAATCATAATTATAATGAGAAATGCGATGTATGGTCGTGTGGTGTTATTTTATATATCTTATTATGTGGATATCCTCCATTTACAGGAAAAAATGAGAATGAAATTTTTGAAAAGGTCAAAACTGGAAAATTCAAATTCCCAAGTATATTTTTAATTTTGATTTTGATTAGTTGAGGAATGGGATTCAATAAGTAGAGAAGCAAAGAACTTAATTCAAAGAATGCTATAAGTAGATGTAACCTCAAGATATTCAGCTTCACAAGCATTAAATGACCCTTGGATCTCAAAGCATGCACCTAATACCTAAATAAATTAAAAAGTTCTTGAAAATTTGGCTCAATTTTAAGCCAAAAGCGAATTTAGAGCTGCAATTGTTTAATATATTATTAGTCAAATGACTACTAATAAAGAATTAGAAGATCTTTAGAAATCATTTCAGATTTTAGATAAGAATAAAGATGGAGTTTTAAGTAAAGCAGAATTAGTAGAAGGATATACTAAAGTTCTAAAAAGTAAAGAATAAGCTGAAGAATATGTTGAAAAGATTATTTCTAAGCTTGATAAGAATTAATCAGGAGTTATTGAATTTAATGAATTTTTAATGGCTGCAATAAATGAAGAGAAGATTATTTCAATAAAAAAGGTTGAATAAGCATTCAAGATATTCGATTCTGATGGAGATGGCTTTATTAGTAGGTAAGAAATAGAAGAAGTTATGGGAGAATTAAATACAGATGTTTGGAAGTTATTTTTAAATGAAACAGATGGTAATAATGATGGTAAAATATCTTAGGAGGAATTCTCAAAATTAATATTGAATAAATGAATAAATTTTATTTTTCTACTTCTTAACTATTTAAAATAAAAGCTAATTAAACACAAATAATGAAAGCTTCAAGATAGTTCAAAAAGCATTGATTTAAGTTTCATTGAGCTGATTATTCCAACACTAGTTTATCCTCTTCAGCATATTCTATATCAATGAATTAAAATTGCTAAGATATATTTGATACATAATCTAGAGATCGATATTCACTCTTACTAATATTACTTATAAGATCCTCAAGAGTTCTGATCGTTATCGGTTTAATGTAAACTTCTCTCATTCCTGAATCTAATAGTCTATTTATTTCATCCTCTCCAGAGAATCCAGTTAAGCCAAATATTGGAATGGGTGGAATATTTTTATCTTTACAAATCTAAGTAATATATTTAGTGGCTTCTTCACCATTCATTATTGGCATTTAATAATCCATTATTATACCTTTATATCCCTTACATTTATGTTCTTAAAATTGTTCAAGCATTTTTTCTAATATTTGGATACAATGTTTACCATTTTCTGCCTTTACTACTTAGTGTTATAATTTCTTCAAAAGAGATTCTAAAACTATTAAATTATATGGTTCATCATCAACAATCATAAAGGTATTTTCACATTAACATAAATTTTTTGTGTGAATTTAAGTTACTGTAGACCATGGACTCAATTTTAAATTGAAATTGTTATATGAATGAACTATTCCTTCATTTTCAACACTAGATTCTTTTAGTATTAAATCACTTGAAAAATTCTCTCCTGAAATTAATCTTATTTTTATATGCATCTAAACAATTGTACCCTTATCAATATCTGAATCAATAGATATGTAATTTAAATTATCATCTTTACCTGATACGTTCTTTATTAATTAATTTGAAGCACGTAATCCAAGCATCATTCCAGATGATGCGTCATTGGAATTTCTATCTACTTAGAAATCTTCCCCATTAAGTAAAGATCTGATTTATTCCAATCTTTCTGTTGTCATTCCTAAACCATTGTCTTTTACTTCAATCATATAAACATCTGCAAGATTAGTGGATAAATTTCCAATAGAAGAAAATTAACTGGCCATCTTGTATTTACTATATGTTCTGCGTTATTTATTATTTGAAGAATCATGGCAAAATTCGCTTCCACTCATTCTCTGTTATTGAGGAGATTAGGAATGTGGAATTTACAATTTTGAATGTCGATGAATTTGTACTTTATTATCAGGCACTTAAATGTAACTATTAGTTTAATAATTATTGTTATTAGTATTACTTAGATCTTTTTATAATCTAACCGAAATTAATCCATCAGATTTACTAAACCTAATGCTATTAGAAATAATATGAATGAGTATGCTTTGAAATTTCTCTGAATCCAACAATTCATAGTTATTTGTCTGTATTTTATCTTCATATTTAATCTTTACATTTTTTAGTTCTGCTTCATCTTTGAATAATTCTATAACTTCTTAAATTAACATATTAATTTTAATTTTATCTAATTTAATTGGCAATTATCTTTCCCTCAATAAATTATAATCAATTATTGAACCAATAATAAAATTTTAAATTCTGCAATTATTAAAAGCTGCCTTTAAATATTTTTATACTTCTCTATCAAATTTCTGATTGTAATTTTAAACCATCTAAATCATACCTTAAATAGCATTCAATCTAGTCCTTAATTCGTGAGATATGGATCTTATTACTTTACTTTTAAACTAATTCAAATTCTTATAATATATAGACTTTAAATTAGTTGATATATCATAAAGATTTATTAAAGTTGCATGTTTATTATCTTCATATTACAAAAGTGTTTTCATCTTTACTTCAATTACAACTTTCTAAGATTCATCATAGGCTTATTCTGGGCGGTCTATAAATTAACATCTTAAGGTATATATTTTTCCTTAAGTCTTTTTGTCAGCCTTATTGATATATTAGATAATTTAATTTAAATTTAATTATTCCTCATCCTTATTATCCAGATTATCCAGATTGAATTTGCTAGAATCCGCTGGTAATTAATTTTTAACTTCTTCTATATTTGCAAACATTTAAGAAAAAAATAAAAATATCTCATCATAATTGTTCATGATTGATGGTTGAGTCTCAAACAGATAATCCTATTTGACAGATTTAGTCATAAATGTTTTTGTCTTTGTATTTGATTTATCTATCAATTTTTTCATGTATCTATTTGAAAATAAAACCTGCTAGCAATCAGAATTCAATATACAAACTGCTGTTGGTATGCTTCTTAGAGATTATTCAGCAAAATGCTTTATTTTACTCAACCTAATTATCTGCTGATCCCAATAATAAACTAATAAAAAATTCAAAAAAGCAATATTGTATGTGAACTAATATTAAAATATAGCAAATTCTGTTTTATAACCTAAGTAAATAAAGAATTTGACTAGAATCATTAACCTTATTTTGAAATTGTTCATTGTTGCCATAACAATTAGCATAATTGTAAATATTAACAATATCCCAATTACTCTTTATAAACTTGAATATTCCATTAGCATTTGAGATAAATATAGCTATAATAGTGTTTCCAATATAATAAAAATAATTTATGTAAGTGCTACTTTCTATTTTTTGGATAATTTTTGGATAATCCATCTATCGTAAACTATCATAGCTAAAGGAAGCAAAATTAATAAATATGTATAAAGAGTGACAGTCTAATTATTATACTCTTCAAATCCTTTGATATTATTTATCATCATCAATACAATACTATAAAGCAAATAGATTTTCATTATAGTCACAAACAGCGGCCAGAATTGAGAGATTATTAACTCATTCTGGCAATCAATGTAAATAGAATCATTATAATCTTCGTATATTTCTAATGCTAATCTTTTTTATTTTCTTAACCATACTAACATTGCTATTTTATATAAAACAACTATAAAAATTATATTTTATAATTAATATTCTTTTTCATTTGTTCCTCTCATTGATTCCTATAAATTCTTTCTCATATGTTGTAAAATATTTAGTTCTAACAATCGCTGAGAACAAGAATATTATTCAAATATTTGTGGTCTTCTCGTGAATTAATCTAGCGTTATGTAAAACAGTAAAACAATCTAATATCTTGAATTACATACTATCATGAAATTTAAAAAAATTATAAGTATTCTAACATATTTTGTCATATACATAAAATTATCATAAATCGCATCAAATAGTATAACAAAGTTATCATAATCAATTTAGATTCATTATAAAAAAAGTTATAAATCAAGTAGAAAATATAAATTCATTAATATAAAAGTATAATCTCATAAAAAGCCACCCAATCAGTAACATCAATATAAATTTTAGGTTCACCAAAATTTCATTATTTTAAAATGTTTAATAAGTCTATTATAATCAATAATTGATTTTTAAATTATCTCTTTTGCAATATTTTCTACATTATTAATAAGAAAAGAGAATAAAATTTCTTTGATTTTTAAACAGTATTTTATTGAATTATCAAAAATTATTATTAATTAAAATATCAACCTTAAAATAAATAATGATATTCTAGGATTCCTCAAAACACTTTAAAATTGTAGAAGTTAGATATAAATAATTGAATTATTTCTACTCTTTCGAATCTTACAAAAAGAGCTATTTAGGATAGTATCTAATTGAGCCATTGAATAAGATTATGAAGTCATTATGAATAGAATATTTTGAGAACCATTTAGAGACCTCAAATGATTGAGGAATAGATAAAAGCAAAAAGGTAAAGAACTGTCTAAAAGATGATCTAAAAAAGGATTGAGCTTTGTACTTATTTTCTAGATTTTACTCTCTACTTAATAACTTAATAATTTTAGTCTTTCAATGAATATTTTAGTGATTTAAAAATCGCTATGTTGTACTTAAACTACATTGAGAAGGAATGACTATTATATAGTATTCTAGAATAAATGTAAAAGCAAGGATTAGATTTGACAAGTGTAATTTGATTAAGAGGGAATTTATAACATTGAAGAATTTGTGAATATCTGATGTCCTTGATTATGAAAGATACCATTTTCTTAAATTATTAGAATATAAAACTCTGTAAAAAGCAAATCCTATTAACAATCTAGAAAAAATATTCTACTCTATTTTTGAATTCATTATATGCTTTTTAGAAAAGAATAAATTTGTAGATCCAAATGAAGTCTAATTCTTGTTATTTATTTTTCTTAAAGTATTAAATCCACAACTGACTATGCTTTTCTCAAATTCTTAATACCTAAAGGAAATATAGATGGCTACTTTCTTAAAAGCACAATCAAGCTTGAAAAAACTATCAGTTATCTTAAAAGTATGAAATATGTTCCTAAAAACATCTTTTTCAAAAATATGGCAATTTCTCCAAATAAAAATTCTTCTATTCTTATAAATATAATAATCAACTCATTTTTTACTTTTTCTATATCCTAGGAAGCGTTCAATCGAATTTTAATTGTTGAATAAATGAAAAATAAAAGCGATATCACGTAAAATAGAATTAAGCAGTATTAGACAAAAAAGTCTTGAATTAAAGTTAGGATTGATAATGGTGAAGTTATATATTCTATTCACTTTAATATTGGATCAAATTAGAAATTATTCAGCAAAGAAAAAAGAAATTGAAAATTTAGAAAATGTTAAGAGAGTTAAAATAATGATTAAACTATAACATACAATAGGTGGAATGAAATTTTAAAGATATCACTAATGCCATAAGTTTTCATATAAACTTGCTCATTATTTAAAAGTAGAAGAATGGAGATTTAAATTTTGTATTAAATTAAATTAAAGTAAATTGAATATTTTGCTTGATAGTAATCAAGTTACTACTTATTTATAACTAGCTATCCTTATCATGGAAAAGCTATTTGAATGCCTGCACACAAACATTAAAAAATCGTTGGTTCCATAAAAATATTAAATATTCTGTAATAGGGAATTTATACTTTTATAATTGGAGAATATGAAGAATAACAACAAAAATTGTAAGATTCTATTCCCTATTTATCATTTCAAAGAAAATTATAGGTAATTTGATAACAATCTTTTAAAAGATTATTAATTTTATTTTAAAGTTTCTTATTTTCAATTGATGTCAAAAGAGGCAGAAATATAAATTTGAATAATAATAAAAAAGGTATTTCATTACTATAAATTGTTGTCTTTATTTAAATATTACAAATAAAAAAAAATAATGATTCGGAATGAAATTATTTTGCATAAAATCTTAAGAGCTATTACAGAAAAATTATATAACTTATGCTCTGTTATTATATTGATAATTCAGATCTTAAAAATGACATTTATATTTTTTCTCTCTAAATTTCTTACTATTTCTTTCTACTCCATGGTTGTAAAGATCTACATACTTTAAGATACATCGATATCAACCTCTTTTGTATTTTTAAAGTTTAAACTTAATAAAATTGTTTCTAATTTCTCTTTTTCAAATTCACACATTTTCAATACCATTTTTAGTTTTTTCAGTGTATTGAATCGGAATTGTTAAAAGTCTAATCTAATATTTTCAAAAGTAATATCCAAAATATCGAGTCGTGTTGTTAAATTTTTTGAAAATTCAAATATCTGTATATCTGCCTTATTATAAAGCGATAACTTGAATACTTTCATCTCAGTAAACTTTGCTAATAATTCATTACATTAAGACAATCCAAGATTTCCAGAAACTTCAAAATAGAATTGCTCAAAATTGTACCTGTCTAAATGTAAAAATTCTTCCTTTATTTCTAAAATAAATTTTGAATTCTTTTTTTATCTTAAAACTGGATTAAATGATTTTTCTTATTTTATTTTTTAGAAAAAGGAATAAGAAAATGCTTTTAGAGAATGTTATCTTTCTACTAAAAATTCCATATTTTTTAATTCTGAAGCTTCAATTTATATTTGTAAGAGTTGCAATTATGATGGGCAATGCTTTATAATAGCATTAAGATAATGAGTATGATGAGGGTCTACTTCGTCTAAAGAAAAATTAAGTTTTAATTAATAAATTCTACTCGCTATAAGACATCTGATAAAATCATTAATTTCAGATCCCATAAAAAAAAATCTTTATGCATCATATATTTCCAATTTATTTTCTATAGAAGCAAGAACAAGTCTAACCTATGCCAGTATCTTCTCTCTATTTAAATCTTTATAATCACTAAAATCTAAAGTTTTCAAATTAATTTTCAAAATGCAACTTTCTTTTATAAATCTTTCGTTAGCTTTCGACAATATTGAAAAGGATTTAGGATATTCTAATTTCATTTAATTTGAAATTGAATTAAAATATAATATAGATTATAAGAATTATTCTTCAGAAACTCTACTTAAAATTAAAGCTGGAATGAAAAAGTCTTAAATAAGAACTTTTAATAACTCTTTTAATGAAATTAAACTCTCTTTTACTTGCTAAATTATAGCAGGAATTACAGCAGAATTTACAATAAATGAACTCTTGTCTTTGTATAATACTAATATATAAATAAAGCACTAAGGAAGCTTATTTAATACTTCCTAAACATCTGTTGCCCAAATAACTGCCTAATAAAATGGTTAATATTTTATTTGCATTACACTTCTTGGATTAACTTATACAGACTTTTAGGAAAAAATTGAAATAGGAAGACTACCTTCAAATTTTGAAGCATAATTTTTGAACTTTATGTAAGCTTCACCATTAAATTCTCTTCTCACAAAATCAGAAAATTATTTTACTGCTAAATACAATACAATCATTATGATATCCCATATCTTGAAAAAGTTAAATATACCATATAAAAGAACATATTATATTTAGTATAATGGCGTTAAATTTTTAAATACTCTTGACTAAAAGATTGCAAATAGTAACAACTATATAAATGGATGAACTACTGTTAAAACTATTAACGCTGTAGTAAAATTATCTGAATTGGTACTCAAATAGTAGAGAGAAACAATTTATAATGACCCATTAAGCATAGAGTAAAATGATTGAATAGATGCATGACATTCATTCAATTCTGCTAAGCTTTGATAATAATCATACAACGTTAACAAAAATTTATATTTCCCTATATATTCTTCAAATATTGCTCTTTTGGTTATGCAATCTATTTTAGCTTATGCTTCTTCAACAATCTATTCAGGGCTTTCATATATAATTGATTTAATTGCCTCTTAATTTTAATGATTATCCACACCAAAAGATCCTTTAGAGTATCTTTTTAATGTCTAGTATTCTTTTGGAATCAGCTTCATAAAATATTCTGTTTTTTTAATATAATCATTTTTAATAAAATAATTCTATTACACAGCTTACCAACCAGAATTTATTTTAGGATTTTCAATTAAAAGTAAATCCTAAACTTTCTCTTCTTCATCATTTATATCAATCTAATCAGCATCCCATTCAGCATCAATAATGCTGTTGTCTTAAAATTGAAGAGTTAAATTAGGAAAATTTTATTTTTAAAATATACTTTTCAAACTTTCTAAATTTTTTTAATCATAATATAACAAACTTATTCTCTATACTTAAATTAATTTTAGGCAATTAGCCAAATATTACAATGTAACTTCTTCATAACAATCAATATAATGGAATTAGATATATTCAATTCTTTTATATCTTGTTAAGAAAGTAAGGATTAAAACCATACATACTTTCTTTTGATAAGAACTTAATATACTTGAGTCTATATGAAAATAAAAAGACTTAATAAATCCAATTTTTTGTTAGTCTGCTTTCAATAATTGTTTAGTTTCTTCAAAATACTTTAATTTTATTTTCTTCATTTTAAATTCTAGTTCAGTTTGCATAAATCTAGAAGTTGTAGTTATAATAATGAAGTATAATTCAAAAAGGTAATAGATTAAATTGATTATTAATAAAATAAAGCTCACAGTATTGAATCCATCCCATTTAGATTTTTCTGAATTGTAAAAACCTTAGATAAAAATTTAAGGAAATGTTTAAAGACACAAGGTAATTATCATGGAAAGAACAGATAACCTGTGAAAAATAAAATCTCTAAATATATTGACAGGCTTTGCTCTTTTTTTTAAAAGTCTTAATGGATTTCTAAATTTATCTTCCCCATTTAAAATCAAATATTTATTAATTTCGCTAAATGAATATTAATTAATGGATTAATCTCTATTGAAATAATATATAAATGGAGCTATTTTTAAAAAACTTAAACCCCCCATAACCATATAGAAAATATAATAGGGCATATTGACAAAGATATTTTTTTTCACAACTTGTCTTAGGTTGAATGAATACATCCAGGATAAAATATGAGTTATGACTGATGAAATGATAGAAATGGTGTAGCAAAACTCATATGTCTCAAGATCAATATTATAAGTTTTGTAGCTTAAGGTAAAAATTAGTTCAAGAAAGTTGAAGATGAAAATAAATATTTGGAATCCTATTTTTGCATAGTATTTATTTATGCTCGAGGTTATCTTAAAATAATTCAATAACTTTTACCAGAACTTCTTTGAACCTTGATTCTATAAACTCAGAAAATTCGCTGTATAGTTACTTCTCTTAATGATGTTCCCATTCTAAACTAGGATCTGGCCTCTTCCTAAAACAACTTAATTTTGAAGAAAATTAAGGCTACTTTTTTTTGTCTAACTATATCTTTTTGTCTTCAAGTATGAAAAATTAATTGTCTGGATTTGGATGATTTGTTTGATTTACAGTCTAATTTATAAATAAATATTTTTTACTACATTTGAATCGCCAATTACAGGGTGTATTTTGAGCGAGACACCTTCGTGCTAAAATTTGGTATGAGAGTCTCGTTTAGAGTCTTTTCTTGTTAACTTGATTGAATTTGGCTGATACTGAGTAGATTGAGTTGATGGCTAATGTTGCACTGCCTGTTATTGAGTGTTCTGTGATTGTGGATACATATATTTAATTAATGAATATAAAAAGTAATAGATGAATAAAATCTTTTATAATTAAATTTGAAATTTAATATAGCTACTATTTTAGGTGTCATTAATAATGAGATTTGTTAATATCTAGATGACAATTAAATAATTAGTAATTAGTAGATTTATAATGATGGCATCGACCTTTCTCAAGTGACAGGTTATCTATCTTATAGAGACTATATTAGATGACAGAAATCTGTACATATTTTCTAAATTGAGCCATATTCCTCTAGGCCTTATATAAATGATTAAGAATCATTTATTAGAAACTTATTAGAAAAAATAATCAATTCAGAATCAACTAAGGATACTTATGCTTCTTATTTCTATAAATAATTAGATTTTAATGAAAATATATTTTTAATTAATATTACGTAAACATATATATTTTGTATTAAACTTAACAAATTCTGATCAAATATATTATAGATTGCTTGAGAGACGTTAAAAATTATTCTCTTTTGAATGAAGGAAAATATTTAAATTACATTTGAAAATAATTCAAAATAGTCAAAATCTAATAAAAATCATGGACTTATGCCTCTTCTGGCTGAGTTTCAAAAGTCTGGCAAGATAATTCGTAGTAGGGTATTAGCACTACATTTTTGTTTAAATATGTTCTCGAAAAGCATTTTATTATTTATATAGGTTTTAATCTATGATTATATCATAACAATATTCTAAAAATAATCTGGTTTTCATTTTTCTTAATTTATTATTTTCAACTTATTTTTTGTTCTTCATCATTATGAGTGGATTTAAGATAGATACACTTTAGTGATGTTTGTAGTATTAGAACGGATTAATTAATTAAAACTATTTTAATTATTTCTAAACAAACGAATTACTTTGAATATGTAATCACCCTTATACCTTGTATGTTTTTTGTTTAATTCAAGAAGAATTGAGAATTTTATTATTCAGTTGAGGTACCAGTCATTTAAATAATAGAATCAAATACAATAATATTTAAATCATGATTTTAAAAAGTATGTTGTCTCTTAATTGAATTGTTTGATAAAATATATATTAATTTTACTGATTTAATTTTTTTAATTTATAATTTATTATTGCCTTTTATTTTTATAATAGTCATGATTGATAATTGAATCTGCAATTGCTTTAATATCTGTAATATAATAGCCAGAAAAAAGTTTACAATTAATCAACTATTTTGAAATATATATTAATTTAGCTTAAATCTGATTAATATAAAGTAACAACAATGTGCAATACTCTTTGTAATCACAAAACATTAATTCTCTGATTCATAATAACTGTCTACTTAGCACAAAATAGGTAAGTATTTATTATTTTATTTTTGTAATCAATTCTACTTAACAAAAAACCATAAATTTAATTAAAAATGTTTGATATATTATCTAATTTACAACCTTAAACCAATTCAATTTAAAATAATTGAAATACCAATTTTTCTTTAAATACAAAACCAATTTCATATAAAACATAATAATTTTTCATTCCCTGTTTGGAAACTGAAAAAAAATCAAAGTAATATCACTAAATTGAATTATAAACATAAGAAAGGTAATTATTTATAATTTATTATCATCTTTAATTGATAATATTAAAATAATTTGTGATGAAAAATATAATTAAAATTTCAATATATCCATTTTTTTAGGATTAAGATAAAATTAATTGAGAAGAAGAGTAATCAATTTAAAAACAACAACATAATTATATGGTTTTATTTATTAATAAGTAATTAATTTATATCATAAGTTATTTTATTAACAATTATATTTTCTCAGGAAATCATTTAATTTAATTATTTTCTCTCTAAATGTGAATGATTCTGCCACATAATTCATAATGTTAATTAGTATCAAACTTCTCTCAAGATTTTGAATACGATTAACTCAATATCAAGTTACTTATCAAAATTAAAATTAATAATTACTTCTTAAACTAGTAGTTTATATATTTCCTCTTTATATATATTCAACATTTTGAACGAAAATTTTTGGCTGAATACAACTTGATACTGAAATAAAGTTAGTTAAAATGAACTATATTTTAATAATCTATATGAATAAGAGCGAATAGTTTAATCATAAAAAAATTGAACAAAATTACAAAAATTCTAGTTAATTTCTCAAATTTTCAAAGAAATATTTATATGTTAAAGGTATTTTACATGAAAAATTCAGGCTAAAGTTTTGAGGGTTCTGAGGTAAATATGACTAAAACAGTATAAAGTTTTTTGAGAATGTTTGATCATAAATGTTAATAGTGGAGAGCATGCAATAATTGGATTGGTTCCTTAAAAGCGGTGGGTTTATCTGGGTCTTTTTTGATCATTATTTGCATAAGAGCAACAAATCGAGATGAGCAAGAAGGAAAAAAAATGATGAGGCTCTAAATTATTTTCATTTAGAGCATTAGAGAATCAAAAAGTAAAAAAGAAGGGGATTAAATCTATGATACAAAGAATTAAAAAAAATTTTAGATCAAAAAACAATCTAAGAAAGTGTTAAAAGACTAAGAAAGCTAGAGGAGGAGAACTTTTTAAGGCTTTTAAACTTTCGATCCCTCATTTTCTAAAGAACTAATATACATACATAAACCTCATCTTTTTATTGGATACCAACAGAATTTAAATTAAAATGATTTTAAGTTTTATCATAATTAAATTATTTTAAAGTTCTATAACCGATAATAAGTCTCTAAATCGTTTCTCTCCTGATGGAAATACATTAGCTACTGGTAGTGATGTTAAGCCTATCAGTCTATTGGATGTCAAAATATGATAATAAAAAGCCAATTTAGATGGTCATAGTAATGGAATCCTGTCTGTCTGTATATCTCATGATACCATTTATTCACGTGTGGAATGGCAAAATAAACTTATTTACTTTTGATTAAAGATATAAAGAAAATAAGGTTTAATATGATAGTATTTCCTTTTCATTACAACTATTTAACATTAAGTGATGAAGATGATTCTAAAAATACAAGTCTAAGTTTGACCATAAAGGCAATTTATAAGCTTTACACCATGTTTATCAAATAAAAACCCATTCCATTCTTCTTAAGTAATTAAATTTAATTTATTTATGCATCGTCAATACCAAAAAAAAAAAGCTAATAGGTTCTACAAATTTTTTTTCAGCGTCGTTTGGGGCCGCGCTCCAAACGACGCCGAAGCCAAGGGGCCTTTGGCCCC